GGGGAGATGCCTAACCCCCGCCTAAACCCGCTAACCCCGCAACCCCGCTAACCCCCCGCTAACCCCGCTAACCCCCCTAACCCCCGCTAACCCCGCTAACCCGCTAACCCGCTAACCCCCGCTAACCCCCTAACCCCCGCTAACCCGACAAATATGTACCTGCGAATCATATCTATCTTTAAAGCCCATAAACGACGGATCCAAGTCAAGGACACTATCAGGACAGCCTAGTAACCGCTAAACCCCCTAAATTATAATATCAAAGATCCATAAGATATGATATAGAAACACATCACCCCATCATCCATCCCATCCCACTCCCCTCCCATTCCAATGCCGCACCAGAACATACACCCCCTCTATCTCTCTCCTCTCCCCGCTCTCCCCTCTTCTCCCCCCTTCTCCCACAATGCGCCCTACTCCACAATCCTCTCATAAAGAATCGTATTCCCCCACCCTGTCGCCACCCTCTGCTCACACCTCACCCCCCTCTTCAACAACTTTCCTTCGAGATCGTAGGCTTTGGTACGGGATTGTTGGAGTTGAAGACGGTCTTGGGGGAGGGGGATTTGCTATTTGGGAGTTAGCTTGTGTTCTGGTGGGGGAATGGTAGATACGAGGAGTGGACAAGGGTGTAGAGACAGAGAAAAATATCCCCAATTTTGAACAAGGGGGGAATGAAGAAACAGCGCGGAAAGACAGACAAAGAGACAAAGACAACTCACCGGCGTAGCCACAAACTCCAAGTCCGTAGGATCGATGATACTCTCCGGAAGCTTCGTACCGAGTCGAGGAAGGTGTATAGGCGAAGGCGTACTCGATCGCTTACTGATACCGATTTGATAATCAACTACCCCCCATCGTCAGCCGCATATCACATCATAAGGATAGAAGCAACTCACTATTCGCCCCCCACCCCACCAAATCCCTCCCATACTCTTTTCCCCCGCCCTCCCTCAACGTATCCAACACTGCAAAAGCATGCGTCGCCGCCGGACTCTTCGACACTGCCAAATCATAAATCCCAATCGGCAAAAACGTCCTCGCCTTCTCCGAATACTCTTGCAGCCCACTGATCGTCTTGACCTTGACCGGCAAACCCGTCGCGCTCGTATACGCCCCCGTCCCCAGCGCACCTTGTAGCCCGCTACCGCAAGAAAGGACGTCGATAAAGGTCCCACGACGGCCGGGGAAAGATCGCTGCACGGTGTAGAAGGTGGTGTTGCCGCCGGCTTTGATATCTTGGCACTCTACCGTCGTGCCCGTAGGATAACATTTGCTGAGGACGACCTCGACGGGGACAGGGACGACTTCGACGGTATAACTCGAGCCCAGGCCGATCTGCCCTGCTTCGTTGGCGCCAAAAGCGAGGACGTGGTTGGAGAGCGTTCTGACAAAGGAAGTGCGTTCGCCAGCGGCGACTTGCGCGATGGGGATATTGGCGAGGGAAGGGATGGGGGAGAGGAGGGAGGCGTATCGGATGTCTTTAGAGGGGAGGAGGGTACGGGTGGCGGTATTGTCGAATACGGAAAGTTCTGCTTTCGTACCAAGCTGTCGATGCGAGTTGCCGTTCTCACTAAGCGGAAGCGAAAACGTCCTCCCCTTGCTCGTAACCGCCAACAAATGATCTTTCCCCACATCGATCCCCTTCCACCTTTCCCCCCACGCCATTCCCCCCTCTGGTTTGAGCTCCACAAAGTCCACCGTAGGGTCGGCGCCAAAGAGGTATGAAGACCATGATTGTGTGGGCTTGTCGCGGCGTTTGGAGTGGATAGCTTTCGAGGGGGAAAAGAGGTAGAGGTTGCCGTGTTTGCTCAAGGCAAAGATTTTGGATTGGGCGGGCGCAAGCGTCCTCAACGACTAGTCCATATCAGCACTTGTCCCCAAAGCACAAGATATGTAAACTCACCTTGCCTCTCAGCCCCTTCCCGACCTTTCCAGACTCATCATACCCCTTCCCCCAGAGCCAACAATCCCCATTCGCATCCACCGCCGCCGCATACTCTTCCGCGATCGCCAAGTCTCTCAAAGGTGTCGCGCCAAGATGCGGTAATGGCGTAGGCTTCTTGACGAGATTCTGTGCCGAGTCGGGGGAGAGGATGAGATTGCGATTACTCCCCCACCCCACCGGCGTGTAGAGCGGAAAGACTGTCGGCGTGGATCTCGATTTCGATTTTTTGCCCACCGCCTTGTCGACTAAGGGCAGTGATTCGAGGTGGATCGGCTTGAGCTGGGTGTGGGCGGCGTAGACGCAGAGGGCGAGGGCGGATGCTGCGAGGAGAGGGGCGGGGCGGGGTAGGCGTAGGCGAGGGGTCATCTTTGAGGGTGGACGGCGAGGTGGATCGATCGAAAGATGGAATTGACTTGTCGTTGATTTGTTCGAGACGCGTTTGCGCGCCTATCTCGACGGCCAGGCGCGCGCGCATGGGAACCAAACAGCTGTCGTAGGCGGCGGGAGAAAATGAAGAAAAGAGCGGGGGAATAATATGGGCCAACCAGGACTGTGGAATTGTGCGTGGCCAGTGATTGCGCGCGCATTGAGAGATCGTATACTATACTCTATACATCCCTCTATCCACCACCATGTCCCTCCGCGCCGCCCTCCCTTCGCTCCGCACCGCCCTCCGCGCCCCCCACCCCAGATCATTCACCACCTCCACCTCCCGTCTCTCCGAATCCCTCTTCGTCGTACGTCCCCTGACCTCCCTTGCCCTACTCCATCTCACACTTCCCACAGCACCGAGACACCGACTACAACAACCCCTCCCTCCCATTCAAATTCTCCCCGGAAAACCTCGAACGCGCCAACGAGATTATCGCCCGCTACCCGCCCCAGTACAAGAAGGCCGCCGTCATGCCCATCCTCGATCTGGGGCAGAGGCAGAATAAGGGCTGGACGAGTATCAGTGTGATGAATGAGGTTGCGAGGTTGTTGGAGATGCCCAAGATGAGAGTTTACGAGGTGAGTCCGGCCTGCGAGCGCAGCGAGCAGTATATCCTTCGAGCGAGAGAAGGAGTGGGTCATTGGGAAGGGGGCGGGATGGGGGCCGAGCGAGCGCAGCGAGCAGTATATCTTTCGAGCGAGAGAAGCGAGCGAGTAATCGTGGGGGTGGGTGGGCGGCCTATACCTCCAATCCCTCTTGCCTTGCCCTGCCCCTTGCCTTCCCTCTCCCCTCCAAGCCTCTCCCTGAACCCCCCCCCCCCCCCCCCCCCCCCCCCCCCCTCCCCCCCCTTTCAGTTTCGTTTGCCTCGCTTTCGTTTGTCGCTTATACTGTCATAGGGTGATCCTGTTGTCACACTCACCCCCCCCCCAGCCCCCCCCCCCCCCCCCTCATCTCCCAAACCAACGCCTTCGAATCCACCACTAACACCCTTTCCCAGGTCGCCACCTTTTACACAATGTACAACCGCGAACCCGTCGCCCCCAACTTTCTCCAACTCTGCACCACCACCCCCTGCCAACTCGGCGGCTGCGGCTCTTCCGCCATCCTCAAAACCATCGAGAACCACCTCGGTATCCACCCCGGTCAGACTACCCCGGACGGCAAATTTACGTTTATCGAAGTGGAATGTCTTGGTGCTTGCTCCAATGCCCCTAGTACGTCCCCTCCTTCTTACCTTGAAGCCCTGATGAGCCGGAGCAAGAGCTGATAGGCGTGTAGTGATGCAAATCGGCGACGATTTCTACGAAGACCTCACCCCCGAATCCACCATCTCCATCCTCAACGCCCTCGCCAAGGGCGAAAAGCCCAAAGTCGGGCCCCAATCATCCCGCCAAACGTCTGAAAACTCTGCTGGCTTGACTACGCTCCTTTCCAAGGTACGTCCCCCCCTCTGTTTAGTGTCTCTATTGATAGAGGGTGGTGCTGACGAATGTGACGTTTAGCCGTACGGCCCGGGAGAGTTCTGTTCGCCTGAATTTGCATAGACGACTTTACACATTCTCGCTTTTCGATACGATACCCGCTCTTTAGGACATGCACATTGTGATATCTAGACTGGGAATCGGTGTGAACAAGAGAATACGGATTGGGTGTTGGTTTGAGCGGTGGACTTGTGGAATGATCTGGGGCTGAGAGTCGTCAAAGGGGAGGGGTATACGGGGTATATGGATAATGGTGCTCGGTGTTGGCGGGTGTTTGAGCTTGACCAGCATCTTATATACATATACTTACAGGCTTCATAGACATCGGCGGCTTGGCACGGAAAGAGCAACAGAAGGGAACGCGTATGAGCTGTGATTTTGCATGAGACGATGCATGCTCTTTGCCCATCTAGGTCATTTCTGTCGTTTGCATATACAAGTATCATACATGTTGTGATATGTATGCTATACATACTTGATATGCCTCGAACGCCGTGTTGTACTCGTACCAGACTTGGAAGCGCACCTCGCCGACGCGACATGCTTCTCATCTCGTCTCCACCCATCATCCCTTCTCATTCCTCGTGACATCACAACCCAACTCCTTCCTCTTCCATGCCCCACCCATAAACATCACCCCGCCCAGCACAAGATGTCCCTTCCCTCCTCCGTCCTCCCCCCATCCGCCCCTCTCTCCATCCTCTCCGCTCGCTCCCCCTCCCCACCTCCTCCCTCCGAATCATTCCTCTCCGACCTAGACGGCACCGCCCCCTCTCTCATCGAAACCTCCCTCGGCGCCCACGATGCTCTCTGGGACCAGCCGAAAGATGCTTCCGGTTTGAATCTGGTCAGCTGGAAGTATGGGGTCGATGCGGAGGCTGGGGATGGCGTTGAGAAACGTGGATTCAACGGTACGCCTCTTCTTCTCGTACTGGGAGCTATGGGCTGATGGAGAGTAGCCATCTCTGGCGTACTCGCCCACCCTACCAAACGCGCCAACCCCCTCCGAAGCTCGCGCAAACCGCTCCCACCTCTCCAGCCCCCGCCACCTCTCCCCAAACCGCCTCCCCCCGCATCCTACGACGCCTACCTCTCATCCATCACGCCTCTATACGAGAGCTTTGTCGCTAGTCAGGCCGTTTCCAAAGCCGCCGGGGCAGGAGGAGAGCTGGACGGTCGTTCCCCTGCCCCCTCGCACGACCTCCCTCCGCTGGATAGCGTCCCCGACATCTTCTTCGACCCTTCTTTCTCTCTCTCCGACCCTTCCATCTGGTCCCAGCTCTCCGATTCTCCACCAACATCTTCATCCCCAGATGAGGGCGTGCAAGCAGCGCTTTCTTCCCACCTCGACACCCTCGAGCGCCACCTCATCCACGAAATCACCCTCCGCACCCCCTCCTTCTTCTCCGCCCTCACCAACCTCCAAGACCTCCACTCCGAATCCACCTCCTGCCTCACCCACATCACCGCCCTCCAAACCTCCCTCAAAGCCGTCGGCTCCACCCAATCTTCCCGTGGGCTCCAGATCATCAGCGCGCAGGAACAGTTGAGAGAGTTGAAGGAAGTGAGGGGAGGGGTGGAAGCGCTTGGGGAGGTGGAGGAGATGTATGGGATGGCGGAAAAGTTGGTGGAAGAAGGGGATTGGGAAGGAGGGCTCGGGTGCGTGGAAGATGTTGTCCGGTGGTGGACCCGCTACGATCCCCTATCCGGCGAATCCCTCCCTCTATCCACTCTCCCAGCTCTCGCCTCCCTCCCAACAACGATAACCAACCTCATCACCAAAACCTCCCACCACCTCTCTTCCTCCCTCGCCTCATACCTCACGTCCCTCCTCTCTCGGCCCCTCGACCAGCCTCCAAGGGAAGAAGAGCTTCGGGGAACGTTGGCGCCCATGCTGGAGGGATTGCTCAAGTGTGGTAAAGCGGGAGGGGTGGAGGGGATATGGAGGGAGGTGGTCACTGCGGCGGTGAGGGAAGAGTCGAGAAAGTGGCTACCGGGGAGCGAAGAGGATGGTGTCAAGAATCCCGATGCGCGAGGGTATGTCCGCCTTCTTTCATCACTGAGCGTTAGCTGATATTCCTCTAGGGCGAGCCTGGCGCAGTCGTTACAAGGGTTGGAGCATGAGCAGTTTATGGAGCTTTGCGACAAGATGTATGGGGCGTTGTTGGCGAGGTTGACAAACGTCAAGACTATAGGGGACGTCATGGAAGAAATCATCTCGTCGTCAAAGTGGGTCGCTCGCTTTCCGCGCTTTCGGATTACTGAAGGAGAAACAGCTCCATCACCCCCATCTCAATATCATCCCTTCCCCCCGACTCTCGCCCCCTCACTCCCCTCACCCTCATCCTCTCCGAAACCCTGGCCTCCGCCTCCGAACTCGCTCACACCCGCACCTCCAAAATCCTCTCCGTCCGCTCCGACGCCCACGCCCTCCTCCCCCTCCCCTCCTTCCTACAACTATACACCGCCACCACCTCCTTCATAACCTCCACCGAGTCCCTCTCTGGCAAGTCTACCACCCCTCTCCGTGGGGTTCTGAATGCGCAAGCTAGGGGGTTTGTGCAAAAGTATCATCAGGAGAGGTTGACAAGCAGTGCGCGGGCGGTGGAGGAGGAGGTTTGGACGCAGGTGGATGTTGCGAGGGAGGTGCAGAGGGTGGTCGAACTGATCGTTCAGGCGGGGATGGAAGATCCTGCCGAGTGCTTTATCCCTCCAAAGACAACCATCGCTGCGGAGAACACAGAAGACAAGACGACGACAAAGCAGCTTGCGGTGGAGGATCAAAAGTATTGTTTGGTGAAAGCTACGGCGGAGAGTTTGTTGTTGTTGGGTGACTATCTCAAGATTGTGGTCAACCTCGAGTCGGTGGTGACGGATGTCATGTCGAGGATCATCGAGTTCTTAAAGGTAACGCCCCTCTCTCCTCTTCTTCTTAATCTGCTAACATGGGTTATAGAGTTTCAATTCCCGAACATGCCAAGTCGTCCTTGGCGCCGGCGCCATGCGTTCCGCCGGCCTCAAAAACATCACCGCCAAACACCTCGCCCTCGCCTCCCAGTCCCTCTCCGTCATCGTCTCTCTGATCCCGTATATTAGGGAGTTTGTAAGACGGCATTTGGGGGAGAGGCAGGCGATCATGTTGGTGGAGTTTGATAAGCTGAAACGGGTAAGTCTCGTACGAGAAAGAAGGGAAGACGGGGAAAGAAGGGGAAGGACTGACGGGGTGGTGTAGGATTATCAAGAACATCAGAATGAGATCCATGCCAAGCTCGTAGCTATCATGTCCGACCGACTAGCCGTCCACTGCGCTTCCCTCCGCGTACGTCTTGTCTACTACCCCTTCCTGACTCCCCACCTGACCCGGTTCGTAGGAGATCAAATGGGAATTCACCCCCGCCAAAGAAGGCCCCAACTCGTACGCCGAGATGCTCGTCAAAGAATCCGCCACCCTCCACAAAGTCCTCTCCAAATACGTCTCTTCCTCCACTGTGAAGCATGTGATGGGGGATGTTATTGAGGCTATTGCGAGAAGGCTGAGTGAGGAATTTGGGAAGGTGGAGCTGAAGAGTGAAGAGGCGAAGAAACGGTCAGTCTTTTTTTTCTTTGTTGGATGGGAAGGTGGTGGGGAGAAGACTGATGCGATGAGCAGGATGTTGCATGATGTGGCTATCATCTCTATTCGACTGAAACCGTTATCCGATAGAGGGCAGGAGATAGTACAGCTCGAGAACGCCGTGAGGAGCAAGACGACGCCCAAGAAGACTGCGCCGGTGGAGGTGGAGAAGAAGGTCGAGGAGAAGACGACGGAGATTGGCGGGGGTGAGAAGGGAAGCGATGAGGAGAAGAAGGATAACGGGGAAGGGGGAGCGGAGGGAGTGGTGGAGAAGAAGGAACAGAGTTCAACAGCGCCGTCGACCGAAACGCCTTCATCCCCATTACCCCCAACACCACCAAAGCCCACTTCCCCCGCACCTGCTACACCATCAAAAGGAGATCCTCCATCTGAGGCTCCCCCAGCACCACCGAAATCCGCTTCTCCCCCTCCGCCGTCTCCTCCGTCAAAGCCAGCCGCTTCTTTGCCGACGGACGACCCTGAAGTAAACGGTGGTTCTGAGGTTGAGAAGAGCGAGGAGACGACGGTGTCTGGGGAGGCTGCTAGCGTGGTTCTGGACGAGGTCAAAGGCGATGCCGATGGGAAGGAGGAGAATGGAAAGGAACAAGAGGCGGAAGTCACAGAAAAAGTCGAGGAAGAGAAGGACAAGACGGAGGACGAAAAGGCAAAGGAAGAGTAGAATGGTGTCTCAATCTTGGTTGTTAGAAACATAAAGCAAAAGCAGGACTGTATTATAATACCAATCTACCATGCATAGGCTGTGCTCTTGAAGAGGGATATAGAACAGTCGCAACTCGGGAGGCCGGTTAGGAACGAAATGTTAATCGGACAGACCCGCTTTTCGTCATTTCGACTCTTTTTCTTGGCACTTTACTTGTACTTATACATCTCGAATAATCTACATCTATAGCCGCTACCGATCTCGGCACCCTCCACCACTGCCCTCCACCCTCCGACCACCACCCGGCATGCCATCTCCCTCCCGGCCCCCGAACAATACCCACGACTCCACATCGTCCCAAACGGCAATCCTCGACATAGACGACTCGGACGTCCTCGACTCTCAATCTGTCAAGGGCGGCATCATGAGCTCCAGCTCTCTCAGGGACAGCGCAGACGCCCTTCGAGCTATTCAGGGAGCCGACGGCGAAGAGGTGGCCAAGGAGAAGCGCCCGTGGTATCACCCCCTCGTCGTACTCGACTTTCTGATAGGGAACTGGTTTCTGATAGGTATCGGAGTGTCTATCGTACTAGCTTGGAGGTTCCCGCATGTTGCTGCTTCGGGAGGATGTAAGTACCAGCTCTCGTCCCTATTGCCTCTCTGACCCGTTCCACAGATATTCGATCCGAATACTCCATCCACTACGGCGCCATCTCCCTCATATTCCTCATCACCGGCCTCACTCTCTCCACCTCCGCCCTCTTCCACCAGCTCGCCAACTGGCGTCTCCACCTCTTCACCCAAATTTTCTGCTTTCTATTCTTCTCCGCCATCGTATTCGCCATCGTCAATTGCGTGAGAGCGTCCGGCAATGAGAGTATCGACAAGTATGTGTTGGCGGGAATGGTTATCATGAGTGTGATGCCGACGACGGTGGCGAGCAATATCACTATGACGAGGAGTGCTGGAGGAAGTACCGAGGCAGCGACGATGGAAGTATGTGTCGGTGCGTATCTACCATCACTCTCTGGCTCGTCTCGGCTGACAGTCTCTCAGGAAACCTTCTCGGTACATTCATCACGCCTCTACTATGCGAAATGTTCTTCTCAAGTTCAGCATGGTCTTACGGGCAGCCGATTGCGAAGGGCGGGTACGAAGGTTCGGCGGGATTGAAAGAGATTTATCGCCATCTCGCAAAACAGCTCGGCCTCACCCTCTTCATCCCCTTAGTAAGCCCCTTTCCCTCCTCCCTCTGCCCCATCTAACATACTCCCGAAGTTCGTCGGTCAGATCATCCTCCACTTCTTCCCCCGCCAAGTCAAATGGTTCGCCACAACCTTCCGCCTCGCCAAAGTCTCCACCTTTCTCCTCCTCCTCCTCATCTGGACCACCTTCTCCACCCAATTCGAAGAAGGCGCATTCCAATCCATCTCCACCGCCTCCGTCATCTTTCTCGTCTTTGTCAACCTCGCCCTCTACTTCCTCTTCACTGGCATCTGCGTCTTTTGCACCCGTCTGCCCTTCTTGCCCGAATCGTTCAATCTCGGGATCAAGCCTCATCCTGCTTTCGAAGAAGGCGGAGCAGGAGAAGGAGAAGGGGGGGACAGGGTGTATGACGAGACGAAGAAGCCTTACTGGAGGAGGTTTGTCAGTGGGATGCGGTTTGACAAGCAAGAAGCTACCGCCATCTGCTTCTGTGCCGCCGCAAAGGGGATGGTCGTCGGGGCGCCGACGTTGACTATCTTGTACGGCGGTTTCCCAGCAAAAGAGAAGGCTATCATCTCGATCCCTCTCGTACTGTACCAGGGCAAGTACCCCCTCTCTTCAAAGAAGCCAAATCTGACGGGAGAAACAGGTCAACAAGTCGCCGTCGCCCAGATCCTCGTCTACTTTTTCAAGAAATGGAACGCAAAGCCCGACCGACTCGCCGGCATCCGGAACAAAGCTGAAAAGACGCCTCTTGTTGAAGCCAACGGCGGGGGAAGGGAGAGACGAGGAGACGGTGCGGTGGGAGAAGCGAGGGGGAGGGGTTCATCGGAGGGGTTGGCGATGGAGACGCCGCCTGCGGGGTATGGGAGTGTGTGATGTTATAGATCTTGTCGTAATGTATAGTTGTCTTCTCTCTCCTTCAGTGGCAATGGCGAGGTCGTCGTAATCGCCCGAGCACATGCGATTCGACTTTGCACTCTCAACATATAGCCCATAATCCATAATGCTCGCAGCTGTGCGGAGCCGCCTTCCCAAATGACATGCTACAACATGACAATGATCAACAAGTGAAAATAGTACAGCCATCTCCACCAACGATCTATATCCTATTCAACCTCCTCAACTCCTTCTCCATAGTAACGATCTGCGATCTCAACTTCTACGTCTCGCGATTGAAATTCTTGATGTCCTTCTTGTTGTAAGGTTGAATAGGTTTCATAGATAAAGAAGCAGAAGGAGACATATGGAAACTACAACGGAACACTCCAGCGTGGACGGCCATCTCCGCAATCCTTTCTTTCCAGACATATCACAACACTTCTCATACTGCTGGCTACTCTCCTTCAACACCTCTCTATGCCTCTCCTACATCACAACCATCCTGTCCTCCACCTGAGATCGATCGGCCTCGGCTTGTCGTACCATATTGACGGTTATAAAGCAAAAGTTGGCTAGCTGGGTTGAATGGGTGGCTGAATGGGTGGCTGAAGAGAATAGGCGATCCTTAAAGTCGACGGATAATCGGATAGAACGGGCACTCAGTCGAGCATACGCCGCTATGAATCTATCAGCCAACCTCCCCCCCAATCCAAACCCCATAAAGCCGTTACTCACCTCGCACGTCCTCCTCACTCTGTTCTTCTGTCAACACACCGGCCTCCTCCTCCCTCTGTTCTTCTGTCAATACGCCGGCCTCCTCCTCTCCCAGTGCTATACCCCATCAGCACCCTTGTCCACACTTTCCATACAGAGAAGACTTACAACGCGTGCCCGTTCTATCCGATTATCAGCCGACTTTGAGAATCTCCTATCCTTCTTCAGCCACCCATTCAGCCCAGCTGTCCAACTTCTGCTGTGCCATTCCCTCCAAAAGAACCCGAAACTCGTCAAAAGCCTGCCGAAGCTCGACGGGCGAGTTCTCGAGGCCTATGCCCATTTCTGGAGGACGTTTATCCATACAGGGCCGGTGATGAAGTCGATGACGAATGTGGGGAAGTTTGCTGGGGGGAGGGGGGCGGTGAACGGACCGTGCGCGGCGGACTGGGCAGACGATGGGCCGGCTTGGTGGGGCTGCTGAGGAGTCGCCATGACGGCGGAGTGGACGGGATTCAGGGGGAACAGTTGTTCTGCCGAAGTCTACGACCCGAATGCACACTCTTGACAAGGTGGGTGGCAAGGGCAAGACAAACAGAGACAAACAAATCATGGCTGGACGGATCAAGCGTGTTGGTCTATTTACGTAAGTTCTGCACTGTGGAGGTTGAAGGATGGCCGAAGAGAACCAGTGCAGCCAAGAGTACATCAAGGTCCTTCATCAGGTATGTCGTCCTCCCCAACTCCCCAAATATGAGCCCTCGTCCGTCTTGATGGCGCCGCGAGATGAAACAGTACGGCTGCTATATTCCTCTCACCCCATCCCTTCTTGTCCTCGGCGACTTCGCCGTCGATCTTTATCTGAATGTATCAAGACTGATTGGTTTTACTGATAGTGCTACCATGACGTATAGGATCTGTTCTTTTCGTTAATGAGACTATGCGATGCGACAAGCTGCGAGTGCACATCAAGACGCCGGCGGGGAAAGTTATTTGTACACTCAAGTAATTGCGTACTTACTCGCGAGCCAAGACGAGATGCCTGGTGTATATGGGTCAGTCTTAATGGTACATAGAAGCCGTACAAGGCAGGAACAAACGAGAATAGACGGTCTCGAAGATGGCGTTCTATGTAGCCCTCAAGCGATGGCGATTGACGCTGACGCTATCACTCTTTTGCGTATAGTGCACAAGGCATAGGGCCGTAAACGACTGTCATGCGGGCCCAATGTTCCATCTGATAGCATGTCTCATGAACTTGCAGGTAACAATCGTACAATCATCTCCGGTAATACGGCACCATCCTACTTGTATGTCTTTTTCGCCTTCCTCAGCTCCTTCTCCAGATTGATCACTTGCGACCTCAACTTCTGCGCCTCCATCTTCAGCACCCTATTCTCCGCCACATACCTCCCCTTATTCGCCTTTATCTCCTTCTCATTATCTTCTACCAACTTCTCCAACTTTGCCTTTACCCCGCTCCGGAGCTGCTGCATTTCTGCTCTGAAAGAATGTGCTTGGAGGATAGATTTGTGGTAGGCGGCACCGCATGTTCTGAAGACACTCAAAAGGTTGTCCGTCTGGTCCGTTGGGAAAGACACGAAGGAAGAGAGGAATTCGCTTAACGCGAGAGCGCGCTTGCAAAGATAGGCCGCTACCAACCAATCAGCGGAACGCACAACCGAGTATACGGCGATACACACCTCACACCTCTTTCTCTCCGCCGCTTTCCGCCAGGCGCTCACTTACATCTTGTTGAAGCGCTGAATCTTCAGTCAGCGCCGTTTTGCTCGCTCTCCGCAACTCAAATGATGTAAACGTACAAAGCCTTCCCACCTTGGTCACAAAAGCATCCAACTCTAGCAAAGACGCTTCCATCTCGGTGTGAGGGATGTTGATGTCTTCAGTCATCTTGTCGTAGCTGCCAAAATGGTCGTAGATGGCGTCATTGGCTTCCCGGGTGCTGTCGACGACACGGGCGACAACGGAGGCGGGTAAAATGGATGTGACGGGTTGCGAGAGTTGTTGGGAATTGGCCACGGGGTGGTAATAGATGAGCATGATGAGCGGCGAGGTATGTCTAACTCTCTTATTTCCGATACAAGTTGCCGATAAGGATAGAGGTGACGGCGGGACGAAACAGAAGAGACAAACGAAACACGGAATAGTCAATAGATGACCGCCATTGTGTATCGATTTACGTTAACGATGCGTTACGGAGGATGTTGAATGATGGCTGAGAGGGTCCAGTACAGGCAAAGGGCTAGCCTTAACAGCAAGGTCGTCAGGAAGGCTTTGTCGGAGTCTACTTTGGTTATGGTTGATACTACTCTCTTACGTAACGCCACCTTTCCATACATATCCAACATTCGTCCGTAGTCATGTTCTCTATGCTACCAATATGCCGATTCTATGAGCAGCACTGCGCCGTCGGTCTCAGGACCTCAACAGGCTTGTCGGCTATTCTTCGGCTCACCAAGCGCAGGATTTGTCTGTCTCTATCTTGGGGCAGCGAGAGCAAATACTACGGCTGATATATTCCTGCCCCTATCCCTTCTTGTCTTCGGCATCCTCGCCGTCGCTCTCTCTTTTGAGTATCAAGATCTTTAGTCGATGTCTCTATTCTCACGATGATTATGATGCTCACTATGTGTACTTCTCCTCACGGAGACGCTGCGACACGACAAACCTCCAAGCCATGTCAATCGCGATGGTCGAGACGCGCAAGAAGATCAACCGCCCCGGTAATGACGTATAAACTCACTAGCCAAGGCGATGATCAGGGTATGCAGAGTTGTAACGCGTCTAATCGGTATAATGAACAAGTAAACAACGCGATAGTACACTGCCGGCGGCTAAGTGGCACTGATAGCCTGCCCAAAACGTTGCAGGTGGCACAGTACGGTACTCCAAAAGCAGGTATATAAGAACATATAAAAACCTTTCATATGGTTAGCATAGTGTTATATTAACTAGATGGAGCTGAATGACTGACTGCCTTTCTCAGTCAACAAGATACCCATGGTCGCCCTGAAGCTACAATCTGTCCCTCAACCTTTCTTCATCATCTCAAATATATCATACCTCATCCTCTCGACCGTAGCAGCATTCGACTGAGGGCCTTGCATAATGACCTCCAGCCTCACGATCCTCTTTTGAGGCGATTGAGAGACCGCAGCAAAAGCAAGGTTGAGGATCAATCTTTTGACTTGTTTGCCGATAGAGTGGTCGTAGCTCGCCTCATCCATCCTCGAAAAGTTATATATGATGTAAAAGAGGGGCTCGCGCGTGAGTATCATGTGCGTTCTAGCGGGAGGACATCAGTGAGAGCTTGGTATAGACGTAGATTGAGGAACACTCACGACAAGAACTCAACGACTTCATCAATCTGTGAAATTGACCAAGTATCCATGCTGCCCCCGAGGCGCATTGCAATACCGCGTTGAGAGGGAGACAGTATCTCGGAGAGGACGGTATTATTGTAGTCGTTGATTACCAGCACGAAGGGCTCAACCCTTCGGCAGATTGGTTCCAGATAATTTGGCACGTAAAACCGATGAAGTCCCCGTAAATCTTCTGGCTGTTGGATCGACAACACCCCAAATGGCCCCAACATCGATTGAAATGTCTGGACCTGTCGATCCTCGTCATCCAAAGCGTCATATTCTAAGTTTCCTAGATACTTGTGGGAGAGGTGGACGAGGGTGGGAGCGCGGCCATAGAAGAGGAGGCGACAGGCGGGAGAAGAGTCGTCTCGGCTGCTGGATGTATACCCGTACCAACTCATGGGCGGGCTCTCAATATCCTGCGCGAGAAATCCAGAGACCGCTGAATTGCACATTATTGCAGTGACATAATCCTCAAAGATGACACACTGCACATGTCCCAGCACAGCCAGCCTTCTCGCAACTGCCGACTTTCTTTCCGCTGGATCTCCTCGCCACCAATGTTCCCTCTCATCGTCATCAATTTTGTCGGTATCGAAGAGCCCGAGGAAGAAGCCGGAGACGTTCCGCTGGGTAAGAATTGGTGATATGTAGAGGAAGGGAATAAGTCTCTTGTGGAAGTAGCGGGAGACGCGCAAAAAGGTGGCGAGGGCGGAAGGGCTGGCGGTGGCGCCGACGTGTCCTAAGAGGACGTACATGACGTCTTCCGGGAGGCGTTGGGCACTGCTGGGGTTTTCCTCTGCCATTCTGAGGGTTCAGGATTGTTTTATTGGGCTGTAAGTCAAGTACTACAGCCGCATGATCTGCGGCAAAGAAGGCCAGCGGGAAGTTTAACGTTACGTTTACGACGCCAGATGTACTATTTGGCTCTGTTTTTGGAAGTCTGAGGCGCTAACTGCAATATCTTTGGGGTGGATGTATGGCTAATCATACATATTCCATACATATACCTAGAACCAAAACTGTGTTACAGTAGATAGAGTCAACAGCCACTACAACTGCCACTGCCACTCCAAGAAACTCGAATTTGTCATACCTAATCTTCCCCACCGCAGCAGCATAAGGACCCTGTTCTCCGACACATACCTCCCCTTATTCTCCTTCATGTTCATCTCATCATCTTCAGCCACCTTCCCCAGCTATGCCTCCGCCGCGCTTCTGAGACCCTACATTCCGCTCTCGAATGCCTTTGCTTTGCTGACAGAATCACGATAGGCGGCATATAGTGTGACGATTTTCGTTAGGCTGGTAGTCTGACTGGTAGGGAAGGATACGAGGGAAGGGGGGGCCTGGTCTACTTCAAGCGTACGCTTGCAGAGATGGGCATAGACCGCTACCAGCACATCAGCGAAACGCACTCCTCGTCTATGTGATTACACGCCTAGTACCTCCTTCTCGTCTTCAGTATCTATATGAGATGCCTTCAGTGACTTTGTCGTAGCTGGTGATGTAGTTGTTCATCGCTTTATCGGCTTCAGAGGTGGTACGGAGAAGGTCGGCGGGAAAACCGATAGGTAAGGAGGATGAGCCGGACTGTGAGGGTTGCTGAGGTCGGCCATGGCGTCGGAGTTGAGGAGCTTGTCGGACAGCGAGGGTTATGTCTAAGGCTACGCCTCTCGATGCACGCGGCTCAATTCACGCGGCTGATAAGGATCGAGGCAACAGCTGGACAAAACAGAAAAGACATACACATCATGGGCGACGCAACGCAACGCGATTATCTATCTACGTAACTCCTGCGTCTTGAAGGAACGCTGGATGAGGGCCAAGGAGAGTGGTCAGAATAGGTCAAAGAACCAGATCTGCTAAATGTATCCCAGTAACCAGTCAGTCAGTATGTCTTTTCTCCTCGCCCACAGCAAGGTCGTGTGTATAAGTTCTGCTTGTGTCACAAGATGATCGAGCATCCCCACCTCCCACGTCCCCCTCCCCGTCTCTATTGACATTCCCACCATCGGCCTCGTTCATGTATCTGTACAGAGTCATGCAAATCTTATTGGAGACCTCATGTCACATCTTACAACACGATAGCAAAACAGCCCGCAGGTGATATACGTACAACCTTCTCCAAAAACAACCTATGACTTTTTCGCCTTTCTCAACTCCTTTTCCAAATTGATCACCTGCGACCTCAACTTCTGCGCCTCCATCTTCAAAACCCTATTCTCCGACACACACCTTGATCTAACTGTAATCTCCTTCAAGATTCTCGCCTGTTCTTCCTCCATTGATATCATCTTCTCATCGTGCACCCTCAGCTTCTCTGCCATCTCGTTCTTAAACGCAGCTGCTTTGGCGCCCGATTCGACGCAGAAGTCTGCTAGTGTGACGAATTGGGTGGACGTGACGGACAGGAGGGAATTGAATGCGCTGTTCAATTCGAGGGTACGCTTGCGGAGCTTGGCGTATGCCGCTGGCCAGTACATCAGCGAAATACTTTTACAAGCTGGCCTGGTACAACATACCTCGCAGTTCTTCTTCGCTTTTAATGTCTCCCAGTTCACTAGCTTCCTCTTTCTGTAGCGCTACATACCATCAGCACACTGTTCGTCCGAGTCGGGAAGGATTAGATATACGTACCGACCTTTTCGATCTTTGGAAAGATCTCTAGAAACTCCCCGAGAGCCTCCTTGATTTTGGGATTTCCTTCGTCGGGAACATCTTCTAATTCTTGAACGAGCTTGAGAATTATGGCGCCGTGACCTGTTGGAAAAATGTCGGTGGAAGGGCCGGCGGCGGCAGCGGCAGGAGTGGAGGATGGCCCTGCTTCTGAGGTCTGCTGGGGATTGGACATGGTGTGCGGCGTCGAGGGGTTCCTAAAGAGTAGGGGGGAGGGTAGGAGTGGTAGTCTTGGAGCTGAAAGGTTCAAAAACACAAGATAGGTCAAATGACGGCAAGATAGATGACCACAGCGTCGCGGGCTGGCTCTTACGTACAAGGCTCTTATCCTTATCTGTCCTTACGTAAATGTCACTCCTGGCGGTGGTTGGTCGTCGATGGCCGAGATCGTCATTCTGGAACGGGAACTGACCATCTTGGACGCTCTCGAGCCAGCATGCTGTCTCCCTTCCCATCTGCATATCATTCTCTCAGTCTTCCCAATCAGAAATGAGCGACAAACAGTCCCTTCTCCCCACGCACATCAACCACTCCACCTCCTCCCGCCTCTCAACACCCCGCATCTCATTCCCATCTTCGTCCCATTCTAGCAAATCACTATCCAGCTCCGAATCACAAGATACAATACGCCCTGGAGTTGGAGGGAAAGCTCTAGATCTAAGTGGCCGAAGCTTAGCGAGCGAAGGGGAAGAAGACGATGAGGAAGTAGTCGGCGAAGGATTACGGACAGGCAAAAGACCGGGCCTTCCGAAAGTATCGCGCGAATGTCTCATAAGGCGAGTCCCCCTCCTCCTGTAGGATATTCTTTGATCTGACCCATCTCATAGCGAGATAAAATGCTACGGCTCCTACATGCTCCCCCCTTTCCTCATCTTTGGCGTCCTCGCCATCGGCCTCTGTCTCTTCTTTGTCGGTCTCAAGAGCGGATGGTTCGAATGACGACCCGCTTCGTCCCCTAATTCTTACTGGAGATGAGATGCATATACATCAGATGCTCTCACTGATACGATCGTGCTAAAGATACCTCATACAATGTTTGATGACCCCTACCCATAATCTGACGCCGCTTGCCACTCTACCACTCTATCAGAAACGTTACAAGGCTACAATTTGTCAATAGAATCATGCTCCCCTCTCATCCGTCATTCTCTGCAAGACTTCCTCCAACAGCAGACGCAAATACGCCTTATCCACCTACCCCAACCATCAGCTCCCACCCATTGATCAAAACAAAAAAGAAAGAAGGAGGACGTACGGTAACCTCCGTCCCATCATACAACGCCCCATGTCCATGCTGCCTCGGCAACCCCTCCCACTCCTCTCTCGTCAACGCTACATCATGCCACACCGGGATATACTCGTGGTGCAAGACGTCGGCGATAATCTGGTTTTCGGGGAGGTACGAGTCCGGAGGGAAGAGCTGCAAACGTATAAGCTGATTCCTCATCCTTCACTTAAGGGACTTACTTCGATGACGACCCCGCCTTCCGTCATCCACAATTGATGCGTAAGCATATCCCCATGCACGCCAATGATTATCTACGCCCATCAGTACCTCATCTTCACCCGAGAAAGGAAAAAAGACGACTCACATCAGCATCCGCAACAGCCTCAACCTGCTCCACATGCGTCAACCTCTCCATCTTCTTATGCCCCACCCTCGCCAGCCCCAGCGCATCAAGCTCCGCCAACACCACCGCTATCCCCATATGACTCTCATCATCAAGCTTCCTGTCCGTCCCCTGCCTATCGACGTACACGATCTTGGGCACTCCTTCTCCTGTTGAGAGTTTCGAAGGTGCGAGGCGGTGGGGGGAGAAGTTGATGCCGAGGTGAGGGAGGAGAGTGAGGCGGGAGGGGGTGAAGAAGAAGGGAGAGTGGGGGAGGGCGAAGACGGATGCTGCCATTTTGTTGAGCGCTTCGGAGAGGGGGTTGTGCCGATGGGATGCCCAGCGGTCGGTAATGACGACTATCCAAATATCAGCAGTGTCGTTTGATGGTTCAGAGACACTCACCTCGTTCCAAGTAGACCCAACCATTATGCTCGTTGTTGGGATCACTCAAAGCTGCCCAGTCATGTGGTTCCAGAAACTCTGCCAGTCGCATCAGCTCTTCATCCCGGACCGAGACAGAAGACCCACTGTCCCCAAAGATGCCCCTCAACACCATCTCCCCCAAGCCCTCCTCATCCCTCCACCCCTCCGCCGCCTTCCACGGAATAATAAACCTCTCAGGCGTCGCTGGTACCCTCTCCCCCCAGTCCCTCGCATCCACTTGCGGTATCCCCACTTTCGACGGCAAAGACGCTATCGCCGCTACGCTCCCCAGGAAGATCTCGCCGATGAGGTGGTAGTACGAGGAGAGGTAGTGCCATTGAGAAGTATCGGCTCCGTCGTTGACGAATACTGTTTTGGTAATCAGCATGAGGCAAAGCTTAGAGAAGAGAAAGTTTGAGAAGGACGTACTAGTGGTTCCTCCGAGCTTGAGAGCGTTCTTCGCATGTTCTATTCTCTCCCCTGTCGGATGCGTGAATACCTCCCACCCCGTCTCTCCGCTGACTGCTCTACTCTTCGATGGGAGCTTGGACCTATCCGGCGCATACATATCTACCCACACATCAGCGATCACCAGACAAGACAAGCGAGGAACAGCTCACAGATCGTACCATTGCCCACCCAAACATGCTCTAGTACCTGATAACCCGGCGTCCCTCCCAGATGCTTCGTATGAACCACAGTCGGATCTGGCGGAGAGCTCGAGGGGTTCCATAGTGTCTTGGCGACGGAGGGGGATAGTAGTTTCTCAGTCTTTTCCAAAGATCAGTCGCGCTTCTTATACGTCGTACGCGTCAGGGGAGAGGTACTCACCGGGATATCTGTACCGAGCACAAGACCTGTGAAGATGACTGCTGCAGCGGCAAAGAACACTTGTGGGAGTCAGAAGAGGCTGAAAGAGGAGGTGGAAAGTAGAACTCACGAGCAAACAACAAGACGCCCAAAAGTCTCGCTCGTCTTCGTGCAGCCGATTTCTCCGAGTCCATTACGACGCGCTTTCTCCCGCTCTATATCGCCGCAATAAGTCCTTCTGCGTTGGTTAACGGGGAGTGGTTCAGAGATATATGGCGAGGGGTAAAGATACAAACATGATAGAGATGAGTAGCGCAGGAATAGAAAAAGCTCGAGAGCGAAAAGCGAATCTGGTTTGGATTCTGCTAAGCATGCGGGGGGTGCGGGGTTAGTGCTGTTTGCTCAAACGAGCCCCGGAAATCGCGCAGTCCTGTGCTCCTGCTGGGTCGTCACAGTCCTGCCAGCGTGCTCGGTATATATATGCATGCAGAGGAGTAGCCATGGGGAGGACAGATGCATGCAGATCTCTTGGCTGGCCGATCCGCGCGTGCATACGTACGGCCGGGATGATGGAATGCAAGGCGGTGACTACGCGCCGGGTGACAAACAGTGATCGGGCGGCCGTTGGGTGACCCAGCGATGGCGAGCAGTATCAGCTGGTGACTATCGTACTCTCCTGTGCCGACATGCTACTGAATGCTACTTCGGTAGAAGGTTGTGGCTACCCGCGACTTCACACCATGCATAGCCACTGACGTTGACCAAGCTTCCCTATCACCAAACAGCTAGCGATAAACAGAGCTGCGCCACTCTCCACGCACCTCTTAAAACTCGATATATACAAGTACAATCCCACTCCGTCTCACAAGCGTCCCACCTCCTATCTTATCGCGACCCGCCATCCCCCTGGCCCGAATCGGCCTCTCTACTCCGCGCCGCCTGGATCTGCGACATCAACTCTGTAAGAACTTCCTGCCTACTCCGTCCCGTCGCCGCCGCCTGTCTACTAACCTCCCTCGTCAGATTCTCGTATTGTGACCTGAGCTCGGCTGGGAGATCGTCTATAGTCGCCGGTCTGGAAGCGATATATCCCGAGACGACGACTGCTGGGTGTTGTTATCATCGTTTCTAGGTGGCATTGTGCGCGAGTGATAAGTTTCTCAGCTGTGGATCGTAGGTGGTATGAGGGAATATACGCTTTCGAATCGGATATCAGAGGTTATATACCTTTTCGACCGCGCAGTAGAAAGCAGACTCCATTGTCTCTCGCTGACCGACATCTCGCTATGTCGCTTGTCACATCTCCCACAGCACGATAATGAGATGGAAGGCCAAATTGCGAATATCAGCGGAAGTCGCGGCTCTATCATAAAGTAGCGATAAGTGCAAGCGCATTTACCGGTAATTACTGAGCTACAGATGGGGACACACCGACTGGAGGTGTCATGATCGCCATCCCAACGATCAAAAAAGCTAGAGCGACGCCGACGGAACCTCACTCGTTGATGACACCTCTTAACTGAGATGTATCTTGATATAGAGCACAATTTGTCGGTTCTCCTGTTTCTCGTATACCTGTCTCTTTCTCCCGCACCATACAGACAAAAGAAGACGCTCAGCGCAAAGAGAAGCGATCAAGATTGAAGAAAACAAAAATAAAAATAAAAAGAAGGTCTCGTCCCGGGATTGAACCGAGGACCACCCCCAAAGCGACTCGAAAATCACCCTAAGAGGGCATGCTACCACTGCACCAACGAAACGGCTATGCCACCGAAGACCGATTATTGAAAGTTTACAAACTTTACTGTATTAGAATAGTCAAATAGCTGAGCACAAGTTTGACCGGTGCCTTTACAAAGTCGGATCGACTTCCACTTTTCCGGATACCTGAGATTGGCAGGTGTCTGATAGAGAGCATGTGCTAGAGAGTGCTGTGGTGCATGGTTGTCCTGCTAGCAATACTCAATCAAATATTGTATACATCAACTACGACCTAAAAGCACGACAAGAGGGGAAGAACGGAAAGTGTCTTCGCTGGGTTCTTGCGCCGGTTGAAAGAACCCATCAATATCAGTGTTGCGACTCACATCGTCCAAGCAGTACGACTGGAAGATACTGCTGTAGATCCAGGGAGGCATCTTATCGACAGCAATGCGATCTGATGCCAAGGATGAAAAACGAGATGAACAAACGCACTTCGGTAGGCCGAGATCACGAGACGACTTGGGAGTTGGGGCAAAGCCGTAGTTATGGGGGGATGTCTTCGGGCCCGACGGTAGATTTCGGGAGTTATGCTTTCTCTTTTCAACCTTGGAGTGCACCTCTGTTGACAACATGTCGCCATATCACTGACTCGGACCAATTGAATGGGATGTAATTTGCCGAAAGAATGTTTGGCTCTTATTGCAGTCGGCTGCAGGCGACGTCTGAGGGGTACGAACTCTTTTCCATATCCGCTTGTACTCTCTCATTCCCTTTTCAGCCTCCATAGCTCATCGCTCCACAATGTATACTCGATGCATGCCACCGATTTACCTTATCTCGGTCCTCACCTCGGCTGTCGGCCATCACCGCAGATGTCACAGCCGATGCAGCCTTATCACGCCATTATCAGTACCATTTTTTTTCCGTCTTTCCCCTAATGTATCCTCATATAAAGACAATGCCACTGGCCGACCTCTAATTCACTCACCACACAAGCGTACTCGACTCCACCATGTCTGCGACGGTGCAAGACCTCTCCCCCGAGGCGATTCCAGTTGTCAACACGGTCCCTCCCCGCGCCGAATCCGTCAAGAGAAAGAACAAGCCGACCATCCTTCAGTCTTTCAGGAGTTTCATCTGGGATAGCGACACGCACCTCAAGTCGCCCGAGGAGAGGCGTCTATTGTTCAAACTCGACTGCTGCATTTTGCCTTGTCTGTGTCTCGGTATGTGTCCTCTCGCGCGAGATAACGAGATTCTAGCTCACCGCCCTACTCTATAGGTTTCTTCTGCAAGTATCTCGATCAAACCAATCGTGCGTCTACTATTCTTTGTCATCTGACGACTGGCTGACTCTTCTCGTAGTCAACAATGCCTATGTTTCTGGTCTGCAAGAAACTCTCGGATGGTACGGTAACCAGTATACGTCAGTCCCGTCTCTCCACTCAAACAGGGTGCATGCTCATATATCGCCAGATACGCTACATCACTCTACACTGTGGGATACGCTATCATGCAGGTTCCATCTACCGTACGTCCCCTTTGCGGGCTGCTGGTGGGCATGATGCTGATTTTTTGACGTATAGCTGATTGTCCAACGCGTCCGCCCCTCTCTCTGGCTCGCCTTCTGTGAGATAGTTTGGGCCCTCCTCACGTGATTCTTTCTACTTTTACGATATGATGGTTTCTAACGTACCTATAGCTTCTGTCAGTGTGCCGTCAAGAACACCGGTTCGATGTACGCCCTCCGATTTCTAGTAGCTCTCTTCGAATCGGCCTTCTTCCCCGTTGGTCTATATCTCCTCGGGTCCTGGTATACTCCCACCGAGCTTGCCAAGAGAGCTGCCATCTTCCACGTAAGTAGCACCCTTCGTAATCGACCATGACTGACAAGAGTGGTAGTTTACATCAGCGGCGGGCTCGGCCTTTTCGGGGTATATGCAGGCGGCCGTTTACGCGACGCTGGATGGCCGATACGGCTTGCAAGGCTGGCAATGGCTCTAGTATGTACCCCATTCACGAAGACTCCCGTTGCGTGGACTGATCAGCCATTTAGCATCGTTTGTGGCATCATCACAGCCCCTTGTGGCTTCCTCATCCTCTTTCTCCTTCCCGACTACCCGAGCGGGGGACAAAAGCGCTGGTACCTCACCGATGCCGAATTCGAGCTTGCTCAAGAAAGAATGAGGAAGCTTGACCGACCACCCCCTGGCAAGATTGATAGGGGCGTCATCAAAAGGATCCTGCAGCGATGGCGTGAGTTGAGCTTTCTTGACGTTTTGTGCAAACCCGATGCTAACGTCGCTGGAAGACATCTACATCATCCCTATGACTTATACCATGTACGGTCTTGGTTGCGCTTCTGGAAGCTATACCTCCATCTGGCTTAGTGAGCCTGATCTGTGGTCCCTTGACTCTCGCTAATAATACTCCTCTCCCCGAAGAGTCTACCGGTGATTACTCCGTCGCTCAAATCAACACCATTCCTACTATCAGCAACGTCATTGCCGCCGTTACTGTTCTTCTTTGGTACATCCTCCTTCAGACCTCTCATCCACATTTCGATCAGCGTTAACGCCTTCTACAGGGGTTTCCTTTCCGATTACTTTGGCTCTCGCTACTACCTCATCGCCCTTCCCACCCTCATCGCCCTCTTCCCCAACATTGTCCTCACCATCTGGCCTTCCTCCAACCCCCTCAAACTTGCCGCCTTCCTCATCACTGGCGCCCAATACGTCACCGCTATCTACTACGCCTGGTTTCAAGAAATTTGCTCTTCCGACCCTCTCGAGCGTGCTATCGTCATATCTCTCTCCAATGGACTGCAGTATGCGTTCAGCGCATGGGTCTCCATCTTGATCTTCCCCCAGGTGGATCGACCGAACTTTAGGAAAGGTTTCCCGACAACGTTGGCTTGTACGTATCTCTTTATCTTTCCGAAACGTTCGAGGCCTCGCTGACTCGGGCTAGTCGTCATCATGGGTCTCGTCCTAGCCACCATCGTCAACCTCCTCCACCGACGAGACATCCGCCGAGGCGTGTACGACCATACTGTCGAGCGAAAGGAAGAAGAGTCCATCGGAGGTAACGTTAGCACGAGTGAGGGGGAGCAAGGCGCAGTGGCAGGGGAGGATTACAAAGAGGATGTCAAGAGTGAAGCTGTCTTGCATGGGGGACAGACGACTACGAATGTGCTCTCTCGTTGAGGAGACTTGACCCATCGTCTTATTCTGTCGGTATTGTAGAGGGGTATGACCTTGTTTTTGATATCGTTCTGGATCTTATAGATAATAATCCTCCTTGTTTCATTGTTCGTGTCATAGATGACTGTATGAATCAGCGATGTAGGTGTTGACGAACGATGGGTCGATGGCGAGGCCCTCGTGATTCCATCGGAAGAAGACTATGCTGTGCTGATGGACACCGCATCCTCGTGTTCTTCAGTCTTGTCACGCGCAGCGTCGAGAAGGTGTCACCTTGCTTCTTTCTCGCCAAGATTGACTTACCCACGCGAGGCTCAGATTCCGAACGGCCCGCTATAAAGCGTATGATCTTTCCAGCTCTTCCTCCCTTCTGTCTCTTCCTCATTCTGTTCATCACACCTCTTCACTATGCGCTTCATCACCTTCACCTTCTTCACCCTCATCGGCATCACTACGGCACTTGCTGCTCCAGCCCAGCTCACTGCAAGGGATCCACCTCCCAGGACCATCACCCCTTGGCAGCCCAGCGTCCGCGCTGTGTTGGACAACCCCCTTCCTCTTGCCTTGTAGAAGGGTTTTCCAACCGATCTCTTGACTATGGCTACTTTCAGTGAGTAAGCTACGTTTTTGAAACTCTGTACACGACAATGTGCCGTGCTTGGTATTGATCTGGCCCTCAGCGTATTCATATCTCGTCACGTTACCCGAAAGTCTTGGTTCTGGTGGTGTGTTTCTTCAATCGTTTCTGTATACAGGTATTCATGAATAGGTATCAATGCTGCACATTATATAAAAGTACTATTGAGGGTGTTCAAACCTCAGTCAAGCATGTCCCAGTGCATACATAATGCAGACACGTTCGGCCGGTTGCCTTGGGTCAGATTGACGAGCGAAGGGCTGCCTACGTCGTTCAACTGGACGTTGGTGAGCGATGAATACTGAAACTGCTTGGGACATCAATGAGCCACACAATACAACATGCATAGATCACATGTCGCGTCAGCACAAAATGAGATAACAACAGCAGACGGGGTACCATGTTGGCTCGCGTCGATGTAAGATTCCAGACCCTATACCTCGCAAAGCCGTATATTCTCTTACACCCAGTCAAGGAGTCAAGGTGAGCTGTCGGTATATATCAACAGACTGATTAAAAATGTTCCTCTACGATCGACTTATCAGCGCTGAGACCCCACAGAGAGATTAAGGTTACCCCGCAGCGGGAAGCGGAGCAAACGAGGTCATATTCGGGCCTCGTCGCGCTCTGATAGCTGCTACCGCAATATTGGCAGGTGTATTGCCACATGGCTGTTACAACTAAGCAGTATAGTAAGGGAAGCTCCCGCAACCTTAGTGACTTATAGTCCAAGGCAGATTATGATATGTTGAGTAGTGGCGATCCACGTAAGCCATCCTACCGGTCTCTTCGTGGCGGTTTTGTAGACATGACATCTCCTGCGATGACTCGAGAGAAGCGTCAGAAGTCAATATCATGTCATGAGTCTTGGGGCGCTCTGCCTTACTGGCAGCAGACGTAAGCTGACGATTCCTCAACAGACCCAAACAACAAGCTCAGTTCGTGTGGGAGACGAACAATTGTCCTCCCCCTCGCGTTGGGAATGACGATGGTGAAAGCGCTGAACAATAAGCCTCGAGGGCTGAACGGGCAAGCTCTCAAGGGGATAGCCACAGCCTGCTGCTCCCACCTCGTAATAGACAAAAAGACGAGATTCAGCCATTTATGTCGACCACCAACCTCATTAGCGTGTATGAATGATGTCAGATCGTACGCACCGGCACCAAAATAAGGTCGTCAGCCACACGTGGGTCATTTTCCGAAACGCCTCTTACGCTGAGCATGACGACCAACGCCCTCGAGGCTACTGGCTGCTGGCCGTACTTCTTGCAGTGATAGCGCGACGGGGCGTAATTCGAGATAGTCGCAGGGCATGATACATTATGCACTCGCAAAATCGCCTCGTTGGCTGACGTTGTAAAAGTTCATATTGTAAGGGTTCAGATGGGTTACTCTCTCCTCTTGGTCATTTGTGCCGCTACAGTGTGTCATGAAATCCCAGATCAAAATGACGGAATATCGAGCATGATCAACAGAGCGATCAACGCCATTACATGGCACATATGAGTGATGCTCCCGAGAAAGTGATAACGGCTTTCCTCTATTATTTCACGTACGTCGAAGTTGACGCTCGACATCAATAGTCTGGTCAAATATCATCTCCTACATCCGATGTAAGCACAAGAGCTTAGCATCATACGAAGACGAGTAAGACAAGTTGCGTGGTAATTATTCAGTAGAAAGATCAACAACCAGTGATGACGCAACGACGTGAAGGTAAGTAACCTACCTTGCAGTTTTGCACGATGCAGACGGCGGAACAAGTCGGGCGGATCACTTGCTGGTAAGCGTGGCCGCACTTGTGGCACGAGTAATAGAACCTGATGACGAGGGCCGGGAAACTAGCAGTACGTTTATCTGAGATTGTATTATTTGCAGCTGACAACAAGTGGCGACAAGGGTATGGAAAGCGTTTACGACTAAATACCATGACAGCATCATAGGGGGCTGACTATATACAGTCCAAGACATATCATGCCCGACTGACGATTTTGACTGTCTACTGCCTGCAGACTTGTGCATTCTCATGGGTCTTCTGCCAATCTCGCGTAGTGGGAGCCATGACGCAGTGCTAATACAAGCGCGATGGGAGGCATTTGGGGGGGTGGCCTCTCCACAGCGACAGCAAAAGATATCGTGTTGTTGGATTATGGTCCTCGGGGACGTACTTCTATGAAACGCAGCTATCTTCTTTCAACAGGACGCTATGTGCGTGTTGACTGCTCGGGGGCTCCCTCTTTTTGTTCTGACATGTCTCTTGCTGTATAAAATCATTAGAAGCTACAAGCCACTAAATGCTGCCTCAAGCAAAGTTTGCCAAAGCGATATCGCGTCGCGTTGCCAGATCCACCGTCTTCCGAGTTTGCTGATCCGCTATCTGACCAGAATGATTGTATGATGTGCCAACGTGCTCATTCTGCATGCAAACAAGCCAGTCACCGAGGCTTCTCTTCACTGGGTCACCACCAGTATTTTCTGCGTATATAGCCTTGCTGCGGCGATAGTGGACTGCATAAACATAATTCAAAACGCAGCTACATGTGGGTTTATCCACTCTTTCCAGTGTCCATCATTTCAATCTCTTCCCCTTCCTTGGCTTCTTCGCTCCTATCTCCACGGCCTCCCTTTCTGGCAAACATTCGTCGTTGCACCAACTTGAACAAATCGACAACGTCAAACCCGGGAAACGTCATCGGGAAAGGCGGGAGCTGGTAAGCCAGAGACGTAGTAGATGTAGTAGAGGCGAGGCTGGATCCATCATGTCAGTACAATGTGATGTGTGTGTTGATGGTGGATGGCGTACCTGTCTGATGAGGATGACCTCGAAATAAATGTCGAGATCTCATCAGCCTTCGGGCTTGACCGATTCAAAGATAGCTGTTGTTTCTCTGCCGGAGAAGAAGGTACCGAGACACTGTATACTTATGTCAGTACCGAGTCCAGACAGCTGCACAAGAAGTGTACTACTTGGAGACGCAGGATGGTTTCCCAGGCAGTTGATGATGGTGAGAAGCCCACAATATCGTCATGGTGTGAGGAAGCATTGTGATATGTTGTAATCTGTTCTGGTGTCTGTGAGATGTGATAGAGGGAGATCTAACATCATGAACAATTGCCCCTCTTGTAGCCGGAATATGGATACAGTCGGAGTAGACGGATATCAAGCGGATACACTTTCCCATCCGCAGACGGAGTTGTTGAGCGACGCACGAGGCAATAATATCTGTCGTGTGTCATTTGATGCCATTTGATATTTCAAGTCCAGGGCGCAGCTATAACAGCTATGCACAACTTGGCTCTTCCAGAGTTCAGAGATGCATACCTCCAGCATACCTCGTGTACAAGTATATCGCAGCGCAGCAGCATTTGTTTGTCCCCACCTGTTTACGTAAGTGTTCCTGGAGCAGTTGCAATTTCGGTTTTGCGCGACGCTCGCCATCTCCCCTTACATCCATAACGACTCGCTTGACGCTCCCCTATGGCCCCCCGGATGGAGTCCTCCCCGCTCCTCCCCAAGATGCCCGCCCCTGCAAACATCTGGGTAGCCTATAACCTCAACAGGTACCTCGTCGGCGTCGGCCTGCTTCTCGGCGTGGTAGTCGTGAGTACCGACGCGATACGAGTCAGATCGCAGCTAACACGGAAACGTAACAGCTTTGGACAGCATCGAACTTTATCACGGCGGGGCTCGAGACGGGAGACGATGCTTACAACAAGCCCTTCTTGTGCGTACATGTCTCGTACCATCCTAATCTTGCTTATCGTCTCGCAGAATAACGTACTTTAACACGGCGTCCTTTACCGTCTACCTCATTCCGACAATGTGGAGACGGTATAGAAACCGTAATGTGCTTCAAGAGGATACCCACCCCACGCCCAGCGCGGGCTACCTCTCTCTACCCGCTTCGCCCTCCCTCCGACGGAGCATCTCGCTTCCCCGATCCGGCGCCTTCCCCCGCTCAAGATCCGCCTCTCCTTCTGCCCGCCTCATCCCCCTCCCCGACTCTCTCAACCCCGCCCACCCATCATTCGACCAAGATCGCCCTCCTCTTCCTTCTGAGGAAGGCGTGACCGTCCATGTCTTGCCAAAATTGACGGTGAGAGAGACGGCAGAGATCGCGGCTTGGTGGAGTGTTGTTTGGTTCGTGGCGAATTGGGCGGTGAATGCGAGTCTGGCATGGACAAGTGTTGCGAGTGTCACCATTTTGAGTAGTACAAGTGGTGCGTCTCCATATCCATATCTTGATCAGCGCTGATACCAAGCAGGCTTCTTCACTCTGGCTCTTGGAAGAATATGCGGCGTCGAATCATTAACAACAACAAAGCTTTTTGCCGTCCTTGCTTCCTTCCTCGGTGTCATCCTCGTGACCCACTCCGACTCTACCATCTCTCCATCCTCCGACCCCAGCTTCCCTCTTCCCATCGACAAACCCACCCACCCAATCTTTGGCGACGCCCTAGCCCTGACATCAGCCGCCTTCTACGCCATCTATGTCATCTTGCTCAAAGTCCGCGTCGTCGACGAAGAACGCGCCGACATGCAACTCATGCTCGGGTAAGCCTCCCCTCCCTCATCTCACCGCCCGGAGGACGCTGATGGAAACCAGTTTCGCCGGTCTATTCAACACAATCTTCCTCATCCCCATCTTCCCCATCCTCCACTACACATCCATCGAGCCCTTCCAACTCCCCCCCTCCCCCTCCGCCTGGCTCATCTGCCTCATCAACTTCTTCATCACCCTCTCCTCCGACTATCTCTACGTCCTCGCCATGCTCAAAACCACGCCCACCCTCGTCACCGTCGGTCTCTCCCTCACCATCCCCCTGGCGCTTGTGGGGGAGGTGGTGTTGCCCGTCGCGGGGATGGGGGTGACGGGGTGGAGTGTGGCGGGCGCGGGGATGGTTTGTTGTGGGTTTGCGGGGCTCGGGTGGCAGGAGTATGTGAAGAATGCGGAAGGGGAGGGAGGGGTTGTTGTTGTTGCGGAGGATGGGGATGATGGGGAGCGAGTATGATCCTGTCCACCTTATCACCATGTCCTTACAAAGACGTCTTTCAACGAGATCGCTTATCGTCTCTCACTTTCCGGGCCTCGTATCTATATTCCTTGTCACATTATATACCACTACCATCTATAGATTGTCTCAACACTCTCACGTTTACGTCCTTTGTACAAGTATCTCCTTCCCTTCCCTGCTTGAACGAATCGCGCTTGATTTAGAGAAACCGTTACAAAAATGCATCGAGCGCTTTCATCATAATCAACGCTTGCAGTGGCAGAAAGAAAGAGGGAGGAAGAGACTATAAACACGTTATATATATTCACAAAGATAAAAATCCCTACGTTGTACATGATGCCAAAGAACCAAAAGAGAGCCGAGATCAAAACACATCATCATCCCCACCATCCCCATCCCCATCCCCTTCTCTCCATCCTCCCAAACCCCCAGCACCCCCTCCGGCCCCAGCGCCCAAGGAAGGCGGCGCCACACTAGCCCTCGGCTTGAAACTCTTCCTCCTACCCGCCATCCCCATCCCAGCCGCCGCTGCCCCAGGCCTTCCAGGCCTTCTCCCATCCCCCAAGCCCAACCCCAACCCACTCTTTTTCGCAGTCATCATCATCCCTCCAGCCGTCGCCGCCGCCGTCGATGATTGATGCGGCCCAGAAACGGACCGGCCGGTACCATGAAACGGTGTGGGCGAGGCAGCCGTCTGATGATTGTTGTGCAAGGCGGTGGGACGGTGGTATGTTGATGTTGATACGGACCTCCCGGATTTTTGGGGTGGACGCATACTCCCTGCCCCCGTGCTCGTGCCCATTCCCGTTCCCATACGAACCCCAGCAGAAGGCGCCTCTCCCCTCGTACGCTTCGCCATCCCAAGCCCCGTCGGCGTAGGCCCCGGCGCACCCCTTTTCCCTAATACTTGTCTTCCAGACATCGCCGTCGATTGGGCTGTCGATTGGGCTGTCGATTGGGCTGTAGCGCGTGTCGAGCGGCCGACTGGTGCTGGGGTAGCGCGTACCGTCCTGGACGGGGCCAGTGGTCTTGCCGAAGAAGAGGTTGATGGGAGGGGGCCTAGACCTTGTTTGGCGCGCTGCCCACCGACATCAGCTCCCAATTTTTCAATCTCCCAATCTCCCAATCTCACAAAGAAGTGAGAGAAGGAAAGAAGAGAAACTCACCTTCTTGGCCTCCTTCGCCATCTCCTTCTCCTCCAACGCCGTCTGTATCTTGTCCACCACCCGCTCCCCAGCAACCATAAACGGCCGTCCATTCTCTTCTTCCCACCTCGGCAACAACGTCAAGAGTTCTTGTTCAATCTAACCCTCTCATCAGCTCGGTTCATTTTCTTACAAAAACAGCAGACAGGAAAGGAAATAAAGAAGGAAGAAGGAAAGGGACGCACTTTCGGTTTGAGCAAGTTCACCCTCTTCCTCAACTTTTCCTCCCTCAACATAGCACCCCCCCTCCTCGAAAACCTCCCCGGATCCATCGCATTCCTCTCCAACTCCTCCTCCTCCCCCACAAGCGTAAACCACTCCCTCGTCTTTGGCAACAACTCCCTCTTCCCCTCCACCTCTTCCTCCAGCCTCTCAATCTCTTGCTCGTGTAAAGCCAGGAGGTCTTCGGTGTAATTGTCGTCTTGGAGGAAGGGGGAGAGGGCGATCTCGGGGGGAGAGTAGATGAGGGTGGCGTGGAGGCTGGAGATGGTGGCGCGGGCGGAGAGGATGAAGGATGATAGTGAGGCGCGGCGCAGTTCGAGGAGGCGTTCGTATTCGGCTTCGTACTATCTTCTCGTCAGCCCTCCCTTCCTTTCCAACAAAACAAGAAGAAGAAGAAGAAGAAGAAGAAGGACATACAGCAGCAATAGTAGCATCCCCACTCCCCCTGTTCATCTCCACAAAACAATCCATCGTCTCCTGATCCACCTCCAACTTTGTCCACAACGGCTCCACCAAATTATACATCTCCTGTATCCTCGCCTCATGCTCCTCCTTCAACCCCGCCCACAACTCTGTCACCTCATCCACCCACTCAATCAGGGGAATCTCCGGCTCGACATCTTCCATACCCTCCAGGTCGTCCACTTCCGGCCATTCTTCGCTCTCCCCCGGCGGGAGGGGGTTTTGAGCTATGAGCCTGTGTAAGAGTTTCTCGTACGAGGCGTAGATGCCTGGGGATTCTTCTTCTTCATAAGGCGGGAGGAGGTGGGGCGGGAAGAGGTGTGGGGTGGAGGTGGGTATCGGCGGTAGAGCTAGCTCTGAGTGCAGCCATGTGAGGTTGAAGAATGCTTGACAGAGGTTTTTTCGGCGGGTTTCGCGTTCTTCGAGAGCTTTTGAGACTGCGGCATCCAGTTCGTCCGATACCCCTTCGCCCACATCATACCACACCCCCTTCTCCTGCTCTTTCCCTTGAGCTTGCGTTTGATGCCCATTCGCTATAGCCTGCGCTATAGTCTCTCTCGGCTTCTTTCTCTCCCCCGCTTCCCCCTCTGTATGTTGATGCAATTTCGAAGACGATGCTATAGGCTGTAAAGGCTCTGGAGGCTGGAATGGCGGGCCGAGCAGGGTGGAGAGGTGGGAGAGGGTTTGGTGTTGGGCTTGGACATGCGCCAGGCGTTCGTCGTATATCTACCCGTCATATCAGCTTTTATCCACCAGCTAGGTTTTTGAGAGGGTATTTACCCTTTTCAGTTCATCTGCTTGTTCGTCAAGCCGTTCCAACTGCCTCGGCAACGTCTACCAATAGAAAAACATCAGCATTCCTGACCAAGACCAATGGGCCGAACCAAACAACCCACCTCCCCCTCCTCCCCCTCCCTCCTCCCTCTCTCCCCAACCCCCCTCGCCCTCTCCCCCACCGCCCTCCCCAGCCCGACCACATCCCTCTTCCTCCCCTCTATATCATCCTTCAACACATCCACCTGCGCCTCCCTCTCCCTGATGATATTCGTGATGACCTGCTTGATAGCCTGTTCTATCCGTGCGAGGTCTGCTTCGAGGACGGAGGAGGGGAGGGCGAGTTGGGCGTGGAGGTGCCGCAGGTGGGGCGTCTGTTCGTCGAGGTATTGGGACATGGCGCCGTGGAGAGATTGTACTACAAACTGAAGGTTGTTTACCAAAAGTGCAACGCGTTGACGCGTCGAATGATTACGGAAGCATGACGTTACGTAAGGGAGTGACGTATGGAACTCTTCTCCACGTTTATTTCGCTCTCTTCCCCATCTACAAGTATACATTCCCGATGCCGCCCTCGCCCAAGCCTGTCAACATGGAGGCTGCCAAGAAGAAGGCCCTCCAGCAGTACAAGAACGACGACGGCCACTTCTCCCTCGTCCGGTACGTCCCCCTTCTTCTCTCTACGTCCCACTAACACCCAGGCCAGCAACTTTCGCCTCGCCGACCTCATCACCATCATGAACGGCGTCTGCGGCACCCTCTCCATCCTCACCTCTGCCCGTTTCCTCCTCCTCACCTCCAATCTCCCCGGCCCCCCTTCCTCCTCCGCCCTCAACACTCTCTACTTTGCCCACCTCCTCCCCATCCTCGGCTTTGGCTTTGACGCTCTAGACGGCAAGGTCGCAAGATGGATGGGCGGGGGAAGCATGTTGGGCCAAGAGATGGACTCTCTGGCGGACCTGGTCAGTTTTGGCGTCGCGCCTGCCGTGTTGGCGTTCACCCTCGGGTTGCGCACGCCGCTCGACCTCGCCGCGCTCCTCATGTTTGTCTCCTGCGGCCTCGCCCGTCTCGCCCGCTTCAACGCCACCGTCGCTCTCATCCCCTCTGACGCCTCCGGCAAATCGAAATACTTTGAAGGACTGCCCATCCCCTCTTCCCTCGGCCTGACGAGCTTGATGGCTTATTGGGTCAAGCAGGGATGGTTCGAGACTGGTTTGAAGGGGGCGGGACTGCCGTTGGGTGTTGTGAGGCTTTGGGGGGAGGAAGGGGGGTGGGGAGAGGTGCATCTTGTGGCGGGGGTGTTTGCGATTTGGGGTGCGACGATGGTCAGCAAGACTCTCCGCGTACGTCCCTCCTCTTCCCCTCTTCTTTCACTAACCCCCATGCAGGTTCCCAAACTATAAGCCGTGTACAAAATGAAGAGTATCTTGTTCAACCGGGTCATATATACACGTCTTGTTTCGCGTTCGCATGCAGTATTATGAAAAAGTCAATCGCTTTGTATCATACCCGTTCCTTGGCTGGGAAAAGAGCGCCGAGCTTGGTGCTAGTGTATCTGAGAAGCGCCGAGAGCGCTTTCGGCTTCTCCTGTCCCCAGTCTATACCCCCAGGCCCCACGTGGCAGGGTTAGGCATGTAAAGTATGTAGTGTGTAGTGCATACATAGCACAAGTGACGAGTGATCGAGATTCCGAAAACACAAAAATCATCTCACTCGGCACTTACCAAGCCCCCAACCATGCCCCAATGACACCCCCCGCCCCCGCCCCCTCCACCCTCCCTCCAGCATGCCCTCTCTCCACACCCCCACCCTCGCCCTCGCTTTCTCCATCTTGCTCGGCACCGCCTGCCTCCCAACACTCGTCCTCGCCGACGGCCCCCAGTTCACCTTCCAATGGCCAAACACGACGCATGAATGCGATGTTATCGAGCTTACTTGGTCGGGCGGCACGGCGCCGTTTGAGGTTTGGGTCATGTACGTCCCCTTTCCTTCTCTTTCTTCTCTTTCTTCTGGTTCTTGTTCTTGTTGTTCGCTTTCTTTATCCCCTTTTGTTCTTCTTCTCTTTCTTCATAGTGGAGATGGGACAGAAGGTCGGAGAGTCGGAAAAGTCAAAGCTTTATATCAAATTCCTTATCCTTATCCGCAGTCCAGTCTTCGCCCCCTTTGATCTTGATCAAGAACACAGAACGCGGACCGGACGCTGACATTTTTGGACCTTCAGACCGGTATTCGGCCAACCATTCATCTACTCCATCCCAGACTCGTACTATGTCGATGGACGAGGTTCGTATCCCGTACGTCCTTCTCTCTCTCTCTCTCTCTCTCTCTGCAGTTTCTGTGTTGTACAGTTATCGTGAGGGGTGAGAGCTTCTTTCAGTAAGAGGCGTTACATACACTCCTTACAAGTTATGCGATGAGAATAGATGGGGGGGTAAGCAGCGCTGACACCTGAGCATGCAGATCGAGCTCCAAATCAGCAATGGCTACATCTATACTGTTATGATGAGTGATGCCAATGGTATCGGTACCGGTACGCCTCCCCCCCTCCTTCTCCCTCTCCCCTTCTCCCATATCCACAAGCTGATCTTTGATAGGAGGTACATCCGAAGCATCCATCGTCCAACCCCTCCTCAACACCACCTCCACCTCCCCCAACACCACAACCTCCCCCTCCCCCTCCTCCTGTCTCCGCTCAGCCTCAATCAACGCCACCTCCCTCGACTTTACCTTCTCCCTCTCCGGCTCCGCTGCCCAGTGCCAGCCCGGGCTCGAAATCACCTGGACCGGCGGCTCCGAGACTGCCGAGACTGCCGAGATGGCACCTTACAACTACACTCTCGTGCCTTTGGATAAAGGGTTCATGAGCTGGACTGTAAAAGTGCCCGGGGACGGGGAGGGGGAATGGGAGGGGGAAGGGTGGTTGGATGATTGGGTTGTGAATATGACGGCTGGCACGAGGTTTACCATGATCATGTCGTGCGTTCTTCCTCTTCCTCTTCCTCTTCCTTCCTTCCTTCCTTCCTGTACTCTTTCGTGATTGTTCAAGTAAAGTACTAAAACAGCATTCTCAGCTCTGCAAAAGGCTACGGCCGAGGCGGCGTATCCGGCGCCTACGAAATCTCCCCCTCCCCTACCACCTCCTCCAACGACACAGAAACAGACACATCATGCAACCTCCTCCAACCGCCCCTCCCAACAGGCTCCTGGCCCGCCTCAGCACTCCTCAACACCCTCCCCACCGCTTCCCTCTCTTCCAACTCTCCCTCCACATCTTCCCCCGACTCGGCCGCTGCAGCTCGCCGCCGAGCCACCGCGGGCAGGATCGCAGGCACGGTAGTAGGCGTTTTGCTCGGTATCGTGCTGTGTCTCTTAGGCGGGTGGGTTTGGAGGAGGAGGAGGGTGAGAAGAAAGTTGGGCCCGAGGGTGGGGGGTGAGAAGGGGTCGGTGGACTTGTCGCCTGAGGCTTCTCCGAGGCAGGGGCAGATGGTTGCGCGTCCTGTCCCTGTTTCGTCGCTCTCAAGGGAAGAGGAGCAAGAGCCAGAGACGGGTGTGTCGTTCTTCCCTGCTGTTCACCCCGGCTCAGGGAGTGGGGGGCGGATCGAACCGTATCCTCTCGATCTGGGTGCGATCAACTCTGGGCGTTCCTCGCCGAGAGAACGGAGAGCACGGGGAAGGGGACAAGGGGAAGCAGAGCAACAAGAGAGGGAGTCGTTGGTTAGTAGTGCTGGGAGTGTCGCTGCGAGTGGGGCGCCGACGGCTGGGTTGGACCTCGAGTGGGAGGAGGAAGCGATCGCAACCGCGACCGCGACCGGGACGGGGACGTCGGATACGAAACCCCCTAAACCATCATCACACCGTCCGCCCCCGTCACAACCACCACCTAAAAGCACCACCTCTCTACTTTCGACCCCTCGCCCGCCTTCTTTTGCTCCCCGACGCCAATCACCAGCTCCATCTCCAACCCCATTGTCGTCCGCGATTCTGGGTAGTAGTGGGCGCGAAGAGGAGGAGGAAGAGGGAGAGGAAGAGGGAGAGGAAGAGGAAGGGGCAAAAGTAGCAGTAGCAGCATCATACTCGTGGGCACCCGTTTCTCCAGGCGGTATGCACCTCACAAACCCCGACACCTCCACCCCCCTCGCCCCACCACCACCTACCAGAGGTCACCCCCGCCCGCGTCCATCATTACCACCTCCACCACCTGCAGCACCAACGGGCGAACCGACATACCGCCGACACGCCGATGCCGGCCCCGTACCCGACAGTCAACTCTCCCCCTCCTCCGAGAGAGGTAGACAAGGCGAGGTCGTCGATCTACCGCCGCTGTATAGTGAAGTGCCGAGGGATGGCGAGTATTCTTGATACTATGCGTGGATGACCGTTTTTGTGTGGTCCTTTTTTGTGCGCTTGATTTTGCTTGGTTGATTGGTTGGTTGGGTGACATACATGTAGTACGGAGGAGTCTAGCATAGCATAGCATTAACCATGTATTATCATCATTGTCTGCCTCTTGGCTCGCAATGGATAGTTGCCTGTATGTAGAAGGAGTACTCTTCTGATAGAGTTCAAGACACGACTCTACGATCGAATTTGGATGATCTCATCGGCCCGCCAGCGGCCCGGAAGAAGATATTACGTTCTCCGCCCCGCATCGTCCTACCGACTTTAGTACCATTTTCACCATCATCCTCTCTCGCAATCTCCACAAAAAAACCGATATTCATCTCCACCCTCCTCTTCTTCATCGTCCCCAGCGCGCAAGCACACTCGCCCCCCTCAATCAGGCGTCGGACCCCCGCCAAAGAATGGTCACGACAGACGACTCAAAATTCACATTCACCTGGCCCGGAAGCCCGAGATTGTGCGATGTAGTGCCTCTGAGGTGGTGGGGAGGGGTACCGCCCTTTAGAGCTTGGCTCATGTATGTCCTGATTCTTTCCATCTCCTTATCCTGCATCTTTGATTGGTTTTGGGGGAGATGGGAGGGAGGGCCGGGCTTTGTTTGTCATCCGCAGTGTTTGGTTCCCAGATTAATGTCAAAATGAGATATGAAAGACTGACGTTGGATTGATAGACCGTCTGATGGTGAGCCGTTCCAATATGATATCCCGGACTCATATTACAGTAATGGAACGGGTTCATACCCCGTAAGTTTCTCATTCCCTTCGAAATGGCTGTCGATCGAGGGCATGTCTATCCGCGATAAGGATCTCGCTAACGCCAAATCGTCAGATATTACTCCAAGTCAGTGATGGGTATGTGTATACTATCTTGATGAGCGATGCCAACGGGATGGGTACCGGTACGTCCCCCCTCCTCCTCTCCCTCATCTCGTCGAGAAAGCATACTCACGAAAGACTACAGGCGGTACATCCGAAGCATCCATAGTCCAGCCCATGCTCTCCAACACAACCAACACCACCCTCCTCTCCTCCCAAGCCCCCTGCCTGCGCACTGCCTCCGAAAACGTCACCTCCCTCGACTTTACATTCTGGCTCGCTGGCACCACCGTCCAATGCGCCAAAGGGCTCGAAGTGCAGTGGAGCGGAGGGAAAGAGATGGAGCCTTATAATATCACGGTGGTACCGCTTGATCAGCGGTATTTGCCTTGGGATATCAGCCTGGCGACGGGGGTTAGTTGGGGGAATCAGTTTGTCATGAATATGACGGCTGGGACGAGGTTTACGCTTATGATGAAGTACGTGCCCCTTTCCCCTTTCTCCCATCTAGGCCCTAGGACAAGTGCTGATAAAAAGTAGCTCGAAACTGGGGTACGGCCGAGGCGGTGTAGAACTTATTTACGAAATGACATCCTCGCCCTCTAACGACACATCATGCATCATCCAGCCCGCCCTCCCCACCGGATCTTGGCCGGCAGACGCCAGTATCGACACTTCCCTCCCCGCCGCTTCCCTTCCCCCCAGTCCCGATCCCAACACCACCGAGAGCGCTTCTGCCAGGAGAGGGAGAAACGCCGGGATCGGCGTTGGGGTTACGCTTGGGGTTGTCCTTCTTGGGTTGGGGATATGGTGGGGAATCAAGCGACGGAGACGGAGTAGAAAGATGAAAGAGGAGGAGGAGAAGGCAGAACAGCCCGAATCGCAGTACCTCCACCCTTCTTTGTCGAAACACATATCAAAGTCGAAACGGAGTATCCACTCGTCCGCCGGTTCTACCGTCGTCCCCTTCTTATCATCATCTTCCCCCGCCCCCGCTCCTGCCTCTTCCCCTCCCACGCCCTCCCACCTCCTGAACAAACCCTACTCGCTCGATCTGGCTTCTCTTGTGGATATCCCGGATTTTGGGGAAGGTGGGAGAGACGGGAGAGGTGGAGGGGAGGGGGCGAATGCGGCGACGAGTATCAGCTCGACGAGAGGTTCGGTGGAGGATCTTGTTGGGTTCGGGGCTGCATCTACCGTCAGTGACGCTGGAGGCAATAGCGCTCCCAGTAATGGTCCCAGCTCTCATCCTGCTCCTTCGACATCGAACGACCACCGTCGCTCTCCATCGCCTACCATCATCCCATTCATCTCGTCACCACCTTCACCCGTAATGAACACCACCCAACCTTCTTCTTTACATGCTCGCTCTGACTCCCGAGGGATAGGAGAGGACGAAGAACGATCAGATGGAGAATTGGTCGAAAGAGCAAGACAAGCAGAACGAGAACGGGAAGAGAAACATCCCCAAACAGGGGGTAACGGCATGCGCCTCACAAACCCCGACAACAACCACCTCCTCCCGGCCCTCGCGCCCTCTCCTTCCCCTTCCCCCTCCCCCCTCTCAAACCCCACCTCCCGCTCTTCCACACCCCACAACCCCGCCCGACGTCGACCCCCTTCTCGCGCTCTCGGCCAAGGCCCCGAACGGACATACAGACGACACGCCGACGCTGGTCGTGTCTTTCCCGATCCGCATGGTGGGGAAGGAAGGGTGGCAGAGGGGGAGGTGGTGGATCTGCCTCCGCTGTATAGTGAAGTCCCGAGGGATGGGAATTATCTTGGGGCTGCGCGGAATCCCTGAATCGATGTGGTCTTTGGAATTCGTTTTGGAGGGGTTTTGGTTGTTATTTGTTGCTGTTCTTGATCTTGCATATGGTTGATACAATATAGCTTGGGATTTGTTCAGTAGTGTATGTTACGTGGAACAACGTCACATGTATGCTCTTCTGATCTTGGGAGGAGAGACCGATGAACAGATGAGGCAGGACGTCTGCTGTTTGTTCTAGTTGCATATCTGCACCACCCTCTCTTTCCGTTTCTCGTGAGCCTTCGAGGGCGATAACAACTCCATTCAAAACTGCACATCCCCAAGTCCTATTTCTCGAAGCGTATATATATAGCAAGTCAGGCGAGTTTACCTATCACAATTATTCCCCCAAACATCAAATCAGTCCTTCTTCTCTTCCACTACCCCTTGCTGAAACGCTCCAATCGTTTCAAAAAAACCCACAGCATCCCTCAACGTCTCCTCCATCGTACGATCTGTACCATACACCCGTCAGTACTGCACATTACACATAGGCCACATTACAGATAAACCACATTACACATAGAGAAAGCAAAAAAGAGCAAGAGATACGTACACTCAATACCCAACTCTTCCCTCGACTTTTTCGCGTCGAAAGCCCATTTGGCAGGTGTATACCCCCCTCCTTCCGACTTGGACTTTGGCTGGCCCAGGGGGAAGAACGAGGACAGGTCGGGTCGGATGAGGTGGAGTTTATCTGTAAACTCTTGCCAGGTGTACTCTAAGTCTCCATTCATCAGCCGTGGCGACGAAGCCGTTGATGCCGGTGATGGCGATGATGGGAACGGGGCTCGGCATGTTGAATGAGAGATGTGTCTGGCTGGAGGGTGCATGTGCTTATAAAGGCACTCAACAAGAGTGGAGGCGGAGGTAGAGGAAAAACAAGAGATGATCGACAAGAAGCAATCGGGAGGCACGAGATCTCATCAATCAACGGCCCGGCCCACCGAGAGTACGTTATCTTTTCTGCCTTTTCGTTCTTTCCCAACCATGCATCTACATCTGTCTTCTCTGCAGGATATAATACCCCTTCTCATTCCGCCATGAGCCTCCTCCGCCTCGCCCCTCTCGCACTCGCCGTGGTACCCATGGTCGCCGCCGCCGACGCCGCCCACTTCACTTTTGCTTGGCCCGGAAGCCCGAGGCTGTGCGATGTCGTCCCTCTGACATGGTGGGGAGGCGAACCGCCTTTTCAGGCTTGGCTCATGTACGTCCACTACCCCTCTCTCGCTCCATGCCAGTCTCATTCGAGGTGGAGTGGATGGAAGAGCTGGAATTGTATCTTTCCATGACTCGCAGTGTTTGGTTCCCAGGCGACGACGAGATGTAGACAATAGATTGACCATGAAATCATAGACCCACTGGAGGCCAGCCATTCATGTATGACATCCCGGACTCATACTACATCAATGGTACCGGTACATATCCCGTAAGCTTCCATTCTTAGAAGAGACGAGGCGTTATGTCTGCGAGACGACAAACGCTGACATTTCGGCCAGATCCTACTTCAAGTCAGCGATGGATACGCCTACACAATCATGATGAGCGATGCCAACGGGATCGGATCCGGTACGTCCCTCGCTTCCGATCATTACACACACTAACAACGGCAACAGGCGGTACGACCGAAATCTCCATCGTCCAGCCCATGCTCTCCAACCCCAACTCCAACACCACCCTCCTATCCTCCCAAGCCCCCTGCCTCCGGAACGCCTCTGAAAACTCCGTCTCCCTCGACTTTACATTCTCCGTCTCCGGCCAAGTCGCCCAATGCGCCACGGGCCTGGAAGTAGAGTGGACAGGCGGGAAAGAGATGGAACCATACAATATATCTGTCATCCCCATGGTTCAGGGGTATTTACCTTGGGAGATAGCGGTGGAGAAGGGTGCGAGCTGGGCGAACCAGTTTCTGGTTAATATGACGGCGGGATCGAGGTTTACTTTGATAATGAAGTGAGTCAACGTGTAGCCACCCGAATGATCATCTCTGATATGCGATAGCTCTAAACTAGGATACGGCCGAGGCGGCGTAGCAGACATATACGAAGTCACCCCCTCCTCCTCTGAGTCCGAAAACACCACCTCCTGCATAGCCCAACCATCCCTCTCCACCGGCTCCTGGCCCGCCGACGCCATCATTTTCTCTACCCTCCCCTCCGCCTCACGCCCACCCAGCCCTTCCAACTCGTCTTCCTCCGCCTCATACTCAAATGGGGGTAGTCCAGCAGAGAAAAAGGGTAAACTAGCAGCACTCAGTATTGGGGCTACGCTGCTGATTGCTCTGCTGGCTTGGTTGATTTGGTGGCTGTTGATGCGAAGGCGACGAGGGAGGAGGATGAGGGTGAGGGAGAAGGAAGGGCTCAAATCGCATTTCCTCACCACCACCACCGCCAGCTCTAGCATCATCTCGCCCTTCTCTCCTTCTTCTTCTTCAGCTACGACCCCAGCCACAAATTTGTACCCCCTCGACCTCGCTTCGAGCTCGGGGGAGAGCGTGGTCGCTAGTAATACGCCATCAGTAGGTATCGGGAAGCTCGATACTGGGCGGGGATCATCGCCTATCGGAGCGCGAGATCGTTCTTTTTCTCCAGCCTCTCATCAAAGGAGTACATCGCTTCATACTCTATCAGATTCGCAGCAGATGGCAGAGGGACAAAACGAAGGAAGCCAGGAAGAGGAAGAGAAACACCAGTCCTATCTCCCAACCCCCACCCCCGCTCTGCGCCTCTCGAACCCCGACACCTATGGCGATGTTGAGGCCGATCCTCATTCCCATTCCCTCTCTACCATCCCGTCTTCTCCGTATTCTTCCAACAGACGTCGCCCCCTTCGCCCAGAACGCACATACAGACGCCACGCCGATGCCGGCCGCCTCCCCGATCTTGCGGATGGAAGAGTGGGAGAGGGGGTGGTGGTAGATCTGCCGCCTTTGTATAGTGATGTCCCTCGAGATAGGGATGGGGATGGGACTCGCCTTGGCGATGGGGCAAGGGAGTGAATATATTTTGAGGCGGGAGGGTGAATGTTGCTGGTTGTTGCTGCAACGTCCTTGTGTCTTTTCTTATGCTTGTAATCTTACCAAAAAGGTGCTGATGCGCCCCGTAATGTGCTTTAGTGTATATTTTGATATCTTGGTTGTAGTAAGTCGGCATGTATCTCGGTTTACTCCTGAACATGCCCTGGTTGCACCACGAACCCCTCCCCCTCCCCCTCTTCCTCTTCCTCTTCCTTATGTACGCCGACCTCACCACCCACGAGCTCGAATACTCGTACGGTCTCTCCCAAACAAAGCCGAAGGCAGCCACCCTTGCCGGCGTCTAGTGGAGCTGTACCGCGAACGAGGACCGAGTCTTGTTTTGAAGGCTAGGAAGGACGGGTGGTAGGGCAAAAAGAGATTGTGAAGAATCGCGATTGGCCTATCAAACACACATGACTACTCGAGCGCAAGGGCATCACTGCGTTCAGCTATCTCGTCGGTGCTGAGCAGCTCCTCAAAAGAAGACGAACCAGATTAAAAACCCCCCCTGCCTTCCACCCTCCAGGCTTCAGAGAATATAGTACATACACTCTCAAGCAGATACAAAGTACACATAAGAGATCCCAAAATCACCTCCCATCGGCCAACAGTCCGCCCAATCAGGCAAACCCGACACTCTTCTTCGCAGGCTTCCCATCTGCCGGTGTTTGTTTTCCGGCCTTCCTATCTTTCTTCGCCTTCTCCTTCTCCAGGACCTTTGTCTTGGCTTCTTTCTGCGTCTCCCGTCAGCCTTGTAGATCTTTAGGGACGCTCCGCAGAACATCTGAATCAGACAAGGAGAAGTAGACGTACAAGTTCCTTAGCCCTAGCCCTCTTCTTCCTCTCCGCCCCGCTCAACGTCTTTCCTCCCGCAGCCCCCGCATCCTGATTCCTCTTGAACTGCTGCACCGCTTTCTCCTGCTGCACATCCTTGACTTTCGATATACGCGACGTCGAGAGCGCTTCGGCCTCGCCAGAGATGGATGAGATCAGGGACAGGAGGTCTTTCTATTCACGCCCCAAATGTCAGCTTCCCTTCTCCTCAACCGACATGAGAGGACGGCATACCTTATCCTCAACAAAGACCTTTCCTTTCTTCCCAGGGCCTCCAGCTCTACGCCTACCACCATTCTCCTTGGCTTGCTGTTTACGACCTTGTTGGTATTGCGAGACTTTGGGCGCCGGGGCCGCCGCGGCGGAGGTGGAGCTCGAAGCGGCGGGTTCGGGAGAGGCTGATGGCGATGCGGACGGAGACATGACTGTTGCGGGATGCTTGAGGGATGGTGAATAGTCTGCCGAGAGGAGTGGTTTGTTGTTGGAATTGCTTGTGTTCAAGTGTCGAAAATCAAAATCTCGAAAGTGGAGGCGCGCCTCGGAACTTTTCATGGCGAGCGCCGCCTATTCAATCGATTGTTTGGCTCCGCCAAGTAACCCTGACCGAATGGGCCGGATGACCGGCATAGACAACACTCCGCATTTACTTCATGTGAAGTTGTCCCTAATGATTCCTACCATCACCCAGTCCGAGCTGACCAAAAAGAGGCACTAACAAGATCACGAAAACCAAAAGCAAAAAGATTGGTCTCGTCCCGGGATTGAACCGAGGACCACCCCCAAAGCGACTCGAAAATCACCCTAAGAGGGCATGCTACCACTGCACCAACGAAACGGCTATGCCACCGAAGACCGGGATGAAAGGAGTGATAAAAGAAGTACAAACACACCGTGTTGTGCCAATTGTTCTCGTCAGCATGGTTGCCGTTTCTCTGCATGACAAGGGGCCAGTGCTACAAGTGGACTCAAGGAGAGAACAGCTTTCATACGTGTATGGACCCTATCACCCTCTTCCAGATGCTTGTCACCTTCTCACTTCTTGACAAAAGGAAGCTTCCTCGACACAAAACTCTCGACCAAATCACCCTTCTTCTCCACCCAAACTGTCACCTCACCGTCAGCGTCACATTCTTATAAACCTCGTAGAATGAATATCACTCACGAGCATGTGTCTTGCCCTCGTGACGGGCGTCGAGAGCGGCGTCATCGACGTACTGAGCCCCTGTCAGCTCTTCTCAAGTAGGTGAAGTTGAGGAGAGGAGGACGTACTTCCTGCCAAGTAATGATCTCCCCATCGGCCGGGTCTTCAACGACGAAGAATTGCAGGGTACCCTCCTCGTTGGCGAGGATGTCGTCGCGAATTTGGATGATCACTGCCGGATGGTGTCAGTTTCGGGCCTCGAGTGAAGCGCGCAAAACAGCCATGGACGAAGGCGACGTACGGTCGAGTAGCTCTTGTCGCTTACCGGGCTTGGCTTTGAATGCAACATACTGGAAATTAGTGTATTAGCTCACGCGTATATGTTGAAGGCCATAATGCTGACTACAGGAGCTTACCTTGACAAAGTCGCCACGAGGAAGGGAAGGAGTGGACATATTGATTGATGCTTGAGAATGTGAGATTGATGATGGTGGCCGTATGAGCTGCGAGCGACGCCTTTATGCATCCTTCTATCACAAGCGCCTCGGCCTCTGTGTACAGTGCATCGGTCGGAGAAGTCGCCTTTCCTTGACAATCCCGAAGCACGCTGACCCGAACCTGAGAGCATCTCATGTTGGGCCATCAATGCACGACATCTGACGCCTTCCCGACTTCGTCTTGCTTGTCGGAACACATGACTGGCATGTGGGCGTCTGTAATCAGTGAGAACTTCGGGCATCGTCTCTGACGGTGACAAACTACTCTCTCGGTGAGCTTCGGCGAATCATCTGAAGTGTGCTTACCGGAATGCAGACTTACTGTACGTCAAACTGGACTCCAGAACTACCACCATTCCCTCGCATGTGGGATTTGAGGTTTCGTCCAATCACATCCACGCGTATGATTGTAGTCCCGGAGAAGTCCGCTGTGATGTTGGTGGTCGACATTCGTACGTGATCATGAGTATTAGCGATATATCCTCGGCGACCTCGGCTCAGCTCGCCGAGTACGCGCCCAAGGTCTCTATCACATGGATTTGGGGATCTTTTGCGCTGAATGTACCCTTGGCACGTTGGTAAACCCGGCTGGATGACGATACCAGGGGTGATCGTGCCGAATTTGAAACTACACAACAGTCTGGTTGTAGTTGGGTATGCTCGTCTCCGTCATGAAAACGGTCCACCGATGGGCGAATGTAGTCTAGCTGCTCCCTCTGTCCCCTCGTCGGCTCAAATACACTAACCATGTCTCAGCATCCAGCTCTCGATTCATCGCCAGTCCCAGCAGTCGCCCATAACAGCGGAATTTCGACAACAGAGCAGCTTACTGCTGATACACCTCGACCTTCGACGAAGCGCACCAAAGCTACCTTCTGGGTTGCAGTTCAAAGCTTCCTATGGGACAGTGACTCTCATCTGAAGTCTCCAGAGGAGCGACGGCTGCTGTTCAAACTTGACTGTTGTGTTTTGCCTTGTTTGTGTCTCGGTGGGTGACTCGTTCGTCGCGGAAATGCATCCCGCTAATGATATCGACAGGTTACTTTTGCAAGTATCTCGATCAGACAAATCGTTTGTTGTCATTTTGCGAGCAGTAGCATCCGTTGCTAAATCAGACACAGTGACGAACGCGTACGTTTCTGGGCTTCAAGAATATCTAGGATGGTATGGCAATCAGTACACGTGAGTCCGGCGAAAGCATTTTCAACCAGAACGTCGTCTCACTAACCGCGCTTCAGATATGCTGTTGCGCTATATACTGCGGGGTATGCCGCTCTTCAAGTTCCCTCTACTGTGAGTTTCCCGGATGTGATCGTCTAGATAGACCTGCTACAATACCTGACCGACATCCACAGTTAATCGTTCAACACGTCCGCCCTTCCGTCTGGCTCGCCTTTTGCGAAGTGACGTGGGCTGTCCTCACGTACGATACCTTGCCATATCGTATCGACAACGTAACTAATCATACTGACTATCAAGCTCAGCTTCTCCCAAGCAGCCGTCAAGAACACTCGCACCATGTACGCTCTCCGCTTCCTCGTCGCTATATTCGAAAGCGCCTTCTTCCCCGCTGGAGTGTATCTGCTCGGATCTTGGTACACGCCTAATGAGCTAGCGAAACGTACTGCCATCTTTCACGTGAGCCACCGCCTACGTCCGTGACCGTATAGCTATGCTGATTTTCGGTATATAGTTCACATCGGCAGCTGGAACGGCTTTCTCTGGCTACATGCAAGCAGCCGTCTACACAACTCTGAGCGGTCGATACGGTCTTCAAGGCTGGCAGTGGCTCTAGTAAGCCATTCGCGTCTCTCCAGCCTCGTTGACATCATGGCTCATCTTTCAAAAAGTATCGTATGCGGCATTATCACAGCTCCTTGTGGTCTCATGGTCCTATTCCTCCTCCCCGACTATCCCAACAAAGGCCAGAAACGCTGGTATCTCACCGACGCCGAGTTCCAGCTCGCACAAAAGCGGATGGAGAGGATCAAACGGCCCGCCGCTGGAAAGATGACGAGATCGGCGTTTGCCAGTATGCTCAAGGGTTGGCGTGAGTGAGACTAGGTTGAACGATATAAGAACATCAAACTGATTCTGCTTGTAGACATATGGCTGATGCCGTTGACTTACACCTTCTATGGTCTTGGATGTGCTTCGGGATCTGGAGGATACATGAACGTCTGGTTGAGTGAGTTCTCTACGTCTTTGACCTTTCGTGTGACGAGATCGAGGACTGATACGCACCATCAGAATCTACAAAGAAGTATTCTGTCGCCCAGATCAATCTCATTCCCACAATCCTCAACGTTATTCAAAGCGTCAGCATCGTAACCTGGTTAGTACTCGGCGACGCCGCACCCCCTCCTGCCATGAGGAGCTTACCAATACACAGGGGCTTCCTATCTGACTATACCGGCTCCCGTTACCTCTGGATCGCAATCGCCACCATCGGTTCTGTCTTCCCCTGCGCTGTCCTCACCGCCTGGCCCTCCTCCACTCCCTTCATCCTAGCCGCTTTTCTCCTCACCGGTTTCCAATACGTCACCGCTCTCTACTTCTCCTGGTGGCAAGAGATCTGCTCCAACGACCCTCTTGAGCGAGCTGTGGTGGTGTGGCTATCGCTGGGGCTGCAGTTCGGGATGAGTGCATGGGTGACTATCGTCATCTTCCCTCAAACGGATTCACCATCTTTCCGTAAAGGGTTTCCTACAACTCTGGGCTGTGAGTCCCTTTTCTGTTTCTGTTTTTGATATTGACGACTCGATGTACTTATTTCATGACCAGTCGTCGTTGTGGGTCTTCTCCTGGCTACCGTTGTTCATCTTCTCCATCGACGCGACATTCGCCGAGGCCTGTACGATACAGCCGAGGAACGAAAGTATGAAGAACAGAATCAAGGAGCAGAGGTCAATACAGAAGAGATTCCGCTACAAGATTTGAAGCACAAGTCGGAGGAGGATCCAAACTTGCCAGAGTTGGGTCGTTGAACGAGGACGTCGTGGTCTGTCTGCTTGCTCCGGGGACGTAACGTAATACTGCCAATGCACTCAGCCTTCAAACCCACTGCAGACTTCACAGACTGACCCTCATCTGGTGTGAAAATGAACAGAGAAAGACGTATTGTTCTCAAGTGAGTCACGACCCGACGAGAACGGGACCGAGAATGCCAACGGAATCGGAACCAAATATCGTGTGGAATGACCTGGCGATTTTTCTCTCCCGAACCTGTCTGTCACTGAATAAAGGCTACACAATCCGACATGGCCGGAAAGGGCATCCGAAGTCACCCCCCGCTCCCCAACGATGTTGTCCTCGTCATACTGGAGCACATCGTGCTCGACACCACCGCCAGCCCCTCCCATCTCGCTAATCTGTCCCTCGTCTCTCGCTCCTTCCACAAAACAGCCACTCCCCTCCTCTACAAAAACTCGACCCTCTCCAAGCGCAACTGCTTCAAGTTCTTCCGCAGCATATTCTCTCTAGACGAGATAGATCGAGCGTATAGAGAAAAGTGGTGGGAAGGATGGCTCGGAGACAAAGAGTTAACCGCTGCGAGACGACTTGCCATGCTGAGATACGTGCAGAATATACATCTTGCGGATCTTGAGGCTGTGATCATGTGCGGTACACCTCTGGGTATCCTGCGTCTCCACCGGCTCCAAGCCAAATCAAAGAAATTGCCCATGCCACCCACGGACGACTCTTGCGCCAACCGTCTTTTCCACAGCCGCGCGCCCACCAACATCCATCTCTCTTCCAACCTCCTAACCTCTTTGTCTCGAGCAGAGCTCTCTGAGGACGATAGGGACTGCTTCCTAAAGATACTGGATATGCTGCGAGGTTCTTCTGGTATACTGTCGGTCCAACAGCCAAAGAGACGACCCATTGGTATGGCGGCGGCGATCCGAAATTATCTCGAACCACTCTGTCGGCTAGTGGAGCCGCAAATGTTGGTGCTCGATGATGTTCAAGGGGCCGATCTTTCTGCAGTTCTCTCTGTCTCTCAGAGAGGTGTCGCCATTCGCTTCCGGGATAGTAGGGATAGGCGGTCAATGGGGCAGAGTTCGGAAACCGTTGCGTTCTTGTCGTGGGTGCTTTCGAATCAAGATATACCCCACATGGGCCGCACTGACTTGCCCCCTCCAGCCGACATAGGACACTGACTCGCGAGCCCCTGTACTGCCTGGTTTACAATTTCTCGGATGATGGTAGCTTCAAACATCCGGAAGAGGCTCAAGACTGGATTCTCATGCTTGCGTCTGAGGAGGCGCCTTCTCGGTCGTACGACGAGAGAGGCGTGAGGTTGAAGATCGTCATGGAGGGCGCTCAGTCAAACATTTCGGTGGAGAGGATGGGGGATGAACTGAAGAACTTCATGGAGAGCGTTTGATCGAATCGCGTGTGTCGAGATGTGTAACATGCAATACATAGACCATGAGAAAGTTGATAGATCAGGGAGCGTACGCCCCAAGTTTCTCGAAAGAAGCTACCGTATCCCTAGCCGTCTCTTCGAGCGTATGATCTACCACCCCATTAGCCTTTTCACTCCTGTTCAACCTTCTAGCATAAACTCACACTTGACGCCCAAAACCCTTTCACTCTCCCCCGCATCAAATCCATAAACATCCCTCAACACACCCTCTCCTTCTTTGCCCTTCACGATCCACTCTCCCAGGTCAGGCCGAGCCTTACGAGCATAGTCGACAAAGTGTTGATACGAGACCTTGCCGGAGGTGAGGAGGAAACGGCCGTTGGCGTGGGAGGAGGTGGCGGAGAAGACTGCTTGGGCTACGTCTCGAGGCTAGCGAAGACGTCAGTCGGCTATATCGACGAAAGTAAGGAGGATGACTTTAGCACTTACATCAACGTAAAGCGGGTTGAATTCAAACGGCAACTCCCCATCTTTTCCGCCTAGAAGAGCTTGGACGAGAGGTGCCGTTGAAGGGTCCTGGGCTTTCTTGAGATCGGCAAGAGAAGAGAGATGTGTAACCGGGCCGAGGATACCTGAAAGTCTTCATCAGTCAAGTGATCCAAATCGGAGAAGAGGAAGCGGAATTGAGGAGGCGTACGCTCGGTAGGGAAAGTTGCCAAAGACCAGCTTGAGCCGGTCTCTTTCTTGACTCTGAAAGCGGCGAGCTCGCCGTACTTCTTGGAGATAGAGTACCAATGTCCAGAGTGAAAGCTCTTAGCGCTGGTAGTATCGTCAGTTTTGCTCAAGTGAGAGAGTCATAGGGACTTACGGATCGATAGCATCCTCCTCCGTCCACGGAATATAATCTTCAGCCGTATAGATCTTTCCAGCATGCTCATCGGGCCCAGCCAATATGTTGAGTACTCCGGATGAAGAAGCCACGAGAGTCACCGCTCTAATACCTTAGGTGCTGTCAGTATCACGATTGCTTCAGTAGAGTATCTGAAAAGGGAGCGCTACTTACGATCGACTTTGGAAGCAGCAGTGAGGATGACTTTCACAGCATCCACGCTGGGCGATCTGAAGTGATCATAGCTCTTGGCTGAAAAGTCCATGGGCGAGGGCGAGTGGGCGAGACAGATCTGTGACCATTGTCAGTACCAAAGCCGATGAGACAGCGGTCATATACTCACAGCATCCACAACACCCAAGATCTCTACCCACTGCTTCTCCCCGAGCGTCGCCAAGTCTGGCACAACCTCATACCTCACTTTCCCTTCCTTCACACCTTCTCGGAGACCGACGCTCTTCAGTACCGCCTCGCCCTTTGCCTTTGATCTCACTACGCCGACAATGTCCCACCCGGCTCGAAGGAAGGGTTCGCAGATGTGAGGGGCGAGGTAGGAGGTGATACCTGTGATCAGGAGAGTGGGCATGGTTGCGATGGAGTGTTGATGTAGACGAGGCGAGTCTGTCGATAGTCAGCGCTGTTATATACAATGACTTTGCTGGCTCCCCGTCGGCCGCTCTCTGTGTCAGCCCGTCGGCCAGGCTTCGATCAGCTTTGCTTCCGGATAGCGGATTGCATGGCGCTTGTTGAGGCGTACCGGATGCTTTTACGGACAGTGGTTTGGGGAAATGCAGGTGAATTGAGAGGCGAACGGTACATGCCGGCGGAAACATATGTAAATAATGAGGAGGAATGCATATTGGAAACCTCTTGCCTGGTCGGCTTCAGATCATGTGTCAGCTGCCTCAGCGAGCTTACTACTCAGAGCCATCTGTAGACCTCCAACATGACAGATGGTGACCCCTCGAGCCCCCCTATCCACCTTATATATTATCCCAGGTCTCTCGCTATCTCCACCAGCGACTTAGTCCCTTCCTCTACGCAACACCTATGCTCACTCGACAAAGCTATTCCGGAGTTTTCCTCGGCCTCTCCCCTACCGATAAGATCGATGAGAAAGAGATGGAACAGTGGTGGAATGGAGACTTGGCGTGTTACAGTAGAAATTCTTGTTCAAGGTATATGTATGGAATATGTATGATTAGCCATACATCCACATTGTACCCCCAGATGGTGCAATAGCGCCACAGACTTTCGAGAACGGAGCCAAATAGTATCTGGCGTCGTAAACATAAACTTGCCGCCGGCCTTCTTGCCTAGATCATGCGGCTGTAGTACATGACTTACTGTTGAAGACTGATATACAGTCTTTAGCGCTTCACACCTGGTAAGATGAGGAAGCAGACATGTACGCCAGCAGCGGAAAAAGTACTGCCGCCAACGATTACTCCAAGAATAGTTCCGTCATCTTACGAAACCTCGCGCGTCACTCTAGCTACGCGCGCGACGCGACGCGCGAGTATACTGAATTCCAACTCCAACACTTACAACCAAACAAATCGATCCTAAACCCTCAGTATGACAGACCAGATCCCAGCAGTCCCCAACGCCTTCCGGAAGACGTCATGTCCGTCCTCTTGGGACACGTCGGCGCCACCGCCAGCCCTTCCGCCCTCGCCGCCTTTTTGCGCGTCTCTCGCTACTTCCACAAGAGACTCATTCCCTTCCTTTACGCATCACCGACGCTTACCCAACGGAATAACTTTGGATTCTTCTACCCGCTCTACTATGACGACCACAAAATCGATGACGATGAGAGGGAACGATGGTGGCAAGGAGACCTAGCGGACAAGAAGTCGGCAGTCGCCAGAAGGCTGGCTATGCTGGGACATGTGCAGCGTGTCACCTTTCAGGATGATGTCACTGCAGAGATGTGCAATTCTGCGGTCTCTGGGTTTCTTGCGCAGGGTCTTGACAGCCCACCCAGGGAATGGTACGGGTACACATCCAGCAGCCAAGACGATCCTTCTCTCGCCCGTAGCCTCCTCTTTTATGGCCGCGCTTGCACCCTCGTCCACCTCCCCAGCAGGTTCCTAGGAGGCCTACTGTTTCTCCCATTCAACGGGGAGGATCGACGGGTCCAGACATTCCAATCGATGCTGGGGTCATTTGGGGTGTTGTCGATCCAACAGCCAGGAAGTTCAGGGGGATGCCATAGATTTGACGAGTCACGTTATCTGGAACCAATCCTTCAAAGGGTCAAGCCCCTCGTGCTCTTGATCAGCGACTACAGCAGTATCAACTGCGCCGGGATAGTCTCTCCCTTCCAACGCGGTATTGTCATTCGCCTCTTGGGCAGTACTCGGTCAATCGCACAGACTGAGCGAGTCGTGGTGTTCTTGTCGTGAGTGTGCCTTGTTCTATGTGTATATTAATCTCTTACTAATGTCCTGTCACTAGGCGTCATATGAGACTCACACAGGAGCCCCTCTTCTACATTGTGTACAACTTTCCAATGGATGAAGCGAGCTACGACTACAGTAACGGCAAACGGGTCAGAAACTTGATCCTCAACTGTGCTTTTGCGGAAGCCTTCCAATCGCCTCAAGAGAGGGTCGTGAGGCTGGAGGTCATCATGCAAGGCCCTGAATCGAATGCTGCTACAGTGGAGAGGATGAGGGATGATATTTTTGAGTTGATGAAGAAAGGTTGAGGGACAAATTGTAGCTTTGGGGCGACCACGGGTATCTTGTCAGTAGACTGAAAAGGGCAGTCAGTCTATCAACTCCCTCTACTTGATATAGCACTATACTAGCTATATGGAAGTTTCTTATATGTTCTTATATACCTGCCTTCGCATGAGCTACTGTTCCACCTGCATGGTTCTGGGCAGGATATCAGTGCCACAGACGGAATCAATCAAGGCACCAAATCCTTTCCGCGAAACAGCCCCAAATCGTTGCGAACCGATCTTGTTCACAGCTCGAACTTCATCTACAAAACCTAGACATGACGGATGCAGACCCCCCAAAACTCCCATACCTGCCCGAAGACGTCCTCCTTATCATCCTCGAACTTGTCGAATCCACCGCCAGTTTCTCCACCCTTGCTTCCCTCGCCCGCGTCTCTCGATCCCTTCACCGAAAATTCATCCCCCTCCTCTACAAATCCATCACCCTCACCCAACACAACTGCGCCGCATTCTTCTCCGGTCTCCTCGACGGCACTATAGATGAGGAAGAGAAGAAGCACTGGCAGGAAGGAGAGCTAGAGGACAAAAGATCGCCAGCCGCCCGAAGACTCATCATGCCACGATATGTGCGGAAACTGCACCTTGACGACCTCGAGGCTGTCGACGTATGTCATGCAGCTATAGGCGCCTTCCTGGAGCTGAGACTTAGGATCCCACCGAGAAAACTCCACAAACCGCGAACGCTCGAGCCTTCTCCCGGTGGCCTCCTCTTCTACGCACCCATTGCCCCACCGTCCACCTCTCTTCCATCCTTCTCGACGCCTGGCGACCTTCCAAATCTCTTTGAGGCTCCATAAGCGAATGGTACAAGCTGTTCAAGTTTATCACGAAGCCGAATGGGGTTTTATCATTCCAGATGCCGGAGAAGGGACCTGGTACTGAGGATGATGAGCCGTCGTACGAGTACTTCCCGCTTCTGGAATCTCTTTGTCGGAAAATGAAGCCGCGAACGTTGGTGATCGACGACGTCGTACCCGAACATTTTGAAGATACGGGTATCGAACATGCCTTGTCTTCTTCCAGGGGCGTCGCCTTTCGGTACCGGGATAGCGCGGACGCCGAAGCAATCGTGCAGACCATGGGAAATGTCGCAGACTTATTGTGGTAAGTGCCCTTATTTGACATGCTCTATTTGTTTAAACATCCTCATCAGGCAGGAGATGCTGGGACTTGTGCAGAGCGTAGTCCTTGCAGACCTTGAGGCTGTGAAGATATGTAATACGGCTATCGCAGCGCTTCGTGCGGAGGGTCTCAGGGCCCCACCATGCGATTGGTACAAACCGCATATGGACGACTCCCCCACCAGAGCTCTCCTCTTTTATGGCCGCGTGCCCCTCAACGTTCGACTGTCCTCCAAACTCCTCCTCTCGCTAGCTGGAGCGTACCCACCTGACAGAGTCACTCCCACGCTTATGACAGAGGTATTGGGCGGCATGGTGAGGCCTTCGGGGACATTGTCGGTTCAACTGCCGCGAGAGGAGTTTAAGATGCCGTACCTCTGGCGAAAGATCGTGACCTCGATTTGTCTAGAAGTGTACCCTCGGATGCTGGTGATCAATGATGTGGGAGAAAAAGCTCATGTCACTTCGCTTGCTTTCTCTTCGCTGGGTGCAGCCATACGTTTTGGGAACGATGTGGGCGAACCGGAAATATGGCAGGTATTGGAGTCTTTCTATCGGTAAGCGTGCGTCTTCTGAAACGCTGTACGTTTCTGAATTATCTGTATAGGAGGTACTTACTCTCTATAACACAAGACTCCCTGCACTGCATCATCTACAATTACCCACCCGAAGGTCTTACAGAGCTCAAAAGGCAGGACACTGTTGAGAATGCCATTCTCAGCAAGGCTTTCAGCGACCTCCACCAATCGTTTGAAGCGAAGGAGGTGAAACTCAAAGTCTGGATGGAAGGTGCCAAGGAGTCGAATGTCTCGATGGAGGAGATGGGGAATGAGTTGATGGAATTTATGAAGAGTGCATGAAGAACGGGCCGTAGCCCGGTCACAGGCCCCCGTCCCTGACAGTCTGGCGGAGTCCGCTAGTAGTTAAAAGGTCATATATGGCTTCTATTGGTGCTATAGATTTGGAGTCTACCTTACTGGGATTCTGCTCATCGCCCAATGCATGACCGTTGATTGATCCATGACCCCGTCGGCTTTCCGTCTCTTATAAGCGGGATCAAATTCTCACGCGCTCCTCTATCATCGGTGCGCGTCCTTGGCGACAACCATCCTTCTTCGCCTCAAGTCGGAAAACGGGCATTGCTGCAACGGTTAAGATGAGAGTACAAGGGTGGGATCCGTTATTGTAAGTGATCACTACGCAGAGAGGTCTCCCACTGACGCCACCACAGGATAATATGCCAAGTCCGTCCCTTCAATCGCGTCCCCTGTCCCTTTTGCTGACCTTTGCAGATCATATCACTCCAAACAATACACTACCTCACACTATCCACCCTTGTCCCCCCCTTCCTCTCAACCCTCACCTCCCCCTCCCTCCTGACCTACGCCGGCGGCCCATCCACCGTCTCCCACATCATGGACTGGCGCGAGCTCGCCGCCCGGCCGACGGTCCACAAAATCAGCTTTCCCGGCGTCGAAGGCTGGCAGAAACTCAAGGGCGCATGGGCGGGAGGAAAGAAAGTCGGAAGCAATGTCGAGGAGGAGGGGGACGGGGATGATGGCGTGGTAGATTTGCAGAAAGAGAGGGAGAGGGAGGAGTGGGAGTATGGGGTAGATAGGAAGAGGGGATGGATCATTGGGGCAACTTGTCTGATAGCGTTCGCAGTGGAGTAAGTCGCCTCTAGTTGTTGACTATTCAAAGCTTACGCAGTCGCCAGCATCATACCACTATACTACCTCATCCGCCGCCCAACCCACATCCTCGACTTTGCTCTCACTCTCATATTCAACCACTTCATCCTTACCACCTACTACTCTGCTTCTTTCCCCACGTCCTTCTTTTACTGGATAATACAAGCCCTAGGAGCGGTCATGATGATCGTTTCTGCCGAATGGGTATGTTCTTGTGTTTGGATGTACGACTTTATCAACTGACGGGTGAATCTGTAGCTTTGCGTCCAGCGAGAGATGAAGACAGAGCTAGACATTGGCTTCACACCGAATATGGAAGAAGGACGGGCGCTCATGAGCGATCCTCCGTTCGTGCCCTCGTCCCAAGCCGGGCCCAGCAGGTCAAGAGTTGAGGAAATCGAGTTGGCTGAGAGATAGCAGTAGACCAAGCTCATGTATTGTGTATATCCCATCGCATGTGCTCCTTTTGGTCTCCTCCCCCTACCCCCGACGGTCTCTTGAGCTTTATATGTTTTTGGCGTTGACGGTGCAGACGGTGTCGAGGTGATGTTGGATTGGAAGCGCCCGGGAGAGTGTAGATCGGCAGAAGGGTATGCGGAGCTGCTGGCATATCTCAATAACTCTGTGTATGGTGTTAGAGCGCGGAGCATGTGCTTGTGCGGCATGACGTTGCAACAGTGCGTAGTACCAATGTGGTGGGGGGCGCCGACTTCGCGGCAGGTTCTCGTAACGGATACATACATTTTATCAAGTCATAACGTTTACAATTATGCGGCCCTCCATATATTTAGCTGAGAAGGTGTTCACATGAGCAGCAAAAGACACCTTCTTTGGGCTTGGGCGGAGGGGGTCCTCAAACACGCCACAGCCATAAGGAAAGAGGTCTGGGAGCAAGGCTGCAAAAGTGTCAGAGGAAGCCCACTCGCGCATAGGGGTTGAGCCCGAGGGATACACCAAGAACTTCTCCCCATTCTTGATGCTCATGAAGGCAGATATCTTCCGACTGTCAGCAACATGGGTCATGCTGTTGGCAATTGGCATCCATGCAGCCTTATACATCCAGAGTAGAGATCGGAGCACCATCGGCGACATGAGGAGCGGGCTCCGGTGCACCAGCAGAGGGAGGGGAGGGAGTAGGTGAAGAGGAAGCGCGATGGGAAGATGCAACACTCTCGACATCGGCGGCGGCGGCAGGGACGTAAAGTACGAGCTGCCCACGGCAGCCGTAGATGCGGAGGCGATGTTGTCGAAGGTGGGCACAGGCAAAGGTCCGTTCACAGGATATGTCTGCAAGGCCTTGTGGTCGATACCGACATCGCGATAGAGGGGATTGTGCTCCTGAAGCCACTTCAGCGCCGCGAGCCTCATGTCGCGGCGAACTGTGAGCAGCTTCTTGGGGATCTGGTTCATGGTGTTGGGCTGATCGGCGTGGGAGACCCTGATCACCACGAACTCGTTGGCAATCTCGGTAGCACTGAGGGGCAACAAAGGCGCCTGCTCAGAGGCTGCCTGGGGTATAAGGATGACCAGGTTGCCTTTGGAGACATGTGATGCACCATGACCTTGCAGCTTGATGCAGCACCTTGTAGCTCTGGCCCTTGCTATGCACAGCTTCTCGATCATCGTCAGGCGCGCAATCTCTATCGGCACATTGCAGATGAAGAGTCCATTGACACGCGCGAGGACCGGGACCTTGGTGAAGGAATGCAACATGAGGTCGGACTCTGAAGGGGTCGTATTTAGGACAGAAGGACGCCATGCCGTCTTCGTCTATGCCTTCGGTATCGAAGGTAGTGAGAGGAGTGCCATTGGTTGAGCACTGAGAGACGCCTTCGAGCATGTCGTAGTCGAGATGTGCCATGGGCATTGCGTGGAGGCGATGCGACCAAGCCGTTGCGAACAGCATGAGCACACGGCCTGTTGGAAAGCGGCATTGGAGGTGAACGAATTGTACTCCCTCAGGATCTCAGCTAGACGCTCGTTGGAAGGGACGACAGGCCATTTAGCAGCATCGAAGCGATGGAGACACTATACGGGAAGCAAGTCGGAAGGAAGAGCATGGTGAAGAGGATACGGGGGAAAAAAAGAAAAACGACAAACGGGCTCGGCATCACCCATCTCGACATCCACATTATCGCCTTCCACCTCGGATTCCTCCGCTTCATCATCACTAACCCCTCTCCCGCCCTCTTCATCACTGTTTTCTCCTTCTCGAGAGTCAAATTATATCAACAGTGTCAATACATGTAGATAAGAATGCAGACGGTAATGCTCACAATGATAACGTTATTGTTCAGACGTGACAGAACACGGACAAGGACGGAGGTGGAGTGTGTAAGTGGAAGAAGATGCGGGGACGGTGCGGACTCACTCTTTTCTCACGAGCGAGGGGTTCACCATCGTCACGGGCACCACGACGGACATTCGCGTTGGAAGATGAGTTCAAGGAAGAAGGCCGAGGCTGTCACGATACAAGGTCATGTGGTCAGTTCATCCGTGAGACAAGACCAGTGCCCCAACAATAGTGTAAATGACCATCAACGAGGTGGACTGTGTAAGTCCAAGAAGATGCGGGGACGGTATGGACTCGCTCTTTTCTCAGGAGCGCGGGGTTCGGCATTTTCACGGGCACCATGACGGCCATTCGCGTTGGAAAAATAGTTCGAGGAAGAAGGCCGAGGCTGTCACAATATAAGGCCATGTGGTCAGTTCATCCGTGAGACAAGTCCAGTGCCCCAAATGCAGAGCTCACTCTTGAAACACGGAATGCGTCGGGCGACGAACGCGAACTGTTGGAGACGCAACACTGGATTCTGCTCTTGAATCATAATTGGAGCCAAGACCAGGGACAGGGACAGAAACAGGGACAGGGTGCATAACAGCAGGTGAAGAATGGAAAACAGATTTGGCAGGGAGGGCAGGAAACCAAGTACAATAGTTGAGGCTGACAAAGTGGAGATCGTAGACTCGTATCATGCAGCGGAAAGAGCAAACATGGTTTCGAGCAGCTCGGTTGAAGGCGTTGAGAGCCACCGTGAACACGCAGTAGCTGGAGGGAAGGAGTGGATGTCGGTAAAAGTCTTGCGATAGTAAGGCAACCATCTGCCAGAGGTGGTGTCAGACGAAGCCCATGTGTTGAGGAGCTCCTTCATGGCACCGCGGTTGAAAGGAAGATCCCCGTACCTCCTGTATACACACCAAGATCAGTTGACAACAAGACAGAAGACCAGAGAATTTGAACTTACAAAGTGAGGGGTCGCGCACGCAGCCTGTCGCCATGCTCCAAAGCAGGGTCCAAACCTACGGCCTCGAATTGACCAACATCGACAAAGCAACTTTGAGAACAAGTATGTTCACCAGCGGCGAGGATGAAAGCAGCATGCCCCCTGGGAGGGGTATATATGGAAGGTGACGTAGGGAAGTGATGGGCAGGGGCAAAGGAGGATCGATCGTTGTCTGAGGTGACGCAAGAGGAGACGGCAGTAGCTCGAAGACTAACAAGAAGGGTGAGGGCAGAGGGAGAATATGCATGAGCAGTCATGATGCTACGCAGCCGTAAGTCTGTCACTAAAATCGTTATTTGGAGGACGTCCGCCTTTGTTGACCTTCGTTCGTGGTGCGTCGTAGGGCTTGGTAGTCCAAAGGGGTTATGATGGGGCAGATTTCGACATTCTTGAGGGAAGATCCAGAAGCGAGAGGGGTCTAGCACTCTCGGTAAGTACTGGGGGACATTGCCCTCCGGATGAGACCATAGGGCTGGAGGAGTGTTGGTGGGGGGTGTTTTTGGAGGACGTCCGCCTTTGTTGACCTTCGTTTGTGGTGCGCCGTAGGGCTTGGTAGTCAAAAGGGGTTTAGATGGGACAGATTTTTGAGGGAAGATCCAGGAGCGAGCGAGTGATAGAGCAAGATGATAGTCACAATGGGAGGAAGTTGAGAAGAAATTGAAAGGAGATTCAGAGCCAGAGGCGAGCGAAAGGCGGGTGGCGACCCCAGCGGCGTTGAGTGGTTGTCGGAGAGAGTCGGAAGTCGGACGTTGTCGAGTGCGGGTGGCGGTGGTGGGGGGAGTGAAAAGAATCATTGTATGATGAGCTCTGCAGCTGGAGTACTGTGCATATAGATGACGATCTGTTGCGAAGAGAGCGCGAAAAGAGCGGACGCTGAAAGCGAGTAACGCTAAAAGAAGAGGAATGACGCTCGGGGGACCGAGGAGGGCTGGAGGATTGTTGACGAAACGGCCGCTGTTTCGCGCACGGTAGGGCTTGCAGCTGAGGGACAGCTTCCAGGCGCAGAATCTTGCGATTTGGAGAAAGCGAGAGTGTAAGAGCGCCAAAAGAGCGACGCTGAAAGCGAGAAACGCCTTGGAAACGCCAAAAGAAGAGGAATGACGCGCGGCGGCGATGAGCGACGAAGTAGGGCGCTCACTAAAAGTGCCCCCAGATACCCTTATTTTCAGTTTTGCCCACCCCGACGCGCGGTAAGACTCTTTAACTCCGTTACGAGAACCAATCCGACAACGAAAGCAGATCAATACAGGCGCGTCGACACACTCCATAATCTCGAATCACATATTGCCCCTTGCATGCAAACCATCAGTGTCGAGTTCCGCTACACCATAGAAACCATGCTCACTTGCAAGGGTGGCGAGATGCATGAAGGGGGCCAGCGCTCAGATGAACCCGAGACGATTCACACCTATTACTACTGTTCCGCCAAACACAAATTCTGATCCGCGACGACATCTCCATTTCCGCAAAAGTCTCCTTCTTCCATCGCATGCTTCCGAAAACAGTAAAAGTTGTTCACTGATGAGCATCATGGTCAGCGGAACAGGGAGACAATTCCGTATCGCATCGCATTCTTCCATGGCAGCTGCCATAACGGCCTGCGGAAAGATATCTTGCTCTACGTTCCGTCGCTTGACTCTGCTGGTCGATATCCGCCGCTGGGGGACATAAAAGACGGGCTCTGAAAGTTCGCAATTGTCTTCCCCCATCTCATCTTCCCACACCCACCAGTGGCAAAGAACCCATAACCCATACCACAAAGTCACCCAACACACATTACTATCACACAATATGACTTTCGTCATCATGAACAACAACACCAACAGCGAGAAGGAGTTCCCTCCCTCTTACGAGTCTCACAGGTTTGACGACAGCTCGTCCGTCTACGTGGACTATGTGGGTTATGAGGACTACGAGGACGAGTCCGACGACGTGTCAGAGCAGGCTGGTAAGCTCTTTCTTCAGCTTGTCGCCGTTGCCGTTACCATCCTGTAAAATCCACATCAGAGCTGGCCCTACTCATCTCAGCCCGAAACGTCCCCAATGGCCTCATCTTGACCTGCGTCCAGAACGGCAACTGGTTCCTCGGCAGCCACTTCTCCGCCGCGCACACCCACATTTACGTCTGCCGAAACCCCTCCACCATCTCCCCTGCTGCCCACTCCACCGTCGCCTCTCTCACCTCCATCTTGGAGCTCGCTTACCAGCCCTCCCTTCACGAGAGCCCCAAGTGGGTCGCGGGGAAGCTGGAGGATGATATCAAGTGGCTCAAGGGGAGCATCGACAAGTTCAGCGGCTTCACTCATGTTCGGTTTGAGGACAGGAGGGCGTATTACAAGGCAGTCCAAGCAGTCAAGGCGGCTACTGGTACATGCCGCGACCCTAAAGACCGCGAGGTGGAGTTGATCTTCCCCGGGGGTGTGCGTGTTGAGGCATGACCCTTAAGATGAAAGCCGCCTGGCGTCAAGTTGTATATATCATAGTCTCTGAGATAGGATCTATAAGCAGAGATGCGAAGTTCTTTGATCCCAAGCAAATATCCGCGCATGAACTAGGATAGCAGTCGATATAATTGCGCTCGAGCAGCAAAGCCTAGCCTCAATAGGCCAAAAGTTGAAAGATGTCCATAACACCCAAACTTACAAAACTCTATCATAGCGCCACAGCCTTTCAAAAACGGAGTCAAATAGTAAACGTGGACTTCCCGCCGGTTTTCTTTGCCGCAGATCATGCGGCTGTAGTACTTGACTTACAACCCAACAAATCAACCTAAACCCTCAGCATGACAGAGGCAGACCCCAGCAGTCCCCAACGTCTTTCGGAAGACGTCATGTACGTCCTCTTGGGACACGTCGGCGCCACCGCCAGCCCTTCCGCCCTCACCACCTTTCTGCGTGTCTCCCGCTCCTTCCACAAAAGGCTTATTCCCTTCCTCTACAAAACACCAAATCTTACCCAGCGGAACGTCCCCGGCTTCCTCTTCGGGCTCTCTTCTACCGACAAAATTGATGACGATGAGAGGGAACAATGGTGGCAAGGAGACGTAGCGGACAAAAAGTCGGCTGTTGCGAGAAGGCTGGCTATGCTGGGACATGTGCAGTCCTGCGTCTTTGAGGATTATGACGCTGTAATCATGTGCGATATAGCGGTCGTTGAGTTTCTCTCGCAGGGTCGTGACAGCCCGCCCATTAAATGGACCGGGCGCCCGTTGCCTCCTTTTCTATCGTCGCGCTCCCACCTGTTGAGATAGGGCCCCATGGCGTGTTAGGGTCCCGTAGAAGTTTTCTTCCATCCCCTTTTTGTCTACGCCACGTTTCTTGAACTCTATCTATTTATATCTTTTTCGTCCGCTCTGTCTCCTATATATATTCCCATAGCTTAGCTTCTTAATTCCCCACCATTCTGGTCATCTGTGTGTGATAGATGTACACTGTGACTGATACAGGAACTAGGTATGTATACCATTCTGGTCATCTGTGTGTGATAGACGTACACTGTGACTGATACGGGAATTAGGACGTTCTCACCACCCTCGTCCACCTCTCCCACAAATTTGAGGCTTAGCAATTCCCGCATTTGATGACGAGGATCTACGGGTCCAGACATTTCAATCGATGCTGGGGCCGTTTGGGGTGCTGTTGATCCAACAGCCAGCAGATCTACCGGGACTACATTAGTTTGACGTGCCATATCTGAGACCAATCTGCCGAAGGGCTGAGCCCCTCGTGCTGGTGATCAATGACTACGACAATATCAACCTCGCTGGGATACTATCTTCCTCCCAACGCGGTATTGCAATGCACCTCCGGGGCAGTGTGAACACTCGGTCGATCGCACACACTGAGCAAGTCGTTGTGTTCTTGTCGTGAATCTGCCTCATTCTACATCTATACCAAGCTCTCACTGATGTCATCCCACTAGAAAGCACATGAGAGTCATACGTGAACCCCTCTTCTACATCATATATAATTTCAACATGGATGAGCAGATCTATACGGCCACTCTAACGGTAAACGAGTCAGAAACTTGATCCTCAACCGTGCTTTCGCGGCAGCCTCCCAATCGCCTCAAGAGAGGATCGTGAGGCTGGGGGTCATCATGCAAGGCCTTCAGTCGAATACTGCTACGGTGTAGAGGATGAGGGATGATTTTTTTTGATATGATGAAGAAAGGTCGAGGGACAGATTATATTTTGTTGACTGAAAAGGGCAGTTAGTCCATCAGCTGCATCTACTTAATATAACACTATGCTAGCTATACGAAAGGTTCTCATATGATCTTATATGCCTGGCTTCGCATAGCCTTCTGTGCCACCTGCATGGATTTGGGAAAAATACCAGTACCACAGACGGAATCAACGTACCAAATCCTTTCCGCGAATCAGCCCCAGATCGTTCACAGCTCGAACTTCATTTACAAAACCTCGACATGACGGATGCAGACTCCCAAAAACTCCCAACACCCATACCTGCCCGAAGACGTCCTCCTTTTCATCCTCGAACTCGTCGAATCCACGCTCAGCTGTACTCGTATACGCGGCAATCTCGATGATCTCCGATGACACCACCCGTTATGTCCATGACCCCGTATCATGCAATAACTCCAAAACCATGATACATATACACTACGAATATCACAAATCCCTAACTGGGCTCTGTAGGCATACACGCTGCTCGTTTCACTGTGCCCGAGCGCGTCAACTACGACGAGCCCGCTTTACCCGACCCCCCCTGTTCTTCTCTTCTTTCTGTTCTCTCTCCTTCCTCTTCTTCAGCGCTTCCCGGTTCTCATCCCTATACTTCAAATCATACAGACCCCCGCCCAGATCCTCAAGCGCCTTGCGAGCTCCCCCCGTGTCCTGCTCAGGCGCCATCGCCGCTCTCGCCGCTCTAACTTCCTCCAACTCCTTTTCCAGCCTTACGGTCTCTGCCTTTACCACCTCCGCCTCCGCCTCAGTCTGCGCAAGAGCCACAATTTGGTCCAGCTCCCAATCTCGAAGTGTACCCCTTCCCCGTCGGCGGGGACCGAGAGGGGTTTCAGGGGCGGGTGGTGGAGGTTGAGAAGCCTGGGAGGGAGGGTTGGAAAGATCATCGCTGTCGTACGTCTCTTGGGGCTGATAGAATGTATCAGAAAAATGCTTCTGGACCCGCCAAATTAACTCAAAGATTCAAGAGAAGCACCTCCGTCCTCACTCGTCTCCGTATCTTGGCGGCCAGTTACAAGGTAGCCACGTACCCCCGAGTCCAACTCGACGGGATGACGCTCCACAGAAGGCGAGCCCCCTATCGCGCCTGGGGAATCGCCCTCTATAACTTTTGCAGGGGCCAGGAGCATACCGCGGTCGGCAAACGTTTTGATCTTGTCGACCAGTTGGTTCTCTTTTATGACAGGGAGCTTGCGGGGGTTGTTGGTGGCATGTGAGGCGTGTCTTTTGTGGTATCGATTATTAAGAGTGGAAGAAACGACCTTGAATCGTTTGGCCACCTTGGCGAAGCTCTCTTTGGGATGGGATCGTTTGCATTGGACTGCCGAGTCGACTGGATCGGCCATTGTCGAGGTATGTGGAATGAAAAGTGAGATAGAGATGTATGGGAAGAATAGAAGACACGCGCGTCAATCGAGATTCCTACGTCATCGAGATTGCCGCGGATACGAGGAGTCATCGTACTGAAGGTTCACGAGTGGATCATGACCTCTGGCGAGTTAACGCATCTCATACAACTACTCTTACATAACGCTGCCAATGAAAACGATCTACAGTTAGATAAACTGATACATACGAACAATACAAATGGTCCACATCTACCGAAACCCAGACCCAAACCCTCCCTCTCCTTCTTCTCATGCAGATACCGCCTTCAAAGAAAAATTCAAACGAGAATTCAGAGCCTCAGATCCGAAGGAGAAGGAGGCGAAAGAGAAGACGTAGAAGAAAGACAAGACATAAGTATCCTACGGCAAAAGCAAAAGATCATCCAACTGCCCCTCCGCCATCCCCCTCAACACCTCCAAATCTTTCGGTACATCTCCCGGGAATTGTTCATCCAATTCGTTGATTGTTCTTTGGATGAGCTCCATGATTGGTTTTACCACCACTGACGAAACCCTCATCAGCATTTCCACCCCATACTTTCCACGCTCCTCCGACAAGAGGGAAAATAGGCAAAAGAAAGCTCACCATCACCATCACCATCGTCACCTGAATCAAGGCCTTTACGCTCTTTACTCAAAATCCACTGTCTCGCCAAAACATTCATCACCTTCCCCCGCCACCTCGCTCCCAACCCCGTCAAGCTCAAAGTCCGTACAAGGCAGAGCAGGGCGGAAAGGTTGGCGGTGAGGTGGGGGACGGTGAGTGGGGTGGGGGCGTATTGGAGTGGGTTGAGGAGGTTGGGTATGATTTGCTTTTTTTTTGTCGGTCAAAGTCAGCTGTGGACATGACTGGCGGGGGGAGAGAAGGAAAAGATGAAGAGGGAGAGGGAGAGGGAGAGGGAGAGGGAGAGATGAGAGGGGCTTACTTTAGTCCACCGAGCTATCCCCGTCCCTAATTCCCCACACAAAACCTCAACCTCTCTCGCAAGACCGATCTGCACCTCCCTTCCCTCCTTCCCATCCTTCGCATAAGTCCACCCATCCACCAACCCCCTCTCCACAATCTCCTCTATCCACCTCGCCCTTTCTTCCGACCCTTGCTCCGTCGTGTACCTCAAGAACCGCAGGGTTGTGGGGAGTATGGACGGTTGCGGAGGATGAGGGTGGAGGGCGAGGGAGTGGATGAGGGAGGGGAGGAGGAGGGCGGGGAGACGCATGTTTCTGAGTGTTTGTGGCGGGAGGGTGAAAATCCAGGTTGACAGGGCGGAGATGCCTCTTTCGCGCCAGCGGGGTTCGTAGTCATCCATCAAAACCAAAGTCGGGGGCAACACGATTCCCAAATACCTCTCAATCTCTTCTCTTGTCAAGCGGGCAGCAGACCACGAAAGGATATTGCAAACACCCCAGGAAGAGACGTCCTTGAAAGGCTGCACGTCGTGCATGTCGATGGTACCCTCCGCTTCCGAGCCAGCGGTGGCCCTGGGGAGAGGGCGGGAGGCGGAGGAGAGGGAGGGGTGGGGCGCGAAGGAGGGGCGGAGGGATTGGAGGAGGGTGAGGGGGAGGGATTTGGGGAGGTGGGGTTGTATACCTGTTTTTTTTTATCGTCAGCGGATGTCCGCAAGGGGAGAGAAGGGGTTAGGAGGGGGCTTACTGTCAATTTCACGCCGTATGCTAGGGGAAGACCAGGGATCGTCCCCGGAGAGTCGGATGATAGGGCCGAGTAGCTGGGCTTGTTGCTCTGCCGAAACGTCGTCCCAACCCCAATCTTCATCTACTTTTGTGATTTGGGTGGATATTTGTTTGATGGAGAGGAATGTTGTGGAAGCGTATTGGCTGAGGGCAAATTCGTCTACAAGGATGTAAGTATGTACTACTGAAAGAAGAAGAAGAACGTACCTGTTTGATTAAAGACATTTACAGGCAAGTCGAGCCCTTTTACAAGAGCTCGCAGCGATGCCAGCAGCTCGTCAAGGCTGCTCGCTACCTGATCCTCTCCTGCTGTGATATCTTGGACGATGGCCATCTTGATAGAGTATGAGAGGCAGGAGACAAAGGGAGATGCTGCTGAGCTGACTTTGATACGGTGTTCCGAGATTACGTATGCACAGATTCAGCAGCCTTCTTCGCGTGCGCTTTCGACACGTCGCTCTCTATCTCTATCTCTATCATCGATACCTATACAAGCAGGGAGACAGCCACAATGCCCCCACGGCAGCACCCCGCCTACCACGCCGCCCCGTCCTATCCCACTACATCCCCCCACGAGCACACCCACACCCCCTCATCGTCCCATCGCAGTACCCCCGTGTCGCCTGCTGCTTCCCGTCATTCGAGGCATCCGTCGCAGTCTTCGAGCTTCAGTCAACGCAGAGGGAAGGGAAGTACATGGGGGAAGGGCGATGTACCGCCCGTCCCTGCGTTACCCGACTATGCTAGGAGGTACTCGGAGAAGAGCGCTTGGTCCCTACCTCCTGTCCCCGGTGCTGCCGCATACTCGCCCTCGGTCGGCGGCACCTCGACAGCAGATACCCTCCGCGGCAGTACGCCCTACCGCCGCCGCAGGCGTCAGAACAAAGATCCTCTAGCCACTCCCGGTACGCCCGGTACACCAGGGTCCGGGGGCGGGGCGGATGGAGAAGATTGGGCAGAGGTGGAGCCTGATGAGGTGTTTAGGCGCTTACCGGTGGGCGAGGTGAAAAGGATCGAGGCAAAGATGAGGAGTGAGGCGCTGGGGAAGCAGAGTGAATTGAGGTCCATGGTCGGGTACGTGCTTTTTTTCCTCGGACCTGCTTTGGCTTGAATGCGAAGGATGGAGCTGATACCGTATACAGGACGAGGTACAGAGATCACCTCACCTCTGCATCGCAGATAACTACCCTGCGCTCATCCTCCCTCCGTCTGTCGGACAATCTCAAAAAAGTCGTGTCGGGATGCACAGATCCGACCGGTCTGGGCGACGGCGCCCATCGGGATGGGACGGACGACGATGCAGCGTCGAATACGAGCGAGGGCGAAGAGGTGGTACATATGCTGCCTGCTGCAGCTCACATGAAGCTTCTACTCGACGCTCCTGAAGGTATGCCCTCTCTCCTTCTCCCTCTCGTCTCCTTCTCCTCCTCCTTCTTCTTTTAAAGCGCGCAAAGCTGACTTTCGGACAAGCCCTGTACGCATTACTAGGATCCAAAAACTTCCTCCAAGCCTCTTTCCTCTGGCTCATCTCCCGCTCCACCAAAGAATCCCTCTCCTCCCTCCCTCCCGCCCAATCAGCGCCTTACCTGCACTTGTTCGGGAAACAGTGGGAGCTGCTCGCGCCTCTGCGGGGGGCGATAGCGCAAAGAGCTGGAGAGTCTTTGAAAAACTGGCAAGCCGACGGCGAGAGTTCGAATTCGAGCTCGAGTTCGAGTTTGAGTGAGAAGGAGCAAGAGAAGGAGGTGGCGGAGTGTTTGCTTGGGTTGGTGCTGGTGGAAGGGCTCGGGGTTGGGGATGCGCTGGCATCGTTCTTGAACCAGAGGGCGAAAGCCGTCAAGGAGATCCTCAACCACCCATCCTCTTCTTTTTCATCTTCTTCCAAGCGTCAATCCCTCTCCCCTCAAACATCCCGTCGCTCCAGGGCCCGAACCAACTCGCTCCTCTCCCAAAACCCCACCAACCCCACCCGAGAGCGAGAGAGTATCGCCAAAACACTCGTCTCCGCCGTAAAGTGCTTGCTCCAAACGGCCCAGACTGCCCGCGCCGTGTTTGGCCCGAGAGCAAGTGGGAGTGGGGTAAAAGAGGGGAAAGAGAGTTTGTTTGAAGAGATGATCCGGTTGGTTCAGAAAGGCGAGAGCTCAGCGGGCGGCGTGGGGGTGGGGTCGTCGCCTCTGAAGGGTGTCCAAACCCAGGCTCCGGCTTCGAGGCACGCGTCAAAGCACCAAAGACGCACCAGCAGACTTCTCTCCATCTCCCTCCCTCTCCCCGTCCCCCAAGCTTCTTCCAGCACCACCACCGGCAAGGACGCTCAAGCCCACCCCTCGCGCCCCCCCATCTCAGCCCCCCAAACCCTCCTCCCCCTCCCCTCCTCCCAGATCCTCCTCCGCCACCTGCCCAACCCCATCACCTCCTTCACCCCCTTCATCACCCCCGGCCCGCCGGTCGATACCGAAGCTGTCGTCCAAGCGTGGGAGCGCGGGTTGGTCGGCGTGTTTCGGCAGGAGGTCGGGGAGGGGTGGTTGGGCGGGTTGAAGAGTGTGAGGGATGTGTGGTTTGTGAGGGAAAAGGTGCTTGATGTCCTTCGTTCCTTCTCCCCTGGGTCGACCGTCTGTGGGGAATTCGAAAAGACGCTCGAAAGCGGATGGACATCCCGCGTCGAAAGCGTATGGGACGAGAACCTCGCTTCGCTCGTCACCTCGATCCACTCCACCGTCCTCTCTGGTGCGACAGAGTACAACGCTTCAGACTCGGACTCGGGGGCCGGGGGGGATAAAGATCCTCAAGGATGGCTGTTGCAAGAATTCGAGCTCCCCTTCGACAACCTCCCCACCTCCTCTTCCCTCCTCTCCCTCTCCTCGCCTCCTTCCGCCTCCGGTCCATCCGGTCCAAACACCACCACCACCGCCTACAAAACATTCCTCACCTCCCTCCGCGCCCGCGCCCAACTCCGCACCCCCCTTCTCGACACCGTCCTCTCCAAAATCGAAGCCCTCGCAAAGGCCATGCGCGAGGATCTGCTTGTGGATCTGCCACCAGCTTTGAGGGAGAGTTATGGGCGGAAGGTGGGGGAGGTTTGGGGGGATGTTGTTGGGGCTTTGGAGAGGGTTCTTGAACAAGTGGGAGCCGGAGCTGCGGAGGGGGGAGGGGTGATAGAAGGGGAGGGAGAGGGAGAGGGAGAGGGAGAGGGAGGGGGGAAGGGAGAAGGGAAGGCGGGGAAAGAGTTGTTCGTTGGCAGAGTTGCGCTGTACCTCTCAGAGAAGAGTGTGTTCTTACAAGACCTTGCTGGAGAAACTGTACTCGACCGAGGTATGTTTCTCCCATCTTCTCCTCCCTCTCGTATTCATCTTTTCAACTACTGACAGTGGTGTATAGAAAAAGTACAAAAGTCATTACTCAACATCCACGCAAGATCAACACAAACCTGGCAAAAAGCCAGTCTAACCCACGCGCTATCGCTCCTCGGACCGCTCTTCTCTCCTCTGCGTACGGATATCGAAATCACCGCCTTCTGGCCTACCTCCCCATCCCCATCTGCATCTCACGCCCACGCCCTCCCGGCATCGCCGTCCCAACCAATCATACAGGCCCTGTCTGCGCTCGCCAAAGCGACAACACAGCTGGGCATCCCGAGCGATGTAATGGAACGCGTCGGGGTGGTGAGGGGGTTGCTGGAAGAGGTTATCGAGGGCGTTGTGGGGCTGCCAGGGTGGGGCGAGAGGTTGGCTCTCCTCAGCTCCGGCTCCGGCTCCGGCCCAGGGTCAGGCGGGGGGGCGTGGGAAGAACAAGCCATCGTCGATATCGCCTTCCTCCTCTTCCTAACACCCTCCAACCCCCTCACCCACCCCCTCATCCAACGACTCCTCCTCACCCTACCACCCGCTTCACGCGCCGCCTTGAGTGAGTCTCTCCAAGGGATCAACCTCCAGACCCTGCGCCAGAGCCAGCTCCTCCTGCATCCTCTGACTTTACACCTGTCCCCCGCCTCCGTTGGCGTGCCGAACGGACCGGAGAGTGTCGCCAAGGCCGGGGGTGGGGGTGGGGGTGGGTATAGGCCGGATAAGAATGCGTTCTTGTTACGGTTTGGAGCGCCTGTTACGACTTCTGGGACTGGGGCGGGAGGGAGCGAGTTTAGGAGCCCGGTGCCGGTTGGGAAGATTGGTAAGAGGATGGGGTTGTTGAGTTTGGCTGTATGATACTCCTACTCGTACTCGTACGGTAAGTATTTTTTTGTAGTCTTGTAGGTATGGTGGTATGGCGGTATGGGATCGTTCTTTTCGTTCATTGGACCGGTTGGTCGTTCTGACGTTCTGCATGAGCACGATTGATCTCGCTGGAACTACAGTTATGCTGGGTTCATAACGAGCGATGGGAGTGGGCAGGAAGGAGGAAGATGGTGGCATTGTTGACGTCTTGCACTCTTGCGATGATCCATATGAATTCTACATGAGTGATCAACGATGGGGCGACTACCGACTCGGCTGTTGGCTATTGATGAACAACAATGCTATGGCAATTTGACAATCAACTGTCAACAAACAACTATTCAAACCCAGGTCGGCATCGGCATACGTTCCACTTCCCGGCTCCCACTGTCCTCCGCACAAATGACGCAATACAGATAGCTTATCTATGATCTATTCAAATCTTGTCAACAATTAAACAAATGCAAGATGGTGGGAATTGGCCAAAACAAGCTACTCGTCAGCACGGGAACCTAGCGCCCAATTCTTTTGTCCCGCTGGACCCAAAACGTCGCAATCTTTTCACAGACACACCTCGATATAGAATATAGATTGGTGCGGGAGGAAGATAGCTTGCAAAAGACAAATAAGAACACGAGTGACTATCCCAATGCACCTATCTGCACGATCTGCGCTCCAGGTGTCAACAACCGGGACCAAATGATGCGTTTTCGGCGATAACGAATACTAATGCCGTGCCTCCTCCCACGTGGGATTCTTACCAGAAGCAGTAATCACCGGCTCAAACGAAGCCAAAACAAGCACCCAAAAAAAGGGTTGAGGGTTGCGTGTTCCCGCAAAATTCGAGAATATGCATTACAAAAGCCGCTAATGGTGCCCGGGTAAGCCAACAGGCTGCCCGGGGGTTAAAGTTTGTATACTTTGTATTGGCAAGTTGTAATGGATGGTTGTTTTTTTTTGTAATGGTTTGTGGCCGGAGGCCGTTGACCGACGCATGCTGGTTGTTGTGGGTGGGACCGAGCGCGTGCGATGGGTGGCCCGGGGGCATTTGTATTCGTCTCTCTTTTGCATTTATACCGCTCGCCCCATCCCCACCGTCCCCTCTTCCCCACTTACACCCCGCCACCCGCCACCCCCCACTACACACCCCAGCAGCGCGTCGCGTCGGTCGCGTGGGATTTCTCGTCGTACTCACCCGTCTTATCAACCTTCGCCCCAACGGCCTCCCGCTTCCCAGCAAGCGTAGTACGCCTTCCCATTTCCTACCCTCCACCCTATTCCCCCCTGGAGCCACCCGCCTTATATACTCGAGGCCCCTCAGCGCGTCCCCCACCACACTCCTTAAACACCACCACCCCTCTCCCCCAGCCTACTTCTCAGCAGCATCCCAATGGGCAAGTCTGTCAACAAGAAAAAGTCGCAGTCCGGCCTCTCCACCCCTCCCACCCTATCCACCACCCCGCCCAACAAGGCGCTCTACCCCACCATCTCCCTCCGCTCGTCCTCCCCCTCCTCGATCGCTTCCCGGGAGAACGACCACGCCCAAGGCAGCTCCGCCCCTTCCACCCAGCTGTCAGCCCGTTCGTCTCTGATGAACGTCCTCACCAAACCGCGGCACTCGCCCATGTCGTCGATCTCGGGCGGCGAGGGCCTGATGACACCCGAGGAGGAGTACTCTGACCTCTCTACGGTCAGCAGCTACGCCTCTAGCATCATCTCTGGCACCCACAACAAGGAGAGCGTGGGGGTGGAAGAGATCGCCAAGGTGTATGAGGATTATTTGGAGACGCCGTTTGTGCAGACAAAGGCTACGATCAAGCATAGCGAATTTGGGCATGACAACAACCCGAATTGGAGGTGGACCAGTCAGGTGAGTCGTCTCTTTGTCGTGTTTGAGTGCGGCTGACGTGTTGCAGTGGAACCCGAACGAGGCGATTCATGCCGAGGAAGAGCCTCAACCGTCATACTTCACTTTGCTCAGTACATACACCAGGTAAGCGTTCACGATCGAAAAAGCGAGATCACATCGGCTGATTCAGTAATAGTTACATCGTCCTCATCGTCATCGGACACATCCGTGACTTTTTCGGCAAGTATTTCACTCCCCAGAACTATGCCCACCTCATGCCCCAGAACGTACGTCCTCTCCCCTCCCCCTCTCGACTTGACTGACATTTGTCGCAGGGCTACGCCGCTCTGAACTCTGATTTCGACTCGTTCTACACCCGTCGCTTGAAGCAGCGTCTCGACGACTGTTTCGCTCGCCCCACCACCGGTGTCCCCGGCCGTACCGTCGTATGCTACGACCGTGTCTCCAACGACCAGAACAACAACTTTCACTTTACCGGTACTACCACCCGCGCCCTCAACGTCTCGTCCTACAACTATCTCGGGTTCGCCTCGTCCACTGGCGGGTGTGCTGATGCCGTCGAGCTCGCTATCAAGCGATACGGTGTGGCCTCTGGCGGTGTACGACATGACGCGGGTACTACCGACTTGCACGTCCAGTGCGAAAAGCTCGTCGCCAAGTTTATGGGTGTGGAGTCTGCCATGATCCACTCGATGGGCTACGCCACCAACTCGACCACCATCCCCGCCCTCGTCGGTAAAGGCTGCCTCGTCATTTCCGACGAGTTCAACCACGCCTCGATCCGAACGGGTGTCCGTATGAGCGGTGCCGCCATGCGATGGTTCAAGCACAACGACATGAAGGCTTTGGAAAAGCTGTTGAGAGAAGTCATCAGCCAGGGTCAGACGAGGACGCACAGGCCTTGGAAGAAGATTTTGGTCATTGTGGAGGGTTTGTTCTCGATGGAGGGAAGTTTGGTGCCTTTGCCCATTCTCATGGACCTCAAGAGGCGTTACAAGGTGCGTCTTATCTCATCCTTTGGAGGGCATGGCTGACTCTGATATAGTTCTACTTGTACGTCGACGAAGCCCACTCTGTCGGTGCTATGGGCCCCAACGGCCGAGGCGTCTGCGACTATTTCGGTATCGACCCCCGCGAAATCGACATTCTCATGGGCACCGTCACAAAGTCTTTCGGTGCTGCCGGCGGCTACGTCGCCGGCTCCAAAGAGCTCATCGACCGCCTCCGCGTCCGATCCCACGCTACCGCCTACGCCGAGTCTGTCTCCCCCGCCGTCCTTGCCCAGATCATCGCCTCCATGGGCAGCATCATGGGCATCGCCCCCCCTCTCGCCGCGCCCGCCGACGACGATTCCGACGCGCTCTCCATCGCCTCCCGTCCTGCCGTATACGGCCCCGCCCCCGCCTCCCTCCTCCCCCCATGGCTCACCCTCCCTCCCCAGCTCTTGAACGGCACAGAGGGCCGCGAGCGTCTACGCCGTATCGCCTTCAACGCCCGCTACCTCTCCTCCGGGCTGCGCAAACTCGGCTTCATCGTCTACGGCAACCGCGACTCCCCCATCATCCCGCTCCTCATCTACCAACCCGGCAAGATGGGCTACTTTTCACGTATGATGCTCGAACGCGTCGGGGCGGACAAGACGCCCATCGTCGTCGTCGTCGTCGCCTACCCCGCCACGCCGCTCATCACCTCGCGCGTGAGGTTCTGCCTGAGCGCGAGCCATACGAAGAATGATATTGATCTGATTCTGAGGGCGTGTGATGAGGTGGGGGATGTGCTGGGGTTGAAGTATGCGAGGCAGGAGATGAGTGTGGAGGAGGTTATTGGGAGTGCGGAGGAGTTGGTGGCTGCTTCGAGCGTTTAAGCGTCTCTAGCGTCCTGAGCGTTGGAGTTTGAGCGTTGGAGCAGGCACACGATGGACTTGTAGCTATTATTTATCGATATTTGGAGAAGGAGCAGGATCAGGGGTAAAGGGGAGTATTTACCCCGGGAATCCTTCGACTACCGCATCACCCCCCCACCCTTTCTTTTCAACAACAAACCAATTAAACCATTTCGCATCTTGTCTATCATCTCGTTCCCCTCTTCTTTTCTCCTTTTATTCTTCTTATTTCTTTTTCAGGGGTTCCTTATCATGATAGTCACTTGTTCCGCTTCATAGTATTTCCTCTTCATCGACTTTTTTCTCTCTAGTATTCTGCATTCATGTGAACACCTATCCGATAGCCTACGGGGGAAGGTTTGGCATGTGTGTAATAGCAGTTTGAGATCAATATGAATTACCGAGATACATATAGACACCCAACAGATCTCGGTTGCCCCGAATCTACAATCTGTCCCTCAACCTTTCTTCATCAGCTCAAATATATCATCCCTCATCCTCTCCACCGTAGCAGCATCCGACTGAGGGCCTTGCATTATGACCTCCAGCCTCACGATCCTCTTCTGAGGCGATTGAGAGGTTGCTGCAAAAGCATAGTCGAGGATGAAGTTTCGGACTCGTTCGCCGTTAGAGTGGTCGTAGCTCTCCTCATTCACGGTATTCTTATATAGGATGTAGAAGAGGGGCTCGCGCGTGAGTTTCATGTGATGTCTATTGGGATGACATTAGTGAGAGCTTGGTATAGATGTAGAATGAGGCACACTCACGACAAGAACACAACGACTTCGACAGTTTGTACAATCGACCTGCCCCGGAGGTGCATTGCAATACCGCGTTGGGAGGGAGACAGTATCCCGGCGAGGTTGATGTTGTCGTGATAGTCATTGATTACCAGCACGGGGGGCTCAACCCTTCGGCAGATTGGTGCCAGATAAGTGGGCGCGTACAAGAAATACGGTTGAAAGTGATATTCGATAGGCTGTTGGATCGATAACACCCCAAATGGCCCCAGCATCGATTGAAACGTCTCGACCCGTTGACTTATATTATCCAGTGCGGGAGGTATGTGTTCTATGAACTTGTGGGAGATGTGGACGTGAGTGAAAGCGCGGCCATAGAAGAGCAGGCGACGGGCGGGAGAAGAGTCGTCTCGGCTGCTGGATGTGTACCCGTACCAACTCATGGGCGGGCTGTCAAGACCCTGCGCGAGAAACGCAGAGACCGCTGAATGGCACATCCATACAACGTTGAATTCCTCAAAGATGACGCACTGCACATGTCCCAACATAGCCAGCCTTCTCGCAACTGCCGACTTTTTGTCCGCTAGGTCTCCTTGCCACCATTGTTCCCTCTCGTCGTCATCAATTTTGTCGGTATAGGAGAGCCCGAAGAAGAAACCGGAGACGTTCCGCTGGGTCAGAGTTGGTGATATGTAGAGGAAAGAAATAAGCCTTTGGTGGAAGTAGCGGGAGACGCGCAACAAGGTGGCGAGGGCGGAAGGGCTGGCGGTGGCGCCGACGTGTCCTAAGAGGACGTACATGACGTCTTCCGGGAGACGTTGAGGACTGCTGGGGTCTGCTTCTGTCATGCTGAGGGATGAGGATTGATTTATTGGGTTGTAAGTCAGCCTTCTTTGCCGCAGATCATGCGGTTGTAGTACTTGGCGGAAAGTTTACGTTGACGGCGTCAGATGCTATTTGGCACCGTTCTTGAAAGTCTGTGGCGCTACTGCAATATCTGTGGGTACAATGTGAATGTGTGGCTAATCATACACATTCCGTGCATATACCTAGAACCAAAACTCTGTTACAGTAGATAGAGTCACCAACAGATGGCATCTTGTCTTTTGAGGCGAGAAGGGAGGCGAGATCAGGGATATGATTACAAGTATGAGAAAGCGGAATGTTTCAATAAAATCCAGTGCGGATGCAAAAGCGTTCAGTAGAAGAGAGCTGTAGTATGAAACAAAAGCAGTGCGTATGGGCTTATGGCGACTCTACTGACGAAAAATGATGGCTAGTACCGGAATGGTTTGTAGGCCAGAGATTCCACCACAGAGACGACCAAGCGCTGTCTGTTCTTGATGAGCATACGTAGCCACTATCATCCATGTGGAGCATCATATCTACATTTACTCCCGGATGTCCCATCACGCCACCATCTCTTTCAGCTCTCCTATGGGCCTTCTTCGCTCACTCGCTGGGACAAGCGTGAGTCTTACTCGGTCGAGCCCACGCATATATCTTTCACCCATGCTACTCCATGCTTCCAGTATCATCAAACGCCCGAGAGTGGGCGGGGGTAGCATAGCGACATTGCGCGGTTCGTCATAAAAGGGAAAAAAGAACCGATGGGGGTTCGGGTTTGAGAAGTTGTCGATGATCAGATCAACATGACCTATGGAGTGTTCGATATAGTTTCTAATTATACCGATTGGGCATCAGTACCTTAGGCCCACGCCAAATGATACCGAGCTCACCTTGAACACTCTAGCACCCCTGTCCAATGCGTCTCCCGACAATCCTTCTCATCTCTCAATCGCAGGATGACGAGCGGCTGAATACGATAAGCTGCGATGGGAAGGAACACAGAAGGATCCACATCCTCAAAACAAAGCACAGGCTTGCTACTTATGCACGCGAACATCGAACCAAAGTGGTTGAACATATCGGAGCCTGGCTCGGGCTGCGGGAGAGACAGCATGCTGCATTGCTTGGAGAGCTTTGCAATAAAGATCTGTTGCCAAAGCTTCGGGACTGATTCTGCGCTCACGCCTTCGTATGGATTCTGGGGTATGAAGACCCTAAAGCGTATATTAACGGGGACGTCGCCGTGAAAGACATAGTATGATTGAGGGCGTGTCCAATACCTAGCTTCAGGAGGGTACCATGACTCGGGCGGCTTCGCGAAATCCAAACTGCCAAGCGCCCTATCTGCTCGATCGCAGGCCCTTATAGCGAAAAGGTCCTCGAAGACCAACTCCCGACCAAGTCCCAGAAGACAAAGCCTTCGCGCAGTGCTCGATCTCTTGTCCTGCAGCTTTCCCTCCCACCAGCTATGGCGCTCCTCCTCACTCAAGCTCGCCTGGCCGTCGGCTCTGCTGCTCACTACGCTCTGCGTGGGAGACCGCTAGAGAACTGGGTCGCATTTCTGGCGCTGAGGGATACCGGATGGTAGAGTTTCGGAATGATTATCTTGTGATGGGATCTGGATAGACGGACAAAGACTGCGAGGGCGGATTTGTAGGTCATCAAGTCCAGGTCATCCAGGATCTGCAATCGTATCTCAGCAGGAAGAGGGCTGAGCGTTGTGATCGGGTAGGGCTTCTTCGGCATGTTGTGAAGGTGCGAACGAAGTGTGTATTCGAACGCGAAACGTTCAGTGCCGCTTGCGCATCTTCTTCATCGTTGCCGCGCGCCGGAGTATCGGCCAACGTAGCCATTGCTGACTGAGTGCCAATGAAGATGGGCATGCATATGGGAGAGCTCGCGAGAGGTTACAAATGCTCTTTCTCTAGCAAATGATTTCAGGTATTATCCACATACTGATCTCCGAGCTACAGTACTTGTACATACTCCGTCAAATAGAACGGGAAGCATATCCTCTCGCTTTTGCTTGGTCCCATATTTTCATGTCTTACACTCTCCCATGATATCCTCAACTCTTCCGCAGACCTGCTGTTCCCCTCGAGAATTAGTGGCAACGATGATAGACATTCACATGCCAACCTTCAAGAGAACGAGACCAGCTCCTCCCATGCAATGATGGTCGGCAGAAAGGTGCATGGGATGTTGCACAAGAGCTACGAGTACGATGACAGAACCAGATGCGACCAGCTGAATGATAAGTGGTATGTTGATTGACAAGAAATTTGTAAAATGAGCGTGACAAAGCCGTAAAGATAGGTAGTATGTTTTACAAGAACAGAAACAAGAACGAACCCGGCGCATATGTAGCCAGGAAGGGCTCGGCTCAAAGCATGAGCACCGCAACCTCCAACCCCGTCCGATTCTCCAACTGATCCCTCGGTTTCCCAATGACGTTCCTCGCATCGCTCGTCACATCTTTCCAATTCGCCTTCAACACCAACTCTACATCCCTCATGATCTTCTGCATCTGCTTGACTTCCGGCTTCTTCTCAGTAGAGGAGGAAGAAGGGGAAGACGGGGCAGGCTTGTCATATGTGGAGAAGGAGGAGGCGAAGCCGCGGGGGTTTGGTATGGGCTGACGTTCGGGTACGCCGAGGATGTCTGGGGCAGAAGCGCGAAGGGTGGGGAGGAACGGTTGGTTGAGGTGAGACAAGATGACGTGCTGGGATGGAATATCCGTCGGGAACAGTTCCGCGGTCAGTACCCTTTCGAAACAAAGAAAGAGCAAAGAAAAAAACGTACGGCAGTAAGTTGCGCAATCTGATGCGCAATCCTCAAACAAAACTCGTCCAAGTCAAGATCACTCTGATCATAATTGAACGGCATCTCAATCTGCATCCCAATCTCCAAGAAACCCAGATAAATGATAGACGCCACCGCCGTCGCGGGGATCACCACCCAGCCGATATAGGTGTAAACCTGGAACGGGATGAAGAAGAGGTACGCGTAGACGGTGAGGTGGAGGTGGAACGTGTAGGCCGAGGGGATGGGGGTGGTAGCGATCTTTTCCATGTCGGAGATAGCACGTTGAAGCTCGAGGATGGCGTTGGCGAAAGCGGTGGTGAGCGGAGCAGGCATGAGACCTCGGCGAGTAAGGTCGGCAGTGTACATTGACAAGTACATCAGGATCTCCTGAGGGATCTCCATATCCGTCCCCATCGCCGACCTCTTCCTCTTCCCGCCTTTCGCTCGTTCCGATATCTCCTTCTTCTTCTTCCAATTGAACATGTCGTAGATACTCTTGAAGATACGGAGAGGAGGAAGGAAATCCCAGATCCTAGGAGGCGGCGGATGACGAGGGGGCATGAGCTCGATCGTCTCGAGCGTGACTTGTTCCCCGCCTTGTCCCGTACGACCCTGGACTTGGATACTCCGTCTCTGGGTAATAGACTTTCGTCCATCCCGCTTCGAAGTCACCACAAACACCTCCGGATCATCCGTCCCCACATACTCGCTCGCATTCCTCACAGCCTGCTCCTTATACTCATCCGGCGCCGGTCCATACATCTGCTCCCCCATGCGCTTCTCTTCGTCGTCAAAAGGGTTTGGCAAGTTGGGCTGGTTGAGCGCGTCGGGGGTGAAGGCGATGGGGACGGTGAGGGGTACGGCAATGTCGTCGGTTGCGCGGGATGATTTTTGGCGTGGGATACCGTTTTGCCAGAGAGCGAGCAGGTGGTCGCGGGTGATGGGCGGATGGGAGGCAGGGTTGTATTTCGGGAGGAAGGCGATGAGAGAGTAGAGGTCGGAGTAGAAAGGGCCTCGCTCGCCTCTGAGAGCGTGCTTCATTGAGACAGCGAAAGCTTGAATCTATTCTCCAGTCAGTTGAGATCGAAGGGATATGTGACAGACGTACCAAACCGATATACGTCTTCTTTTCAATCAACCCTCGCATTTCCTCCCGCGCTTGCGCGTCATTCCTAGCAGCCATATCGTCCTCAAACCTCTTCTTTGCCTCTGCCTCTTGCGCCGGCGTCCTCCAGCCGTGCACATGATAACCTGTCGACACATCCTCTTCGCTGTCCTCAGCCAAGCTCGAAGGTGACAGGGTTTGGGTGGTGGAGTTGGGAGTGAATGGTGATTTGCCAGGCGTTTGAGGAGGCTGGGCAGTTTCGGGTTTGGATGCATCTGGTATGGGAGGTGGGGCGTTGGGAATCTATTTTGAGATTAGAAAGGTGTCACTTGAAGACGAAGAAACGACCGACATGTATCCAAATGAGCGTAGCTAGTTGCCGACAGTGAGTTGTAAGGTTCGACCAGCCATTACGTCCTGCCAAGTGCCCATTTCAGTGTTCGGCACTTCGACTGGAACAAAGACAGCACGTACCGTTCCACCAACGTGAGTAAGAGTTGTTTGTCTTGAATGAGACTACCAAAGAGCTGAGAGGGGTCAGCACCATTCATGAAGAGCAAAAAATGAGACATACACGATGGTACCGAGCACAGTCAACATGACGCTGTTGATCCCAAGATTGACGCTTGTAAACTCGCTCACACACGCCACCACTGACACGGCCTGGCAGTGTTGAGCCTGATGTCCCATGCCACACAGTACTTACTGGCGGCGATGCCAGTGAAGAAGACCACGCCCGGCCAGATGTCGCTGCAAGGCGTAAGCAAGCGCAGCACATGTACCTCGAGGCGTGACGTACTCGAGAACAGTAGACGTAAAGCGGTAGGCTACCCAAGCCATACCATGCTTGAATGGTCCCAAGGGGACTACAGGTTCTATCATTTTGCAGTGGGGGATGGCGAAAAGAGCGACGAAGGTAGGATACTATATATTCGAAGAGCGATGGAAAGAAAAGGAGGAGACGGTCGTTGCTTTTATAGCGAGGCGCCGGTGCGGGTTGTTGTCGAGATGAGCGGAGCCTGGGCCATTGTCGATCTGGGCATAAAGGATGCCTTTGAGCGTCATCCCACTTTCCGAGGGGGCTGGGGGGCAGAGGCGGTAAGCTGCCGCGTTACATTGGGCACGCAGGGTGGGGGCTGTGGCAGGGAACGAGGTCACACTGGTGTTGCAGAAGCGGTGGTACATGTTGGGTGATGGTTTTGGAGTCACACGAGGCTTCGGATTCTGCACGGCATCGGATGTGGGACAGAGCGTGTCAGGGTCAAACACACCACAGGCACCTCCTGTAACGGCGTCGTTTCAGTCGCTCCAAGGTCTGGAAGGGCGAAAGCGCATATGGCGGAAGATGGTCAGCCATGTATGTTGATGATAGTAATCGGCAGACGGTGAATGCTGGACGATGAAGTGCAGAGGTGGCAAATGAGCGCTAGAGAAGAACCCGTAAGCAATGCTTGTCTGATGCAGACTATATAGCATTGAGGGAGGGCAAGTGTTGGTAGCCGGAGAAAGACTCATTCCGTTTTTGAAAGCAAGTGAGATTTGCAGAAGAGAGATCAAGATCGCGATTGACCGCCGATGACCGCGACGCGCCTATCTTCTCTTTCACTTTGATCCCTGTTCGTCGATGTTTATGCCGCTTGCAAGCCATTACCTCCCTCATGGTCGCGACTGATGATAAGCCCCCCGATATGATGGCATCAAATAATCTCATCGATGAACTTCATGCGATGCGTCTAAATTCATGAAAATAGCCCGTTTCACATTCCATTGGAACGCATTTTCTTTCTCGTCTATCATTTCTCTTTTCATTCCTCATCCACTCATTCATATCACCATTCTTCTCTGCCCACGTTCTCCGAGGGAACCGATTACTCCCACATCTCGGTGTGAGAGACGACAGGCTCGATCTTTCGCAGAGGCGCGTGGAGAGAGGTGTGGGAGGGGACACCCAAGATCTATCAACGCCATCAGCTTGGACTTGTGCACGCGGAGGAAGAGACGTACCCTGGGGAAAGCGTTGAGGTTCTTGTGGCAAGTAATTTGGAACACGGAAGAAGATCCCTGCCTGAACCAACCCATCAGCACCCATTCCATCCACATCCACATCAAAAGACAATATTCACCTAGCAGCGATAACACTGTAAGCCAAGAAGAACGCCCAGATCCTGAACCACCTGTCACCATACTTGGCCTTGACCTTCTCTTCGTTGCTGAGCCAGTTCTTGTACCACCTGTGCAAAGTGGCGCAGTAGTGGACACCGAGGACGTCGATAGACTTGATCTCAAAGTTGGCGTGCTCGAGTTGGGAGATGACCCAGTTGAGGGCGCAGGAGGCGTCGGCACCGGGGAAGACGTACTTGTTCATGCTGCGACACATCAGCACGGTGAAAAAGGGGAAAGAGAGAGGAGACGTACAAGAGACCCCAGTTGAGGTCCTCGAACTGCCAGCAAGTCCTCAAACCAGCGACCTGGAAAACCATGATACCATCGTCCGACAGAAGGCTGTAGATCTCCTTCAAGAACTTGCTGTATCGCCTGATACCGACGTGCTCGGCCATCTCGAGACAAGAGATTTTGTTGTACTTGCCCTCAGCGTGAGGAATATCGCGGTAGTCCATACACAAGATTCTGCCTCGAGACTCGGGGACACCATTCTGCCTGAGACGCTCGGTACCAAACTTGGTCTGCTCCCGGGCAAGGGTAACACCAGTAATGTCGACACCATAGTTCTTTCCAGCAAACGTAGCGAGGGTTCCCCATCCACAGCCGATATCGAGCATAGTGTCGCCCTCCTTCAACTCGAGCTTCTCGCAGACGAGGCGGAGCTTGTTGTCCTGGAGCTCTTCGAGGGTCTCTTCGCGGGTGAGGTCGGTGACGACACCGCCAGTGTAGATCATACGGGGTCCGAGGAACCAGGAGTAGAAGTCGTTGCCTCGGTCGTAGTGGTCGCGGACCTGCTCTTCGTCTTGGGATTGAGAGTGGAGGACGACGTCGGGGATCAAGTTCATGAAAACGTATCGGAAGAGCTACGCAGAGTCAGCATAGTCCAATCGGAGAAGGAAGAGGCGTACCTCGGGGGTGAACTCGAAAGAAGCCCAGTCATGCCTGTACTCGAGGACATCCAAGATATCACCCTTAAACTCAATCTTCTTGTCAAAGTACGCGTCGTGGAAGACCTGCATGGGGATCTTCTTACCCCCAAGCACATACTTGTCCCTCAAAGCCTTGTCCTTGATATCCAAATAGTACTCAAGCCCCCTGTTGGGGAGCGCAAGCTTCTCATTGATGGGCTTGCCAAACTTGGACTTCAGGTACCAGTAGCCGATAGCAGTAGGGACACCGGAAAGGACAAAGAGGAACCAGTAGGTCTTCCAGCCATTAGGAGCGAAGGGGATGAACTTTTGGAGGATGTAGGGGACGACGAGGAGGGAGGCGGCGAGCTCGTAGTTGGAGAAGGACGCGCAGCCCTCGACGGGCAGAGGAGGGTTGGGGATAGCAGGGGTGGTCGTGCTACTCCTTGTCAGCGGGGAAGGGGAAGTGAAAGCAGATCTATAACGTACGGGACGTAAGGCTTGGCCGCCTGGACGGGCTGGATGTCGGCCATTTTGATGGATGAGGAGAAGAAAAGGGCGAGCGCACGAAAAGTCAGTGACAGCCAGCGCGACACGTCGAAATTTGGTCCCGAAGACTGATTACGTAATGGATTCACCGCTGCTGTGCAATGAGGAGACGACGACGAGCAATGATGCAGTAATCTCTCAATTGCATGCCAATAAGACGCTTTGAAGGTATAGCAACACATGTTCTCTCAGATGGTGCTAGTACGTAATGATGATTGTCAGAGCTACCGGTCTGATAAAACAGCGTACGAAAGCTCGGCGCGTCTCGTCATCCCGACATTCCATGATCTCTCTCGTCAACAGCAGGGGTATCTCTTGAATATCCGTCCCAGCCAGGCATGGTAAAGACTCAGTAGGGCCCTCATGAAGCGCCGAGCAGGGTGATAGAACTGGGGCCAGTGACAAACCGCCCTCTTCCGTTTCCGCCAGCGAGCACCGCTTTCGTCGCATCATGGCTTCTCTTGTTCCGCTGCTCTTCCGTTGCATGTCGTCCCTTCCAGTACGCTTCCGCTGCCTCAATTCATGCATATATGGTTCTCCTAATCTATATTTCTCTTTCATCCACAGCTCATCTTAATCTTCTTCACGAGGCCAGAGAACAACAAACCCATACCGAACCACAACCAACATCACCACAATGTTCCTCAGCCTTCCTCCCGCTGCTAGCGCCAAGCTTTACGGCAATGTCAAGCCGTTTGTCTCTTTCGAGAGCACGCCTTCTGTGAGTCGAATCCTCGACTAATCTAATCAGCGGGAAGAGTGACACATACCCCAGCCTACCACACCTCCTTCCACTGCTTCCACTACCCCATCCTCCACTCCCTCTTCATACAAGAGCAGCAGCACCACCCCTCTCAGGCAGAAACCCCACCGCTCGCCACCCGGCATCGATCCTGCCGTTGCATCCGTCTTGTTCCTCTCCAAAGACCGCGCTCGTCACACGCGTCACCACAAGAGCACCCCCATGAAGCTCGAGGTCAGCTACAGAGACCACACGGGCAGGAAGAAGGGCGGTATGGAGGCTATCGCGGATGCTCTCAAAGACCAAGACAAGAGGGGTGCGGCGGATAAAGCTCGCGAGACGCTTGCGGGTATCAAACTCCGCCCTGCGCCTGAGCCTAAGAGGCAGAGGGTAGAGGATGAGGGTGTGGAGTTCTATCCCAGGAGCATTGATTTCTTTGGCGATGAGGACAAGAAGAAGGGAGCGAAGAGGGCCAGCAAGAAGATGAGGAAGGTGTAGGTTTTTCGAGATACATGGACAATATTGGAAGTTCTCATACCTATCATTATAATAATTTGCTACATACCGTAATACAGATGGACATTCACTTCGTTAAAGTAGTCATTAACGTGAAAGATGTACATATGCTACAAATGCGAGAACAGCGTCCCCCCGAAAAATCAGCAATTGCCGTCCTTCGATGGGTCCCATGTGGCCGGATACTACATCATGCGCGAAGATGATACCCCCCGACATGATCGTGGGTGAGTAGCAGTCCAATATCATCCAACGTATCTCGCCTCGTTTAACGTTTACCTTATGGTGGAGTGGACACCTCCGCTGCTTTACCAACTGGCCGAGTGTAACGAAACAGCCATTTGCCCTGGTCTTTAAGAGGCGGCATAATTCTTTTCTGGTTCTTGACAGTCATGTCAGCCATTAAGAATGACAATGGCAAGACATACATGCATGCTTCTGATCTTCTTTGTTCCACGGGATTGTGTTACGTAACCTCGTTATTACCTTCACAAACAAACAACATGACAACAAACAATCCCATCCGCGTCAACTTTGGTTCTGCTTTGGTTCAATTTTTGTTCAACATCCACTCCCACCCCCCCGCTTCGCGATGCCCCCAACGAGGTCTTCAAAACGCACACAAAGCCGTGTGCAAGAGGACACCGAGGCATCGGAGACCAGCTCGCCCGTCGCTTCCAGTTCCCGGCCCGCTTACATGGCGTACCAGACTCCTGCCGTCAACCGCTTGCGACACGCACCCAGAGTTCGAGAATCCCTCACAAGATCAGGGATCCTTTCGAACGACATCACGAGCAGAGCAGATCAGGTGTCAGGGCTAGCTGCCAATTTTCTGCGGAGGCTGTATGAAGGTAGAGGATTGACGGTTGCCTGGAGCGCGTTCAACGGTATGTCAATACCCTCTCGACTGTACTGTCACTGACCTTTTTGTTCTCAGATTGCAAGGTCTCCAACATCTTTCCCCCTCATGCACCACCATTACCCACCTATGATGAGATTGAGAATGCTCTCCATCCCGATCACGATCTCGACCGCGACGCTCTCTTTCGTGCGGTTCGACTATCAAATCTCTCCACCTTTCTATTCTCTATCTATTCTCCCGAAACCGCGAGTGATACGTTTCTCCCGTTCGACCTTGAAGAGGAGAATGAAGAGGATGTGCGGGGGCTGAGTGAAGGTCAGATGACATTGAGGGCGCGGGTGCGGAGAAGGAATTATGTTTGGGAAAAGGCTTGGAAGATGTTTTGGAGAATGGTCGTGCCGGAGCAAAAGAGGGACAGTGAGAGGGCCATGACCCTATGGCTCGACTTTGCTACGCAGGTGGGCATCTCTACTTGATGATCCGACGTCTCAGCTAATCAGAAATAGATTCATCTTCGATACCAATGCCCCTCTCCCACCGACGATCCTTCAGATGCCCTCCCTGAGATATCGGGCATCTTGGATAACGACTTCTTCTCACAATCCGCTCTCCTGCGCTTCGGTCTGTGGACCCTCCCGGATGACGCTGGAGAGAAAGACATCGCCAAGAAAGCACGCGCGTCCAACCGTTGGGAGGACATGGCTGAGAAACGAATCAAGGATTTGAGAGAAATGACTTTTGAAGAGGCAACGGAAGAGTTTGATTGGGAGGACTTTAGGGATAGGCTGTTGGCGTGGGTGAAAAAGAATGTTTTGATGGACGAAGACACTTCTATCGTACGCGCGCTTGTATCGGCTAGTGATCAAATCGCGCTGAACACCTTGCACAGTTTACACCTCCCAAAGGTCGTAGACCATCTCTTGCGCCTCTTTCCTACCGCTCTATCTCTCCCCTTAAGCCTTTTCCCAAACTCCCGGGCCCTCTCAGAGAAACAATCATACCTCGTCAAGAAGAAGAGGAGGAGAAGCAAGAGGATGAAGAGCAAGTGGGCGATCAGGGAGAGGAGGAAAAAGAGGAAGAAGAGCGATCAACAGATCAGGGGACGGACAAAGAAGAGGAGCAAGCGAGCGATCAGAGGGAGGAGGAGGGAGAGGAAGAGGAGCGATCAACCGACCAGGACGATGAGGAAGAAGAGCGAGCAATCGAACAGGATGCCCTCACGAAGGTCGCCAGTGTGGACGATGAAGTGTTCCGCTTCAATCCCGCACCAACGCATGCGGCAAATGGAGTGACGGGCAAAAAGGTGTTCAAGTTTGCCGAGACGCAAGATGACGCTGTGCAAATCGGTTGGGACAGTCAAACTCCTGAGAAGACACCTGTGCCCAAGCGCAAGGTGTCGGGCAAGGGGAAGGGGAAAGCGAGAATGATCGAGGAGAGCGAGGAGGAGTCGCTTCGCTCCGACACAGATGCCCAGTCCTCCCAATCTTACATGTCGGAAGATGCCCGTGCAGGCGGCGCTATGGACCTCGACACCGACGATAACGAAGACCCCGACGGCCTCTATCTCGACGACGGTCAGACAGACCCCCCACCCCTTCAGGATGTCAAACCTGCTCCTTCGGCGCCGGGAAGAACTACTCGGGCAATGTCGAGGGCGCAGTCTGTAACGCCTGCCCCTGCTCCTGCCACGAAGAAGGGTAGGAAGAGAACGCGTGACAAGGAGGATTCCGAACTGGTAGTATCGCAACCCGCTCGGGGCCAACCGACCAAGAAGGCAAGAAGGACGAACCAGCCGCCTCCTACTCTCACCGAGACCGAGTCTGAGCACGAGTCCGAGGCCGAGACGCTCGCCACACAAGCATCCAACCGAGGCCGCCCAGCGCCGGGTACCACCCCTTCCCCAGCCCCTTCCTCACAAAGGGAGGATGGCGAGCCCACCCCTCGGCCTGGCGCTAGACCCAGCGCACCTGCTATCGTAACGAAGGATGAGGACGAGGCGATGGAAGAAAAATTTGATCTCGGCCAACTCCTTAGTCCGGAGACTGAACCTCCTCGCGCTGCGGCAATCCCATCTCAATCGTCACAGCGCTCGAAAAAAGCAATCAAGTCCCGCAGAGATCCTCGACGAATCAACGAGGATAGCGCTACCCACGATGTTGACCACGACGGGTTCTTTGAGGCTATGGATGCCCATGAGAAAGAACAGTCGAGCAAGAGTAAAGGAAAGGAGCGGGCGAAAGAGGTGACGATCGAGCCTTCGCCCCCACCTGCATCGTCTTCCCGAGCTGCTCAACAGCCCGCAGAGCCCTCGCGTCCCGCGCGCTCTTACCGTATTGACGAGGCCGGTCCTTCCCGACAACCTGCTTCCTCACGACGATCTACCTCGCACACCGGCGCATCGAACATAGACTGGCACAATCCTGCCTTCATGGGGGATGACGCGCCTATGGCTGCTCAAGACGACTATGATGCCCAAAAAGAGGCTATGCGGGAGAATGGGTATGGGGACTATGATCTCAATACGGAGGAAGAGGAAGAGGAGGAAGAAGAAAACGGGCACCCCTCCGAGGATGGGGCCTTTGCGACGGATTCGTCTGATAGTGAGGCGGCTTTGAGGAGGATTCGGGCTTCTAATAAGGCCATTGCTGCTCGGAGGCGACAACAAACGCCCGACGAAGACACCGAGGACGAAAGTGATACACAGTCTTCGACCGGATCAAGTCAGGGGCGAGTACGTCTCGATCGACCTGCCAAAAAGCCTCGACCCCTCAAAAAGCCACTATTGCCTCAAAGTTCCCAGCCAGGGAGCACGGCAAAGCATCTTCGCAAAAGCCGCAAAATTTTCGATCCCGATAATGACCCCTGCATGCTCGAGGACGGACAGCCTTTGAAGCCCTTCAGAGATCTCGACGCACCGATCAAGTACCAACCCGACATACCCAGAGCAAGGTATCAAGCCATCTGGACGGACGAGTTGTCCTGGTTGATGTACAGGACTGTACAGAAATGCCCGGCTTGGGTGCGATATCCCTTGCGTATAGTCTGGTACCTGCATGGAGCCGATGGCCGTCTCGGCAACGAATTTGCAGGCTTCGATATGGCCCAATTGAAATCGCGGATGGAAGAGATCACCAACATTAGATTGCATGGCGGTCACCCTGTTGAGGGTAACGCCCGGGCTTTTGTTAAAAGCGCGGCTGTGAAGAAGAGTCTTGGCTGGGAACTTCAGAGGGAGAAGCGCCGCGTTCAGGCTGCCATCAACGACAAGCTTGCCGGGGAAGAGAGTGAGAGATTGGACGATGAGGAGGAGGAGGAGGATCAGGTAAGTCCGCGGTGATGTGTACTTTCAGGTGTTAGACTAACAATTGTACTCAGGCATCGCAGAAAAAACCCTCGCGTCCGGTCAAGAATACAAAGAGGATCGCTCGAGCGCCCAAGTCGACAAAAGGTCGCGCACGCAAGGTTGCCCAGTCGCCAGACTCTCCGGAAAGCGAAGACGATGGGCATCTGTCCAATGCCGAAGCTGGGCCTTCCAATCGTATAGGCAACGGTGAAGGAATGACAGCGACGGGGACGAAGATCTTGAAGGATATACAGGCGGATCGTGATGACGAGTCAGAGATCGATTCTGAGTCGACGGTCGTTGAGAGACGTCCTACGAGATCTTCTGGTCGCCTTGCTACGTCGGGAAACCGCCGCCCTTGCGTTGAGATTCCTCGAAGCCAAAACTTGTCGGCCAAGAAAGCAAAGCAGACCTCCCCTTCAAAGTCAGGAGCCAAGGACACGCAGGAAGGCGAAGAGGCAAATGGGAATCAGCTTTATGGGGCTGATGATTTGCGAGACGAGTTAGACGAGGATGACGTCGATGTGGATCAACAGGACGAGGAAGATGCTGGTGCTGGGGAAGCCGCGGAACTTCCTCCCGCTGGCCAGCACGCACCTACTGTGCCCGATTCCAGTGGAGAACAGCCCCGCGTGGAAGGGACACCGTATACGGGTAGCTTGGAGACGGCCAACAAGGAGGTAGAGGAAGAGGAACCCAGAGAAGACGAGGAACAGGAGGAGGAGCAACCAACAGGGCAGCAACAGGCAGAGGAAGTAGGGGGAGAACAGGCAGCGAGTGGCCAAAGTAACGCGAGTGCGAAGCCCCGTACACTGTTTGGGAGCTTCTTTGGCCGTTCATGATCGGCAGAGATTGTTAGTCGTCTTGTACTCATGCTTGTACCTTGAGGGGAACTTGTATTCGGTGTCATTAGATGTATCATCATATTTCGTCTAAAGTTGAACAGTATACGCAGTCTACAAACCGCCAGCAGGACGGTCCCTACACAGCCTTCGTACTCTATGGCACACTTCTAATCTCTCTAGAGTTCAGGCATTATCCTCAAACCTCGCGAAGATGCTTGTCCCATATCCCATGCTCTCCACTTCTCTCATAGCAGCGCTTAGGTCTCGATGGAAATGAGCAGGCCCGAGCTGGACATACGTCAGCTTGTCGAACGACAAGGGTTGAAGCAGAGAACGTACGATCCCAGTGATACCAGCGATCTCAAAGCTCTTCATCTGTTCCGGCCTCAGATGCGCGAAATGCACTCCGACGCCCCTCTCATCATACGCCTTCGTAAGTTCGTAAAGGATCTGCATTGCACTGTGCCATGATAGTTAGCTTTCTCTTCTTTCTCCCAGATGGTGCAAACAGCGGTGTGACTCACGAAGCATCAATCTCTTCCACATCTCCCATATGCCAAACCAACGCCTTCGCACTCTCCCTCCTCGGCTCATCACTCGGATGACTCTTTCCCATGCCATACAACTCCAACCTCCTCAGCCTCTCCTTCAGCTGGCCCGTATTCGCGAAATTGAGGTTCTCCCGGATACGAACGACGAGCACGCCTGGGATCTCTTCTTGGGCAGAGTCGTCCGAATCAAGGGGCACCCAGGTTTGGGTACCGGGGAGACGGCCGATGATTTTGATGCGGGTTTGAGTGGATTTTTGAATGACTAGGATGAGGGAGAAGATAACGGAGACAACGAGGCCGACCTGATATTGCGCGTCAGCATACGTTTGACTCGTTCTCTGAAGAACACGCACCTCAATGGAGAAGCACAGAGTCAAGAAGAAGGTCATCACCATCTGCGCAAAGTCTGTCCAAGCGCCCATCTTCCAGAAGTAGATGATCTCATGCGGCGCTTCATTCAAGACTGCACCCGCTTTAGCATAGCTCGCTTCATTGACGACCAACGACTTACTAGCATATACAACCACCGTGATGATAGCCGCCAGAACCGCCTTCGGCAAGTAGAAGAGGTGTGGTAAGAGAAAGAAGATGGTGAAGATCATGCAGAAACTGGTGACGATGCTTGCCATCTGCGTTCGACTTCCGATCTGGCCATTCAGTCTGGAACCTACAATGCCTATCAGCCTGCGTCCGATGAAATACAGAGGCGACGTACGAGTGATGGAGCCGAATACCGGAATTGCACCTGTGCCGACGAGAACTGAGCCAGACAAGTTTGCAGCCCCTGTCTACGAGTCAGTTCCTATCGTCACATAGAAGAAAGCCACTGCTCACCCAAGGCGACGAGCTCTCGATTAGGCGAGACCGCATAACCGTACTTTGACGCATTCTCCCTCGCAGCCACTATCGAGTCGACAACACCCACAACCGCGCTTACGAACGCAGTAGGAAGCTAGGCAGACAATCAGCTTTGATCATACGAGTAACGAGAGGTGCGCACGGTGAAGTTGAAATACTGGATGGTCCGCGAGTAGATGGGCCAGCCGAAAGGCAGACTCGAACCACCCTTAATCTTGCCAAGCACTTCCACGCCAAGATTGTTCCACCCAAGAGCTTCCGTAAGGACTGCTCGTCGTCAGTCAAAGCCTCTCTGAAACACTGCACACGCCGTAGAACTCACTTGTAGTCCCCACTACCAAAAGCAAAATCTCCGGGATAAACTTGATCCACAGACCACCCGGCCTCTGCGCGATCTTCTGCTTGATCACCCTCGACGCTATCAAGAACGCCAAGCTTGTAAAGCTCAGAATGGCGGTAGCTTTGTTGATCTGAGGAGTGTGGGAGAAGATGAACAGGAGTTTGCTGAGAGGTCGAGTTGGATGCGAGACGGAGTGGGAGAGAAGGGTCGCCAGGCCGAGCATGGGGACGAGCTGTTCGATGAAAATGATCTGCAACTACGATCAGTAGGTCCTGTGTGCTCGCTGATGGAATACGCACGACACCAACGGCAGTGATGAAACCTCGAAGCAGAGCTCTCGACAAGACGACATCCAAAAAGCCAAGCCGAAGCAGCCCAAGCAGACTCGTGATAACGCCTATCTACGAGCACCATGAGCATACTATATTGAAGATCAGAGTAAGGGTGCTCACTTGGAAGGTGGTGATCAAAGCAATGGCAGCGGCCTCCAAATCCGAATGGGCGGGCACACTGTGAGGGTCGCCGTAGACTGCTTCCTGGATCATCTGGCCGATCAGGAGGGACAAGGCTGCTTCCGGGCCGATCGATAGTTGGCTAGAACAGTCAGATCATCTCCGAGAGCACGTAGTGGCCTGCAAACGTACCGGCAGGTTCCCAGCGCGCCATACATCAAAGCCGGTATTGCGGTCGACCACAATCCCGCAACGGGCGTCAACCGCGCCAGACCACTAGCATAAGATATAGCCTTCCATATATATTAGCGGGTTTGCTCTGAGGGTCTGACATGGGCTCACTTGAGGTATGAGCAAACACGCTACCGAAACCCCCGCTATCGCATCCCCGGAAAACCTACACGGGTATCAGCGATGCGCGGCCTCCAGATCGCCATCGAGCACTTACAACGACCAACTGTAATTCGGTAGCCACTCCGTAATCGGCACATAATACTTTGACCTTTGCTTGATCTTCTTCGCATACGTCAAAGTCAGACTCTTCTTCGTCGGCCTCCTCCCTTGTCCCGCCCCGGACGCTGAGCTTTCATACTGGTCATTACCTCCAGATTGTCGCCGCTCGCTCTCATCTTCGTCCGTAATCTGGTCGAGGTTGGCGGTATAATTGCGTCTCGGAGACCGGCTTCGCTCTCGAGGTATCAGAGGAGCACTCTCACTCGAGCCAGACAAGCTCGGCCTGCCAAAAAGGATTCCAGACAAGTTGCGAGGGACCTTGCTGCCGGTGCCAGTGCCAGTGCCGGAGGAGCCGGAGGGTGCGTTCGGGGTGGCAAAGGTGAGGTGGTCGTCGCTCTGGGCGGACGTGTAGCTGGCCATCTTGCAGCGGATTGTTGAGAAGGAAAAAGAAAAGTAGTCATAGATGCAAAAGCTGAATGACCGTTATCATAGCGTCATGGTCGAGGTGCGTGGGGCAGCCGTGTTGTTTGTCGCGGACATGCCCGCCGCCTAAGCGCCAGGCAAGCGCGCAGCCTGCCAAAGAGAACACGTTCATTACGCATGGCTGCATGCGAGAGCATCAGACAGCTTCATGTATTGGATTGCATATTGCAAGGATCTGCGACGACAACAATAGTAGTGTTGAAAGCACCAACGGCAAGCAGGCGAGGGAACGAGCACAAATTAGTGGTTGCGCTCGTTTGCTCGTTCAACATGTGACGTGCACTCTCGAAGCTCCCGGTAGATGACTTACGCAAGCGATACTCTGCTTACCATTGATGATGATACTATAAGCATATCTTTCATGATTAGTGAAGGTGGGAGGTGCCACTGCCCAATACTGCGTTGATGACCGTCATGATGATGAAGACGCGAAAGGCGTTGCACAATAGGAGAACACCCAGAAAAGTCCATATTATTGATTTACGATATAGGGGTATAGAAGTCTACCTATCTAAGACACTATGTACAAACAATCATTGCTGGTATACAGAAAACTCGTCAAGCCCCCGTCCTTCCCGAGATCAAGAACTAGTCTGCTTGGCAATAGTAGCTCTCACAGCCCTATGATCACTCCACCTCGCATTAAACCCATCAACATCCCCCTCCACATAATTTTCCACCACCCCAAACCTGCTCACCTCCCACCCCCCTCTCGCGCCCCATCCACCCCCTTGCTGCGCTTCGTCAAGCTCAGCGCCGAGCAAGATAAAGTCGATTCGCTTGGTCATGTTGTAACCTGGAGCTTCAAAGCCTGTGTAGGTGTGCGCTGGGCCGTAAGGTCGGGTTTGGAGAGGACCGTAAGTGGATGAGAGGGACGAGTTTGATGTGGATGTGAGGAGGTGGGTGTATGTGTCTAGGAAGGTGAAGGAGGCGTTGCCAGAGGGGAGAGGTGAAAGCGAGACCATATTCTGATAGCCATCTTCTTCAGGTGGTGAGTCTGATTGACATCAGCTGTATTTCCGATAACTGTTGATGTATACTCACTGAAATCACCAAAGAAGACGACAGGCGCATCGCCGCCAGCGTTCTCGGCCTGCTCGACATCATCGACCCACTGCTTGATGGTCGCTCGGAGCAAGAGACTGCTGTTGGCCCTAGCCTCGACACCCTGATCGTCGTAATGAGTATTGAAAGCGTGTACCAGCTTGCCTTCCTGGTCACCGTCTCTGTACCTCAACGTAAGGAGGGTGGCAATACGAGTGAGACCCTGCCAAACCTATCAGCCTTGCCCAGGCGTCTTTGCGATAGACTCACTGCATCCCAGCCGATAGATCCGGGAACGTCAGGAGTGGTCGACAACCAAGTAGTGTTCCACCTGACCACATCAAACTTTGTCGAATTGTAGAAGATCGGACTGAACTCGCCCGCTTCCTTGCCGTCGTCGCGTCCCACACCCACGTGGCCGTAATCAGAACCAAACAACCAAGCGAGGTCGCTCAGTTGAGCAGAAAGCACTTCCTGCGCCACAAAGTCAGTACTGGAAGATATGAAGAGCCTTATGACTCACTTGGGCACCCCAGATATCTAAGGGTCCGGTGGACAAGAGAGCATCGGCCAAACGCGTCTTTCTATCATCCCATGATTTCTCGCCCCAGATGTAGTCGGCGGCAGTCTGCTTGGCGATGTTGCTGTTCTTTCTACAAGAAGAGACGTGGTCATCAGATGACATCCCCTCATTTGAGACCTTGAGCTTACATATTGACAGTCGCAATGTGTATCTGCTCCACGGCCGAATTCGAGCGTGAAAGGACAGTGGGGCTGTCGGTAGAGAGCGAATGGGGTCGGGCGGCTGTCGTTGTCACTCCCGCAAGGGCTGCCAGGAGGATATATGAACAGCAAGGCAGAGTATTTAGGAACATGGTACGAGCAGAGAATTATCAGATATGTTGAAAAAGGAGGCCAAGAGAGCTGTTGTTGTTGTTTATATAGAACTCGCACCGGGAAGACCGGCGGCGAGTGATGGGTCCGTGCCCCGTGGGCCGTGGCCAACGAATTGCGTTTGTGCCAATCAGCCACGACGGAAACGTGGGATGGAGTGTCAATGTCCATGCCGTAGACTAGCCTTGAAACAGTGAAGACCGAGTCTAAACATCAGCTAGTCATGTTGACATCCGGCTGGCATCCGCGCACGTTGTAGCCTCAAGTGCTGATGTTCGTACTGCTCTTTACTTCTAGGTTCCACGTGTGTCTCGGAAAGCACCCATGGGCCGTGGTACGTTGATTTGCCCCAGACCATGCGCAAAGAAACATACAATTGACAGGCTAGTCTCCCCGCTGCAGGCAGCAAACATCTACGCGGTTTCAAAAGTTGCAACGCAAAGACGCGACGCGTCGGAGTCGCACGTGTCTGTCGGATCTCTGCCTGTTATAGCCGGCTGTCCGTTGTTTATGATTCCAAAGTCTATGAGAAGACAAAAGACGGAGACCCACTTTATAGCCATTGATCCGTACTTGTGGGCTATCGAAAGCTATCAGACAGATACTCCCGACGAAACTTGGCGCGCGAGAGCGATTGGGTATTGCGATGGTAGGGATCTATCCACGTATCAAGACACTTTCATGTTTGGATACATTCTTTTCGAGTATGTCTACGTTCTATACAGCACCCTTATTTCGCTTATAACTACATGCTTACAATACACATGTTCCGAACTTGACCAGACTCAAGATAACTGCACTCAGGCCGGCCTGGCAATCGTAGCCCTCACAGCCCTATGATCACTCCACCTCGCATTCCAACCCTCCACATCCCCCTCCACATAATTATCAACACAAGCATACCTCACCACCTCCCACCCTCCTCTCGCCTTACCCCTATTGTTCTTGTCATCCACTTCTGCGCCCAGGAGGACAAAGTCGATACGCTTAGCTTGGGGCGCGTTGGGCGGGGCAAAGTCGGTGTAGGTGAAGGCGGGGCCGTAGGGGCGGGTTTGGAGTGTCTTGAGAGGAGAGGCGGAAGATTGGGGAGAGGAAGAGAGGGAGAGGAGATGGGTGTAGGTGTCGATAAAGGTGAAAGACGGTTGGCCGGAAGGCAAGGGGTGGAGGGAGGTCATGTTCTTGTATCCGTCTTCCTCCGGGGGCGAGTCTTCAGAGTGTCAGCGCACAGATCAGTCAGGCATGCCAAAACTCACTAAAGTCTCCAAAGAAGACAAGAGGCCCGACCTTACCGGGCTTCTCGGCCTGCTCAACGTCTTTCACCCACTGCCAGATCGCAGACCTCACCAACAAACTACTCTGCGCCCGAGCTGTGGTACCTTTGTGATCATAATGGGTGTTGACCGCATGTACGAGCTCTCCCTTCTTGGAAGGGTCCTTGTACTTGAGAGTAAGAAGCGTCGCAATACGCGGCAGATCCTGTTCGTTCATCAGCTGATACTCGATCGGAAAGGACGAAGCCAACTCACCGCATCCCAGCCTTTAGACCCCGGAACCTCGGGGGTGGGAGAAAGCCACATCGTACCCCACTTGACCAAGTCAAACTTGGAAGCATCATAAAAGATTGGACTAAACTCGCCCCCTTCCTTCCCGTCGTCTCGGCCTACTCCCACGTGGGCGTAGCTGGGGCCAAAGAGCTCGGCGAGGTCCTTCAGCTGCCAGTTGAAGACTTCCTGGAAAGTGTTAGCTCCCAGTCTCGTCATTAGCAGCATATAATGACTCACTTGGGCACCGAGGATGTCGAGCGGGCCCAATGACAGGAGGGCGTCTACGAGTCGCGTCTTTCGCTCCTTCCAAGGCTTCTCGGCCCAAACCTCCTTGGGGTTCGATGGACCATTAAAATTGCCATTTTTTCTGTATGAGCAGTCAGCACAGTTCTTCTTCTATGAGCCAAAGCAGTAGTCGTAGGTAAAACCTTGCACAGTCAAGACACGCACATGTTGACAGTCGCGATATGAATCTCCTCGACAGCGACATTCGACATGGTGCTCGTTGTTGTTGTTGTTGCTTGGGGGTGTAAGAACTTCTGAAAGGGGATCTTTGTAACCATATTCTTTACTTGTCAACTGATCGCAATCAAAAGGGATATGTAGAACAAGGCAGCAATGGCCCCCCGCGACGGCCAGGCTGACCTCCACCTTCCCGAAAGCGGGGCCCCCCGCCCGCTTGTGTACCGGGTTTTGAACGAAAAAGCAGTCCCGACTCCCGGTCTGTTCATGTCAACAATCTCTCTGGGAATATATATATCCCGCCTCCCTTCTAGTCCTCGTAAACCAGGGAGACACAACAAGAGACGGTATACTATCCCAAAATGGCGGCCACCCAGGAAGCTATAGAGGTCGACGAGAAAAAGGTGGTTGGGAAGAGTTCTGAGGCTTCGGTAGATGCCAAAGAGTGAGTAATATCTTGACAATGATTGCATAGAGTATGACTGATATCGTCACAGGGAGAGCACTCTGGTCAAGGACCATGATTTTTACTTTAACTTTTACTCTTCCCTCCAAAACCAAGCCAACATGATCGGAGACATCTCAAGAACCGGGACTTATCGGAAGGCTATCCTTGGTAATGCTGCTATCGCATTCACCGACAAGACTGTCTTGGATTTAGGTGCTGGTGAGTGTATCATTTGGGTCGCGCTGATAGTATACTGACTGCCTTCAGGTTCTGGTATCCTGTCGTACATGTCGGCGCAGGCCGGAGCCAAGCAAGTGATTGCTCTGGAAGCTTCGTCCATGGCCGAGAAGATTGAGATCGTGAGCAATCTCGAACGAGAATAGCTGGCAACATGCTGACTGGTCCGTAGATAATCAAGGCCGCTAACCGCGGTAAGAACAACCCCCATCTCAAGGACCGAATCCGCGTCGTCCGTGGTATGGTCGAGAACAAGAAAGTGCAGGCCGAAGTTCTCAAGACTGGCAAGGTGGACACTATCATCTCTGAACCCATTGGTGTGATGCTGTTGCATGAGCGAATGGTGGGTGTCACTCTCATTGCACTGATACATATACTGACTTGTATCCATAGGTTGAATCTTTCATCCTTGCGCGAGATCTGTTCCTCAAGCCCGGGGGTCAAGTGCTTCCTTCGGCTGGTCATATTTTCTTCTGCCCCTTCACGGATGAGGCTCTGTATACCGAGACCGACCAGAAGGCTCAGTTCTTCAATGCCACCCTCTTCGGTACCGATTTCTCAGAGCTCTACGATGCCGCCCGAGAGGAAGTTTTCGGTGCGTCTACAGCCGGACCCAGCGCCGACATATACTAACAACCTCCCAGCCCAACCCGTCGTCGGCATGTTCCCCCCAACCTCCCTCGTCTCCACCCCCCTCCCCCCTCAACAATCATTCGACTTCCACACCGTCACCACCGACGACCTCCTCGCCTTCACCACCCCCATCGACTTTGTCGTCTCCCGCACATGCCTCGTGCACGGCCTCGCTTCCTGGTTCGACCTCGACTTCAATCCTCGGGTACCGCCCAAAGCTGATGGGACGCATTGGGGCTTCCCGGTGGCGCCGTCGAATGCGTGGCAGTGGATGGCGCAGGAGAACCCGTTGAATCCCGGTGCGACGCCGCCCCCGCCTGCTGATGGGTTAAACGTTGCGCTTTCGACGGGTCCTGATGCCGTTCGAACTCACTGGCAGTGAGTCATCTCCCCTCCGTCATTCCCTCCGCCATACTTACATCCTTCCAGACAAGCCCGCCTCCTCCTCCCCGAGCCCCTCGCCGTTAACAAGGGCGAACGCATCACTGGCTCCATCCGTTTCACAGTCAACGAAGCTCGTTCCTACGACCTCCTCCTTGAGCTCGAAGTCGACAGGCCGGGATTGGAGAATTGGAAGGGGCCCAACCCATTGAAGAGGAAGGCGAACTATCTCTTGCAACAGCAATGTTTCAAGTGAGTTCATCATCACTCTCTTCCGCGCAAGCACGGAAAGAGACAGGAGCTGACAAACTGTAGCTACTCGTACAACCCCGATGCCGCGGCTATGGGGAACCTCGGCCTTAACGGAGGACTGGCCATGTAATATAGTTCGCAGGAAGCCCCTGCGTCGTGTTGTATATACCAAAAACATCAAACAGACATAGAAATCTTCGTGTAAGGATAGATCAGTCCCGGCATCGAGATACCCCTACTCTTTTTTTGCTCCTCAGAGTACCCGGCATAGCTAGTGCACATACCTCGTCCATGGTACCTGATCTCATGCATGATGCATGTCATGACATCTTGGTCTTCAATGGGCCGATTGCGAGAATGACATCCCTCATGATTCGTGAACTGTTGACGGACCTCCATGAAGGTGCCTGTCGCCGACCAGGCACTGCACGCAATCTTATCTTCGCCGTCACAGGCCGTAAAGTGTCGTTCGCTCTTCTCAGACCCGTTCTAGCCGATTTTCTCAAGGCCACAATGTCCCCTCCATTAGACCTCACCCCAGTCGACAAGCTCGAATTTCTCATCCTCGTCGACAATTGTCAGTCCTTGCCCGTTCCCGTGATTTCTAAACTGATCTTACCGAAGACGTCGAATGGTGCGCAAACTCCCTTCATTCGACATCTTCATGACTGAGAGTAGATGCAGGTTCTCTACCCTTCCGCCAGAGTTCACCCATGAGCTTCCCCAGCACCTAGCCTCGCCGCGCAATCCTATCGACCCGCTCACCGGCTTGCCCATGATCGACCTTGACAACTACTGCTGTGGTGCGCATGGCTTATCAGTGCTTATAGTACGTATCTAGGATGTCCCACCCGCTTCACAAGTACTCATATATGACCGCTAGAAAACGACTATAGGTGATGAGGAGTATCAGGTCCCCCTCGACTCTGGCCCGGAGCCGTCGTCAATCGCACGCAACATCTCGGCCATGTCTGTCGACCTCACATCCCTCGACGCTCTAGTGTTGTCTCACTGGCACAGAGACCATTCTGGAGACATCACTCAAGTCCTCAAGCTCCGGCAAGATCAGCTCCTTGCACGAGGCCGGAGCTCCGAGCAAGGCAAGCTCAAAGTCGACCTTCACCCTGACCGGCCGATCAGACGAGGGATAGCGAGGTTTCCGGCTACTGAACCGCACTGTGTCCTTCCTCCGGATCCAACCTTCCAAGAAATCGAGGGTTCGGGTGGTAAAGTGGATCGGCATTCTGATCCGCATGAGGTCTTGGGCAGAGATGGGCGGAAGACGGGTGTCGGAGTCAGCGGCGAGATCAGGAGGATTGTGGATTTCGAGAAAGGGGTCAGGGGTGGAGTGAGATGGGAAGAAGATGGAGATGGGAAGGGAGAATGGTTTAGTGATACGGTGCGCCCCCTGATGTAGCTGAAAAGCCTGTACTGATTCCAACACAGATGATTATGGACGAGAGATACATTGTCATCGACGTCAAAGGCAAAGGTCTCATTGTCTTCAGCTCGTTCGTCTCTTTCTTTTTCTTTTTGCAAGCGCTGACTACGATAAAAGCTGCTCGCACGCAGGTATCTGCAACGTTATCACCTCACTTCTCCCCCTGACTCGTCCTATATACGCCATCATAGGCGGCCTCCACCTCGTTCCCACCAACATTCAGCCAGCCGCCCAGACCGTCGACTTTATAGCTCGCAAAGTCGAGCCTGAAGTGCAGTATGTGCTCCCGCTGCACTGTACAGGACTGGAGGCTAGGGGATGGTTGAGGGAAGAGATGGGCGATCGATGTGTGCCAGCGGGGGTGGGGATGAAGGGGGTTTTCGAGGGCGGTTCAGATGAGGGATATGAGACGCCTATGGGTAGAGATATGGGCTTTAGGATTGTAATGTAAAGGCTCAACTGCATTATATTACAAGACATGACATGTACCGTACGAAGATCACCATCTGGATCTGAGCTCATCAGCGGGAGTGTCCAAACCAACGGCCTCTTCAACCTCTGTTTCCCATCCCTTCTTTGAGAATACCACTTGAGGCTTTGACCACGAATGCGGCATCATATAGCCCAGAGAAACCCACTGCAGTATGCAAACGACTCACCTTCCAAGCTTCCATCAGGACCAGGAGCCGGTTCAGGCAATGTGTGAGGATGGCAGTAGCCTGATCTCCAAGCGCGTCATTCTCCTGAATCTTGGAGATGTCAATCTTATCAGCCCGGGCAAAGTAAACGAGAATCCGATCCCCCTCACTGATAAGGAGTAGACGCCTAAACCTCGACTTCAATCGGTAGTTTGAACGGATGGCACCAGCTTCCATGCCTTTGGCTTCGGCACCCTCGTCGCTCTAGCAATGTTCCATCAGCCCCCCCCTCCCATGTTCCTTTGTCCAGCCTCAATGCGAACACATAGCACGGCGTGGGGGCGGTTCATCCCTTTGCATCTCCACTTCGGTCGAACAGTGGGTATATAGCTAACTTGCTCACAGGGATATCTATTCCCAGTACTATACGTTCACAATTCATCAAATAGACACCATGTCAAACCCCGCCATCGAAGAGATCCACATTGTGACCATTAACGTGTACGTATATTGACTTCAGTAGCCACAATACTGATGGCTGCTGAGTATCGCCTTGTAGAAAGATTGGTATTTTCAACGGTCCATTGAGACCTGAGAACAACTGGGACGAAAGGCCGTGGACGGAGCGGAAGTCTCGTCTCGTAGATGCCCTCTTGTCGACTGGCCCGCTTGACATCCTCGGCGCTCAAGTGAGATGCCAGATTTGACCAAGATGGATGGACAGCTGACATGTATACGCAGGAAGTGTACAACTGGCAGCTCAAAGACCTCGCCGAGCTCCTCGGCCCCAGGTACGCCCACGTCGGGGCGGGCAGAGACGACGGGAAAGAAGCCTGAGAGTACAGCCCGATCTTTTACGATTGCACCAAATTCGATGTGGTCAAATGGGGTACTACATGGCTTTCGACGACCCCTGAAATCCCCGGATCTATCGGATGGGATGCGGTGAGCTCTATCTCATCTTGTCATCGTCACGTTGGTTGACAGCAGGCGAGCAGGAAATTACCCGTATCGCCACTCTACTCACTCTCAAATACAAAGATCCTTCCAAGAAGGGAGAGCTCGTACACGCTGTCAACACTCATTACGATCACAAAGGTACCACCGCTCGGGCGGAAAGTAGTCTTCTGGTCAGGTCTTCTATCCGAAAATGGGTGGAAGACATAGAGCAGAAGGAGAAGCCCAGTAAGGTCGGCCCTGTCGTCTTCTTCGGTGACTTCAGTGAGTCTTAACTTCCCTAGCCAGCTCCGAGCTGACTATCGACAGACTCCCCTCCCGATGAGGACGGCTACCAGAACATGACCTCTCTCCATCCCTTGCCTTCCGGCGAACCATCTATCACATTCATCGACACCTATACCCATCTCCTCTCCCTCTCATCCGCATCCCCTCCCTCCACCTCATCATCCCCTCTGAGCCCCCTTCAAACCCGCCCGTACGGCCCCGCATTCACCTACACCGACTTTGCCCCACCCAACGCACCCCAAGCCAAGCGCATTGACTTCATCCTCCTCGGCGCCGAGGTTGACGACGAGGCCAACAGAGGGACGGTGAGGGGAGGATGGGATGTTTTGAGGTATGCGTGTATCGATAATTATGTGGAGGGTGATGTGGATGGGTGGAATGCGAGGTGGAGTGATCATAGGGCTGTAAGAGCTACCATTGCGAGGCTCGATTGAGGTCGGGAATCCGTAATCAGTCAGACAGAATATTGAATCGGCCGGGCGTATTTCTGCATTTCTCTGAAGGATTGCATCGCGTAAAGAAGACGACATGCATTGTACAAAATCACAGTTTGATTCTCGGTATAACTCCACACAACGGTCTCGGCAGGCTTCTAGTGATAACAGTATCTACATCCCAGCGCGAGGCGAACTCTGTCATCCACTCTTTGGACGGGGATACCACTTTGGGCTTTTACCACGCACGAGCACGCTACCGTCAGCGCCGCAACTATCGCTACAATAGATACGCGACTCACCTTCCAGTTGTCCGCAAGAGCGATGAGCCGGGTCATGCAATGTTCGAGCCCTGCATAAACGTCGTCCGAGACCTCCTTCTTCTTTTCGATCTCCCTCGTGTCGATCTTGTCGACCCGAAGGCGGGAGGAATAGGTGAGGATAAGATCTCCCTCACTGTCGCGCATCGCACACGCTGTATCAGATCCTGCACCCTCGGCTCATACTTTTGCTTGGCGACTCACTCAATGACACTGTATAGCAGCTCAATCTGGGGTTCAGGGATGACGCCATTGTTCTTCTCGAGTCCGTGGGCGATGCCTATACAGAGGAAGCTGGCGATGAACACATATTTCTCAACCTACAGATCATCAGCCCCTCGGGCGCTCGTGTCCCGCCTCTGGCGGCGAAGATGGGCTTACCAGCAGCTCAACCGTGCTCAGAGCGTTCCTCCCCATATACCTCTTCCCCACTAGAACGTTGACCTTCTGAGACAACAATCGGATGAGATTGACTTCGAGGCGTCTGAGTGGATGGTGATACTGGGCGACTATGTCATTCGACAAAAACCGCTCAATCAACGAATCAAAGTCTTCTTTATTCCTCTGCAGCCCCAAGTCGATAGAAGTGAAGGGTAACGGTGGTTTGGCCCGCGATGCTTTCTTGAGTGCACTCTTCAGTGGTGCGGGCTCTGGCATGTTTACAGTCCGGCAATCTTGTGTGAGATATACACTGGTTTAAATACAATGAGCTGTCTTGTAACAGCTCTCGAATCGTGAGTGGCGAAAACAGGCATGAAAGGCCGGTCGTCCGGCGCCGATACCATGTGGCACAAACGGCCATTCGTATCGTACACCACGCCATCGTCATGACGACGTTCTTCAATCAAGATTAACCTACCAGCTGCCTGCTCGTCTTCTTCTCGCGCGAGCCGCATAAGGATAGCATCCGCCCCACCCATCTGCGAAGTCGTGGAATGACATAAGTCACGCATGGAAGCCACGCGATACCCCTCTTGCTGCCTTGTGGTCCAAGCGCTTGGAACCGCCCAAAGAGCTGCCCTTATAGCGTCTTTCTGGAAGCACGAAGATGCAGTTTGAATCGCCACTCACCACCATGCATACAGCGCTATAAAGTGTCTACGCGAGTCCAAGTTGAGCTAATCAGTCCATCCACAACGACAGTCCAAGCCGTGTGAGCACCATGCCGCCACCACTCACTTCACCTCCGCCTATTGACAAAAAGAAATCCCCGCCACCCCAAGCCCCAGCCCCCAAACGTCCGCCTCTCCTCCCGTATCCAGACAACACCATCCTCGGCTTCCCCAAACGTAGATCCCAATTCGAGTCCAGCTACGAAACCCTCCTCGATTTTATCAAACCCTCCCAAAGGGGGCTCGACCACAAGAAACTCCTCCTCCGTCTCGCCGAGCAAGTCAGTCGTGTTGGGGGTCGGAAGTATGTGGGGGGACAGATGGGGTTTGGGGTTGTCGAATACTTGGTTCGTCTTTTTTTAACTGACTTTGGAGTGGTTGAGGTTGAGAGAGCTGATTAAGATGATGGTGCGTTTGTGGTGATAGGCGGAGAAGTATGCGATGCTCGCTCGTCGGTTGTGCAAAGCCATGCGACATACGATCGGTCCTGGCGGTCAACCTTCCGCCTCTCAAATCCGGCTCCTCTACCAAACCGTCGAGTGAGTTTACTCATCTCCCACCCACTCCCACATTACATGTCGGCTCCTAAGCTAATATCACCCTCCTCTTACTACTGAATTCAGCGAAGGAGAGCTCATAGTGCGCCATTTCTCCCGTCTCCGGATTGCACGACTCCACCCATGGCAAGCCAACATCAAATGGAAAGCGGATGAAGTCGGCGAGGGGTTGGAGTATCTGATGTGGCGGTTGGTCAAGCTGGTGGATGAGTGGGATGTGAGTGAATGCTTGCGATTTCTTCCCCAGTCAGAACATGCTCTGTACATGAGCCGACTCTATCTGCAAACAGCTGCCCACGGACGATTGGCCTGTCAAGCTGTGGTCTAGAACATTCGCCAAAATCTGGGAGGCTGATGTAACAAGGAAGACACGGGATGTACCCCGACCTGGCATCTGCTCCATAGCATAACCTTGCCTCGTCTAGCAGCAGATCCCGAATATATGCAATGTAATTGATAATTCTACAAACAGTCCGTCAAATCTATCTCGCCCAGCATCAGCCCTCTATGCGTCCACCTGAGATCTGGTCTTGTTCGCCTCTAACAGCTTCATGATATCTCCTTCTTCGCCGTCCTTGTGTCCTAATGATAACCATCCAGCTTTGAGTCCGTTCTGGACGATAGTGGTTACCACCCTTTCCATACCGTCGCTCCTACTCTACATCAGCATCTACTCCAAATCCCCGACGACACGATTACTCACCTATCTCGTATTTCCTCCACACTCCCCTTCCCCTTCTCTCTTTCCTCATCCAATAGCCCATTCAGCCGCTTCACTTCCCCTTCCAGTTCATCCAGTCTATCCGAAACCTTATCGCGCCGTTTCGATTCTTTCTTCGAGGACCGTATTGATTCGCCGACTATCAGACCTGCACCGACTAGAAAGAGGAATGTTTCGGCTAGTGTGGTGGCTCCATTTTGGATAGCTCTGCGAGTACATATCAGCGCGCCGATCTTTGAGACAGAAGAGGGAAGGCATGGAAGCGTACCGAGTATCGTTTAGCGGCTTGACATTCCCTGCTTCCGCATTCAGGAGACCCATACGCATCCGAGCTTCTGTCCTGTGCATTCTCTGTGCGAGGCCCATACATATTGTTCGGAAGGTCTCATGTCTGAAGACGTTGTCAGCTCGTTCCAAAGTGGAGGAAGGTAGACGTACTGGGTGGCCTGAGCTTTGATGGTGTTGGCTATTGGCTTGGCGAGTGTCTGTCAAGTCATGTATGGTCAGCATCACAAGTTCATTTACCTCCAGTGGATTCGAGTGAGCTTGTCAGAGCCAAGCAGCGCGAGCTATAGATAGACACACGACGCACCTTGACAGCCAGAGAGAAGATCTTGACGGAGGCCATGGTATGATATTGCGAGGATATGGGATTGTTGGAGATGGGTCTGGCGCTGTCCTATGGCTGAGACTATTCGAGAAAAGAGCAACAACAAAAGTCAAAAGTCCATCATCTCCGTCGCTCGCCGAAGCGCATCATCATCCGCCGGCATTGGTGTTTACGTAAGTGATCGGCTTTCGGCGGTGGAGGGCGTCGGTGGTCGCCGCTAGACGATCGCCGGTGATTGATCTCGGGGGCCGGATTGTCTCTGATAACCATGAATGAACGACGAGTGCTTTTCTATTCTCTCTTTCATCGCCTCCTGTTCTTCTTTAGGTCTATAACAAGACAGTGTGGGCTCTGAGGTATACTGCCCTTGTTATACGACACCCGCCAGCTCGCCACTTTACTCGGCTATCTCGGTCCGACATCGACGCTAGCAGCACACGCTCTCGTACACGCTGCAGTCGATCTCTCCAACTGGATCAGCCCTTTCAATCAATAGCTGACAACCTCCCATTATGGCGGTATTACCCAGGCAGGATGCGCAACCAGTCAGCGCTTCAAGCTCGTCCACGGGCAGCGCAACTTCATCGACCTCCTCGTCGACCGAGGTAGTCACTGGCGGCGGCCAATATGTCGCGGGCAGTGGGTAAGCTCCAAACCCGACTTGCACCTCGTCTCTCCCACGCTCACACCATTCTAGTTCCACATCACTATACCTCTTCACATTTCTCATTACCATCGTCGTCCTCGCCCTCATCTCCGGCGCCCTCATCCTCCGAGCCTACGTCCTCCGCCGTCGGTTCCGGCGCCGCGTGGAAGAAGCTATCCGGACAGGCAACCCCCTTCCTATGGACGCCGCTGCTGCCCTCGGTCTATTACCGAGAAGGGGTAATAGGAAGAAGGAGGAGAAGGTGGCGGTGATGCCGACGATGTGGGAGGGCGAGATGAGACGAGATGTGGAGAAGGGGTGGGATGAGGAGGATGAGTTGCTGGATAAAGGGCGAGGCCAGTGGGACGGTATAATAGTAAGCCTCCTTCTTCACAACCTCATTACTCGAGTGAAAGTCATCGCATCCGAAGCTGACTTCTCTCAGCCAGTAGCCGTAACCCACTTCCCTCCACCCCCACCCCCTTCCCCACCCCAAACCCTCCCCCCAATCCTCCCCCAACCCCCCTCCCTCTGGCGCCAAATGTTCACCTCCTCCTCCTCCGCCGTCCCCTCCGAACAATCCCTCCGCCCTGCACTCAACTCCATGGCTTCCTCAAGATCTGTACCCAACATGCCTAAAGTCGTGCCGAGCTGGTCGGCGCCAGGTACGGGGGAAGAGGTGGTAGTGGGGGTGATGATTGCGATGCCGTGTTTGGAGTGTGGGGAGGAGCTTTGGGAGGCAGTGGAAGAGGGGGAAGAGAGGGATATGCCGGAGGTTTCTTTGGGGGTCATGAGCGCTAGGATTGGGGGTTTATGATCTCTTCCCTAAGTGTAGATTCTAGAATCATAAAGGTTGTTCAGCATTCATATATACGAGAATACTCTATTGTAGCTTTAGCTTGCTTGTTGGATTTGTCTGGATAACACTCATGAGCGTCGTAATGCAACGATGACTTTTATGGCACTCTTGACATTTTCGATTCACATACATGCGCCCACACAAGACCACAATCAACAGAAAATCGTTTTTGGCATATAAGACTCGGCTCATAACCCTTGCCACCAGCAGCCCTACTGGACCACACAGTACTCGGCATACTGGTAATAGTCTGCCAGCGCAGGAGCCGGCTTCGTAACCCGATGCCTCTTCTCGATATCGTCCTTCCACATCGCCGAGATCACCTTTTGCCAACTCTTCTTGGCATTCAACTCTGGTTCCTATATCTCTCATCAGCACCGCTTCTGTTTATCTTGTTGAAGAGCAGCTAGGGAGGTAGGGGGGTGGGACGCTTACCTCGAAGATGTTGACGAGGTTGATCAACCTCCAAGTCAGATGCGAAAGTACTTCTTCAACAATGTCGATTTTCCCCTTCTCCTCGATGTTCCAGGCATCCAGCCAATTCAGGCGAATTCGGCCAAAATGACCGAGGATGATTGACCCCTCGCTATCATTCATAGAATGTCAGCGCGGTCTCACGAATAGTGCAGCAACGATGCCACGTTTAACATGGCAGGTGAAAGAGCGAGAAGAAGGGGTGTGAGGAGATGACGTACTCGATAACGCGGTAGAGGAGCCGGACATTTTGGGTGGGGATAATACCGTTCGTCTGAACGTCGGGTAGGAGGCGTTCGCAGAGAAGGTCGGCGAGCTGTGTGAACCTCTCGGACTGCAGCCACCGCACATCAGCATATCTCACATTTACTTGCCCAACTCTAAAGAGAGAGAACCCACTAAAGCATTCACAGCCCCAAAGTAATGCACCTTCTCAGCATACTTCCATCCCAAAATATGCACCTGCTTTACAAGCAACTCTACAAGCTGCCTATGCTCCAAGTTGGCTTCTGCAAAGTGCAGCCCCAGAAGACCGGCGGTGGTAGAGTCGAAATGCTTCTTGCGCTCCGAAAAGCCGACGAGCTTGTCGTCGGTCGGGGAGGGGGAGAGGACGGTGGCGGGGGTGGGCTTGGTGATGGGGTAGACGTCTGTGTGGGGCATAAACGACATCTTGGTAGGGGTAGAGTGGTAAGACAGCTCGAGTTGAGGCATCATCGGCGGTATTTGTAGTCTTTCATGACACCTCCCTCGCCTCAAGCGTGCTCGAAATCATCAGCACCGTCATGAAATGGTTTTGAAGAGCCACAACAAGCGAGTTGAAGCTCGAGCCTACCTGCGCGAAGTGCCATCATCATGTTCTCGGAACTGAAGACCGCAAGGCCGGAACGCCACTCTGTCATCGTCTAGAATTAGCGACGCTCACATGTGCTTTTTACTATATGTTTTCACGCTCGCTTTATCATGACCATGTCTATGTTGCATCGTAAGTGATGCAGGTGCAATGCAAGACGAAGAATATGGAACCAAACCATGCGACGCAAATGCGACGACGCACGACGACGACGACGGCCGTCCGAAGGTTTACGTAAGGAGCGCCATCCTCCTCTGACTTTTGTTTGAGACGAATGCTGGAATATATGAAACAAGCCTATCCCCAAGACGCCACCACCATGGCCAGCCGCCTCGCCCCCCTCATTCCTAAAAGGGCACTCCGCCCATCCATCCTCCGCTGCCGCGCTAGCCCCCCCCTCACCCGCTCCCAATCCACCTCCACCCCCCGTCCCCCTTACCTCATCAACGACCGCCTCTACCCCACCGACGCCTGGTCCAACTGCCCCCCAACGATCCTCTCCAAAACCGGGCGCAACCTCCACCTCCTCCCCGCGCACCCCATCGCCATCATCCGCCAAATCATCGAAGACCATTTTTCCGCCTATACCGCGCTGATACCAGAGACGCCCGCTGTGAGCGTGCATCAGAACTTTGATGAGCTCGGGTTCCCGCCAGACCATCCTGGGCGGAGTATGACGGATAGTTATTATTTGAATAAAGAGCACATGCTGAGGACGCATACGAGCGCGCATGAAGTGGAGAGTTATAGGAAAGGGCTGGACCGGTGGCTCCTGAGCGCCGACGTGTATAGGAGGGATGAGATTGACTCGTCCCACTATCCCGTCTTTCATCAGATGGAAGGCACCCACGTCTGGTCCGAAGACGAGCTACGTACCCTCCCCGAGCTCAACGCCCAACTCGCCGCCTCCCTCGCCGCATGCCCTATCCTCATCGAAGATCCCACCTCCATCTCCCCTTCCAACCCTTACCAACCGCACCACGACCCCGCGCACGCCGCCCAAATCGTGCAGCACCTCAAACACTCGCTCAACAGCTTGATCTTCCGGCTCTTTGGGCACGTCGTGACCAAGACGGGCGAGCCGTTGAGGGTACGCTGGATAGAAGCTTATTTCCCGTTCACCACCCCGAGCTACGAGGTCGAAGTGTGGTGGGACGGGAAATGGCTCGAGATTCTGGGCTGCGGCGTCGTCATGCAGAAAACCCTCGACCAAGCCGGTCCGTCCCCTTCCCCTCCCTCCTCTCTTCCTCGTGCCGCAACTAACCCTTATGTTTTCTTACAGGCGTATCAAACAAAGCCGGCTGGGCATTCGGCCTCGGCCTCGAACGCCTCTCCATGGTCCTCTTCTCCATCCCCGACATCCGCCTCTTCTGGTCCCACGACCAACGCTTCCACTCCCAATTCTCCGCCGGCCAGATAACGACGTTCAAGCCGTATAGCAAGTATCCGGCTTGTTACCATGATATGAGCTTCTGGCTGCCTGTTGGGGCTGTCGCGGACAAGGGCGGGGTGGATAGTGGGAAGGGAGGAGGAGAGAAGGGTGAAGGGGGTGTTGGTGCTGCCGGGGGTAAGGGCCGGGTGTTCCATGAGAATGACTACTTTGAGATCGTCCGCGAGATCACCGGCGACCTCGTCGAAAACGTCGCTCTCGTACGTCCCCCTACGATCTCCCCTCAAACGCGTGCCAAAAGCTAACACCCCCCCCCCCCTCCCCCCAACAACCACAGATCGACGAATTCACCCACCCCAAAACCGGCCGCCAATCCCGCTGTTACCGCCTCAACTACCGCTCCATGGACCGTTCATTATCCAACGACGAAGTCGGGGCTTTGCAGAAACAGGTGCAGGAGCGGGTGGTGCGCGAGATGGGTATTGAGATGCGATAGGACGAAAAGACTGTTTCCTTCGTTAGGCGTTGGGAGTTGGAAGGTGGAAGTTGGAAGGTGGAAGGTGTCATGCAACCCATCTCATGGACATGGACATAAGGCGATTGGTTGAAGAAGTGAAAACGATCCAGCATAATTTGACGATCCATGCCTCTTTCCTTGCGATTTTTTCTTCTAAACAAGACGATTATTTATATCGAAACAGTGTTGCGGGGGAGGTTGTGGAAAAAGGGGTAAATTGAAGGCAGGCTACTTTGGAATTTGATTTGGGGGGTAAATATGAAAACATTTGTCTAACAGTAAGAATATGTAGAGAGAAAAAGAGAAGCAGAACGGCGAGAAAAAGAACGACCTGATGAAAAGGAACGGTAAAAGTTCTCTCGAGTGATCAAAAAAGAGAATGAAAGGGGACGATTTTCCTGTAGTCGTCGTATGTAAAACACCAAACGGAAATTTCCTAGGGAAATAGTTGAAAACAGAAACAAAAGAACCACACCGTCGTTCATCTAGAGGTTGACTTAGCTCGCGGCGGCGGCGGGCACTTCACCAGTGACGGGCCCTTCAGCCTCGTTCTGGGAGATATCCCCAAGGTTATGGAAGTCTACCCTCTCATCAGCCTCCCTCCCATAATCATCACAATCATAAGAGAAAAAAAGACGTACCAAGGATCTCGCTGTACATCATGACCTTCCAAGTATCCACCGGCAAATCCGCATCATTAAAACTCCAATCAAACACTTCGGCAGCAACAGGCTCATCCGTGGGGTCGTGGTACGGCGCCAGGTACTCGTGCGCAAGGGCGTCGGCGGCGGATATACGCGTTCGGGGGTCAAAGACGAGCATCTTTTCGAGCAGGTCGAGCGAGGTCGGGTCGGCGTTGGGGAATTTGGTGGCGAAGGGGACTTTTTCGCGCTTGGGGAGGGACTGGACGAAACGGAGGGTCTGGAAAAGAAGTGTGAGCGGGGAAATGGAGGGGAGGGAAAGGGGGCGTACGTTCTCGGAAGCGATGGTCTGGATTACATCGTCGGATGGGGTACCGAGCAATTCAGTGATGATGGAGAATTGGTTGACATGGTCCTTTCCGGGGAATAACGGCTTGCCCTCCAACATCTCTGCAAAGATACATCCAGTGCTCCAGACGTCGACTATCCCACACATTAGCCCAACATCCAACCACGCTGTCAAAAACGACTCACCAGCAACATCGTACTTTTGCCAAGTCAACATGATCTCGGGCGCCCGGTAGTATCGGGTAGACACGTAACCCGTCATCTGCGGGTCTTGGATCCTCGCAAGACCAAAGTCGCAGATCTTCAAGTCGCAGTTTTCGTTGACGAGAATGTTGGAGGGTTTGAGGTCTCGGTGGACGACACCGGCAGAGTGGACGTACTTGAGACCACGGAGGATCTGGTACAAAAAGTATTGGATGAACTGTTTTTCGAGCGGTCGGGAGGTGAGGAGTCGGTGGAGGTCGGTACCGAGGAGCTCGGTGACAAAGTAGCTGTGAAATTGTCAGTATGATACGACGGTGCGATGGCTGGAACGTACATGTCTTCCAGGGGAGAGATGAAAATGTCGCTAAGAGAGATGATGTTTTCGTGTCTCAGGTGCTTGAGCAGCTTGAGTTCTCGATAAGTCCTCTTGGAGAGCACGGGGGTGGAGAAGGGCTTCATAATCTTCTTGATGGCGACAGAAGTGCCAGAGAGCTGGTCCTTGGCAGAACTGGGAAGCGAGGGATGTGAGCTGGGGAAGGTCCGGTAAGAAGGACGGGTGACTCACCACACAAGTCCGAAGGCTCCCATGCCAACTGGCTGGAGGTCGACATAACGGGTGGTGACCTCAAAGACCTGTGCATGTCTTCTGGTCAGCGTATGCATCCAAGCCGTGGCTGACAGGCCGTCCCCAGGGAATGCTGTGAGGGTGAAAACTCAGGAAAACACGCACGGTACCGAAGATCGAGAGCTTTACAAAGTCGGCCATGACTGGTTATCGTAGTCGAGCTGAGTAACTGTTGGGGTGGTAGGGAGTGGGGGGTGGTGGACGGAGGGGAAGAGGGGAGGGTTCAAAAGCAGAGTTGGGGGTCGGATGGGTGATGTTTGGATGGGAGACAGACAGGGAGGAGGAAAGAGGTGAGTCCCTGGATGCGGGGTGGAGGAGGGGAAGACTGACCTTGGTGGCGAATCCTTTGAGGGCCAGAGAGCGGCGGGTGAAGGGAGGGGGGAAGAGAAGAGGGGAGGAGAGATGCAAGTAAAGTAAGACGTCTTCTATGCATCACAGCATCCACGCGGCCAGGCCTTTTCGCTGGAATCAGCGCGCCTATAGCACATCCCGCCCCAGATCTCGTAAGGCGCGCGGCCCAAAGTGGCAAATCCTCCAAGCGGCCCTCGCCCCCGATTTTCGGATCTCCCGCCGATCATCTCCATGCCCCTGACCAACCTGCCAGTGGTGGGCAGGGAGGATATTCCAACGGATTCGTACATGAGCATGCCGTGAAAATACCAGGTTCATGCATCAAGTAGAACCAAACTATGATCTCTTTGGCTTCAACGTTCTTACTTCTTCTTCTTCTTGCCGCCGACACGACCGCTGGAATCAACCTCGGCAGGCAAACTCGTACGTCTTGTCGTCGCACACGCTCATCATACTCTGAATGAATCTCGTACTCGTTCTACAAGGGCAAGTCTGTTTATCAGCTGACGGTACCTACATTCGTAAGGTCAACGTAATCCGCTCAAGGTCCCCGGTTCTCGAGGGGTGGCTGCTGCCTGCTGCCTGCTGGCCCAGCTGTATCTTTGCCATCTTCAGAAGTGCGAATCTCACTCTATTCGTCATCTCTAGCCACCCAGGACTGGCGAACAGCAGAAGAAGGCGGAAGGCGCAAGACGAAAGGCGGAAGGCGGCAGGCAAGGAGCCTATGGATTTTTTAGCGCATTTCCCTTTCCATCCGTTTGGAACTCCCGCCTGCCTGCTTGGACGTTGGAGCTTGGAGCTTGGAGTGACCATAAATAATATGCCTTCTCGTATCTTTTCTTCTCGTAGAGTTGTAGGTTGTAGCTATGTATCGATTATAGTCTGCGCCACAGGCCACAGGCCGCAGGTTACATCCCATCACCAAAAGTCATGCTGTCCGCCACTCGCAAAGAGTAGCACGCTCTCAAGACAACCTTTGCCAGGCAAGATAGAATGTGGTCTTCTCGCCAAATTACAGCTATGCTTCTATCATGTTCATGTCTCTCGCGCGCAAGTACCACCCTGCCTTCCTCATAATTAATTCTCAGCCTTGAACTGTACTTGAGTATCGTGCGCCAAGAGCCCGGAGACGAAGAAGACAGGACTCGTACACTCCACTCTCCAGCCTTTGATATACATAGCTACGAGGGCTGTACCACTCCAAATTACTGCAGGTAGTCATAGCGGTAAGCCGAGGGATCGTCAAAACACGTGCATCTTCAAAGACGGCGATCAGTCTGATATCTCCTACTCATCAACGGTTCATCAAAGTGGGTGTTATGTCTGTCAGAGTGTCTATAATGTGTAGCATGTTTGTATAACTCGCGCATGATGAGATATCCGAATGCGAAGCAGTTGTGTTGGGTGAGGGTGATGCATTTGTAGAGGAGGGGGATGTATTTTCGGCAAAGTGATCGAGAGACGGACGCGTCGTGGGCGAGGGAAACGAGGGTGAAGGGACTGGCGGAGGATTCGACGGGTTTGAGGATGATAAGCAGTACGTCTTTGGGCAAGTATGGGAGTTTTTGGGGGTCTGCATGCGTCACGTCGAGGTTTTGTAGATAAAGTTCGAGCTGTGAATCCGCAACAATCTGGAGCTGATTCGCAGAAAGCATTCCGTCTGTGGCACAGATACCCTGCCCAAAACCATGCAGGTGGCACAGTAGGGTATGCGAAGCCAGGTATATAAGAACATATCAGAACCTTCCATACAGCTAGCATAGTGTTATATCAAGTAGATGGAGTTGATAGACTAACTGCCCTTATCAGTCAACAAGATACCCGTGGTCGCCCCGAAGCTACAATCTGTCCCTCAACCTTTCTTCATCAGCTCAACTAGATCATACCTCATCCTCTCTGCCGTAACAGTATCCGACTGAGGGCTTTGCATTATGACCTCCAGCCTCACGATCCTCTCTTGAGGCGATTGGGAGGCCGCCTCGAAAGCACGGTTGAGGATCAAGTTTCTGACTCGTTCGCCGTTAGAGTGGTCGTAGCTCGCCTCATCCATCAAAAAGTTATATATGATGTAGAAGAGGGGCTCGCGCGTGAGTTTCATGTGCTGTCTAGCAGGATGACATTAGTGAGAGCTTGGTATAGATGTAGAATGAGGCACACTCACGACAAGAACTCGACAACTTCATCCGTTTGTGCAATCGACCAAGAGACCGTACTGCCCCCGAGGCGAATGGCAATACCGCGTTGGGAGGGAGACAGTATCCTGGCGAGGTTGATATTGTTGTAGTCGTTGATCACCAGCAAGAGGGGCTTAACCCTTTGGCAGATTGGTGCCAGATAAATTGGCACGTACAAGTAATGAAACCCATCCGGTCCCCGTAAATATTCTGGCTGTTGGATTGACAGCGCCCCAAAAGGCCCCAGCATCGATTCAAATATCTGGACCCGTCGATCGTGGTCATGCAAGTCGGACCATACTAAGCCTCCTAAAAACTTGTGGGAGAGGTGCACGATGGTGAGAGCGCGGCCATAGAAGAGGAGGCGCCGGGCAGGAGAAGAGTGGTCTTGGCTGCTGGATGTGTGCCCGTACCATTTCATGGGCGGGCTGTCAAGACCCTGGGCAAGAAACCCAGAGAGCGCGAACCCGCATAACCTTGCAGCGACATGATCCTCAAAGCTGACGCGCTGCACATGTCCCGGCATAGCCAGCCTTCTCGCAACTGCCGACTTTTTGTCCGCTAGGTCTCCTTGCCACCATCGTTCCCTCTCATCGTCATCCATTTTGTGGATTGTGTGGTCATAAAAGCAGAGCGGGTAGAAGAAGCCGAAAATATTCCATTGGGTAAGCGTCGGCGATGTGTAAAGGAAGGGAATGAGTCTCTTGTGGAAGGAGCGGGAGACGCGCACAAAGGTGGCGCCGACGTGTCCTAAGAGGACGTACATGACGTCTTCCGGGAGGCGTTGGGGACTGCTGGGGAATGGGTTGTAAGTCAAGTACCGCCACAGCCGCATGATCTGCGGGAAAGAAGGCCCGGCGGCAGATTTACGTTTGCGACGCCAGATACTAGTCATGCTGAGGGTTGAGGATTGATTTATTGGGCTGTAAGTCAACTGCTACAGCCGCATGATCTGCGGCAAAGAAGGCCGGCGGCAAGTTTACGTTTACGTACGACACCAGGTACTATTTGGCTCCGGGCCGTTTTTGAAAGTCTGTGGCCCGTCGATTCCTTCTGTTCAGGCTATATCCCCATCCCCATCCCCATCCCCCATCCTCATCAAACATTGTCCGTCAGACACCAAACAGCTGAACAGAACACCTCGAGCAATCCAGCCCCGACGATCCCTCTATAATCTCCCCAGCTTCAAGCAACTGCTCGTAGTCTACTAGCACTAGAAAATCTTTCACGCCGTTCTGCATGCTAACAGCCCCATGTACTCCATCTAGTACATGACACGTCACGCCACAACGTCCTTTGTCTTTGCATCTCTTACAGTTTATGCTCACTTGACGTCAACTCTGTGAACATGATTTCCTAACGTACCTGTTACACTTTTCCTTCCCCCTCATCCGCATGCATCGTGGAGACGCAGAGGGAGTCTAGAGTAGATACTCGAGGGCATGTTTTGCCCATGAGGGATGATGGCCTGATAGGCCGTTCAACATATAACACCCAGTCCACACACATACAAGCTTACCGGCAATCCACAGACAAACTCATCAACCTCCAACCTCAAAAGTCTTGTTCTCCTGCGGCGCATAAGCAAAGAGCTCAACGACAACCCAGTATCCCACCCAAAGCGAGCTTGAGCAGCTCAGGGCGCGATGCTCGATATCAAAGATTTGTGTAAATATTCTGGGTCGCACATATTCACCCCAGCACCATCCCTGATTTGCTCAAACTCGCCTTGAGGGAGATACCCGCCCGTCATTCAGCTGCTCACCACAGCCACCCTTCTTCCAACCTCCTCAGCACCCCAGCAAAAAGTCAGTCAGTAATATACGCCAAAGCCAAAAGTGTAATTGCCACTGCGCAATGCGGCATGATCCAATATCCAATATCCATGTACGCGGGATAGAAATGCATCCCTCAATCCTAAAAGACTCGGATCCCCAAACACCAAACAATCCACCGCACGACCGTAGGCATCGTACGCGAACTATCGAGCTGTTTAACGGTATCGTCGGAGAGAAAGGCTATCACATTCATCAGCTTCCACCCACGCCAAAAAAGAAGAAGAGCGAGAAAGACGTACGTGTTGTGCTTCCTCCAGGTAGCCTTCTTGGGGTTGTGGTTGTGCTTGGAACCCTTGCCGAGACCACGGTTCTTCTTGCCCTCGGCGGTAAGGCCTCGGGTCTCTCGGTGCTTGTGGACGGGGTTGGCGATCCAGTTGATCTTGGCGTCTCGGCGGATAGCCTTGTGGGAGGGGTCGACGAGGATGACTTCAAAGTACTTGTAGACACCGTCCTGGTTGACCCAGTAGGAGTTGAGCCTATTCCACCCATCAGCCTTCGCCCCCATATTTGACCTGACCAGAAAAGAAGAAGGGGGAGACTTACACTCGGAGGTTACCACACCTTCGGGCAACACGCTCCTCGGCAGTAGCCTTCAAGCCTCGGGGAGACTTGAGGTGGTTGATACCCTGCCTGACGGGCTTACCGTAGGTAGCACCCTTGGGGGCCTGCTTCTTCCTGTTACCCCTCCTGACTCGGACACGGTACACGACGTAACCCTGCTTGGCCTTGTATCCCAATCGCCTGGCCTTGTCAGGTCGAGAGGGTCGGGCAGCTCGGTGGATGACGGCGAGCTGTCGGTAGTTCCAGCATGAGACTCTGAGAGGGGGGTTAGGAGGGGATGAAATGGGGGGAAGGGGAGGGGACGTACCGGCTCAAGAATTGGGAGACCTCGGATTGCCTCTTGTTAGCCAACTCGGCCAAATACCTGATGGTTCAAGCAGGTGGGCGAAAAGAGGGACGGGGTCGTAAAATGATGATTGAGCGGTGGTTGTGTAGGTGGATGCGAGCGGAGCGAGCGACGTCGTGGTGATTGCGGTAGCGAAACCAGCGAGATTACAGCGAGGATGCGAGAGACGAAAATTGTAGGTAGTGGAGATTGGGATGGTTCAAATTCGTTGTTTTCGCCAAGGAGAGATGTGAAAGATGGCCGGAGAGTGCAGGGGACAGTCGCAGAGCACAGGAGGATGTCGTGTACGAGAAGGATAGGCGAGAGGCGATTGCAGAGTTGGTTGCGAAGGAGGATGAAATTTTGTTCAAGAGCGGCCGAAAGAGTGTCGAAAGAGTGATAGAAGAGGGGGAGCAGGAAGACACCAGTAAGCAGCTGCCCTCTCCAGTCCCTGTTCGCCTGCAGCACTCACTTGTAGGCACCCATTTTGAAGGATTGTTTGAGGGATGAGAAAGAACGGGCCACGCAAATCACCAACCACATCTCCACCCGGGCAGTTTGGAGCGGATGTCGCCGCTGCACACGGCGTTTCGCGTGATATTTCGCCGGGTGGAGGCAGAGGGTGTGGCACCTTTAGTCGGCCGCCGGGAGTATGTGCCCTCTCTGCGATATATACATGGATCGTATTTGTATCCTTGTCCCTTTCTTTCTTCATCCTTTACCATGTCTATATCATTCATCTAGGCCACTCTCATTTCCTCTTTGCATTCCGCTTCACAGCCACAACCCTCCATCTCACCCCACTCCACGCTCACCCTCCCTGCCCCTCAAGCTAACCACGGCAACTCCCTTCGCGCCATGTCCGGTGCCCCAAAGGGAGCGTTTCTCTAAGAAAACACAGTATCGCGAGTGTCATGGCGATCGAAGCTGCTGTTAGGAGTGCTTGGAGTCTCATCTGATACGTGGAGGGGCATCAGTGAGTGGCTTACAACAGCATATCGTCAGCCCCCCCTGACGACCTTGCGAAGCTTTGCCAACTGCTACAAATGATCAACGGGACTCACGTAGAGCAGCGACATAAGCAAGATGCTCGCGTGGTAGAAGGGAGCAGTAGGAATGATCCGAGATGATGTGCATATCCGATGTGCTGAGGTGAGCGTCTTATCCAAGTAGGCGCATACATCAACCTGACAGTATCCTAGCTAAGCGCCGACTCCTTCCCCACCCCAAGTTCGAATCCATCCCGTCTTCAAGACGCCAACGGCAACTCCGACACCACCTGATACCAGTCTGCCCGACATGCTTCCCCAAGCAAGACTTGCAGACTTTCCCGGCCCATCGCATACCGCTACCTCATCCCTTGGCCCGATTTCACCCGCGCCGCTTCCGCTTTCGTCTCCCCGCCGGTCACCCGACCCGGCGAGCTTTAAGGCATGCACAAGCACCGTGGCGCAAGGGCGAGGAGGAGACAGCAAAGGCCCTGTCAGTCTCTAATGCAAAGTACGTTATATGATCTTGCTTCCAATATTATACTAACCAAACTACAACACTCGGCCTCCCCGGGATAATCAGGAGTTCTTCGACTGGGACGCCCTATACCGAGGCGCCGACATGCTCACAGAGGACGAGCTGGAAATGTAGCGGGAACTTGTTTACCCAGTACCCAGCCCAAGGGGTCGTTCCTCCGAGGACACTAACTTGCGTATGCTACATACCCTGCCCGTGGCTTTGCCATCTACTTATCCGCGGGTGTGCTGTGGGAGGGAAACAGGCAAAGATAGGCACGAGCATACGCGCCTGTTGTCTTTACGTTGGAGCACCATCACTCGTCCTTGCTGCATCCTCAACGCTTTTCTCACACCCTTTCCTCACTACGGAGGAAGAGATGTCGGGTAGGACGGTATCGGATGTTGTGGGAGTTGTTGCTGGCCCCGTGAAGACGGCATGGATTCAAGCAAGCTTGGGATGGAGGAGATGAGACAAGCGCGCAGCGCGGAGGAACATCAGATGGCTACGCAAGCTTTGCTTTTCTCCGGTATACGCCTATGGAAGGAGAGCTGACGAGACTCTAGCCCAACATCAAATACTCACTCCATTTCAGCTTTGTCGTCTATACGACACCAGAGACAGCTCCGACAACACCAGATACCACTCTCCCCGACATCTATCCCTGTCCAAGTCTTTGCCTCGTACTTGCGCCCTTGACATGTACCCCTCGTGCTGAGACATGTCACCTGGACGCCAACACATTCCGGCTTTCGCCTTCCGCCTTTCGGGTCCTCCGCCCTCACGTTGGTGCCCAATGTGAGTGGATTACCGCAAGCCGGTCATGATTCAATCGGCTTTGTCGGGTCTTTGCCCCTCCTCTCCCTACACTCGCCCCTCCCTCACAGCGCCCGCACCTGACGGCACATACCCCATTGTGAGGTGCGATGAGAACTTTTGGCTGGGCTGGGGCGCTGGGCGGTAGGTAGGCGTCGGGGACGGGAGAGCTGGATGCTGGCGGTTCAGTGTCATGTAATTTATGGACATTTCTTTCTAGTATCATGGAACCTATGGACATTCCTTCACTCATGGATATCAGCTACAGCATGCAGGCGACAGGCAGAATGGCTGTTGATCGGCTGGTTGACTGGTAAACGTCATGGGTGCCTGGGGTTGAAAAGTAGATAAGCCGAGCCGCGGGCCGTGCCCTCTTTTTTCCATCCACCCACGATGCCCCCCCTCTTCCTCGGGCTGGACGCCTCCACCCAGTCCCTCAAGGCCTCCCTCCTCTCTGTCCGCCTCGACATCCAAGACGAGTGCGCAGTCCACTTCGACTCGGACCTCCCCGCCTACAAGACCAAGGGCGGTGTCCGATTTGGCCCAGATGGCGAGGTCAACTCCCCCGTCATGATGTATGTCGACGCTATCGACCTGCTTTTCGACCGCATCAAGCGCAAGGGATGGGACGTCAAGGATATCAAAGGCGTCGCTGCCGCCGGCCAAGTACGTCCCCCACCTCCCTTCCTTTCGCTCCCGAGCTCAGTGGACTGTAGCAACACGCCTCCGTCTACTGGAACCGCTCCGCAACCCACATCCTCTCCTCCGTCGACCCCTCCAACAGCCTCACCTCCCAGCTCCGCGACGCCTTCTCCCGCATGGTCGTCCCCAACTGGCAAGACTCCTCCACCACCGCCGAGTGCCAGTCGCTCGAAGACGCCGTGGGCGGCCCGCAGGCTTTGGCGGAGATTACGGGCTCGAGGGCGCATCAGCGCTTTACGGGGCCGCAGATTATGCGGTTCAAGAAGCTCGACCCCGAGGCGTATGGGCGCACGGCCCGGATCAGTCTGGTTTCGAGCGCGATCACCACCCTCCTCTGCCTCGACGGGGAGATTAAAGGGATCGACGAGTCGGACGCTTGTGGTATGAATCTCTGGGCTATGAACCGCAAGGAACGGGGATGGAGTGAAGAGCTTTTGGAAGTCATCGGGGGTGGAGCCGAGGGGGCTGACGAGCTCGCGAGAAAGTTGGGCACGGTAGAGACGGACGGAGGACGCGTCGTGGGGCACATAGGCAAGTGGTTTGTCGAGCGATACGGATTCAGCCCAGACTGTGCCGTTTTTCCTGGTACAGGCGATAACCCCGCCACATTCCTCAGCTTGACTTGTAAGCCCCCTTTCTCCTTGCAAAACTATAACATCATTTGACTAATCTGTGGGTAGTACGCGAGAGCGAAGGACTTATATCACTGGGCACCTCCGACGTGGTGTTGATCTCGACCAACACATACCACCCCGACGCCGAACACCATGCCTTCTACCACCCCGCGCAGATCGCCCCGCCGAGCGAGCAAGAGATTGAAAAGAGGAGCGGCAGCGAGCCTTTGAGGTATTTCAACATGGTCGTCTACAAAAGTAAGCCCCCTCCATTACCTTGACTTTCCTTCATGAGGTGGACGATGAGCTAACGGCGAAAATAGACGGCTCATTGACCCGCGAACACGTCAGAGACATCTACTTTGACAAATCCTGGGACAAGTTCAACGCTGCCATCGAACAACTCCGTCCAAAGCAAGTTACAGACCTTCCAGCGTCTGCCGCTTTCTGGTGGCTCCTTCCTGATATCGTCGTACGTCCCCCTCCGCCCCTCCTCCCCTCCTCCATCTTCTAAAACCCCACGAACTGAACTAACGTCCGCGCTAGCCCCAAGGCGCCCACGGTACATACAAATACACCACCTCCCCCAAAGCCGGCGCCCTCTTCGAACCCGCCTCCGCCGTGCGCGTTCAACACTTTCCCGACCCCCGCCAAGAAGCCCTCGCCCTCCTCTCCGCCCAGCTCCTCTCCTACCGCGCCCGCTCATCCACCATCCTCTCCGACAGCGGCGGCGGGGGCTTCCTCGCGTCCACCCCTGCGCTGGAGCGCCCGGCCCCGAGGGTGGGAAGGATGTATGCGACTGGGGGGGCGAGTAAGAACAAGACGATTCTGTCGCTTTTGGCGGATGTGTTTAGTACGAAGGTGTGTAGGAATGTAGAGTACTCGCCCTCGGACGGGGAATGGCAGGACGCAGAGTGGAACTCGTGCTCCGTCGGCGTCGCATTCAAAGCCCGCTGGGGCTGGGCCCGCGCCAACGCGCAGACCGAAGCGGGCAGATGGATCTCCTTCGACCAGGTCATCCAGGAATGCCGGGCAGAGAGGCGCAAGTTAAGGGGCGGGGAGGGGGAGGTGGGGGATTTGGAGGAGGAGGGGATCAGGGTGGTGGCGCAGCCTGGGGAGGGGGCGAGGGCGTACGAGAGGAGGATTGAGTGGTGGAAGGGGTTGGAGCGGAAGGCTTTGGAGGATCAGGCGGCGGGCGAACAACTGTAGAGACGTATAGACGAAATGTATAGACAGGATAGGTAGATGGGCAAGGGTCATTGATATACATGGGTCATCCTCAAACACCTCGTACACAAGTCAAGATAGAGATGAAAGATTGGAAGGCAAAGAGTCTAATGCTGAGGGGAAGGGGATGCGTGAATTGCTTTGATGATATGACTGATATAAATGAGAGTTGACTTCTAAATCCCTTCCATCCCTCCCCTACCTCGTCATTGTCACCCGCTAAACCCCCAACTGCCTCTTCGCCTCCTCATAAACAATCCAACTAACCCCCACCGCCGGCCCCACCTTCAAAATACTCGGCAACAACCCCTTATACAGCCCCCTCCACCCCTCATTCCTCATCGTCTGCCGATACACATCCATAAACCCCTCATACCTGTGCGGATGGCCCGACGAGCCGCTCGCCTGGAGCCGCGTGCGGAGGAGGTTGATGGGGTAGACGGAGGCGGCGCCGATAGAGCCGGAAAGGGCGCCGAATGTGAGGACGGCGAAGACGGGGGGGTCGTCGGTTTGGGCAGAGGTGCAGTAGGCGGTTTTCAGGGTTTCGTAGGTGCCCATGTCGATGGCGCTGTATGGGAAGACGCCTACCAAACCGAGCTGCCTTTTCGTCAGCTTCTTCTTCTTCTTTTGAGGGGAGGAAAGGGGGGGGGGGGGCGGTACAGTCAAACCACGATAATAAGTCCTCACCCCACCAGCTCTCCACATCTCCCCCGCCGTCCTCTTCACCTGCCGCCACCCCTCATTCGGCCCTATATCACTCTGTATCCTCGTCTTGAGCGTCTCGAGCCCGTATATACTGAGCTGCGAGGTGATACCGCCCACGCCGCCCGAGATGAAGCGCGAGGAGGAGGACAGTTCGGATGGGTCCGAGACGCAGTCCCAGTATTTGGCGAGAAACTTTTTGGATTGTTCGTATGAGACGAATTTGATTGCTGATTCCTATCACCCACCAATCAGCTCTTGCCCACCCCACAACAAAAAAGAAGGAGAAGAAACGTACAGGGAATATTTTCGTAACGTTCAACCCGTTCCCAACCCAGAACGCCCTGATCCCCTTTCCATCCACATAAATCTTCTTCATCGCGCCCCACAGATTCGTCATTGCCCTAAACCCATTCTTGAACGGGTGCCCAATCCCCGGTTTCCGATTAAACGACGAAAAGTCGTCCGTCGTGATCAGATACACCTTGAGCCTATCAAACGGCGCCGTCACCGACCTCGACACCCCGCCCGCCACACCCCCCGCCAACAAGAACCGCCACGCCTCATGCCGATCTTCCTGCGCCTCCCCGGCGAGGAGCTCGTCGTCTTCGGCGGAGGGGGTATCTGCAAATTCTTCGTCCTCCAGGCCGTGGGATTTGGGAGGGTGGAAGAAGCCCGCGGCGGTGGAGGTGGAGGGGGCGTTGGGCGCTTTGGGGAAGGAGATGTTGATGTCGCCTTCCTTGTCGACGCGGGCGGCGCCTCGGCCGTCAGAGAAGCGTTTACGCACTTGGTAAACTGCTGCCGTCAGTGGAGTCTAGGGAGAGAGGAGGGGGCGCACATTTGTAGATTTCAAAAGGCGTAGCTTTCCGCGGCAACATGATCAAGAAATCTCTGAAATCGCCAAACGTCAGATACACCTCCGTCCTGCCCTTCTCCTTGTTTCCAATCTTGGGCGCGCCGTGCTCGCTCGCATGGCTCGCGAGGTAATGCACCAGTTCTGATACTGTAGCGGGGGTGACGTCGATCCCAGAGCGGGAGAGGGCTTCTCTGATTTCTGATGAATCGAGCCGGCCGTCGCCATTCTTGTCGAGGTCTTGGAAAATGTCCCATAATTCCCTCTCCTTATCCCACAGAAAGCGCCTGCACATGATCAGCCCTTACCCCCTTCCGTCTCGCGCGTCGAGCGCACCTAAAGTCTCCCCACGCAACCCCCGTTCCCTTCTTCCCCTTCAGATGCCTCACCTCCGGCTCCAAATCATCCGGCCCACCCCACAACGCACTCTCCGGCCTCTTCTTCGCTACAGTCTTCACCAGCTCCTCCTCATACAGCCTCTTCAGCCTTTCCGCCCTCTCCAGCGAGAGCGCCTCCGTCGTCCCCTGCCCCGGCAGCTGCATCTTCTTCGTAGCCGTCGGCTCGTCCCCGTCCGGTAGAGACGGCAGGGAGGGCAGGGAGTTCCATAGTGCGCGCAGCTTGGCAGCGCGGGCGGTGGGTCCTTCGGAGGCGCGAAAGTCGGCGAGGGAGGAGCGGTTGGCGGAGGGGATATCGGGTCCGGGGGGTTCGCGGAGGGACATGGGGAGCGGAGGGGGGGACGGGTCGGACGGGGAGGGGGTGATGGAGGGGTCGGTATGGGGAGGGTGGGGGCCGAGGGTGTAGTGGGGTGGTGAGGAGGTCATTATGAGTGTGCTGAGGGGGGCTGTGAGGGGTGTTTCTTGGCTGCTGCACTGGTGGGTACGCACGCATGAAATGGCTATGGGTGCTTGTAACGTGAACTGTGTCCCGTGAGCCATACCCTCTCTATCCATGGTTGCACTCACAGTCTAGATGCGTGGGCCGGGACGGATGCTGCGTGGAAGGGACGGGTACTTGTATGCTCTGTGTCAGGTGTCGGGTATGCCGTGCTCGCTGATGGGGGCTGAGTGGGGAGTAGGATGGGCAAAGATCACCGCGCACACCAAGAAGCATGCACCAAAAAGGACATCCAAGTTGCGTCGAAGAATCCTCGCGGCAGTGTCATCACCGCCCACTCTCATTGGCCCGTTTAATCCCGAAACACTGCTGGGCCTCCACTTGCATCGCTACGCTGCCAGTTTCTCCTAACGTACTATGCATGCTACAGGCATCTCTTCAGGGGGGTGCAAGTGGGCAATAATCAGTATGGATATGCATTATTAGCCTGATTTCGAGCGGTTGGTATTGCATACCGCTCAGCAAGGCGCGCAAATCATCATTCAACATCATGACGATCGATCCTTTCCTTCCCGTGCTCTTCCACGCGCATTTCAAGAGAGGCATTAAGGCCTATAAACCCTGCCATTAGCTACAAGTCTCCTATCAGCACTTTTCTAGGGGTAAGGCAGGGAGTGCAGTCGAACGTAGATATCACATATGGCAACTTGACGTCAGCTGTATCAGACTCCGAGCACAGATCTGGTGTCGGTCTCCATCTCCAGTATGATTCATTCTTAGAACTACTATATACAAAGGAGGGCATTCTACTGCTCCTAATTCTTATGCATTCTTCTCTGCATGATCCAGATCATTGCCTCCCAAAACGCCACTATCCAAAAATCAGCTCATACCTCAACCCAGCATCATCATCTCAGGCAAACCCGCAAAGTCACTAAACCCAAGAGCCCCCAGAGCTTTCAATAAGAGTGGAAAGATGTGAGGAAAAGCGAAGGCCGCGAGTGGCGGGTTTGGTGTTGGAAAGAAAGAATTTGGTCAACGCGACGTGCGTGCGCTTCTGTGCGGAAAGACCTGGTATTCCGTCACCAGAGGTTCGTATCGGTGCTTTCTTTCTACTCATAATAGTTGGAGGGCTAGATTCGGCTTCTTTTGAGTCCAAACTGGGTCATGGGGAGGCGTTCGACAGGGTAGGAATCAAGATGACGGGGGTTAACGTTAGCATCTTGAATCATGCCTGTCAGCAGTTCTGACAGTCGGCTTCGTCAGATAGAGATGAGGCCGGAATGGTGGAATATTTCTGTATATCATACATGTAATCAGTGCTCTCCGATACCATGCCCCTCGAGAGACTTGCTGTCACACTTAGTATGGCTTTGGCGTCGAGTTGTGTGGATGGTTGAAGGACTCTCGGCTGTACATACTCACTTCATATCTCATTGTTCTACTCTTTCCATGCGAGAATACCAAAAAGGTCTTTTTCCCCTCTAAAAACACTTTTTCCAGTCACTGTACTGCTGCGTCCCAGCTAGGCCGTGACACTTGCACTCCCAGATTGACCCAGGTCTTCAACCCCGCAGCAAGATTCCCTGATCATCGGACTGAAGACCCATTCCATCATCAACTCTAACCGTTCTTCTTTTTATGCGCCATTTTCCACATGCCCCACAGCCCCCCCTATGACGACCAATTAGTACTATAATCCTCTCACTAGTCGCGAAGCTTCATCCACACCCCAGCGGTCTACATGTAATAGCCAGACTCACAGGGAGCAATCACTATGATCCCACAGATAATCAACGTGAAAGTGAACATGAGCATCGCAATCTTCTTTCGGCGTTGATATCTGAGCTCTGCACCGCCTTCAGCCTGTGTTTTCCAAAAACGTCAGTTTGCGCAAGATCCTTCTCGGAGAGCCGGGGACTGACTTTCAAGAGTCGCCCGGGCAGAGCAAACGTCTTACGCCTCCGAACCGCCCTCCCCTCATCATCAACATGATTCGCTCCGTAAAAAGTGACCTGCGCACCCCCGCCCAGCTGCTTCATTACCCCCTCTGTCAACTCGTCTTTCCAGAATATATTCACCAGACAAGACGAGGCAATGAATGTACACTGTGTGCACATTGGGCATAGTGTCGAGCAGTGGTACGGAGAGTGGGAACGTTTGGGAGAATAGAGGTTTGTGAGCGCCCACATGCCTTCCATCGTGTCGATCTCGAGCTCTCGAACACACTCGAGACAATCCAACTTTCGCTTCCTACTCTTCCTCTTCTCCAAGCCTACCAACAGCCCCTCAGTCATCCGGACGCGACGATAAAGATTGTACTTTGCATGATCAAAGATCACTGGTGCGAGGGACATGGTCGTGCTCGGGCCGAGGTATTCCCGCTGGAGGAGGAGGGCGAGGAGATGGTCGTGGACTGGCGCGAGGGGCGTTAGAGTGGTGAGTGTCGGTTCCGGTGGCGGCGAGAGAGGAGCGAGTTGAGTGGGGGCGTCAGAGTAGGAATTGCAGAAGGTACAGCCTGCATGACTAGGGGCAGGAACAGCGATGGGCCGGGCGAGGTCGTAGCGAGGGCGCAGTGGTTCCATGGGTAGATCCTGATTCTGTGGACGGGTTTGGTGCGGTTGTTGTGGTGTAGTGGCAGGACCGAAATGGTGAGATGGCGTGATCGTTATGATCGAGATTATGTAGAACACAGAGAGTTTGCTTAAAGATATTGAGAGGCGGGAGAGAGACAATTTAATGTGCGGAGAGTCTCGTCATGTTGTCGGTACGCCGTGCGTTTTGCGGAATCGACTGCTGACACTTGTTTCCGCTCGTAGCTGCAAGCCCTGAGCTCCTCGAATCCAAATTCAACCTTGCGAATAGGCCGAGAGCATAGACGAGAGACGTAGGTGACACTCAACATTGTATCATGAATGAGATCATCCTCTGGAGGGCTGAGCCCATCTCGAGATCCACTTTGTTCCGCCTACATCTCCTCGTTTCGATCTCGGAAAGGCGATGTCCTTCGTAAGATGCATACATAGATGATAGAATACTCGTCGTTCTCAACCGATAACAGAGCCGATGAAGATACTTTTCGTGATATGATGGGGAACGTTCAAGATACGTAAAAAATCGTGATATGTCAGACTAGACGATAGATGACCTCCTCCATCCCTCCTCCCCTCTTACTCCAGTCCCTCAAGCGGGATGATAACATGATATGCGAAACGACCTATGATTATACACAAGTACCCCCATCTCTTTTCCAGAAAGTCCTTGCAATTCTCCTCATGGAAATATAATCATCTCCTCAAACCACCCCATATTGTCGCCTTCTCCCCACTAGCAGGCCTCGGACCAACAGGTTTCAGAGGCGACCATCTTTTCGTCTTTGCCTCCTTCTCCTTCTTGGGCGTCTTTTCCAACATCTCCTGCTTTTTTTCCACCTCCTCTCTCGGCTTTGCCTTCTCCTTCTCATTATATTCTTGTGCTGGTACGACGATGGGCACCGAAGCAGGAGCAGGGACAGGCGGGACAGGCGGTACACCACCCCCACCTCCTCCTGTAATGGCAGCAACAGCCCCAGCAGGAACCAACAACGCCGCACTCCTCTTCCCCCTCACCCCTTGTCCCTGCGTACTATGCGTCACCGAATGCCCACTGCTCGACCCCGACGCCGAGACCGAGGCCGACGTTGACGTTATCGAAAGTGAATGCGCGAGGGAGGAGTGTGATTCCATCGAGTGCAGTGATATTGGCGCATGGGGAGAAAGAGGGGAAGGTTGATATGATGATGTTGTGGGATAAGCTGGGGAGAGAGAGGTGGGGTTGGAAGAGAGGTCGGAGGAGTGGATTGAACCTTGATGAGAGTGTCGGAGAGGTGCTTGCTGTGTCCTCGACGCTCCGGCCTACACCAACATCAGCTTCAACACCCCAAGTGATTCGAGATACATACCAAAGGAACGCTCTTCAACCCTTCCCCAAACTCCCCAACCAACCTCCTCCTCCCTCTCTGCCTCTCCCTTCCCCTCGCACCAGCACCATCCCCACTAGCCCTCAAATCCCTCTCATCAATCAGCGGCTCCCCTGTCCAACTATTATCCCCCTCCCCTTCCCCTTCCCCTGCCCCTTTGGCGGAAACAGGTTCTCTCGGATCCGTACTACTCCTCGGCGTAGGCGACAGCCCAAACAACCGCTTCATCGGCCTGATCGCATCATCCCCCGCCGGCGTGACGTGAGACCTCCTCGCCGTCGAGATCAAAGCTGGCGATACGGGCGAGGGGGCGTACAAACTCTTCTGTGGAGACGTTTCTCGTGATAAGGAGGGCCCGGTTTGAGAGTTGGACTGGCCGGTATGGGATTGAGATGACCCTGTACCTTCCCACTCTGCCGGTACGGGTGTCGCTGGGACGCTGCCAAAGACCGAAACACTGGCGTGGCGGTAATCTTCATTATCCCGACGGATTGGCGATCCTGGAGGTCTGAGGGGCAATTCGGGCGAGTAAGCCGGCGGTTCCCGTCCAGTCAAAGCAGAATAGAACGTTTCAGTACTCGTCCGCGAATCCTTGTCTTTCTCTTTCCCCACACCTGCAAAAGACGAGTTGCTCCTCGGCTGTTTCTTCAGAGCAAAAGCCAAGCCGGGGGGGATGGGAAACCGCATATGTTCGCGTTCACCGCTGACTGGACGGACTTTGCTGGGCGAGATTTGGGGTATGGGGATGTTGCGGCCAAATTCGGCGACATCCATATCTCGCTCCGATAGATGTCTGCTCCCAGGCGTCTCTGGCACGGAGACAGAGAACGTCATACTCGGCCGGGTCTCGTGCCCTGACGAACTACCTTCCGGCAAAGCAGGCTGCTGCCGACCACCCCCCGTGGACGGCCTGGACCTCGAGCTCGAAACGTTATTCGACCATTTCGACGACGAAGTCTGCGGCGGCACGCGATAAAATAGCTGGTCCTCATCCAACACCCTCTCATACTTCTGTCCCGTCCCCGACGTCTCATTGCCGCTTGAACTCGTGGTCAAGCCCGCCGCTGACCGTTCTTTACGTACGCCAAAGACGCCGGCGGCAGCTAGGGCTCCGGCCATAGCGCCAGAGACCATTCGTCCTCCCATGCCCACTCCTGAGCTCGGATTCTCCCCGCGTTCGGCGGTATTTCCACTCGTCCGTCTCTCCCCTTCAGAAGACCCAGAATGTCTCGGCGACGGCGAAGGCGCCCACCCCAGCCCGAGAGTGAGACGATGCAGGAGAGATTGGTTTTGCCGCACGAGGTCCTTCATCTCAGGGTCGTGTTCGCCGGCACAGGTGGATGGTCTGGGGAGAGGGAGAGGGGCGATGGTGGAGATGGAAGACGAGTTTCGGTGGTGTTGAGCGATGAAATCCGGGAGGAGGGCGCTGTTTTCGTCTGGGGAGCGTAGTCCTGCGGGAACTGCAGCTGGATCTTCTTCCTTACTTCTCTCACTCGGCTTCTCAGAGGTGACGACAGGGACAGTCGCCCACTCTTTCGGCGTGAACAGCCATGGGAAGAAGCCAACATCCCTATTCGGCCGTTTCTTCCGCCAAAGGTAGAGAAGTATGAGGAGAGCTAGGAGGGCGAGGCCGAAGGGAATAAGAGTGGCGAGAAGAGGGGCTAGTAGGTGGCGATGGGACGAAGTTGGGGCAGCGCCGAGGGTGGAGGTGGAGCTGGCAGTTGGTGAGGATGAATTGAACGAGCTTTGAGTTGTCAAACTAGACGAGCTCGATGAAAGAGTGGCAGAGCTAGAGCTAGGAGTTGAGCTAGAGCTGGATACGACCGATCCCGATGAGGATCTCGTCGTGCTCGTACTAGCCGAATCCGTAGCGCTCGTCACCGACGTCGTTGCCTCGCTCGCAGTGCTCGTGCGAGTGTTGCTCCTCGAGCGCGATCGGTCGGAGGATCGAGACGGCCTCGCGGAGGACCATGAACTAGTTGTGGTTGACGAGCTCGAGCTGCCCGAAGACTCTTGCCTCGAGGTGGCTGAAACAGATGAAGCGGTCGAAGCGGGCGAAGTGGATCCGCCATATGTCCAGCCTTGCGCCAATGGTATGGAAGGGCCATAGTCTGCCGCGAGTCAGCCACATGTAGAAACATCATACGGGTACTCACAGGTGAGAGGCAGCTCGACGAGGCTGCCAGTGGTGACGGGCACGCCGTCTATGGTCGTTTCGTACTACTCACGGTCAGCTCAGTTCTCCGAGGTAGAAGAGCACTCACTGGGACATAGGTGATCCAGTCGGGCAGCTCTTGGCCCCCAGGCTCCGTCGCCCTCTCTTCCATTCTCGCTCTCAGCACTCTGATATTCTCTGCTAGCCGCTCCCTCGGTCCCAGTAGTCGTGAGTCGTCCAGGTCGGCGTCGCCCATGTCTTCCCAAGAGGTAGCGGTATCGCGCAAGAAGTGGCGTGTATCTCAAGAAGAAAGAGAAAAGAAGATGAGATGGGAATGGTTCCGCGGGAAGGACCTCGTTCAACATTGAGGTATTGACATCCTTTGGGCCGTAGCTCAGACACGGCGGCACGTCGCGTGTGCTCGAGACCGAGTAACTGGGGCTGGCGGGGGTAGCAGAGACCGGTCGCTTGGGGATGATAGAGGAGAGGGGCGCACCCCATCCCACCCTACCCCTACCCGTACCCCCCTCGGCCCCATGTTGAATGATGCCTCATGCTGTGCTCTAACAAACACCGCCCACAGTCCCTTCAACTGCACAGACAAGTGTAGCTGCCTCCACCGGAAATTGTGCGTACGTAACACGCCCGGCCATCTCCGCCGGCGGCCGCCGAGCCCGCCATCACGTGCTGCCGTGCCATAACAGCCGGGCTGTATTTTGGCTGACATTCCAGCGTTTTGTCTCTTTGCCCTCTATCCACCAAAATGTCGGCGCGTCTCTCCGCTCTCAGACGTCCCCTCGCAAGGTCAATCAGGCCTCAAGTCTTGCCCCGACGCTTCAATTCGACCGTGCCCCCGTCCAGAGCCCCGGCTGCAGGCATCTCTGCCGCCTGGTACGCCCTCTCCCTCGCCCTCTTCACCGGCGCCGGCTTCTTGCTCGGCAACGTCCAGACCCTCCCCCCGTCCACCTCTCTTCAAGAATCATCCAAAGCTATCGCGCACCAGCTCCAGAACCAGCCTTCATACGGGTCTAGGCAGGATTACCTTTCGGCTATCAAAGAGCTGCAGGCCTCTTGGGAAAAGAAGGGCAAGGGGGACAAGGTGTCGACTGATGATGCTGATTTGGAGACGCATGGGATCAGTGATTGGTCGTACCATTCGGCTGAAAAGCCGACGGTAGTAGTCTGGGCCAACTCGACAGAGGAGGTACAAGAGATTGTCAAGATCTCGGCAAAGTACAAGGTCCCCATCACTCCCTTCTCTGGCGGCACCTCTCTCGAGGGGCACTACTCTTCCCCTTACGGCGGTATCTCGCTCGACGTCTCAGAGATGGACAAGATTATTGAAATATCAGAGGACGATGGAGAGGCGAGGGTACAAGCCGGTGTCAAGTGGGAAGACCTCAATGCGTATCTGAAAGAAAAAGGCGTCCCCCTCTTCTTCCCTCTCGACCCCGGACCCGGAGCCACCATAGGAGGTATGGCCGGGACAGGCTGTAGCGGTACGAATGCCGTCCGATACGGTACCGCCAAAGCCGAATGGTTCCTCAACCTCGTACGTCCCTTCCCCTCCTCCCCTCTTTGACTCGAGCTGACAAGAGCAAACAGACAGTGGTATTACCCACTGGCGAAATCATCCGTACCCGCTCCCACGCCCGAAAATCCGCCGCCGGCCCCGATACCACCAAGCTCTTCATCGGCGCCGAAGGCACCCTCGGTATCGTCACCGAAGCGTCCCTTCGCCTCGCCCCTCTGCTCCCCACCAAATGCGCCGTCGTCACTTTCCCCGGCGTCGAAGAGGCTGTCAAGGCGGCGACGGAGGTGGTGAACAAGGGTTATCCGGTACAGTGTGTAGAATATTTGGATGGAAAGACGATGGAGGCTATCAATAAGGGTGGGCTGGCTGGGAGGCAGTATAATGCGGTGGACTCGTTGTTCTTCAAGTTCCAGGGGTGAGTCTTTCATCCCTTTCTTTTCTGGGTATTGGCTGATTTTGGGAATAGGTCTGATGCGCAGATGGCTGAAGTGGCTACCTCAGTCAAGAGCCTCGTCTCCAAACACGGGGGCGCCAATTTCGAATTCTCCAAATCCGATAAAGAAGCCGATGCCCTCTGGCAGGGGCGGAAAGCGGCCTTATGGAGTGTTTTGGGGCTGGTCGATGGTGCGAGAGTGTGGACTACTGATGTCTGGTGCGTCTCCACTTTAGACCGGATAGCAGAGAGCTGATATAGGGTAGTGTGCCGATTTCGAAATTACCGAGACTCGTCAGGGAGACAAGAGAAGATTTCGATGAACGCGGTCTTATCGCCTGCCACTTCGGGTCAGTCCTCCCTCCCCTCCCCTCCTTTCTCTCACCCCACTAACCCGTTATCCAGACACGTCGGCGACGGCAACGTCCACTCCCTCGCACTCTTCCGCTCCCCCGAAGAACTCGCCCGCGTCGAAGAAGCCGTCCACGCCATGGTCGAGCGCGCCATCTCCCTCGGCGGCACATGTACCGGCGAACACGGTGTGGGGCTCGGCAAGATTGAGTATTTGAAGCAGGAACTGGGGGAGGGGACTGTTAATCTGATGGAAAGTGTGAAGAGGATGGTTGATCCGGGGTGTTTGATGAATCCGGGCAAGGTGAGTTTGCTTTTCTGTTGTGTTTTTGGATGAGGTTCAGAGGGGTGCTGATGGGAGCCTAGATTTACCCGAATATCATTCCTAAGAAGCAATAATAGTGGTCTGGTGAGATATCGGGAGGGAGAGGGAGGCAGTCTTGGGCTTATTCGCGACATACGTATGTTTACGACGGAGATGTATGGCCATAATGGATTGACAGCTGCATATCCTTGGGAGAGTGCAGTCTTGTGCCACAATGGAATGGACTACTACAGCTATACGGCCAGGGCTCCTCCCATTTCGTCATTGACGTAGCGTAGTGCAGACACGTACTCTACAACAGGTCGGCGGGAAGCATCCTATATAAGAGTACATTCGTTCGTTCATCGAGTATCCTTCACTCCTTTATATAAACTCGCTCACCATGTCCACAAAGACAGCCCCTCTCACTACCCTCGAACACCTCCCCAGCGAAGTGCAAATCCTCATCTTTGAGCACCTCCAACACTCTGCCGAAAAACCTCTCCTCGCCAAGCTCATCCTTCTCTCTCGCCAACTCCACACCGACCTCATCCCCATCCTCTACGAAAGAGTCAGCATCACCTCCAAAAATGCGTCCTTGTTCTTCTCCGGTCTAGAGCACGACGCCGAGATGTTTGAAGAAGAGAAGGCGCGTTGGGTCGATATGCCCTGGGAAGAACGAGCGTCGCCCGCAGCTAGGCGGATGTACCTCCTCAGCCTCGTTCAGACCGTCTCTATCCACGACCTCGATGCTCTCCTCGCATGTTGCTCAGCAATCGCAACGTTGGAAAGACTTTTACTGCCCTTCCCGCAGGTGGATCATCTCCCCGGCCCCAGATTATTGCTGTTCAGTGGGCTGAAGACTGTTGGGGACATCACAACGCCCAACGGTCTTCATCTACCTCGTTCTTTCTTCACCTCCATTCGTCATGTTCCTTCACTTCCCAATGAGATAATCAACAGCGCTGGTCATTTCGCTCGGCCTGCTTCCATCATTAGCCTCACCGGCACCCAGGAAGTCTTGACCTTCCACCACGACGTGCATAAGCTGTTATTCGATATCCTGCGCTTTATTTGGCCCGCTGCGCTGATACTGCATAATACGGACCTGAGCGATCTCTATTTTATCCAAACGAACTGTCTCACGTGGGTATACGTGAAGATGCAGAAAACGAAGGCGAGGGGAAATAAACACGAACAGCAGCTGATGGACCTCTTGGGGTGAGTACGATCACAGGGCATAGTGCTCATCCAAGGCTAATCCGACCGGTAGCTGGTGTTCATATGAGGACAGGGAGATGAAGGTTCTCGTTGATAATTACTCTTTCGAGCGCGGCGAGGGCTCAAAAGAGGTAGTCGCGAGAATGATGAAGATGCTAAAGCAGATCTGGCCCAGCCATCATACGAAGCTTTTCCTCGCAGAGCGAGGGTGTACAGTGGCGGACAAGCTAGTACCGGGGTGAGTGTTCTTGTGGCGAGCGAAGTCAATGACTAAAGCAAGGATAGGAGCTCGTAGTGTGCGCATTACTCACAATGCTATCATTCTGTCAAGATCTGATTATTTGCATCATCCACACACTGGTCCATTATGCTCTCAACGTACGCCTCGCGGAGGGAGACGGGGCGGAGGCGCCGGTGGAATTTTACAACTCTGTCGTTACAATTCTCGATCATGCAATCAGATTCCATGTTGTCAAACCTATCTGAAAATCTCTTCCACATTTTCCTCTGTCCCGTCAAGAGGCATACTAAAGTATGTAGCTCACACCCCTCAACATCGCGCGTACGTAAATTCGAGATAAGATAACGCCCGCGCGCCAGGCACTTCCGACGGATCTGAGATTTTCATCCATCCATCCTTGTTTTCCCTTCCCGCTTTCAACCTCTGTCCACTCCTCTTTCCGCTCCTGCTATGATATCACCGCTTTGATACAGTAGCGGGACAAGAGTGGAAAGAAGTGGGATGATCTGGAATCATGGGCGGGGTGCGTTATGGAGGGGTATTTGCATGGGTTTCATGTCTATGCATGTTTGCTATTGTCTTCTGTTTTGAGTGATCATCTTTACTACATCATCCTACATCTGCATCCCAGCCTACCGACAGACTATGACCAAACAACCAACAACTCCCCCGCCCGAGAGGTAAAATGCCTAACAAGTCAAGGCCGGATGCAAGGCGACTGACCTAGAGCTTCAGAGCGAGCGACTCCTTTAACAACGAACGCAAGTATATATCGGAGGGAGAAGTTACGGAGGAGGGACAGTGTCGGGTGTCGACAAGACTGGCAAAGAAGAGGAAGTCAATCGAGCAAGAATCGTACGAATTTCCAGATCTCATCCTCGGGAGCGAGAGACGAGGGACGTGCTGACAAATACAAAGGCATGAAGAAGAGCCCGAGACCACAAAGCCAGCGAGGCCGGTACACAAAGCTGCCCGACGGACACGATCAGTCAACACCAGTCCCCGCACTTTGGAGAAGAAAGCGACCTCACGCGGAAGGCCGAGTTTGGACCAGGTCGCCGAAGCGCAGGAGGCTGGTCAGAGTGCGTATCCGACACCGAACAAGACGCCGAGGAGGATTGTCGTGCATGATGAACTTCCTTCGGCCGAGGGGTCGCGCAAGAATGACGGACTGATCTTGCTGCTTCGTGTTATGGAAGAGGCGGAAGAGAGCGATAGTGACAGGGATAGTGACCGCGGTGATGGCGCCTCACCCCCACCTGTGCCCATGCTCCGTGCGGGCTATCAACATGAAGGTCCGCCACGCCCCTTCGCGCGAGTATCGTACGCGGACCTCTATCCGAGGCTTGCGCCATTTACTCTGCCACGCCTTGGAAGCCTGTACTCATGTGTATATTCGCAGCGATAGGGAAAATGGGGGAGAATGACTGACTTGATGGTTCAGGGTTTCTAATCTAAGGACTACTTTGACGACTCTATGAGTAGCCGACGGATCAAGGCGTTGAGTACCGAGAAGAATACCGTGAGAATGAGAGGAAAGACAATAGACAATTTATACTGGTTATATGCAAGGATCAGGTTTCTCATCACTGATGCCGGAGCATATACACGCACATCTCCCATGCATCCCTTGTGCACACTTGTGCATCTCCAGAAACGCCATTGATTGATTGCATTGTTGATTGTCTGCAGATCACCCTATCTTTACGTAAATGGCGAAATCGCCGAATGCTGCTGCTGCACTGCTGGAATCTGCTAGCGCTATTATTGTGCTCTTTCCATCAGCTGAAAGGTGTATATACACTCCTCGTCATCATCGCCATCCTTGTGTGGCGCGTGTAGCCCTTCCTCCCCTGTCGATCATCCATCATCCCCCACCTTCTCTTCCGACGCAAAGATGGGGCGACGTAAGCCTGGCAATGCCCCGCGAAGGCCGACCATCAGCTGAGTCTTCTTTCCTCCGCTTCGTTCAGGAAAAGCCGAGCGATCGGACCTCGCTGTATACGCTGCACACTCTGTGTTTCCCCCCGGGATGTGTGCTTTCGACTGCTTTTTGTACTTTGAAACGGCTCGGGGCATCGCTTTTTGTTGTTTGTGGTGACTGCCCCAGGCACGGCTATTGTTTTCATAAGCCTCGCCCCTTGCGCGCTGCTTATTGTTCTCCTTCTATTGTTCTCTCAGGAGCATTCCGATGCAGCACACAGAGTGGATACTACATAAGCACCGTTTGGAATACATTCTTTCCGACAGCTCTCACTGCCTCCCACACACAGGATCGACAGTCCAACACGCCCTGTCCCGTCGGCTTCCCCTGCACTGCTCCCTTCACGCCGTTTAAAGCACCATGCCCGCTTCCCATCCCCACTCCTCTCCCTCTCCTTCACACATTTCCGCCCAAAGCTACCCTTCCGCCCAAAGCCATCCTTCTCTCAACCACCTTTCAACCTGCTCGACTCCTTCAGCAGCTTCATCGCCCCCTCGCACCCCTACTTCAACCCGCTTTCCCATCTCGAACCCATCAACACCCATCTCTCTCCGTAGATTACCGCCATCTACTCCCAGCCCATCTCGTCTTGCTGCCACCCCACACACCCTCTCACCTCCCACAGTCCTCCGCTCTCCCCGTCCACCAGCCATTCCGCAATTCTCGCTATCCAACATGGTTTTTACATCCCAGTCAAACTACCTCGCCGCCAAGGTTGACGTCAATTTTGAGCAAGGGGGCGTCGTCGATATGATTGGTGGTCCCAACACTGGGTGAGTTCATTTTGCCACCTGCCTCGTGTCGAAAGCTGACTCAACTTCCAGTACCTCGTACTCTCTCCCCGGCCACATCGTGCTCACTTTCAACTCGCTTCCCGCCCCACTCGAGGGCCGACTGCGCGAAATCCAGAGCCTCGAGGTATTGATGGAGGGCAAGAGCGAGTTTTGGGACGATGCCGGTAAGCCTTCCATTTACCGTTCCGCTTATTCCGATCAACTCGCTTATCTCCCCTAGGACGATACACTCCCATGCGCCTTCACTCTCAGACCATGACTCTCGCCACCCCCTCGAGTCCGCTGCTCATTCCCAGTACCGACCCCTCTCGGCCCCATGCAGCCAAGTTTCAGCTCGCCTTGCCGTTCGACATGCGTCTTCCCGGCTGGCTGCCGAGCACACAGGCTTCGGATATGACCGCCACCTCTTATGGCTGTCTTGTCAAGGCTGTCGTCGGATGGACTGGGCCTTCTTCCAGCTCTTCCGTGGCTAGCTCGAGCTCGAGCGCGTCGTCCGATGTGTTTATGGACGACATCCTCCCTCCCCGGACATACACCAAAACATCTCCCGCCAGCCGCTTGTTCGGCAACTCTTCTCTCCTTCCATCTTCCTCCCACACCTCATCATCCAAGTTCTCGCCCTTCACCATCCTCCGACACCGTATCGCTCCTCCGTCTTCATCGGCCCAAGTGCCAGAAGTGCAGGAAAGGCACTTTACACTCAAGCCGGAGAAAGATAGTACCTCTCCGGTGGAGTGTGTGGTCAGTGTGCCAGAGTTTGTGGATGTCAATGGGGAGGAGAAGAGTCTGAAGATTAGCTTGAGGATCAGGGCGAGGAAGGATGTCTTTAACCAACCTTCTGCTTCCTCCTCCTCAACTCCTTCCGAGCAGTCAACGCAGACTGTGGCTGAAGCTGAGGAAAGCACGGGTGAGCTCGAGTCTGTGCCCATGGAGCGCGAGTCGAGGCAGAAGAAGAAAGACGAAGATGTCTTGACGAGGATGATTGAGCTTGGGATGGAAGTTGAAGAAGTCGAGTGGTTCTCGTAAGTCCCTTCCCTCTTCATACTTTCACCCATTGACTCTGCATAGATCTACACCTTCCGCGTCCTTCCTCGCCACCTTCCCTGTCCCTGACGAACAACCGTCTACCCACTCTTCCGAGCACAAACTCCTCTCCCCTCCTTCGCCCAACCTCTCCTCCGTCTTTGGACAACAAGACCGGTCATTCAAGGGTACTAGGTCGAGGTCTTGTTTGCTCTCTGAAGACGGCAATCAGCGAAACTTTTTCTTTGCTGATGAGGGTCTTGGGCTGAGTGAAAAGTGGAGGAAGGTGAATGTGGTGTTGCCCATGCCAGAGCTTGGGTCGCACAGCCAAGAGAAGGGCGTAAACGGGAGACCGCAAGCAGAGTATAACGGGCCGTTTATGAGGGTGAAGCATACCCTCAAGATTCGAATTGTGTGCAAGAATGCCCATGGCGACGATGCTGTAAGTCAACTTGCTCTCTCTCAATTTCACAATGCTAAAGTAATCATAGCAAGTTGTGCTTCTGTCGACTCCCATTCGGTTCGCTACATGCCCCACCACCCTTCCATCGAGATCTGCGCAAACACCGGCGTTGCCAGCTTATATTCAGCTGTTCTTGGAGAATGGCGATCTGAGAGAGTGCGACCCTCTTCCGCTCTACGAAGACTGCCTTCCCCCATCGCCTCCTGCTCCTACTCCCGCGCCTTCCGCTCCTGTTCTCTCTCCGGGAGCTTTGGCCCCTCTCGCACTCGTGGCCCCCAGCTTCGCTCTCATTCAGCCTACACCTACCACGGCCACCCCGGCTTACCAGAGCATCTTCCACCACCCCGTCCCTGTGCCCCAGGCGCTCTCCTCTCCTTCGCCATCCACATCATCTCTCGAAGGATGTTCCTCGAGATCGGCTTCGCCCACCCCATCAAGTTTTGGGGGCTCGAGTGTGGGGTCCACGACGGACCTTATCGGGCAGCTTGGCTCTTTCTCCTCGCCGTTGCCGTCTTTCGGGACTTTTGGCAACCTTGGGGAAGGACTGGGTCTTGGTATTGGTCTCGGCGCTGGTATGGGGATGGAGCCGAGGAGGAGTGGGTCGCCGGCGCTCTCTTCGGGGGATGAAGATGAAGCCATGTCGGGGTCTTCTCTCCAGCCGCAGCGCAGCCAACGACCAGCGGGCAGCAAGGTCATGCGACCTTTGTCTCAGAGGAGTGCCCCTCGCCAAGCTTGAATCTTTCAATCTAGCCTTGCTTGATCTGCTTGTACTCTGTAACGATCTTCAGGCGCGCTTTACGAACGTTGTAGCTTTGGTATACATATAGTCGATTTTCTTCCTTTTTTGTTGCTTTCCGCATTTTGTATCTTTAGCACAAGCATCTTTTTTCTCTTTTTGTAGTTGCATAGTTCAGAGACTTCTTTCGTTACTTATAGCATCGTGCTGGGCATGTCATCTGCGTTCTTCCCAATGATCAGGCTGCATTTCCAGACCACATTACACGACAACCCCAGCCTCAACCCCCTTCTTCCTCTCCATCAACCTCACCTTCAACTCTCTCGCTCTCCGCTCCTGATCCGTCTCTGCCGCCTTCAACTTGGCCACCATAAGCCTCCTTCGGACTTCGCGCTGACGTTCTTGCTCCGTCATACGTTTCAGGGCTTTCTCCATGGTAGCTTCTACTCCTTGCTCTGCACCCTCGGCGGGTGCAGGCGGGAGAGGGGATTGGGAAGGCTGTGATGTGGGTTGGGTGATGAATGGAGTGGGCGTAGCGGCGGGAGGTGGTGCTTGGGCAGAAGCGCGCATGATCGCTCGTTCGTGCTCCAGCTTGAGCCGGAGTTGGAGCTTGCCCCGTCGGCCTTGTTTCGTGTCCCCTTGGCTGTTTGTGCGAACAGGTTTGAGGGGTACCGAGGGGGCAGAGGAAGGTCCAGCCTCGTTTGGGAGCGAGGTGGGAGGCGGTTTGAATGAAGCTATACCGGCGCCTTCTGCTTTCGCGCGCTCCAATCTCTCTTTCAACGATAGCTTTACAACCGGCGCCGCATCCTTCCCTTCAGTTGCCGCAGACTTTTTGGCCTCGGCATCCGCTTTTGCCTTGTCCAGCCTTTCTTTCAACGACAACCGCCGACTCTCAATCTCCTCGTTGATGGAGACTGTCCCAAGAGGGCCCTGTCGGGCAGCAGCAGCGCCTTTGATAGATAGCCTGCTGGCGAGGTGAGGGGGAGCTTGTCTCTGCATATCTTGGGAAGCAGGTGCTAGCCGGGAAACTAGAGATGGGGCAGAGCTGGCCATCTCCACGTCTTCGTCCAACGGTCTTTGGACCTTTGGCGGTGAAGGCAAGAGCTCTACCCGCTCTTTCATTCCCTGTCCTGCCTGCCCCCAACCATTCGGGGGCGCCACTTGTCGTGCTCTAGCACGCTCTGCCCGACGTTCCTCCCTTCTCCGTCGTTTGAGGATATTCTTCTCCCTCTTCCTCTCCCTCGCTTCGAGCTGTGCCGTCCATCCCGGGTCGACATACGGATCCCTGTCCCTATACCCCCCGCGGCCGGGTGAGAGCGGTCGGCGGTTGTAAGGAGGTGGGGAGCGATAGCGGTCGTATGGAGATCGGGAGCGAGGGTATGGGGAGCGTTGACGGGGGCGAGGGGAGTAAGATCTCGAGCGAGAGTAGTCGGAGTATGGGCTTCGGGAGCGAGAGTATGAGCGGGAGGAGAGAGAGTCGAATGATCTTGAACGTGAGCGGCCTCGGGGGGAGAGGGCTCTGGGTAGGGGTGATCGGCCCCTTGGGGATGGTGATTGAGGGATTGGGTCGTACTGTGCCGGCGTCAGTCTTGAACCCCTCTTTCTGGAGAAGTGACGCACCTGGGCGATTTCGTCGTACTCTGACAGATACCTGAACGGACTTCTCAAAAACGAGTACACCTCATGCGCGAAATGCTCCGCGGCGCTCGGAAACTCATCCGTGTCCAGAAACTCGGACAGCAGCCTCACAATCGCCTCAGACCTCGCATCGATTGACTTTAGCAAAGAGAGGATATAGGTCGTGAGGTATTCGACATCGAGGGCGGGCCATATGCGGAGCTCGCGACGGATGAATGCTTGAGCGCGTTGGGCGAGCTGGGGATCTTCAGAGATTTGGCGAGGCGTAGGGTTGGGCCGGAAACGCGAGTGCCGATTTGTGCCCATATGCTACACTGCCGTCAGACTATACCCCACTCTTCACAAGCAAACACACGCACCTTGGCATACAGCTCATGCTGGTAGTACTGCCGCCGGCGCGCGACTTGCAGATCCACCTCATCCGGCACGATTGGCTCTCCGGATCTTGCGTGTTCTTGCCTGGTGGGAAGACGATCCCTGATGGTCTCTTGAGCTGGTTTGGATGGGAGGGGAGGGAGATAGTACTATGAGGCGTCAGCAAAGTCACGGGTCGGATCTTGGGACGTACTTTGGTAGGCGTTTCTGCGTCGAGGTCATGTAGTAAGAACGGCGCCATATCGCCAGAGCATAGAGGGCATTTCCTGCTCTGGTTCGACCAGATACAGATACACTCAAACTATGCCCCTGTCAGCATTGCCCTTTGGCAGTAGTGTACGACTCACGCAAAATTCGTGCCCACAAACACCGACGATGGTCCTGTCGTTCAAGCCCATCAAACAGATAATACACCTTTCCTGATCAGCGCCCCCTTCCTCATTACCCACCTCATAATCATCAGCCACGCCGCTTGCCCGGCGTTTATCCTTCTTCCAGTAACTCTCGTCTAGCGGCTCGTCAGGGTGGGCTTTGACTTCTTCGGTCCAGTCCATCTTTCTACGCGTTGTCGTTGTCCGCTCGGGTGGGGCGGTGGATGTGGTTGGAGGGTCGGAGGGGGTGGGCTTGGGGCGCCATGAGCGGGGTGGGGAGGCGACGACGGCGTGTTCGAGGATGAATTCTTCGGCTTCGTCGACTAGACGAGGTGTTAGAGGGACACGCGATTGTAGCGAGAGGGAGCTCACGGTAGAGATTGTCCTCAACTGCTATGTTTCGGGGCATGACACCACGCGTGGAAATACAAGGGACTGGGGGATGGTGGAGCTTGAGACTGCCGTAGAAGAGAAGACAGCAAAAGTCAGAATGACGAGCGGCGGTCCGAAGTGCAGCGAATCTCAGGCACCAGTCAGCGCTAGATACGCGTGCAAGTCAAGTTGCTAATGAAGGTCCACTTTGAATACTAGGCTGTCGACTTGATAGTAGCTCTAATGGTCCTGCGCAAAGCATGAATCGCCCGCCTGGCCTTCGATGGATGCTTGGCTGACTCTCATACTTCTACACCGCAAAGTGGTGGGCACTCATCCTGTACGAGTACAACGAATTCATTCCTCGTCAGAGCCTGACCACACAATGCACCCAATTGGGGGAACCTCTCCCGTCTCTTTCGAGATGCCCTGCTCCCGACTAGCTTTTTAGTCAATATACGAGCACAAAGTGGATGCAGAGACTCACCGTTTCGCCGAGGCCTTTTTTTTCTATGGCCTCGAACACGTCCTTTCTAACTTCACGCCTTGCCTCCATGGCCTCACACCTTGCCCTCAAGGCCTCGTCCTCCACCTCCAGCTCTTTTATTACCCTCTTCTCCTCATCGAGAGCATCCTGAGACGCCCCGACTTCGCTGATATACAACAAATTATGCGTTGTGTGTGTGCCACACTGTTATTACCCGGTCCCTGGAGACGACAGATACAACAAACAACCATCTCTTTTCTCTTCTGCATTCCCGTCATCTCCAACTAGTATAAGAGTACCGCCCATTACTGGCCTCAGCCATCCATGGGGCCCTCCGAGGCCCCTCGGAGCTCATCAAACCTCCCCGACACAGTCCCATCCCGATACAGTGCTACACCCCAGATGCCCCACATTATACGCCAGATGTCTAGCTGCACCGTCCCCTCTGTGAGACCTGTCTTAGTCTGACCGCGTCACATGTCGCTGATGACTTGCCAGCTTTGCATCGCCCACATCCTCAGCTCCAACCAGCTGGAGAAATGTCCTACTCAAGTGAAGATCTTCACCGTCACCGGCGCTGGTGGTCACGTTGTCCTGCAGGCGCGAGCGTGGTCTTTGGTGGGGGTAGGGGCGTATCTGCCCATGCGAAGGGGGAAAGGTTGGCCGACCACTTTGTCGTCTTCGGTATGTTCTCTCCTGCTTGTCTCCCGAGAGTCCCCTCGCTAGGGATGGAGAAGCAATTGTACGAAGAATACGGGTGCTAACGAGATACACAGACTTCATGCGATCCACGTTCACTCTGAAGAGTTAGAGGTGGTCCAGGGAGCAGAGGCGGAAGGGGAAGACGAGGTGGTGCTGAAAGAGTCTCAAGGGGTGGGCGTCTGGAACCCAAGAGTCAGGGTGGCAAAGGCGGTTGTCCCAGAAACCCGGAAGCTTGTAGGAATTGTCAGCGAGGACATGTCCGAGTAAGTCTCTATCAGTCTTTTTTTTTTTCGACTTTCGGCTCACGCACCTCGAACAGTGTGAAGGCGGTCCACCCTGCCAACGTTACGAAACCAAAAAGATTACTTGCGTGATCTCTGACCAGGAAGGGGACAGACCCCTCACCACCAGTGTACCCCTCAACAATTCTGAACGACCCGCGTCTTCTCCCTCGCAGACGCATGGGTGTTCGCCCCATCACTTCCCTCTCCTCCCCTTTCTCGAGTATCACATCAGCCAATGGTCCCGCGCCGCAGCGGGTGTTGCCAACTTGCACCAGCGCACTCGAGAGGCTTTGTTTTCTACTCCAGAACGTCATCAACGACATTTCCATCATGACGCCCAACACTACAATGATTACTCGAGTACTGTACTCGTACCCTCTGACTCCAACGTTACTCTTCGAGCTACTCTGACCGACCTTGTGATCGGCTTCCCACCTCTCCACCATCTCTTTACCATCGACAAGCCTCCTCCTCGATCTCCTTCATCAAACGTCATCCCCGACACCCTGGCCGAGCACTGCGGAGCTGTGACGGCTGTCTATGACACCCGGCTATACACTCCCACGGCGCCAATTCAATCTGCGGCATCAAACCAACCAATGGTCATGATGTAAGCGTCTCCCACTTGAGTTCTTGGACATCTTTGCTGACCTATACACTACAGACGGATTATCCTTGGAGATGGCAAGATATTTGACGTGTCAAGTGGGGCATCTGGGGTGTAGCACTGAATCGGGATGGGAATGTGTCGGGGAGGTTTGATGACCTGCGAGGAGCCTCGAAGGGTCGCCTAGGCGGCTTGGGGAAGAAGGGCGAGCGGTACGAGGGGAGTGGGACGGGGAAGATCCTATTCACGTCAGTCAACTTGCCTTCACTTTTAGATCTCAGCAGCAGTACTGACGTTCTTCTTTGCTATAGTTCTCACCTGACGATGATGCTGCCCCGCCTGCTGCCAGAGAACGAGGACTCCACTCTTTCTGTCACATTTCCATTGACTATTTCCCGCACTGTCTCCACCTGTACTGCATCCACCAACTGTTGCAACAACCGAAGACCCTTCCTCCACACTCTACGCGCCACCTTTCTCCTACACTACCCCGAAAGACCCTACACCAACACCTCGCACCCACGCCCCTCACCACCTAGAATGCCCAAGTCCCATCGCCTCCCTCCCATTATGGTAAACGGGGCACACACAACACTTGCTCAGGACAGCAAGGTGATTTTTGGAGATGGCGAGATATTTGACGTGTAAAGTGGCATCTGGGGTGTAGCATTGTATCGGTATGGTATAATGTCGGGGAGGTATAATGACCTGCAAGGAGACTCGAAGGGTCGCCTGGGCAGCTTGGGGAAGAAGGGCGAGCGGTACGAGGGGAGTGGGACGGGGAAGATCCTATTCACGTCAGTCAACTTGCCTTCCCCCGGAGACCTCAGCAGCAGTACTGACGCAGCGACAGTGACTACCTGGTTGTCACGTGGCTGTCGCCACTTGACCAAACACCCGAGCCAAACACCCGAACCTCCACCTCCCACGTCCGCGTCGAGCCCACATCTTGCCACCATCTGACTATAACATCCATCCATCTACCTCCGCGGCCGAGCTATACCAGCACCGCCCCCGAGATCAAACCTTCACGGGCAAGAATGGAAATACGCGGAGATAGAGAGAGCAAACCCATTCCACCACTTTCGAGAACATTCTTTCGCCACCAGGTTGGCCGATGTAGTTGATTCTAGAGGTTTCGACGGAGGATACGATGAGTAAGCAGACTTGAGGTGCCAGGGTATATAAGGACGTGTCTCCATAGCTGTAGATACTTCGTCGATCCACTATTGTTGTCTTCTCTAGTACACACTTTTCTCTCTCGCTCAACACACTCGTACAAACGCTATCTTCCTTCGGCATTGGTCTGGCCACTCACTTCGAGTTCTCAGACCATTTCGTCTCTACCCCTCGGCGAGCTCTGAAGGCATAGCCTAAGGAAGGTAGCCCCTTGACACTGGTGTTCCGATTCACCCCGACGGACTGGTGTGTCACCAGGGGGGCGTCGGAACGGGGATGTGCGGTTTTGGGACGTGAGAGCGCCCAAGTCCGTTGGGAAGGTGCTTCCACCGCTCCTCTTCCAGCGGCAGAACAGGAGAGAAAAGCTGAATTGTCGATGAAAAACGACCACCAAGGGTACACGAAAGCCCACCTCGCTTCATTTTCAACCCCTGTCTACCCACAGGGTCAATATCGACCATATACATGTTTCGACGCTTCCCGAAGGCGGTAAGTCCTTCATTCTCGGGTCTATCCATCTGATAATGACGTGCCTAGTACTATGTTTCCCCTCGAGTTACACCAATGAGGCGAAATCTTGCACCAGCACATCCGGAGATTACGACACCGGAGCCGTTGGCTCCGGCACATCACTTGGTGCTGCTTCTTCTTCTACAGGAGGAGTACCTTGGGCCCAGTAGGACTATGGCGCCTTCCCCAACAGTCTTTTCATTTCGTCAAGTATGAGGTGTACCGTTCCGTCACCATGTCCCGAGACCTGTTAAAGGGTCTCGATGGTAACAGGAAGATTAGACAGCGAAGGCTGGACTGCTTGGAGTGCGTCCAAGAGTTGTATCGTAGAACAGGAGAAATGTTGCCTTAACCGTCGTGATGCATATTTTTTTTTTTCTTTCTGGATCTTGTACTGTCTATCCTTCCAGTATGCTATAATATCAGAAGGGTGGGATCATGCGCTTTGCATTCCGTGAGTCTGATTATAGGTCGCGTTCGGTGAGAAAATGACATTAATCAATCATGGTTGTTGGGGTTGTTGTATCCGGTTTATGGATGGTGCATAAGAAGAGGTAGGAGCACCAGAATTGATGGATATGAGTCTTCCGCCGTCTAGAAACCTACTAGACTTGTTTCATTATGGATGCTGCTATGAGGCTGAAGACCATGATCATCATGGGAGTGTACGTCACTCGAGTCCCATCCGTCACTGGAGTCCCATCGATATTCGTGGCTGCCGATTACTCGCGTGATCTGTATAGCGCTTGCATAGCTTGTGTCTTGAATCTGACGGAGCTCACTTTCTGGTGAGTGCAGGAGCTGCTGACGTTGATGATGAGCTCTAGACTCTTACCTATAGTTTTCCTAATACCGAACCTGTTCGCCCTCTCTCCATGTTCCAGGCTGGGCTTGATGGAGGTTTCCGGGCTTCCAAGTATGAGTGGAAACAAAGCACCAACACGAACCTCTGATGATTCTTTCCGCAAGAGCGCGCGCGCCCACGTCGCGTTGACCGACTTCTTCTTTCCATCAAACCCGCCGCTCGCCGTCCTAGCTTTTCCTCAAATCTTTCCCCCTTTTTTCATCATTTCGCCACAACATTCCGGGGCAGATTCGATGTAAATGGATGAGGGCATTAAAATAAGCATGAATCTCTATCAACGTTCTTCTTTCTCTTCTCTTCCTTCTCGCCACTTTTGCTTACCGGAATCACATATCAACAACAACCTGGCCACCAACATCAAACACCATCATCCAGCCATCAAACATGTCTATCCTCCCTCTCTATTACCAAGACGGCAACCATTCCGGCGGTACCGTTCATCATCTCGTTTACCCCGATGAGAATTCGGAAGTCTTCGAGATGGTTCGACTGCAGCATTGCAGTACACTTTCGGCTGTGTCTTCATCTGAGCCAGTCTACGTTGTGGAAGACCCGTACCGCTGGCATCACAGGGCTACCGCTGTGTCTCGACTTCCACCGCTGAGGGCTCAACCGGGCCTCACCACACTTGAGCCATTGGCTCCGGTGCAGCACTTGGTGTTGCTTTTGCTTCTGCAGAAGCAATATTTGGGGCCCAGTAGGACTATGGCGCTCTCTCCGGGGATATTTCACTTTGTGAAATACGACGTCTACCGTTCGGTCACCATGTCCCGAGACCTGTTGAAGGGTCTCGATGGTGACAGGAAGAGTAGACAGCGAAAGCTGGACTGCTTGAAGTGCGTTCAAGAGTTGTATATCGACTCTATGGACGCACTGTGGGACCTCGCTAATCTCCACTCCCCTCAACGTTCCTACATGTTCAAATCCTGCTACAGCATCATGCCCAACGCCCGCACTGTCCATATCCACCGCCGGGCAATTGTGGCCCAGTATACACTGGAGAAAGGCAAGCGAGCGGATGAGCCGGTTCCTTGGAGTTGGCTAAAAGAGGGAGTAATGAGGCAGTTGGGAGAGAGTGTGGAGGTGAGGTTCTACGGGGAATATGACACGGACTGTACGGGGCAGTCTGTTTTTGCCAGAGTCACCTACGCTCTGCCCGGCAAGCTTCTCAGGGTCAGTACAGTACTCGTACTTCTTCGAGGGAAAGGTGCGATAGCTGATGATTGATCTGACGGGACATTAGAGTCAGGAAAGCGCTGAGGAACTCGAAGAGCGCCGTCTACGGCGGAAAGATATCAGAGGAAAGCTTTGTCTACGGATCATATTAGCGCTGGTGACTATCGCGTTCAGTGGGTTTGTTTCCCGCTTGAGATATTGATGGGTTGAGTCATGAGCTGATGTTGGATAGTCGCGTTCTGGGGGGATATAATCTGGATTATACGGCGGAAGGCGCAAAAGGATCAGGACCAATAGATTGTTTTTATTGTATGATAGTAGTCTCACATGTATAGCTTATCCAGGAGCTACTAAAGACCAACTCCCTAGATGACGTGTGTTACATATTTCTCTTGTTCCGATGGCACTTGTATCACCTATTCTTCCCACATGCTACAATGAGCAGACACAGCGCGTATCGCCATGCCGCCCTGAGCACTGCCGCCCGATGGCGAATTGCGACGTCCCCTGCGAGGGCCAAACAGCCTCTCCACCGGCACTCCTGTCGATATAACGCCACCCCGCGCGTTATTCTGTCCTCTCGCATACTTTGCTGCTCACGCTACCCCTTCAAACACACTCTTCTATGGATCTGAAAAGGAGAAAAGGCAAGAAGATACGGAGGAATGGAGCACACGGAAGTCGCGTTGACTGATAGCGGCGTTGAATTCGGCTCCCTCCGACCCAGCTCGCGACGCGCAACACGCTCATAAACACCGTCATCTCTTTTCGTCTTGTCCATCATCTCATTCATCCACTCATAACTCGATAAGAGCGCTTCCAGCACCCCACCCTCAGGCATTCCTCCAATCCCTCTCTTTTGTCGACCCCAAAGTCTCCCCAACACAGTCCCGAGCTCGAGACACTCCTCACCGCGCTCAGTTCCTCACCGTCACCGACAATGGGGCTCATATCTTTTCACACATCCCTGATAACGTTCCCGTCCTCATAGCGGGGTCGTTGGAGGGAATTGGGCTCTTTGTCCATGCGGACGGGGAGTCGCTCGATCGATCTAGGAGAGGACTCGCACGCTGTCTTCGGTATGTCCTTCTCTTACCTCTCTCAGCATTCGTGCTGGGGGTGAGCTGTGCAAAGAGTGGTGCTCAAGAGACAAATAGAACCGAGCGATCCTCTTCACTTGCCTCTCCGCTGGCATCTCCACTTGCTCAAGCATGGCATCAACAAGGATCATGTCTTCCACTCGGCTTACCCACCAAGCCTCACACGTGATTTCCAACATGCCTAGCACTGCAATCAGTACATCTACACGCACGACGAGGCTTCCGGCACTCTATCCTCTGACTCCAATGCTACTCTTCGAGCTACTCTGACCGACCTTGTGATCGGCTTTCCACCTCTCCACCATCCTTTTTGCCATCGACCGGCTTTCTCCTTGCCAGATGTCATCGCGAGCGACACTATGACCGAGTACTCTGGAGCTGTAACGGCTGTCTATGAAGATCTCTCTCATCAGGAGGACATCTCAACTTGCCTCCAGCGGTTTGAAGAAAGTATGGAAGGACGACGGAGATGAGGGACAGAGCTCGACGAATCCCAACCGGCGCCCCTTCCATCATCCCTGCCAGACTGAGGTACATTTCGCTCGGACAGCAGCTGCTCCAGCGTCTCGACCGTTATGGGCTTCTCCAGCCTTGTCAAGCTTCCCCGCACTGGCTGCTCTTACCCCCGGCAGAAGCCTCTACCCGTACTACCCGACCTGGACAAACTCGGACCACTCCATGGCCCAAATCATATATACAACAACCCACCCTTCTCCATTTTCCGGTTAACCACCAGCCGTGATTGCGCCTCAACCACATTGTCAGCCTCCCCAACCTCCACCGCTGCGACAGCCTCAGTCGAATCAGGCCGGGCGGCACATGCCCTCGAACACTCTTCGTGATACGTGGACTTTGTATGGGGATGGGTTTGCGTTGAGCAATCTTCGTGAGCTGGGCGTAGCGTTGGATGGACGCTTAAGTAGCTGCGGAGAAGGGGGCAGCCGACACCACGCGGTAGTGACGGTGAGAAAGACAGCTCCCAGCGTCAGTCAACTTATCTACCGTCTTCGCTTAGCAACTGCTGACTCTCTTACTACAGTCCTCGACGATTTCCGAAGCCCCTATTCCAACACCAAAACTCCAAGCCACGGCTTGAACGACCTCACATGTCCATGGCTCAGGACTATCTGTTCGGCGTCCTCTTTACCGAGACCGAAATGCTAGCGAGGCCGGTACGCAAGCTACCCGACGGACTCGGCCAGTCAACGCCAGTGGCTGCAACCTGGAGAAGTTCGCGGAAGGTCGAGTTTGGACGAGGTCGCCGAAGCGCAGGAAGCTGGTCAGAGTGCGTATCCGACACCGAGAACGACGCCGAGGAGGATTGTTCTGCATAATGAATTTTCTCCGGCCGAGGTGTCGTGGATGCACGATGGGTTGACAATGCTGCTTCAAACGCAAGCATACATCGGTGGAAGAAGACATCGAGAAGGGACAGTGTCGGGTTTCAACATGGCGAAGAAGAGAAAGTCAATCGAGCAAGAACCGTACAGGCGCCTATCAGCAAGCTCAGCACCAAGGGCCAACGGCGCATGTCCGACAACGTCCATCCTCAACGAATTCCCAGATCTCCTCATCCTGGGGAGCGAGAGACGAGGGACGTGCTGACAAATACAAAGGCATGAAGAGCCCGAGACCACAAAGCCAGCGAGGCCGGTACGCGAAGCTCCCCGACGGACACGGTCAGCCAACACCAGTCCCCGCACTCTGGAGAAGAAACCGACCCCACGCGGAAGGCCGAGTTTGGACCAGGTCGCCGAAGGCGGGGGTGAGGCGCCGTCACCGCGGTCTCTATCCCTGTCACTATCCCTCTCTTCCGCCTCTTCCATGGCACGAAGCAGCAAGATCAGTCCGTCGTTCTTGCGCGACCCCTCGGCCGGAGGAAGTTCATCATGCACGACAATCCTTTTCGGCGTCTTCCTCAGTGTTGAATACGCACTCTGACCAGCCTCCTGTCCCCAGGCTCCGTGCGGGCTACCAACAGGAAGGTCCGCCACGCCCCTTCGCGCTATCGTACGCGGACCCGTATCCGACGCACTCGCCATATACTCTGCCACGTCTTGGAAGCCTGTACCCGTGTGTATATTCGCAGCGATAGGGAAAATGGGGGAGAATGACTGACTTGATGATTCAGGGGTCTGATCTAAGGACTACTTTGACGACTTTTTGAGTAGCCGACGGATCAAGGCGTTGAGTACCGAGAGGGACTGTCGTCTCGCAGCTTGCTCCGCTGAGGACGAAGCCGGTGCTCACGGCGCTGGAATCTTTGGCTCCGGTGCAATACTTGGCGTTGCTTCTTCCTCTTCCTCTAAGGGAGGAGTATCTTGGGCCCAGTAGGACTATGGCGCTCTCTTTACCGTTGCGTCGCCATGCCCTTTCGGTTGATGAGCTGGGTCAAGTCGTTTTCGCTGCTTGCTCAGAGCAGTGCTCGAGGGCGAATACGCAACAATTCTTCGTGCCAGGCCCGAGGGTCGACATCCTTCAAGACGCATGGCAATGCTCGTCACCCTTCGTCCCTTCCCATGTCCTCGACTCCTCAGCTATCATCGACAACTGGGCACACTTCTGTCGCAAGTGCTCTGCTTGCATTGCTGAAGACAAGTCCGGCGACCCTTCCTTCACCCATGCCTTCACCACGGTCCCTTCTCTTTCGCGTGCTAATGGCATGGTCCCCGGCGATATCCCTGCCGTTCTGGCTGGCCTCACATGGGTGGAAACCGTCTGCATAGCTAGGGCCAGAGCGAGTCGCTGCTGTGTCAAGATCAAAGGTCACCGCCCTCATCAGTCGAAAGGCAACATTGTGATACTCCCCCATGCTGCGTCCGAGCTGTCGAGATTGCTCCCTCTCCCAGCTTCTGTGATCGCTAACGAGATCGTCGTCATCTGGGTTGCAAACCAAGCAGAGCCTCTCACTGCTGACAAGATCCCCAAGAACCTACTTACCGTCCGGCTTTCACTCTGTGCAATACCTACCGGTTGACGTGGTCCTTTCCGTGGCCTTCAACGTTGAAGTGAGTGCTACCATACTTCGTCCTACATAACTTGCCCCGCTGACGACATTGCCTTCTCCGGCAGGGCTACTTCATGGACAGAGACGGCAAGCGTGCGGGACTCGAGTGGACGCCATCAAGCATAATTGTCCACGGAAGGGTATGTTCCTCTTTTCTGACAAATCTGCTCGCGATACCGACCTGATATGCTGCACCAGGTTTCTGACGGTGACGGGAACGAATCGTCGCCCACAAAAAGACCTCGCCAGGATGCCCTTTCTTACGACGTCTTGCTCGGGAAATCGCCCGTCAAGAAGACAAAGAGTAAATCCCTTTCTGACCGAAAAGTCCGTGTTCTGCTATCATATCTGACGTAGTAATGAAATCAGGTTCTGCCATGCCAACTCGATCTCCGAACTCTTCCCCCGCCGCTTCCAACTCTTCCGTCGGCCCTTCCAACTCTTCCACCGCCCCTTCCTCGTCTGCCGACACCTTGAACGACGTTTTCGGGCCAGCTGAGCCGTTGAGGAAGAGCAACCGCTCCAGGAAGGGCAAACAGAAGGAAAATGGGAATTGTGAAGAATAGATGCTTGTGCAGTAATGGAATGATGAGTTTAAAAGGTGCATACCGTGGATCTGCCATCTTCGCTTTACTTTTCTGCGTTACGGGTCCCGCCGCTTGTCGGCCACCCCCTGAGATCTACCGTTGCGTCGCCATGCCCCGAGACCTGTTAAAGGGTCTTGATGGTAACAGGAAGAGTAGACAGCCAGAGCTGAATTGCTTGGAGTGCGTCCAAGCGCTGTGGATCGACAGCATGGATGCTCTTTGGGACCTCGCCAACCTCCACTCGTCCCAACGCTCGTACCTCTTCCGGCCTATCCTCAAGATCATGCCAAACGCCCGCACAGTTCATATCCACGGTCGGGCGATCGTGGCCCAGTATAAAGTTGTCTGACATGTATGAAATGATGTTGTAGATCTGAAGACCAACACCAACCCTGCTCTTGATCAAGCTGGTATCAAGCTGTTTTTCATGTACACGTGCTTCTACGCGTGATCCCCCTGGTTGCGCTGCCCTTTCCAGCGAAGAGATGCTTTCATCTGATGGTGTATCATATGTGCGCGCAGATTGGTCTGTATACATGCTGGCAATCTGAGATACTGGATACGACTCTACATGCCTACTATAAAGTCTCCATTGTAGCATACCTCAACACAGGGTTCTTACACCCTTCCATGCATCAGAAAAAGTACTTCATGCCCGGCCGCCGATAGGGTGCCACACGCTGTGCCTCCGCGGCGGAGATTACACAGACGAAACGCCGGGTGCGGCGGTGAGCTCCGCACCCAAATTGTGGTGGTGTGTTTAACCTATATCCTCTTACATTTCTTCTCTTTACGCCTCAAAACCCCCCTAAAATCATCCTGAACAATGCCTCCCAAATTCGACCCTTCGTAAATCACCTCCGTTGCCGTGCGAAACAGTACTGACGATAGTCTCCTCGCTCCCCTCTCCCCCTGTTTTTTTCCCCTTGTCGAAACGTCAACTCCTGACCTATAATCGATAAATCACCTACTGGTCGTCTTCTGCAGTGAGGTTAAGGTGCGTCAGATTCACAGGATGAAGATTGAAGGGATAGGAAGCTGATCTGGAGTTCTACCATTGCGTTTACTTCAATCACATCAAATTTACTCTGGACCCTCACGACCGTCACTACCACCAAATCTCTGTCGTCCCTCCCAATCCACCTACTATTACTACGCCAATACGATCACGCTGCCCAATAGATCATCTACCTCCGTGCCACCGGTGGTGAGGTCGGTGCCTCTTCTGCTTTGGCTCCCAAGATTGGTCCTCTCGGTCTTGTAAGTCGACATCAAATAGTGGAGAGGCGTGTCTGCGATCAGGATGGGGGATAGGAATGGGAGAAGAGCCTCAGTGATGGAGCCTCAGTGATGGCGCAGCGTTGAAGCGAGAGAAAGCGGATTTCGTCCCGTCTCAAGGGAGGGCAGTCTACAAGGCGTAGAGTTTGGGGGCAATGCGCGCGTAGAGATCAGGAAAAACGCAGGAGTCGCAGACACGTCGAAACAAGCATCACTAGGTCAAACGCTGACAATTTTTTCAGTCCCCCAAGAAGGTCGGAGAAGACATTGCCAAGGCTACTGGCGACTGGAAGGGTCTCCGAGTGACTGTCCAGCTCACTATCCAGAACAGGCAAGCCGCCGTCTCTGTTGTCCCCTCCGCCTCTTCTCTTGTCATCAAGGCCCTCAAGGAGCCCCCAAGGGACAGGAAGAAGGAGAAGAACATCAAGCACTCCGGTAACGTTCCCCTTGACCAGATCTACGACGTAAGCTTCCCTCCCTCCGTCTTGCTTTGGTATGGCGCTGACTGTTTGGTAGATTGCCCGAAAGATGCTCCACAAGTCTTTCGCCAAGGACCTCTCTGGTGGTGTCCGTGAGATCCTCGGTACTGCCCAGTCTGTTGGTTGCACCGTTGACGGCAAGAACCCCCACGACATCATCGTCGCTATCCAGGAGGGTGAGCTCGTCGTTCCCGACGAGTAATCGCGCAGGATAGGGGTGAGGGGTGTAGGATAGACGGATGCATGGCTTCACAGACACTCGGTGCGGGTTGCGAGATTGGAGCAGAGTTGAGCAACAGCAGAACGTTACGGAGGCATCAGGGGATCTTGTGTATGTGGGAGTGCTGCTAAAAGTAGGCATCTGACATGCGCCGAGTCTCAAATCTCAATGGAGAAGCAATCTTGACAACATCGAAGAGTCTGCATGTCGGTTCATCTCTTCATCGTGTCACCTCAGCCCTCCCACATCGTTCACAATGGCGCTCTGCGGTCAAATAGAAGGGAACAAACAGCAGAGCCACAGCAACAGTACTAAAAGCCCTAGCCTCCTTCTACGCACTCAGAACGGTGTCCAGCGATTCGGACCTTTCGTGATTGGGACGTGTGGCAGGAAGATTGGAGACCTCCGAGGGTTGCTTGTTATCGGCAGCAGGATAGGCCACGCTCGCTTGACGACGCTGGGTCGTGACGAGCCCCAGGCATGGTCTGGGTGGTGCTTGAGAGCCCAGCGGCGGGGGAGCAGCTCAATTGGCGCAGGGTGAGGTGGTGATAGAAGTGCTGCTGACGGCAGTGGATGTTGAAAAGGTTTATAGGTTTCATAGATAAGGAAGGAGAATCCCGGGATGTGGTAGGTTAGACTGTCCCAAGAAGTCCCAGAGGGGCTCGATAGGCAAATGTCGACCGATACGATATTTCCAGTGCGCTCAGTTGTTGCAGGCTTGCAATTAGTTCGGGATGACCGAGATAAGATATGTGTAGGATCTAGCAGAGGCAAGCTCGACGAAGGTAAGAGTAGGGAAAGGAAAAATGAAGAAAGGGATTCACCCAAACCTCTGTCTTATATGCATTCAGAGCGGTAAGCGAGAAACAAGAGAAAACTAAGGGCAAAGGCAAAGAAAGGGTCTATTAGGCAGCTTATGGAGTGTTGCGGCAGGCTCGCTACATCATATACCCCCCCCCCCCCCCCGCCTCGAAGAAGACCATGTCCCGAGGGCTGAAAATGGAGAAACGAGAATGGAGAAAATCAAAACGGGGCACGAGGAGATCCCGGAGGGACGACGACGCGCTGGGTAAGACAAGGGAACAGAGACGTCACACAAGGAGGCCGCGGGAACGACGACGATGTGATAGCTACGCACGAGGAGGCCTGAACAGGGATGACGACGTGGTGTGGAGAGAGAGAATGCTAAGCCTCCGTGGGCGGCAGCAATGCGATGACCCGTTCCTTGTAGTGAAGGAGGGGACGAGCGGGGGTAGAAGCCCAGAATCCACGGATGGCGGGAATGAGGAATTTAGAGAATGAATCCCACCGAGACGTGGTACTATGCTTCTTCTCGGGGTGGAGGTAGTGGTATAGCAGGTAGATCCTTGAGCGATGTCTGGTAGAGCGGTGGATCGTCACCTCGCTGATGACGACGGTGACGGGTGGAGGAGGCAGTGGAGGAGTCGCTGGTCGGGGCATGTGGGGAGGTAGTGAGGGTGTGCGGGGAAGAAGAGGCGAGAAATGTAAACTGTGGTGCCGTATAGAACTTGTTGACGCGGAGATGGCGGAGTAGGGGACACGAGGGTTGACCGGAGTGACAGAGGCCGCAAGAGCCATACTTGTAGAAGAGGAGGGCAGCGCGGCATGGAGACGGTGACTGTCATCGACCCCCCGAACAGCAGCGTACAGAGAGTCAAAGGTCAAGGTAGCACAGTCGAGACCGCGAACAGTGGGACCGAGATGAGGAGCAAGATCGGCGACAAGAGTGTCCAGAACCACCGATCGAAGTCGTACCCGGCAGCCTTGAGCGCTTCAAACTTCTGCTTGCGGGACGTCATGAACTCCGTCACCGGAGTAGAGCCCTGGGGCTGGGAGGAGAGGGCCTGGACAGACTGCCACAGGTCGTAGGAGGATGGCGTACCGTAATCGGCCTCCAGCTTGAGCCAGAGGGTCCGGGCGGCGCAAGAGGGATGACCGAGGACGATAGACTGGAATAGAGGAACGAGGTCGGGGCTGAGGGAACGCACGAGAGCATGAGCGAGAGCAGTGTCGAGGTGCTTCCAGATCGCTGCGGGAAGAGAGGTGGTGTAAGGAGTAGGGTTCGATTTGGAGGGAAGGTAGGAGGCAGGGGGCTCGTCTAGCAGACAAAGACACCCACGTACCCCAGACAAGGCAAACTGGAGCGTCTCGGCCCAAGGGAGATAGTTCGAAGCCCCGGTGAGAAGAGGCACCGACGAGACAGTCTCCTTCAGGGAGGCGACCCACGAATCGCAGGCGTCCCAGGTCGAAGGGAGGGAGGAGATAGGATCCGACATGGAGGATTTTCACTGGTCGGTTGTCGTGTGTTGAAAAAAAAAAACCCTAGGCGAGGTAACATACAAGAAGTGGAAGGACGGTATACAGCTTTTCAAGGTCTCGTAATCTGTTGAAAAGGTTTATAGGTTTCATAGTTAAGGAAGAAGAAGACATATGAAAGACTACAAGTACCAGCGTGAACGTCCGGCGGCCATCTCCGCAATCCTTTCTTCCCAGACATATCACAAGTTCACAACAGTGGAGTGGTGAGAAGCTGGGGTGGCTGTGAGCTGGCAGGCCATGGGACAAGGAACTGATATGGCATAGACTCTCCGCCAGAGGAAGACGGTTTCAAAAGATAGGGTCTCCACCGACCCCCTCCCCAACGGTAACGCCTCCTACACCTTCCTCGACACCTACACCCACCTCCTCACCTCCAACTATTCCTCCTCCAGCGGCTTGGGGTGGTGGAGGATTATGTGGAGGGGGATGGGGATGGGTTTGATGCGCGATGGAGCGATCATAGGGCTGTGAGGGCTACTATTGCCAAGCAGACCTGATCTTTTTGGTGTCTTTCCATATCTCTAAAGCCGCTTGATTGACTCTCTTATCGTTGTGATATAGTTCTATCCAATAGTTTATATACCAAGCTAGTCCTTAATCCCCGTACGTAGATACCAACCTGCATGCATTTCCTCCGTCATCTTTATCGCCCGTGCGATCAACGAAAGCGATAAATGGAAGATGGCCTTACATGTGATACCATCTTGTCATGTCATGATTATCATCGTTGGTGCACCCGACCTGGCCATGACAATGCATGTACAGCAGACGCTACAACAGTCACCCGACACGGCAACGTCATCCCTCAACCTGCCACGCGGGAAAAAGCGGGATCAAATGCTCGACGCGTCTGAGCGCGCAGCCAAACAAACAACAACAAATCCAAGCATTCTCGTGCTCTCTCATCTCTTACCTTGCTTGCCCCACTACCTATACCTATAATCACCTGCATATACTCGCCCACCACGGCCCCACGACAGATCACTCAACAGTGACCCTTGACGCTTCTTGAACGGCCGTACCACCACGCACAGACGTCTCTTGCGCGCATCATCGCCCTCCTTTGACACACACCCAGCCCCTTTAGCCCCTCCACGCGTGTTGCAGGACACGGAACACACCCGGACACCGCCCCCCTGATCCCCGTGTCCGCCATCAACCCGGACAGCAGCATGGACCCCAGCAGCCTGTTCCGGACATCGCGCGAGAAGAAGGATGGTGCAGCGATGGCAGCGGCGCAGGCCGAGTTCAACGACAAGAGGTGGGTGGATTGTTTGGATCGTTCGTTGTCATCTACTTACCATTCCACCCCTTCCCCACCATGGACCGCCTCGTCTCCTACTCCCGCCGCACCCAATACATCCCCTCCTCCTACAAATACGATGCCCCTCCCTCCGACACCATCAGGCGCATGTGGCTGCCCGACAATGCCGCTGGTTTTCTCCCATGTTGGATCCGCTCCCAGGAAGGGGACGAGTCGGACCCCGAGGCCAGTGCGGAGGTGCAGGTAGCCACGACGGGGGAGACGAAGAGAGTACCGCTCTGGACACTCAGCCCGATGAACCCGCCCCAGTTTGATGGCGTGGAAGATATCGCCGACTTGACACATCTGAATGAAGCCAGTGTGATCAACAACCTCAGGACGAGGTATACTGCTGGTGGCATCTATGTGAGTGTGGCAGGTGAAAAAGAGTCGAGCTGATGCAGTATAGACGTACTCAGGTCTGTTCCTGATATCGCTGAATCCATATCGAACACTACCCATCTACACGCCCAAGATTGTTGCGCAGTATCGCTCGAGACGGAGAGAAGAGAATCCTCCGCATATCTTTGCGGTTGCGGAGCGAGCTTGGCAGCAGATTGGAGAGGAGCGAGAGAGTCAGAGTATCCTCATCACGTACGTCGTTCAGTGTTTTGTGGCTAGGTCTGACTGTGTTTAGTGGTGAATCCGGCGCCGGTAAGACTGAAAACACCAAAAAGGTCATTCAATACCTCGCTTCTATCGCCACATCCTCCCTCCCCTCGTCCTCTTCATCCTCTTCCCTCTCGCAAGCCCCATCATCAGGCCTCCCGCGCTCGTCCAGCTTCAAAGGCCAAGATGAGATGGACCTCTCCGACCCGTCCCTCGGCCTACTCGAACAGCAGATCCTGCAAGCCAACCCGATACTCGAAGCGTTCGGTAATGCTCAGACGATGCGCAACAACAATTCCAGTCGATTTGGAAAGTTTATCAGAATCTTCTTTTCGCCTGCTGGGGCTATTGCCGGGGCAAATATCGACTGGTATCTGCTGGAGAAGAGTAGGGTGACAGCGAGGGCTACGGGGGAAAGGAATTTCCACGTCTTTTATCAACTCTTGGCGGGCGCAAAGGAAGCCAAGCTTGCTGGTGAGTCTGCCCAGAGCTCTACGGGGCGTGCTGACAGTATCCAGATCGTCTGCTGCTGGAAGGTGGTGCCGACAAATTCGACTTTTTGAAAAAGACGAAACTCGAGGTTGACGGCGTCAACGATCTCGCCGAATGGCGTTTGCTCAAAGACGCCTTGAAAGTCATGGGCTTCACCGAAGCAGAGCAATTTGAGCTCTTCCGTATCCCCGCCGTCATCCTTCACATCGGCAATCTCATCCTCACCGGCTCTTCCTCCGACCAAGCATTCTTACCACCCGACATGCAGCCTGTCGCCGACAGAATATGTCACTTGCTCGGTATCCCTGTAAAAGAGTTTACAAAATCGGTGCTCAACCCCAAAGTCCGCGCTGGTCGAGAGTGGGTGACGAATGCGAGGACAAAGAAGCAGGCAGAGGATGAGCTGGGAGCGTTGTGCAAGTTTATGTACGAAAAGACGTTTGGGTGGATGGTGGATAGGATCAACCAGGCGCTCGATAGACCGAGTCAGAAGGCGCTCAGTATTGGAGTCCTGGATATTGCTGGTTTCGAGATCTTTGAGGAGAATAGCTATGAGCAGCTGCTTATCAACTTTACCAACGAAAAGCTTCAGCAGGTGAGTATCATCATGACAGGAGGCAAAGCTGACTTGTGTAGTTCTTCAACTTTCACATGTTCACTCTCGAGCAAGAAGAGTATGCCCGAGAAGGTATTCAATGGGACTATGTCAACTTTGGTCTCGACCTTCAACCCACTATCGAGCTCATCGAGTCTTCCCAACCCGTCGGTATCCTCTCCCTCCTCGACGAAGAGTGTATCATGCCCAAAGCCACCGATCTCACATTTACCGAAAAAGTGCAAGCACAGTGGGAGATCCCCCGAGGCGGCAAGTCGGAGAACCGACATCTCGGGTGTGCCAAATTCAAGGCTACGCGCTTTGGTGCAGGCTTTGTCGTCAAGCACTATGCTGGAGACGTCGAGTACCGCACGTCCGGCTGGCTCGAGAAGAACAAAGACCCGATCAACGATGCCGTCGCCCGGCTGTTGTCTGCTTCCGACATTCCTTCTATCGCCACCCTCTTTGCTGAATATGCCGAAGACACTTCTGCTTCTGTCGGGGTGGTCAAAAAGGTTAGGCGGGGTGCGTTCCGAACAGTCGGTCAGCGCCACAAAGAACAGCTCGGCCAGCTCATGCAGCAGCTCAACTCGACGCAACCGCATTTCGTCCGTTGTATCGTGCCGAACCCCCAAAAAACGCCGGGCAAGGTGGACGTTAATCTCGTGCTGGATCAGCTGAGGTGTAATGGTGTTTTGGAAGGAATCCGAATTGCGAGGTTGGGTTACCCTAATCGGCATTCGTTTGCCGAGTTTAGGCAGAGGTACGAGGTGCTCACACCTGGTGTTATCCCTGCCGGCTATATTGACGGACGTAAAGCCGCCGAACGTATTGCCGAGGCTCTCGAGCTCGATGAAGACTTTTACAAGATCGGAGCTACTAAGATCTTTTTCAGAGCTGGTGTCCTCGCCGAATTGGAAGAACGCCGCGATAACTGTTTGCACGACATCTTCCAGCGTCTGCAGTCTGCTGCCCGGATGCATATCGCCAGGCGGAGGATCTTGAAATTGATCAACCGCGCCCAGGCTGTACGTACGATCCAGCGTAATGCGCGGGCGTACCTGGAGCTCCGGGACTGGCCATGGTGGGGTCTGTATGTCAAGGTCCGTCCTTTGCTGGCTGCTACCCGCGTCGACGACGAGCTCGGCAAGAAGCGCGCCGAGCTTTTGTTGGCTAAAGAACGAGCCGAGAGGGATGAAGCTGAGCGAAAGAGGTTGGAAGACCTCAGAGCTGGGCTTGTGGGAGAGAAGGAAAAGGTGGAGAGGGACCTTGAGGCTGAGCGCGAGCTGGCGAGAGAGAAGGATGCGATGCTCGCGAGATCGAAAGGCCGGGAAGCAGAGTTGCTCGAAAAGATTGAGGAGCTGGAGAAAGATATCGAACTTCTGGATCAAGAGCGCGAGAGAGCAGTCACAGCAGCGAACAAGGTCAAGGAAAAGCTCGCTCTCGTGCAAGGCAACTTTGAGGCCCTGACGGAACAGGCGGCGATGCTGGAAAAGCAAGGCTCTGACTGGCAGAAGCGCGAGGCAGACTTGTTGAAAGACTCAAAGGAGAGGTCGGGGTCGCTCGCGCAAGTGGAGAAGGAGAGGAAAGCGTTGGAGGCCAAGGTGGAAGAGTTGAAGAGGGAGGTGGGGACGAAGGAGGATGGGATGAAGAGGTTGAAGGAGAGGTTTGAAGCTAGTGGGGTGGAGATGGAGAAGAGGTTGGCGTATGAGAAGACCAAGGCGTGAGTTCTGTCGGCTTTATCGCTTGGACACAGCTGACAGATCGTAGTCAATCCGGCAACGATCAAGTCTCAGCATTGACGGACGACTTGCGCAAGGCCAAATCTCAGTTGGCCGAATTCCAACAGACTATCAAGACTCACGAATCGACCATCGCCTCCAAAACCCGAGACATCTCCACTCTCGAGTCTCACAAGACGGCCTCTGCTAAAGCCCAGGAAGCTGCCGATAAGGTCAAGACTGAGCTTGCCGTCCAAATTGACAGTCTCACCTCCGAACTCGCTGCGCGCGAAAAGGAAAGGGCCAAGGAGGCGTCCGCAAGGGGCAAGGTCGAGCAAGAACTTGATGGCTTGAGAAGTCTTATGGCCACCAAGACGAGCGAGGACGAACAGCGTCGTGAGGTCGACAAGTCTCGCGACCAAGAGATGTCTCGACTCCGAGAACAGGCCGCCCAACTCCAAAAGACCCTCGACGATCAGCGCGAAACTGCTTTGCAGCTTGCCAACAAGCTTCGTGTTGATGTGGAAGGCTTGAAGCAGAGTCATACCAGCGTCCAGCGGGTGCTCAAAGTCAAGATCAAGGAGTTGGAAGAGAAGGAGAAGGAGGTTGTGGGTGCCAAGGCCAAGGTGGCGCAGGCTGAGAGCGAGCGAAGGAAGGCTGGGGATGAGCTTGCTAGGTTACAAGAGCAACTCAAGGATACCGAGAAGAGGCTGCAGGGGACAGTCCAAGCTAGAGACGTGAGTCAAAGACCTACCAAAAACCCTAGCTGACGTCTCTGTAGGATCTTGAGAGCCGACTCCAATCTTTGCAAGACGAATATAACGGCCTTGAAGATGCTGTGCTCGAAATTGAAGCCGACAAGGCCAACTGGTCCAAGTCCATTGAGAAACTCGCCTCTCGATTGCAAGAAGAGACCAACCAGCGGCAGCACTTTGAGCAAGAGCTCTATGACCAGCAAGTCGAGCTTTCCGAGAACCGCAACGTCGCCCAGCAGGCCGAACGCGAGCTTGCCAAAGCCGCTTCGGATATCAAAGCCCGCGACAAGGAGATCGAGTATTTGCGAAGCCGTGAGAACAAGACTGTGGTCGAGCACTACCATGTCATGGAAGCTGCCAAAAAGTTCACCGACCAACAGCTCGCTGAGCAAATCAGCGAAAACAGCCGTCTCAACACGCTTCTAAAGTCGCTCGAGTCGCACCGAAACAGGCTCAATGCCGATCTGGAGGATCTCGCCCGTCAGTATGACCAGCTGAAGGCTAGCAAGAGCAAAGAAGCTAGGGCGGCGAGGGCATCGCTGGGCCCCGAGGATAAGGGTGCTGTCGCGGCTCTCGAAGATGAGCGCAAGACGAGGCGGGTGCTCGAGTCGAGGATTGCGGCGATGGAGAAGGACTTGCAGGAGCAAAAGAAGCAGCTGTCTGCTGCCTCTCTCACCGCCGGCAAACACAGCTCTCTCGAGTCCAAATTCTCTCGCCTGAAGAACGAGTTCTTGAACCTTGAAGACCTGCACGCAAATGTGTCGGCAGAGAACGACAAGCTCAAGGGCGAGCTTTCCGAACTTCAAAAACTCTTTGCCAAGTCGGCTGTACCCAACGCTAGCAACCTTCGCCGAGAAGACTTGCTACGCGGCCTCCAACTCAGTCACGACGCTCTTGGAAAGGACATGTCGGATCAGCTGCGAAAGCTGACTGAGGCTACCCCTCTGACGCCTAGTAAACGCACAAGCGTCATCAATGGCAACGGCACCCCAGCACAAGAAGACCAGGCCGCGGCGAGGAGGATGAGGACGCTCGAGCAGGAGGTGGAGAGCCTGAAACAACAGTTGGTGGATGAGCAAGATGAGAAGGACTTTTTGGTGGAGCAGATGGATAAGATGCAAGAGGAGAGGGGCAACGGTGGTTCATTCTCTCGTGAGTTTACATGATCAAAGAGGGGCATCAACTAACGCTCGCGCAGATGATCAAGCTATGTATTCGCATTTCAGATTAAAGACCAAGGCTTTGAAGTCCCAATTGGACCAGTAAGTTCGACCCCCAGCCTCACCAAAACACATACTCACAGTCTGTGATAGCTGGCTCGCGATGGACGACGCCAAAGCACCTGCCCGAACACATACTCCAAGAATCGAAGATCTCGTCCAATTGAAACACCTGTTAGCACAACTCGACCCGGAAACGTCGCCTTTGAAGTGAGAACCTGTAGATTGGAAGAAGGGGTGTGCTGTAGTGGTGCCGCTAGAGGAGCCTGACCGTGAATACTTAACGACTCGTGACGAAAGTGTCTTGAAGATGGACGATAGATATACCCGGACGTGGATATACCTCAATTCTGCTATTACATAGGGTGCCTGTCTGTAATGAATGTGTTGTGTCCCTCACCTCTGAACGTCACACTTTTCATGCCATTTGGCCCTCGCGGACCGAAAGACGTAGATGTGCCAGGCACGCACTTGAAAATCAAACGCGACTTGCCGACGCGAACATTGATTTCTGGAGCATTCGACGTCCTTCTTTTGTGCATTCACTGTATCCAGATATCCCATCTACTCGTCCAACCAGTACAACACCTGACATACGACCACCCCACCTCTACTATCAACCCATAGGATACCCTGAAACATTCGCAAACAATGTTTGGCGCCATCGTTGCCGGTCGTCTCGTGTATGTTTTGGTTTGAGGCCTGATGTGGCAGAGCTGATGCCTTATCATAGCCAGACCAACCTTCAACAGATGCAAGCTATCCAAGTCAAGCTTATTCTGTATTTGAGACTAATCACTTGACCACAGCGACGAAACTCATTTCGTCTTTCCCTTGGAGCAGCCGTATGATATCAATCATCTTACGGTCTTTTTACTAGGTACCGGTGAGCGATGTTCTCTCGAATTATGGATATATATGCTCACTGTCGAAACAGTTCCCTTCCCAGAAGGCTATGGAGCATCTGTACACTTTGCGTGGCCTGGCAAGGAGTATATCCCATTAGGAGTGTACGTGGTCTTGCTCGCCCCTTCCCTCTCAGTACTGTGTTGGTCATTCTCTAACATTGTCTATGCAGCCTTACCAATGGCAAGCCCTCCGCCATCTTCCGTGTTCGCTCTCACCTTCCCCCTGGAGCTACCATCGGCCACCCGTCCCCGCCCGCTCAGCTCGGTATCGAAGTCGCGTCCCTGGCACAGCTGGAGGCCATTCAAGCAGGGCTCAATGCGGCCACTGAGGGCAAGGGCAAAGAGCTGGTGAGGAATTTGGATGTTGGGAAGATTGCAGAGAAAGTGGTCAGGAATGTGAGTGCGAGGCTAGACGACGCGGGAGTCTTTACTGATGGGCTTGATCTGCAGTTGTTCAATTACCTGCACTCTTTTGGTGGTGAAGGAGCTTTAACGTGAGTCACTGTTTGTCCTCATGTTGTTGAATGCGAAGGCTGATTGCTGCTCAGACCCACCACCCAGATTCCTCTTTCAGTCTTCCAGCAATGGTACACTAATTTCACTCGCAAGATCGAGAACGACAAGGGTGCTTCGTTCCTCGACCGAGAAGATTAGGAGCAGGCTGCGGCCCGGCGGCGCATCATATAGGTAGTACGAATATAATCTAGAGGGTGATGACAAGACATCTGTGCCCATCTCTGCTCTATCAACGAACTGTTGACGCCCGCAAGAACCTCGCTGATGAAGTGATCGGCATCACTTCCTTTCCCACCGCACCTTGTGGTCTGCATGAGGCCCAGACGCTGTGTCGATTCTGTGAAAGCTGCCTGCATCAACCGCCATGCTCCTAAACACGGTTCCAAACACGAGTATGCATTCGAGAGCAGATATACCAGACAAGGTCAGTCACTGTTTGTAAACGGTCCTCGTACCTTGTCCCACTCTTGCACCGCCACCCAACTCTTTCGGCCGGGCATGACTTCGCTCTCAGCCTCTGGCACAACTTCACCCTTACGTTCTGATACTTTTGATATCAATTATCCTCTCGCGCGGCTGAACTTGAACAATCACCTCGTCGACTTTCGAATGATCAGAGTTCATTCTGAAAATCTTCTTCAGAGATGCCTGGGAACAGAGTGGACGCAGGAGGCAGCAGATGTCCGGAAGTATCTACTTTTATTGAAGCATCTCCTGAACGATTTTTTGAGCGAAAAGTATATCAAGCCCGACGGGCGTCTACTTGCAGTCCAACACCTCGTGAGTGCATTCAGTGAAATCTTTCATTCCGCTTCATTCGACAAAAGACGCTCTCAGGTCAAGGTCTATGGCGGCATCTGTTGCCGCGCTATTGAGGACATCCTTCTGGAGGAGAAAGATGGGCAGATACCGCATGATAAAGTGAGATTATTGTACAGCGTTACCGAGTCAGTGATTTTCTTCACAATGTTGAATTGGTTTCTGAGACGCTCAACTGTTTGTAGCGAAGGATATATCATCCTTAGTCATTTCTCGCGCATTCGTATCGATCAGCTAGACTCATGGGATATAATCAAAATGCAAAAAGGGGCTGAGGCATACGGAATACTCTATTATCTCATGAACAGATTCATGACGCTGGCCCTCGGTGGCTGGAAGGATGTAGGTTCATCTTCCTCCCGCTGACTGTTGTCATCTAATTGTCTTGTGCTACTGACCGTGGAATTCCTTTTCTAGTGGTCAACTCGAGAATCCGACATCGCGAAGTGGTTTGTAAAACTCGACAGTCAATGGTACATAGATGTTGTATGTGCGGGCGATCAAGTGAAGAAGGAGGGCCATGCGCCGCCCTCTCAATCATGGTATCGAGTAAAGTTTGGTCGAAAGTCAGTACTCCCCAAACCACGTATAAGCGAGTCATCAGCATAGAAGGCTGTTGCTGCGATGCCATGCTCATATTTCGTAATGTAACTGGGCTTGCATGATATATCATCCCTCGTGAGAGATTTGTAATTCTGCTTCCCTTGACGGGGGTTCGTTATGATAGCGTAACTGTGAAACAGAGTGAGTTCGCATAAGAGACTGCAAAGGGGTGGTTAGAAAACATGCCATACGATCTCCGAGAAGAGAAGACTCACAGCGATTTGTTGGCTCGTATGGTGAAAATAATACAGATGGTGAATAATAATACAGACATGGGATGGAAATCAACGGGATGAGAGGGGCTGAAGCATAGCGGACAACTCGGCCCTTGAGTAGCTCATCAGCGAGAGAAAAAACCGTTCACTATCCGACTCCTAGTTGTGTAAATGGCCGCAATTGATATAGGGACGATGGGGAATGCGAATGGCGTGATCAAAAGCGACTGCAATGTCTGGTGGTTAGCAGGTGATATGTCAGATACGAAATGAATGAAGCTCATTTATGGCGGGCTCCACAACTTCTCCGGCTTTTTCCCCTCCTTTACCGCCTCCTCCTGCACGAATGTACTGAAAATGTCGACAAACTCATCACGAGAGCTGATCTCCTCCTCCGCAGTCCATGGATACGTCTCCGGACCTTCCTTGGCCATCATGTTGAGACACCACGAGTATTGGTATTGGAAGAACTTGAGGGCTGGGGTCAACAGATCCTTCAGCGGTGCAAGGCATCGTCCATCTCCGAACACGTGTTTAGACATCCCCTTCTGTGCCAGGAACTCGGATCGGTTGGCATCGGATTTGGGCAATCGACCAAACAGAGCTTTGTAGAGATGCCCATCAGGCGTGTCGGAGGTACCGCCCTGAGTGTGATAGCGGAGTACGACGTAGATGAGGACCCAGAGGAAAGACTCTAAACCGCCGATCGTGGACTGGGTGGCGGGGAAGAAGTGGACATCTTCATACTTTTGGTTTGCCATCAGACACAGTGATTCCTGCAAAAGGAGTCAGTTGGGTCAGGATAGCAAAGCGAGCGAAGAAACTGACTGAGAAGAGGCCCAAGTCGTCGCCGTCATCTACGTCTTCCTCGTCTTTCTCGCCTTTGAGACTATAAGCGATCAACATGCCACAGAGCCCTTCCTCCGCATCACCAATCAGACAATCGATATCGTACTTGACCGGGACAAGCTCTTCGGTGACCGCGTTGTAATCATACAGCGAGAATTCTCGCGTCGGACCGACGGTGATGTTCTTGACGTCGATTTGCTTGTGCAGCCATCCGACTCGGTAGACGTTGCGGAATCCTGCGAAGCGCACTGTCAGTACAGAGTCTAGAGCACCCACAATATGGACTCACCATAGATGGCACCGAGGACGGCTTTGACGAGGTCCAGTGGACCATGCGCCGCATACACGTCCGCTAGACTGGTGAAGGAGCTTGCATCAGCTTCATTGGTTTCGTTTACGACCTCTCTCATCTGCGCCAATACGTCAGCCTGACCCAGAAGCTACTCATACGATCACATCACTCACATATGGACCCTTGTAGAGTGTCTGGTAGCCGGACCCAAAGGGTCGGACGTCGGCCGTTGCCCTCTCCCAACGAGGACCAAACTGCAGGACACCAAGCAGAGCCTGGTCTGGCCGAAGTAGGCTCTCGAGGGTTCCAATCAACTCTCCTCCTTCCTCTCCCCAACGAAGGATAGGATCGGCAGGGTCGTCTATCGGTCCGATCACCATGGTTGTAGACCCTTCGGCATGCTTCATCGGGGGAGGGAGGGACTCGCCGATGTCGTTGAGGTCATAGAGAGGAGCAGACACACTAACTCCCGCTTCCGGATCTTTGTCCTCTTCGGGCTCCTGATAGCAAGATCAGTTGCTGTGCATACGTGGCGTTAAGAGACTCACCTCTTCCTCTGGTCGCGCGCCACCCTCTCAGACGGACTTTTCCGGACATCTTCATACTTTGTGACCTGTTTTGGCCCAGCAGGATGAAGATGATAGGTCCGAGAGCGACGAGACCAAAAATCACCTTCCCGTTTATCCTGATACCTCTCCAAGCCTCGCCACGCCATGTCCGAGTATGAAAATCGCTCGAGACGAATATCTCCGATATTATCAGCATAGAAGCGGATGCGTCTGTTGCAGCCATGGTCGTCGATGGGAGCACAGTACATGCCAATGAGGAGTCCCCGGAAGCGGTCGTACTCGCCGTCGTTTCTGAGGTTGTGAAAGTGCGTGAGGTGAATGCCCCCGAAATCCAACTCCGCAATAGCCGCCTTTATTGTGCCGTCCTCGATGGAAAAGACAATAGAGCGCACGGCGACTCGATTCGGCTGGGCGTCAACGGCGGTTCGACCGGTGAGAGAGGACTTGAAGATTGCATGATCTATATTGCGATTGTCGATATCGGCATAGGTGATGAGATTTGATTCGTCGACGCGATGGTGGGCAACATTGACGCTCTGAGTACCGTCGTCGAAGAGCGAAGTGTCGCTAAGCTTGAACCCCACCAAGGCAGGTCTGGCAATCTTGCCAGAGCTATACTCCGGAGGCCCCATACGCTTGTTATACACCGCCCATCGGAATTGCCTTGTGAACAGGAAATCGAGCGCGCAATACTCGGCCTCCATGCCCGACCTTTCGAAAGCCTCTCGGGCTACGTCCAAAGTCGAATTCAGAAAGTTGGCGACGGGCTGATAGTATTCTCCGACAAAACCCGTATCTGGCCATACAGGACGAGTGGGAGCGGCGCAACCGTATGTCACGTACTTTGACAGATCGCGCTCGAGTAGAGCCGAGTCGCATTCGAGGGGCAGGTTCAGGAAAGCCCGCGGTACATCATCAGAGTCTGAGTCGCTTTCTGAACCTGAGTGGTCTCGGGAAGAATCGCTGTAGTCGGAAAAGTGGCTAAGGTCAGAGAGGGAGGTGGTAGAGGATGCGCTAGAGGATGTGTCTTCCGACATGTCTGGCGGGAGGGGACGGGAGGTGGGATGAGGAAGAGGAATAAAGAGTGATGATGAGACTTGGATGAGACGCGGAAGGCAGAATGACGGGATGGAATTGGAACAACACGTGATAATTCATATCAGCCCCCCAATTACCCTACTTATTTGTGCCCGATAAGATAACGTGACATATGGACAAATAGGGCGAGCAGAGTTCTCTAACCGTCACAGGCATGCATGGGGTGCCATCAATCATCTCTAAATGAAGGAGGGGCATTGGGCAATTTAGTGGTTAAGAGAACACTCTATAACCGCGTGGCCTTTACAACAACCGGGATCATCTCCCCAGTTGCTAGTCTATACGGCTGATGACCAACCACGGCCAAAAAGTTCCTAAAGATTGCAGTGTGCCCCGTGATCGAGATATCTACCATCTCTTATCAGCTCTCATATCGCGTCAAGCCGAGTAGCGCTAAGACTCACAAGTCTCCTCAGGACCTTCCGCGCCGAATATCCGGTCCAAGCCTCGTCTAGCTCTGAGCTGCATGTGTTCCTCCGTCTCTCGGTCTTCTGCTTTCCACAAGTCATCTTGTTCCGAGAATCCAGGCTCGATCTTGAAGGTCGGGAAACGCTCTTGAATGACACTCTGCAAAGACCCATCAGTCTCTTCGCTCCTTCCACAATAGAAATGAGCGTACCTTGGTCGACCTCTGATCACAAACGAACAACCCATAACACTCCCTCCAATCCTCCCGTACCTCCACCTCACTCCCGTCCCCCACCAGCCCCTTCCAACTCTCCATCAACGTCTGGCCTGTCCTCGTGAACGGCGAGCAGTACCACACCATCTCTCCTTGCTTGACGGGCGCGCCAAGGGGGGCTTGGGCGGTCCAGCAGGCGTTAATAGCTTGGGCTTGGGAGATGCCGAGCGGGGTGAGGTAGGGGTCTGGGCCCCAGGGGAGGTCGTCTGCGGTGGGGTAGGTGCGGGCTATGCGGGCTTCCCATTCCTATCATCTCATTAGCCTTCTTTATTGGATTGGGCTCGGAGGGTGGGGAGAGAAGCGCACCTTTTTGCTAAAGTTGTCGCTCGCAAGGTTATGCCACCCCTGCCCATGGCGGCCCAAGAAGAACACCTTGTAAGACACGCCTTCAGGAGCGGCATCTTGCAGGTCTTTCACAGATGACTTGAGGTTCTGCCACCTTTCAGGCGACTCGTCAATCAATCCAAAACTCTTCTTGAGCTATGCTTTGAAGTCAGTATCCGGTAGATGAGGCGCAGAGTAGGGTATGCAAGCAGGCATACCTGTTCTTCGAATTCGACGTGTTTTGGCTTGGGCCCATTCTGGATGAAGAATCCCTGAACGACCTGTATTCAAAGCAGTCATCAGCACAACACTACATCCCAGGAAGAGTTCGTTGAAATCTCCATATCTCACCGCCATGTATACATGGAAAACTCACCTCATAAGCAAACTCATGTTTCCTCTCTTCTAGCTCCCTATCACCGCCAGTCTCCACGGCTCCCACAGGGGGCGATTCTGGCTTGAGCTGGGGGGTCATTATATTCCTTGTTGGGTTATCCCAAGCCGCAATTGAATGCTGAAGAGGAGAAGAGTGAAAAGGGAAAGGGAACAGAAGGGAAATGAAGCGCGCGCGCGTCTGTCCAAGAAACGACCGGTGGAGGCCGCGGGCCGGCGACCACTCACTTTCCCTAGTGCTTTTCGAGTGATGCTCAAGGGTGTAGAGAGGAAGAGCGACTGCACGAGACTGTCGAGGAGCTTTGCAAGGATATGAAGCCTGGGCACGCCTAAGATTCGGTCGATGCTAAAATTCAATTCATCTCTCTGTTACTGTAATAACCCCTAGGGCCCTATCCAACGAATCTATCGTACACTCTTTCCCAAAAAACAATATCTCCCTGCGGCCTTCTCTTTTGCTTTTCGTGTTCGTCTGTATACAAGAGACTTCTTTTCCCCTTCCCCTTCTCCTCTCTCTCTTTCTTGACCTTAATAATTACCCCGTCTACACTAGCACAACCCCCTCTTTCTCTACCATCACCCAACCATAGTAAACAACCCCTCATCATATTCCTCCCTCTTAACGCCCGCGCCCCCCAACGGCGTCTCAACCCCATCCTCCCCCTCCCCCTCATGCTCAGTGGAGGTCATAAATAGGAGCAGACGCAGTTACTCCCACTCCCAAATCTTCGTCCTCTTCAGGCTCCTGATAACAGATAACAAGATCAGTTGCTATGCATACGTGCCGTAAAGAGACTCACCTTTTCCTCTGGTCGCGCACCATTCCTCTCAGACACTTTCGACCCAGCAGAAGAAGATGATAGGTCCGAGAGTGACGAGACCAAAAATCACCTTCACGCTCATCCAGAAACCTGTCCACGTCTCGCCACGCCTTTTGCGAGTATGAGAATCTCTGAAGACACATATCTCCGTTTTCATCAGAAAAGAAACGGATGCGCCTGTTGCAGCCGTGGTCATCGATGGGAGCGCAGTACATGCCAGCGAGGAGTCCCCGGAAGCGGTCGTACTCGCCGTCGTTCTTGAGGTTGTGAAAGTGCGTGAGGTGAATGCCCCCGAAATCCAACTCCGCAATAGCCGCCTTTATTGTGCCGTCCTCAATGGATAAGACAATAGAGCGCACGGCGACTCGATTCGGCTGGGCGTCAACGGCGGTTCGACCGGTGAGAGAAGACTTGAAGATCGCATGATATATACTGCGATTGTCGATATCGGCATAGGTGGCGAGGTGTGCTTCGTCGACGCGATGGTGGGCAACATTGACGCTCTGAGTATTGTCGTCGAAGAGCGACGTGTCGCTAAGCTTGAACCCCACCAAGGCGGGTCTAGCAATCTTGCCAGAGCTATACTCCGGAGGCCCCATACGCTTGTTATACACCGCCCATCGGAATTGCTTTCGTGAACAGGAAATCGAGCGCGCAATACTCGACCTCCTTGTCCGACCTTTCGTAAGCCTCTCGGGCCACGTCCAAAGTCGAGTTCAGAAAGCTGGCAACGGGCTGATAGTATTCTCCGACAAAACCCGTATCTGGCCATACAGGACGAGTGAGAGCGGCGCAACCGGGTGGCACGTATTTTGACAGATCGCGCTCGAGTAGAGCCGAGTCAAATTCGATGGGCAGGTCCTTGAAAGCGCGCGGTACATCATCAGAGTCTGAGTCTGAGTCGCTTTCTGAATCTGAGCTGTTTCGTGAGGAATCGCTGTAGTCGGAAAAGTGGCTAAGATCAGAGGGGGAGGGGCTAGAGGGTGCGCTGGAGGAGGCGCTAGAGGCTGTGTCTTCCGACATGTCCGGCGAGAGGGAACTGGAGGTGAAGATGCAGAAGAGGAATGAAGAGTGATGATGAGATGCGGAAGGCAGAATGACAGGATGGTATTGGAACGACACGTGATAATTCAAATCAGCCCCCCAATTACCCTACTGCATTATCTGCGATAAGATAACGCGACAGATGGACAAATGGGGCGAGCAAAATTCTCTGACCGTCACAGACATGCATGGGGTGCAATCAATTATCTCTAAATGAAGGAGGGGCATTGGGCAATTTAGTGGTTAAGAGAACACTCTATAACCGCGTGGCCTTTACAACAACCGGGATCATCTCCCCAGTTGCTAGTCTATACGGCTGATGACCAACCACAGCCAAAAAGTTCCTAAAGATTGCAGTGTGCCCCGTGATCGAGATATCTACCATTTCTTATCAGTTCTCATATCGCGTCAAGCCGAGTAGCGCTAAGACTCACAAGTCTCCTCAGGACCTTCCGCGCCGAATATCCGGTCCAAGCCTCGTCTAGCTCTGAGCTGCATGTGTTCCTCCGTCTCTCGGTCTTCTGCTTTCCACGAGTCATCTTGTTCTGAGAATCCAGGCTCGATCTTGAAGGTCGGGAAACGCTCTTGAATGACACTCTGCAAAGACCCATCAGCCCAAGTCGCAATCGAATGCTGAAGAGGAGAATAGTGAAGAGGGAAAGGGAAGTTGAAGGGAAGTCTGTCCGAGAAACGACCGCAGCCGAGGGCGGTGGAGGCCGACCACTTAAAGTACTTCTAAAGTTCTCGTATATGAAACCTGAGCACGCCCAAAATTCGGTCGATGTTAAGCTTTAATTCATCTCTCTGGTACTGTAATGCCCCTCCATCTAACCCCTATCTAATCTATCGTACACTCTTTCCCAAGAAACGAGATTTCCCTTTTGTTTTGCTTTTTGTGTCTGTCTGTATACAAGATACTTCTTCTCCCCTTCCCCTTCTCCTCTCTCTCCCTTTTTTGATCTCAAGATTACCCCGTCCACACTATGCACAGCCCCCCTCTTTCTCTACCATCATCCGTCCATAGCAAACAACCCCTCATCATGTTCCTCCCTCTTAACCCCCGCACCCCCCAACGGCGTCCCAGCCCCATCCTCCCCCTCCCTTTCATGCTCATCCACCCTCCACCCTTCTCCCAGCCCGCCCCTACCGCCCAAACCCAGTCCGCCAGCGGCAGGCGGCGAGCCCACCGCGAGGTTGGAAGGCGAGCGCGGGCCGTGCATGTGCAATCTCGAGAGCGCATTGGCGAGGCCGCCGGGGAGTGATTGACCCGGGGCGTGGTCCAGTAGTGCTCTTTGCGATGGGGAGGAAGGGTCCAGGCGGATGAGGTATGGGTCGTTTGAACCATTGGCATTGAGCGCGGGGGCGCCGAAAGATGATGTGGACATGCCTGGGGACGTCGGGGACGCGCTGCCTGGGGAACGTTGTTGTGTGAGGAGGCTCGTACGGTGGCCTGAAGGTTGGGCGGTGGTGGGGCCAAAGGTCAAGTCTTGCGCGTTCGAGGAAGAGTTGCGGTGTTTTCGAGCGTCCTCCCCGTTGGCAGACCAAAGGCCTTGCAAGAAACCTTTCTGGCCCATCGTCGCACCAGCACTCTGCGCCAGCCTTTCACCAGTCCATGCAGGTCCTTGGGCATAGGAAGGCGAGTAGGCTTCACCATCGCTATCCCTCCTCGACATCCTCCTCGCACGCTCTTGCGGCGTGAGCAAGTCGGACAAGGAAGAAGGCAAGAACTCTTCCCCGTGATCATCCTCGTCTTCAAACACCGTGTCGCGCTTGATAGGTCGGGGGATGGGTTTGCGCGGGGAGAGCGGTTGAGGGGGCTGGTCGGAGCGGGACCAGATGGATCGGTGGAGGGAGGGCGCGTCGCCGGCGAATGATGCAGAGAGGGGGGCGGCGACGGTATTCGAAGGGCGTTCGATAGCCAGAGAAGAGTGGGAGAAGGATGATGAGAATGGCGCGGCGGTGACAGGGGGGCGCAGGGTGGATAAGGGGTTACCTTGCTTTAGAGAAAGCGGTCCAGGGACGCTGCCCGCAGCAAGCCCGCTGCCCACAGCTCCAAAGCTCGCAGACAAAGGCGAAGGCCTGTTGGGCGATGACGCAAAAGCAGGGTGCGCCCGAGTCAACGAATGGGCAAACCCAGCCGCTGGAGGGCTGTTTGGCAAGGCCCCAGAGGGAGGGCCGAACGGCTCTCGCATGGGGGAGGAGCCAATCTGCCTAGCGGGAGGAGACTGGATAGAGGAGGATAGGGCAGAGCGGATGGGGACGGGGCTGGCGACAGAGTCGTCCCTTCGACCGCTGGACTCGCCGTTGAGGGCCTTGCCATCGCGCTCGCGGGCTTCGAGCTGCGCGGCCTTCTTGTTCTTGCGGTCCATCGACATGGGTTCTCCGGGACGTACATGCGCCAAAGCGCCTATGAAATCGTTAGCAATGCTTTGCGAAGGGTAATAGGCGTACATTTATGCGCAAACTTGCAGTTGCCCTTCAAGAACCACTGGCACACTTCTCGCTTCGCCGCTACTCCTTATCAGCATCTCCTCGCGCGTCTGGGATCAGTGTACTTACAATCCGGAGCAGCATGTGAGAATGGGCAGCTCTCTCCTGCAGTACAAGCCCCCGCCTTGAAGAACCTACAGGGCACATGGCTCAACGTAGCTACCATCACAATCCCCATCAGCTCTGTTCAAACGCGCGTCGCAAATGCGCCCGTATGACCGCGGTATCCCACTCACTCTTGCCATCTTCATCCTTCTCCTCCACCACCTTCTTCTTCTCCCTCTCCCTGCTCAGTCCACTGCCCGCGCCTACACCAGAGCTCGACTTGAGACTCCCCAAATCGCGCTTCTCAAAACCAATTGTCTTTTCCGGTACTTTCGTCCCCGTCTGACTCCCCTGCAAGCCCGCGCTCTTCGCGCCGCTGCCCGAGACCGACCCCAACGTTCCGGGGGGCGCAGGCGACCGATCACGCCAGTTGTCATCCTGGAACGACTTGCCGACTGACGTGGCTGCCCCAGCGCGGTATCTATACGACCCCGGCGTCGCGCCCAGTCCACCCCCACCGCCGCCACCGCCACCTGCGCCGGCGCCTGAGGCGGTGTCCTTCTCCTTGGAGGGGGAGGAGGAGAGGGCGATGGGGGTAGGGCGGGAGCGGGGAATGGGCTTGGCAGAGGCGGGGTGGTCTGACTTGGGAGGGACGGGGTCGGTGATGGGCGGGGGGTCGGAGGGGAGGGGGACGGACATGGTAGCTAGGTGTGGGTGGATGGGATGGGGTTGACGGTGTCGAGGCTGGGGAACAAACGAGAGAGAAGGAAGGAGAAGGAAGGAGGATGAGGATGTCCTTTGTGCGAGATGACGAAGGGGGACGCGTGATGCGGCGAATGCGGCGATCCCCGAGATACAGATAGATACTTTAGGTGGCGGGGGTGGGTATTACTGATAGATAGAAGGAGATGGGATAGATGTGTACTCTACTCTATTGTGCAGGGGAACGCAATACGCACTCAACCCGACTCAGACTCGCGACGTGATAACCCAGCTGCCGGCATGACGCTGTGGCGCAATCATGGACGAATCATATCACGTCCTTATCGCCCTGGATCCTGGATGATCAACTAGGCAAACGACTCAATTACGATCCCTTAGATTTCTTCTCGGGCAAGCTAATATGCATTTCGTCGGTGCTCGTGGCATGGGGACTTTTGGTACTAGCTATTACTCGGGAAACACCCCCTCCTCTGTTCTTCCTTATCTGATGGTTGAGCATCACCCTCTTCGTTATACGCCAATCTTCAGATCTCGATATGTATACTGCCTATGGAAGTTGGATCCCATAGCTGTTTCCCGTCCACATCCCGCAACCCCATCTTCCCCCCCCTCCCTCCCCTCCCCTCCCCTCCCCTTCCCTTCCCTCCTCTTCTCCTCTCCTAGTCGCGTGTAAACCCTCAAGCCTGGGCAGGCGAAGCCCCCTGGCTCTGCCCCTGTCCACCCCTCCCTCCTCGTCCGCCCCCACCCCCTCGGCCTCGTCCCCTTAAGTTCGCACTCGAATTTCCAATCTGGTTCTGCGGCCGTCTGTTCTGGCCTTGCTGTCCTTGTCCTTGGCCTTGCTGACCTTGTTGACCTTGTTGACCCTGGGCTTGGTTGGAGAAAGCCCGAGGTTGGGCGGGCGGTTGACCTTGAGCCTGAGCTTGAACAGGAGGAGACTGCATTTCAGGCGCTTGCTGGTACTGCTGAGGAGGAGCAGCCTGTTGCTGCTGAGCCGGCGCCGGCGACCTCCCCTGACTCCTCTGTTGCTGCTGCTGCTGCTGCCTAGGCGCAGCAATAGCCGCACGCACAGGAGGCGGCGATGGCCGTTCATCCTCCACCATCGCCGGCGCAACGTACAAGACGGGGTCGATCACGGCGGGGATGGGGGCGATCTCTGTACCGAGTTCGGATTCGATACGGTAGAGGTTGTGTCTGTCTTCAAGCTAATTCCTCCCGTCAGCCTTTCGCCTTTCCGATGTAGTATGCAAGATGAAGAGATGTAGAGGACTTACAGTCAAAAGCGAAATGGCCAAACCCAGATGCCCAAACCGTCCCGATCGCCCAATCCTATGAAGATAACTCTCCGCCGTCCTCGGGAAATCAAAGTTGATCACCACATTCACCGCCTGGATATCAATACCTCTCGTCAACAAATCTGAGCAGACCAAGTTTCGCGTCATGCCCCCGCGGAAGTCGTGGAAAACGCGGTTACGATGCGCTTGTTGCATTTTGGCGTGAGAGTAAAAGCAAGAGTAGCCGAGCTCGGTAACTTTTTTGGCGAGGAGCTCGACGCGGTTGGTGGAGTTGCAAAAGATGATGGATTGGTTGATTTGGAGCTGTCCCAGAGTCAGCACAAGGCGATGAGAGTGGGGGAGGACGCACTTTGGAAAAGAGTGTGTTGAGACAGTGGACTTTTTGAGATTCTTCGACGTATGCGTAATATTGTGTGACACCCTTGAGCGTAAGCTCGTCCATCAGGTTGATTTCGAACGGCTGCACCATATGTTGATCCTACATCTCGTCAGCTCTCCCCTTCTCCACATGACAATACACACTCACTTTAAACTCCTTCACCGTCCATGGGAACGTTGCACTGAACAACATCACCTGCCTCTCCTGCGGGCACAACGCCAACGTCTGCTCAATCACCGGCATAAAGTCTTCACTCAAAAGCTTGTCCGCCTCATCCATCACAAACATCCCACACTTGTTCAACCCCGCAATCCCTTTACTCCCCAGGTCGAGAATTCGCCCGGGGGTGCCGACGAGGATATGCACAGGCTGCTGGAGACGGAGGATATCGTCCCGGAGGGTGGTACCGCCCGTCGTGATCATCACCTGCAACCCCGGGATATGCGCGCCTAGCGTCTTGCACACCTGCGACGTCTGCAGCGCCAGCTCTCGCGTCGGTACCAAGATCAACGCTTGGATATGCGACAGACTCGTATTGATTCGGTTCAGAGTCGGGATGATGAAGGAGGCGGTTTTGCCGGTACCGTTCTTGGCACGGGCGAGAATGTCGCGGCCGGTGAGGGCCATGGGGATGGCTTGTTCTTGGATGGGAGAGGGCTTTTCGAAGCCGGCAGTATAAATGCCCATGAGGAGTTCGCGCCGGAGGTCGAAATCGTCGAAAGAAGCGCCTTGGGTTGCGGTGACATCTTCTGTTTGTGGGCGGTAGTCTTTGGGAGGGGCGGTGAGGGAGGACTTCCAGTCCTGATTGTGTGATCTGGTCCAAGTCAGGCGGGGGGTTCAAGAGATGGTGGTGGGTGGCTTACGTTGATGAAGAAGCCATAGTGTAGAGTGTTATGGGGTTGTGGATGTATAGAGAAAGCCAGTGGGCAAGAGGGGTGTATCTGTGATAGACAAGTGGGTGTAGCGTGTAGGCGAGTTGCGCGGTGAACTGTTGTGGTGGTGTTCAGGCGAGTCGGGCGTGGCGTGGCCCTGTGGTGTGAGAAGAGCAGGGATCGAGATGGACAGTTAGTGACAGCGGTGGTGCCGAGAGAAGGGGCGCCATAATCCCGGTAGTGCGTTCGGCATAACGGGACCAGATCACAAGTGGCACATTTTGACCCCGTCGTCTTCAGGGGGTTTGTTTGGTTTCGGCCTTTTTAGCCGAACATTGCTCGTGGGGTCGTTGTATGTCTTGCATGCCTTCATTGTAGTTTGTACTGGCAGCAGTCTCCAGATGGCCATGGTCAAGTGACGTGAGACCCAGGTCAGACTGCTGCTGGCAGCGAGAGCAAGAAGGCTTCTGCCCTGTATGCAGCGCAGTGGCTTGAAAGCGGACTTGATGTGCACTTCTTCAGCACCCACTAAGCGATCTTTTATACCCATTCACGCCACCATTGCTCATCCAACCGCTCGGTTATCCCACCCTGAGTCCGGAGATAGGAAAATATCGCGGAAGCCCGACGCCTAGGGACGCGGCTAATAATCGACTATTTGTAGATCCCTCTTTGCGTGCTTATCATTGCCCATTTTTCAATCCATCGACTCTTTCATGCGATGGCTGCAGAACTATTATTCATCTTTGTTCCATAACACCATCTTCAAGAATATGACTTTGAATATCGACAAGCCTGTTACGCGTGTAGCTGTCATCGGGGCAGGAGCAGCTGGGCTGGCGCAGTTGCAGCAGTTGCAAGAGGCGTGGCAGAGGGGTAACGTGCAGAGTAAGCTTGAGGTGGTCGCTTTCGAGACGAAAGAAGACGTCGGCGGGGTCTGGTCAGTCTCCTTTTCTTTCACGATCTAGCAGGTGAAAGCTGACAGAAGACAGGCTGTGGGACGGCGCATCTAAAAACTCTCTGACTGCACGAGTCCCGGGCAAAGACGGAGACCAAGTGTACTCTTACCCCCCTGGCACCGAAAACCCTTCGCCGATGTATACCGGTCTCCGAACCAATATCCCTGCTGTAAGCAATACACCCCCAGCTCCCGGGAGACGAGCTGAACGGCGCGGTAGCCTCTTATGGCTTATAGAGGATTCGAGTTTCCCGAAGGGACGCACCTCTTTCCCGAAAGCAGTAAGCCCCCCCCACCTCCTACCTTTTCAAACCATCATACTAACCCTCCAAAGGCGTGGTGCTCAAGTACTTGCAAGATTTCGCAACAGCATACGACCTCCGCCAATACGTGCGCTTCAACACCCAAGTCGAGCGTGTCCATCTCTCTCCTCCAGGCTCTTCCCGCCGATGGACTATCGAGTCTGCTCCTTCCAAGAGTGGAGAGGGGGAGAAGAAGAGGGAAGAGTTTGATTTCGTGAGCGTTTCGAACGGACATTATGCCGATGGGTGGATCCCTGCCATTAAGGGTCTTTCGTAAGTCATCCCTCCACATCTCCACTTCCAACACGTGCTGATAGGGTATGGAACAGTACTTTCCCAGGCGAGATCGTCCACTCGAGATACTACCACTCCCCACCCCTCCTCGCCCCCAAAACCATCCTCATCGTCGGCTCCTTCGCTTCCGGCGGCGACATCTCCCGCCTCGTCGCAGGGTACGACCTCGACAAATACTCTCCTTCCGGCGAGCCCCTCCCAGGCCAATCGGGAGAGGGTAAAGGGTTTGTAAAGATATACGTATCAAGCAGTGGGGCTACGATGTTTAGCCCTGCTTCCGAGAGTGCTTGGGGCAAGTATTTGAAGCAGAAACCGTTGGTGTCGCATATCGACCCTCCATCCCCCACCCACCCCAAAGGCGTCATCCACTTCCAACCTCCACCCTCTTCAGAGGAAGGTACCCCCGCCCCAGTGTCTGACGAACCAATCGACGACGTCGACCTGATCTTGTTCGCTACGGGATACAATTTCGCTTATCCCTTCTTCAAGTCTACCGACCAGCCTTGGGATGGCAAGAGCGTAGTGGACGGGGTGATTAGGGAAGAAGAAAGGCAAGGTGGGGATGAGAGAGAAGTTGGGGGGCTGAAAGGATTGACGCCGAGAAATCTTGATGAGCTGCTCATGTTTCATAAAGGCGATCGATCGCTCGCATTCCTTGTCCTCCGTACGTCCCTCCCTTCCTCCCTCCTCCCTTGTTTTGGATATGAAGAAGACTAATGGAGAAGCAGCATACCAAATGATCCCATTCCCATTCGCCCAAGTCCAAGCCCGCCTCTCGTCCCTCCTCTGGGCAGGCCTCCTCCCCTCCTTCCCCGCCCATCCCACCCTCCCGCCAAACGCTTCAAACCCATACCAACAAGAAGAAGAATCCCCCGCCCCCGTCCCTGCCTCCAACCCCGACCCCTACCCCAACCCCACGGCGTCCGGGACATCCACCCCAGGAGCGTCAAACACGTATACCACATCCTCCGCCGAAACGCCCTCCAAGCCGTCAACGCGCAAGATGATGCAAGTCCGGCGTCAGCTGCTATTTGGGGCGCCTTATGAGTGGGATTATTCAGAGTTTCTGATGGGGATCATGGCGGAGGCTGATGCTGGGGAAGGAGGGGAAGGGAAGAAGGTGGAGGAGCATTGGAAGAAGATTGAGCCGTTTAGGAGGGAGTTGAGGGAACAGACTGATTTGAAGAAGAGGACTTTGGGGTATTAGATGGTAGATATCTAGAAGTGGAGGGGTCTTGATACAGCTACAGAGTAGAGATAGTTTGCACGTAAGACGGAATCTCTTGTCATTTTCTCTTCCTCTTGTTGAATGTCATTTTGTAAAAGTGCACATACTGTACAGTCACAGTACACTTCGTACAGTTACAGTACACTTCATTCAGTCACAGTATCCAATTGCACACCTATCTAATGTAACATCTAACTGATCTTTATGTCTTACGTCTTACAAGTCTGTCTGATCATCTACAACAGCCTATAATTTGGACTTGGAAAGCTTGGTGGCTTTGACGACGACGGGAATCATCTCGCCGGTTTCGAGCTCGTACTCATGGTGGTTGAGGACCTTGAGGAGGGAGCGGTAGAAGGCGGCGTGGGCGGTGACGGAGATGACTGCGCCCTTGTTAGTTTTGTCCATATCCATGAGAGTGAAACCTACAGGTCTCGCTGGGGCCACCCTCGCTGAACAGCCTGTCCATAGCGCGCTGCCCTCTCAGTCCTGCGTGCTCATACGTCTCCCTGGGCTCCGGTGTCCAGAGCTCATCGTCCTCGGTGATGGAGCTAAAGTCGACGTTGGGAAACCGCTTTTGCAGCTCCGTCTACACCCTGTCAGAATCCACTCCGCAACAGAACGAGGTGGATACTCACCTTGGTGTACCGCAAATCATTGGTGTGATACCCATAAATCTCTCTCAAATCCTCCCACGCCTCCGGCTTACCCTCCACAAGCTCCCCCCAGCTCGCTTCCAACGTCTGATTCGTCCTCACCAACGGGCTGACCAACCACTTCATCTGCCCCGCACCGACTGGCGCGCCCTGCTTGACTTCGCGTGACCAGGCGGCATAGATCGACTGGGCTTGTTGGATACCGAGCGGGGTGAGGGGAGGGTCAGGACCCCAGGTGATCTCGTTGTCGCCGGTGAGGAGGGCCCATTTGTGGTCCCAGTCGTCTCCGTACTTGGCGTTACCAAAGTTGTGCCAGCCTTGACCGTGGCGTCCTGAGTCCTTATCAGCTCTGTCACATCATCGCGTAGCCGAGCGTACCGAGGAAGAGGACTTTGTATTGCACGCCCTCGGGAGCTTCGTCCTGCAGCTTCTTGAGGGACGCCTTGAGGTTTGTCCATCTTTCCGGGCTCTGGTCCACTAATCCGAAACTCTTTTGCAGCTACGCACCGCATCAGCACCGTTCCTCTGCACGCGTCTGGTGACGTACAATCTCTTCAAACTCAACATGCTTGGGCTTGGGTCCATTCTGAACGAAAAAGCCTTGTACGACCTGTACAAGAGGTCAGCTCGAAGAAAGAGCAGCGGAATGGAATTGGCTACTCACCTCAAAGCCGAATTCCGGCGTCCTCTCCTCCAGGCTCGGCTCTGGCTTGACGCCGTTGGTATCGTGGACACCGTTGGTCGCGAGGTGGCCATTGGTCTGTACCTGGGTCATATCTTGTGGGAAGTGGTTGTGGGAGAAGGATGCAAGAGATGAAAAAGATGGAATGTTATTGGGGCTGTGCAGGTGAGGCACGCGATCGGGGCACTGGCTCGGGACGCGGATCGAGCCGAGTACGAGTAGTGATTCCAGCGGGTATACCGGCATCGCCCATATAGATCTCAGATCCGTAGACAAGAGATGTAAGAGGTGAGTAGCGCACATGTCGAAAGCTATTCATGAACCATAGATATGCATGGGAGACAGAAATCTACAACAGTACGGGACGTTCGGGATCAAGCCTTCGGCCTCTCTATAGACGTGTGTGTGGCCTTTACAACGACAGGGATCATCTCTCCGGTTGCGAGTGGATACGGCTGATGGTTGAGTACAGCAAGCAGGTTGCGGAAGATTGCAGAGTGGCCTGTGATGGAAATGTCTGCACGTCTTATCAGCAAGTGGATCGAAGGTCGAAGCAGGCGAGAGAGGGCGGCTTACAGGTCTTTCCAGCACCACGTCTGCCAAAGAGTCTGTCCATGGCTCGTCGAGCTCTGAACTGCATGTGCTCATCCGTTTCGCGGTCGTCAGGTTTCCAAAGTTCGTCTTCCTCTGCAAGACCGTCTTCGATAGTGAAGGCAGGGAAGCGCTCCTTGATGATGCTCTGCGAGCTGTCAGCCTCTTTCCCATGGCATATTTTGATCGAACATACCTTGGTAGACCTCTTATCACAAGTATGCACTCCATAGATCTCCCTAAAATCCTCCCAGACCTCAATCCTCTCACCCTCCTCCACCACACCCTTCCAGCTCGTCTCCATAGTCTCTCCCGTCCTAGTCATCGGCGAACAGTACCACCTCATTTCCCCACTCTTGACCGGCGCCCCCAAAGGCGCTTCTTTTCGCCACGTGTCATTGACAGCCTGGGCTTGAGATACGCCCAAGGGAGTGAGGAAAGGGTCGGGACCCCAGGTGAGTTCACCATCGCCGTTGAGGAGGGCCCATTTGGCTTCCCAGGCTTCGGTGCCGTATTTGGATTCGGCGACGTTATGGAAGCCTTGCCCGTGTCTGCCTGAAATAAGGATCAACTCAAGTTCGGTCGACATAGCAGATAGCTCACCAAGGAACAGTACTTTGTAGATTACTCCTGCAGGCGCTTTGTTCTGCAGCGCCTCGACAGATGCTTTGAGGTTATGCCACCTATCGGGGCACTCATCTATCAGCCCGAAACTCTTTCCCAGCTACACAATTGGCGTCAGCTTCAACACGATGCAGAGGGTCTTGAAATTCGTACGAGATCTTCAAATTCAATGTGCTTGGGTTCGGGTCCATTTTGGATGAAGAACCCCTGTACGACCTGCCCAATCATCAGCCTCTATCCCCAGCAGTGCCACGTCTTAGACCCCATATACAGAACGTGCTTTGAAACATACTTCATAGACAAACTCATGCGGCGGCTCTTCCACTTCTGGCGCTATAGCAGGTCCACCAGACTCGAGGGATGCTACTGGGGGCGAATCGTGCTGCGTCATACTGTTCTTTTTTGGCTTGACTGTTGTGAATTCTGTGGCAGAGGCCGAGTATGAGTTGGAAATTGAAGTAGTCTCAGAAAGGGATGACAAGATTCAGAGATGGGCGAGGAGAGCGATATGTGTTCCAGTCGGCTCGTCGACCGGTGGGTTCCGGTCGCGTAGGTGGAGGTCAGTAACCATCATCTCGTTCCCATCATATCAGATGCCCCGACCCGTCGATCTGCTGTCTTTGATCCTGTATCCGATATTTTCATCCAAGGATAGCCATATCGTACAACCAAGTCCGCCGCCATGATAGATATGTCTACATAGATACCATGTCCGACACAACAAATCTTTACAACGTACTGACTTTCTATAGACCCGACGACTATGGAAGAAACCTATCTCCCAAGTACTGAGCCACAATGTATGAGCGAGAAGATTGGGGAGTGGCTCTTGGGTGAATGTACCTGCACATATGAACATGGATATTCATTAACATTGGCCGGTCTTGGCGCGGCTACCAAATAGTGTAAATTCAACCTCAGAGATCAACTCCTTACCAAAGCGAGTTTGAGCTCCCATAAATTCCTCCAGACGGATTCACAGCATCCAAAAACCCTCCATAATTCTGGGCCGTCTCCCCACAAGGACTCGCCGCTCGGATCTGCTGCGCCTACAAATCCCTCGTCAGCTTACCATCCTCTCTTCCTTCTTCCCTCTTTCTCCATGACATCTTTCCCACGGGATGAGTTTGGGATGGGCAAAGGAGTGGGACTGACCTCGGGCAACCACTGCGTCAATTGTTTGATCCGCTTAGCATTAGCAGGGTGGGTGGAGAGGAAATCGACGTTGAGGCCTTTACCGCCGCCTTCGGATTGGGACATTCGTTCCCACATGCTTTGATCGGGGTTAGTATATGTGGACAAGCGTGATGGGAAACGGGGAGGGGAGGGGAGGGGGGACGCACTGGGTGGATTCTGAGGGGTTGAAACATGCGCGGCTGGAAGAGAGTTGAGGTCAGTTGAGGGGGCTGGGTGAAAGCAGGGGAAGGGGAGGGGAGGGGAGGGACGTACGCCATGAGACGGAGACCGATAAAGTCGGCTTCGCTTTCGTTCTTCCTAGAATTGGGTAGTCTATAGAAGTATCAGCACTAGCCAACGAGTTGTTCAAGCACACTTACTGAAGCATGAATGTCAGAAGCAATCTCGAAACGCCGACATCCAGACCCAACGTTTCCAGCAAGAATCCCAGCGCAAACAGCACCTTCATCGAACTCATCCTCTCTGCCGGATGACGCGCGACCTGGTGCGCTACTTCGTGTCCCAACACGGTAGCCAGACCGTCGTCGTTGGCGGACACGGGGAGAATACCGGTAAAGACAAAGATCTTGCCGCCGGGCAAGACGAACGCGTTTTTGGTCTTCTTGTCATCAATGACATAGACTTCCCACTCTGTTTCTTTCCCTTCTTTGATACTGTGCGATCCATCCCCGCTCCCTCTCAAGAAGATATCCTTCATCTCCACGCCCCCTCCAAACGACGGCACTTTACCCTCCACAGCCCCCATCTCACCGCCGCTCTTGACTCTGCCGAGGTTGGAGCTTTCGATAATCCGGGTGGCAATCTTGCGTACGCGCTTGGTTATTGGATGGTTGGCTGGGAGGACGGCGGTGGAGTATTCGGAGAGGGTTTGGAGCTGGGTTTGGCGGCCGAGCTCTGTTTCTTGGGCTTCGTCGACGTCGATGAAACGTAGGCGGTTTGTTTCTGGTACTCTTTCGAGGCTAGCCATTCGTCATTAGCGATTGTCTGATAAGGGAGTGAGCTATCATACTGAGCGACATAGTAGACACCTCCAGCCCCGATCCCAATCCCATACACCCAAACAGCCCTCTCTCCTCCTACTCTCCGCTTGATATACGTCCACAGATTCGGTCCCCTGGGTCCACCACCACCCGCGCCACCTCCTGAAGACCCTCCGCCAAAGTTTCCAAAGCTTGGCCGTTCGTCGAAACGTTCATAACGAGCTGCAAGGCGGGGAGTGGTATGGAGGGGCCGGGAGAGTGGTGGTGGTCGGACTGGAAAACGGGGTGTGGGGGCTGGAAGGCGGATGCTGGTGCTTCTCAGGGTGTTCTTGGGTACTCTTGAGAACATCGTTATCGATTACAAGACGAGATGGAAAGATAATGCTGGAGATGAAGAAACGATGACGCCGACAGCCGGCACACCGTCGGACACGGCCGCCGGGCATCGCCGCACGCCTCTGCTCTGATAGGCGCACGTGGCACGGCACATGAATGGAACCCGTTATGTATGTCCTCATTCTCTCTCTACAACCAGCCACGATGCCGTCCGACCTCTCCTACTGGCTCATCGCAGCCCCCCTCAAGCATGGCGACCCCGACATCATGCTCCAGGACGTCCGCGACGACGTGCCGGGCGTCACTGTCGCCAAGTGGGAGATACCCGAGCTCAAGGTGCGTGCCATCGCTTTCACCAGGCATAGAGCTCACAATCATGCAGGCGGGCACTCTGTCAAACCTCTTGGTCCTCTCTGACGCTCTCCCGAAACTCGACTCTCAATTCACAAACACCGTCTCCAAACTCCTCGACCAACTCCGTACCCTCGTCTCGGACGACCCCTCCAAGCTCGCGCAGCACGCAAGGATCAATGAGCTCCCGGTGGAAGAGTATCTGCTGGGTAATGGGGAGGGATTCAAGTGGGATAAGAGCAGGTGGGGCCAGGAGGGGAAAGTGGATGAAGTGGTCGGGGCTCTGAAGAAGGTATGTCTGGATGGAGAGTCTCGAGCTCATAGTCAGAGCTGATGGCAAGGACGTAGGAGATTGAATCAATCGACGCTGTGCAAAAGACAAAGTACCAATCGTACCAGATCTCCAAAGGCAAGCTCACGCAGATCCAACGAAACCAATCGTACGTTCCCTCCCTTTGCTGTGCCGAGCATGATATTGACAGACCATCAGCGCCAACCTTTCCTCACGGTCGTTGCTCGGCATCGTCCAGAAGGACCACCTGGTGCCGGACAGTGAATATCTCGAAACGCTGATCTTTGCTGTTCCCAAGTATGTCTTGTATACCTTCTCGGAGTAGATACTGACGATACCAGGAACTCTGTCAAGGATTGGAATGAAAAGTACGAGCGTCTGACCAGCATGGTTGTGCCCAGAAGCACGCAGTACGTGTTCCCCTCCCACTCTCCCTACTGTACGCTGACTGGTCATCAGGCAAATCACCGCGGACGACGATTATGTGTTGCAGACCGTGACGGTGTTCAAGAAGGTCCGGGACGAGTACATCCACAAGTGTCGAGAGAACAAGTCAGTCTTCTATCCGCATTTCTCAGGGGGCGATCACTGATGTAGTGGCAGGTTCATCATCAGGGAATTCACATGGGACGATCATGCGCTGGAAAAGCTAAAGCAAGAGACTGCTGATTTGGAAGTCGAAGAGAAGGAACTCTGGGTATGTCCCTCTCCGCTCTTTCCCAGCCCAGATCGCTGATAGACTCCAGACGGACCTCCTGAAACTCACCCGAGTCAACTTTTCCGAAGCATACCAAGTCCTCGCGCATCTCAAGACGATCAACCTCTTTGTCGAATCTGTCCTTCGATATGGTCTTCCAGCGGACTATGCCGGCGTCATCATCAAAGTACGCTCTTCTTCACTTCCTGACTTCTTTGATGAGAAATAGAACCAAAGCTAACGAAGGATTGCAGCCGGATTCAAAGACTGCAGCTAAAACCCTCCGCACCATCAACGAATCCTACGCCAACCTCGCCCTCTCTTCCTCCCGCAATTCCAAAAAGGGCAAGGGTAAAGACAAGAGCAGCAGCGGAGGGGGGGTGGGAGAAGAGGTGGGGGGCGAGTTTGCCAGTGTGATGGAGGCGGAGTATTACAATATGGTGTTTGTGGAGCTGCCTATGGTTGTTACGCGATGATTGGAAGAGGGGAGAAGGGAGAAGGGGATAGAGAGGGAAATGGGAATATGTATTATCGTTGTGCTTTCGATTGGGGAGAGGGTTCTGGGCGAGGCGTTTTGAAAGACCCTGTCTCGTGTCGAAGTTGGACAGTTCCGTCGCTGCCGGCCTCGCCTTCACTACTACTGAAGAGGGGCCATCATCGACCGCGAGACCTGAGGTTTATGACCGTGCAACATCCACAATACCGCTCAAGGATTGGGGGCTGGTACTGCCGGTCTCTCTCCTGCATCGCCCAGCTGAGGTAACTGGGTAGCTGAAGGACAGAAGGGCTATAGATATTGGCCGGGAAGCAGCAAGAGAAAAACCCTTTTTTTCGAGGACTGGTGCAAGACATCATGGCCACCTCGGTCAAGTCTTCAATCAGGCCAGCGGACAATTGGGCAAGTGACCCTACTTCAAGTCTGAGATTAAGGGAGATCCATATCTTCATACATATCTATGCTGCCCTATTCATTATAGATCATCTAGGCGTTGAATTGACATATGTAGCAGGCGCCTGCACGTTGTCCCGTGTCCTCATTCTTTCCATAACCCATGCAACGAACGTCTTTACAGTTGTCGGCCTTCTGTCGTGGACTAGGTTCGTTCTTTTCATTCCATTTTTAATATGGGTGAGCGCGAGTGGGGTCAACCCCAAATGATCGGCTCTCAGTGATCCTATTAGGGTCATCCTTCCATGAGGATGGCGACCCATAGTTTGCTCGAAACGTGCGATGAAGCTCATGCTTGTGAGAATAGGTCTATCCTTGCCGAAGAAAATCTGGTATCACTTTGCGCACGACGTTCAATGTAACACCTTCGAGGCCACCCCGAATTGAAGACGCAAGCTCTTCTTCTGTCTCTGTTCCGCCATGGTTTTCGACTGGCTCCTCCTTTGCGAACAGGACAGAAGCTTACATGTTATCGAGGCTGAGTCCAGGCAGCTTTGATGGAAAGAAGTCTCAGAACAGGAGGAACATACAGGAAGAATCAATCCTGTGACGGAACCAAACAAAGCGGTAAAAGCCGCATGCTCCGGACCGCGCGGGGCCGATACGAGGCCGATATCACGTTTCGCGCACGACATCCTTCCGGCTCGTGTATGAGAAGACTCGGAGAATCGTGATGTCAAACTTCTCTTTCTTCTCTTATTCTTTATCCAGTCATCCAGCACCATGTCTGAATTCCATTCTCTCGTCAAGACCCAGCCGCCGCAAGTCACAGCCCTCAACCTCCCGCCCAACTCGGCAGGAGTTCTCTTGAAGAAGCGAGACATCATCATTCGCGAGGAGCCCATGCCCATACTACAGCCCGATGGTGTTCTTGTCAAGGTCATTGCTACAGATAAGTGCCTCTCACCCAAATTCACACAGGTCGATGCTGATGTTGGTGTCCACGTATCTGCGGTTCAGACCTGCACAATTACGTCTCGGGAGGTGTCGGCGGAAGGCCCGTCACAGAGCCTATCGTCCTCGGCCACGAGTCCTCTGGTGAAGTCATCGCTATCGGAGACCTCGTCAAGACGCACAAGGTCGGGGATCGGGTTGCCAGTATGTGATGCTTCTTTCCCTGATTCCCGGACGCAAGCTAACGAGGGGATAGTCGAGCCTGGACTGCCTTGTCGGAGATGTGTGAATTGCAAAGAAGGAAGGATCAACCTCTGCTTGAGTATGTTTGATGGGCTTGCTTCTCTGTGGGGCGTGAGCTGATGAGAGGATAGATCAGCATTACTGTGGTTCGCCTGGTTCGGTCGGCTCACTCTCTCGGTAAGCCGCTCTCTCCTTCCTGATGCATGGCAGGATCTGACTGTACCGCAGGTTCTTTGCCCTTCCGGCCGATATGGCTCCTCATATTCCCGACAACGTCTCTTGGGAAGAATCAGGGTGCATCCAGCCTCTCGCCGTACGCCATTGCTCTCATATATTCAGCGATCTCGCCCGCTGACTCGAGTCTCTCAGGTTGGTATTCAGGTCGCCAAACGAGTTGACCTTCGTCCCCACAAAACAGTCGCCATCTTGTAAGCCCCTTCTTCCCTCCCCCTCTCTTCGTTCCCGGAGCTGATGGGATCCGAAGCGGCTGTGGTCCTGTAGGCCTCATCTCCGCCGCCGTAGCCCACGCCTACTGCGCCCGCAAAATCGTCGCATTCGACAACAACCCCGTCCGCGTCGAAGCCGCTCGGAAGTACCGCTCGCCCGTCACTGGCAAACCCATCATCGACCATGTCTTTCTCACGAAAGATATCCCTACCACTTCTCTCAAGAAGGGCGCGAACGGGCTTGTGGACGGCAACTCCCACATCGACGAGCTGGCGCACAAAATAGGAGAAGCTGGCTCTGGCGCTGGGATTGCTGATGGTGGTATTCCGGACGAGCACGACGAAGAGTCTGTTGGTGATCGCAAATGGGAATGGGCCAAGAAGATCGCTGCGGGGTATATTGAAGAGGCAGGTTTGACGGAAGATGAGGGCTTTGACAGGGTGGTAGAGGCGACTGGGGTGGAAGATTGTATGAACCTGGGCGTTGCTATCGCCAAGCAAGGTGCCAATTGTACGTCTAACATCTGTTTTTTTCTCTTGTTCTCGCCCATCTGACGATGCAAAAGACCTCGGCATCGGCCTCTCCCATATCCAAACAACCTCCTTCCCCATCCTCGCCGTCACCAACAAAGAACTCAACGTCATGGGCATCACCCGATACACCTCTTCCTGCTTCCCGTCCGCCCTGGATTTACTAGAGAGGGGAGTGGTTGATGTCAAGCAGTTGATAACGAATCGGTTCCCGTTGACGGAGAGTGACAAGGCGTTTGAAGCTGCGGCTGGGGGAGGGGAGATGAAGGTCATTATTTTGAACCAGGAGGGGTTCTGAGGTGTGTATTTGGTGGGAAAGACGGTAGACGTCGTAAGGATTAGATGAATAAGCTGTGTCTTTTGATCTCTCGTGGTGGAGGACTGCACATCTCCGACAGACCACGGTAGCTTTGAGATCCCATACGGTAAATGACATTCCTATACACATCGCCCTCCTTCTCCGTCCCCACTTCCCACTTCCGAGTTCCGACTAGCAGGTGTCAAACAGGCGTCCAGGGCTCACAGCATGGAATGATGTTTGGTTCCTCACCAAATGCAGCTGCCGGCGCTTCTTATCTCGGCTGTTGCCACGTCACTCTCGGCAGCACGGCAACTCGGTTCGGTGATAAGCTCTTTCCATTTTCTCCTCTCTTCATGATTCTTCTTTCTTTCGACTTGCCGACGCGTGGATGCATGTCCCATGTCGAGCACATCCTGAAGCATCGCATGAGACTGCCATCGCTTGAGGTAGTTTCAGCAAAATCAACAAGCAAAGAAGGAGCCAGCAGGCAATGCAAGAGGAGATGGGGTCCAGATATCGACCGACCTGAAAGCCGGTCGGCCGAGTTGCCGTCCTATATATTCAACCACAAACAGGGATATCCATACTCACCACCCCCTACTCACGCCTCAAAATGTCTATTAGAGAACACAAGATTGCAGTCATCGCCGGTGACGGTGAGTTCTATAACCTATTTCATGAGATCGAGCTGACAGCGCGAAGGTATCGGAATTGAAGTCACTGCCTCGACTTTGGAAGTCCTCCGAGCCGTTCAGAAGAAGGTCGGCGGATTTAAACTCACCTTCGACGAGCTTGACTATGGAAGTGCGTCCTCGCCCCCTGCCAGCTTCATCCAGCACTAACATTCTCTAGGCGCCCGCTACAAGGCCAAGGGCTCCTATACCCCCGAAGGCTGGCTCGACCACCTCCGCAAATCCCATGCCATCTTCTTCGGTGCCGTCGGTGACCCCTCCGTACCCGACCACATCTCCCTCTGGGACCTCATCCTGCCTATGCGTCAATCTTTCCAGCAATACGTCAACATCCGACCGTCTTCCATCCTCCCCGGTATTCCTGCGAGGATCGTGGGGGCCAAGCCTGGAGATCTGGACTGGGTGATCGTCAGGGAGAACACCGAGGGAGAGTATGCTGGACAAGGAGGTAGGACACATGTGGGGACAGAGTGGGAGGTTGCTACGGAGCTTGCGATCTTTACAAAGAAGGGTGTGGAGAGGGTTATGAGGTTTGCGTTTGAAACGGCTCAGAGCAGGCCGAAGAAGCAGTTGACTGTCGTGTCCAAGAGTAATGCTCAAGTATGTCCCAATCCATCTTTCGCCTGGTGACCGCTAACGTATATCCAGCGATATGGTCTTCTTCTGTGGGACGAGGTTGCTGAAACCGTCTCCAAAGACTTCCCCGACGTCAAATGGGACAAGATGCTCGTAAGTATCTCTATACTTTCCTCAGTTTTCAAATTTGACAGATGTGACCTCAGGTCGACGCCATGACCGTCCGCATGGTCGCCAAACCCACCTCCCTCGACACCATCGTCACCACCAACCTCCACGGCGACATCCTCTCTGACCTCGCCGCTGGTCTCTCCGGCTCCATCGGTATTGCCCATTCCGCATCCCTCGACCCTACCCGTACATCCCCTTCCTTGTTTGAACCGGTGCACGGAGCGGCGTTCGATATCATGGGCAAGGACCTGGCGAACCCCATTGCGGCGATTATGAGCGCCGCGGAGATGCTGAGGTGGTTGGGTGAGAAGGAGGCGGGGGCGTTGGTGGAGAAGGCTTGTAAGCAGAGTATTGCGGATGGTAAGACGACGGGAGATTTGGGGGGCAATTTGAAGACTAGTGAAGTTACGGACGTTGTTGTCAAGATCCTTGAAGGCCTTTGATTGACTTATCAATTATAGAAATCAAAGGATAGAGGGGTAGATGCAAAGATAATCCAACAATCATTTGTCTGCTAGTGGCATGATGTAGCGCACTCTACATATGACAATGACCATGTGGTGACATAGGAATATGTAGGAGAAAGGAGAGCCGTTATGCTTACGTTATGCGGGCTCTGGTGGCCCTGGGTTGAACGCGTGTGACATGTGCGTGACGAGTGTACTACAGTATGGGATCCTGACTGTCGGCCGCCGACATTCACCACATACATACTCGATATCAATCATTCGTACAGCTCCAGATGTACTGAATAAGAGAAGAATCAGGCTGAAATTACCCGAATTCGAGCGTATGAGCTCCGATTGATGGCTTTTCAACTTGGCCGGGGATGGATCATGTCCGACTTTGATGGTGGTGACTTTATTGGTCTACAACACCTGAGAGCTCACATCATGTTGTTGACTACGAGGTGGACTTCCTTCCCTTCATCGTGTAGAGACTTCATCAATTTGAAGAGCTGCAACACATCCTATGTTTACTGCTTCCCCTCCACACCCCTCGCAACTTCTTTCACAGCCTCCCGAATGATCGCCAGCGCCTCATCGACCTCTTCCTCACTCAGCACCAACGCCGGAATAAGTCTCAAAACCGGGTAAATACTTGTCGTCAGTACGAGAAGGCCACGATCGTAGCAGGCGTTCTGCACGAGGGTGTGCAAGTTGGGAGGGATGGTGGCCTCAGGGTAGGACGGGTGGGGAGTAGAAGTGAGCCGTGAGGAGGGGGATTTGAATTCAAGAGCGATCATGAGCTGTTCGCCGCATCTCTTATCAGCTCTGCATCTTTATCTACAGGAGATGGGCCTTTAATACTCACACCTTTGCCACGGACTTCTTCAATAAGCCATCCTCCATTCTCTTCATCAGCCTGGATCTCGCGAAGACCCTTGAAGATCTGCTCAGACCGGACTTGGACGTTGCCTAGGATATCGTGGGAGCGCATGTACCTGGTCGTGGCGAGGGCGGCGGCGCACGCTACAACATTACCAGAGTATGTCCCACCCTTTTCTGATTATCAGCCGGCAAGTCTCCAGCAGGTAAGGAACAACAGACGCACGAGAGAGCCGGGAAGCATAACGTCCATGATCTCTTTACGAGTGACGATACCCGAGATGGGCATACCGTTTGCGAAGCCTTTGGCGTAGACCATGATGTCGGGAGTGACGTCGGAGTGCTCAATAGCGAATGTTCTACCGGTACGTCCGAACCCTGTCTGGATTTCGTCTATCGCGTTCATCAGCGCCTGTAACAGACGGTGGAGGGATAGGGAAGAACGTAAAGACTCACCGACAACAAGCATGATCCCATGTTTATCGCAAACCTCCCTTAGGTGACGAACATACTCCACCGGAGCAGGTACATATCCACCCTCTCCGATGACAGGCTCGAGGAAGATTGCAGCAGTATCCTCCGGCGCAGTCTGTTGTTGAAGCAAGCTCTCGAGGTCGATGATAGCGTGCTCTACGAGGGCTTCTTCGCTTGTGGTTTTGGGGAGGTTGAGGGCGTGCCAATAGGGGAAGGGAGTAGTGTAGACACATGGCTTGTACGGCGTCAGCGAAGGCTATAGAAGGAAGAAGGCGAGGTCAACTTACCATGAGAGGACCAGTACCTTTGAAGAAAGAAGTCTTGGATCGGGTCAGGGCAGCAGCTCCAGACGTGCGGCCGTGGTATCCTCCCTGCATGACAATGATGTTGTTCCTCTTCGTCTTTGTCCTCGCAACCTTGATTGCAGCCTCGATAGCTTCACTACCGGAGTTCCAAAAGAAGAAGCTGTCCAGACTCTTGTCTGGCATCATCTGGAGTAGAGACTCGACGAGCTGGACGTATGGTTCCGAGAGGCCGATCGCACATTGGACGTGGATGATCGACTGGGCTTGCGCAATGATGGCCTCTGTCACGTCGGGGTGGGAATGGCCGAGAGACGTGACTCCGATCCCTGAGGTGAAGTCAAGGAGCTTTTGATTTTCCTGATAGAGGATCAGCATTCGCCATACAGCGTGAGGTGGAGACGTACGGTGGTGAGGACTCGCAAACCCTGACCTTCCTTGATGACATGGTCGCGCAGACGTCCTAGACCCTTGGTGATGTGCTTCTCAGCGATGGCTTGGAGGCCTACTGTAGAAGTGGTGAGGAGGAGAGGTTTGGTGGCAATACTCCGGAGAACCGCGAGGTGGGAAGGAGATGGTCTGAATGCGGGCATGATGGGAGGTGATGGGATGGAAGAGAGAGAGTGTTCTTCTTTTGAGCCAACAATGCATCGACTGAGTCGCCGCGGGGACCATCGCTTGAAGGTTGTCCTTTTGCGACGGGACTGCGTGTGGCTTGAGATGCAAGAGGAGTTGGGAAGCGACGCGTCGGCTACCGTATCAGCGGCATCTTCGGCCTGCTCCGATCGGCTATCGGCAACTTGTCGCCTCTATCTCGGCCTGCTGAGCCACCTTTGAGCCACCTTATATGCATGCATCCGCTGGTCGTTCTTCCCATCTCCTGTATCTCCCCACCACAGCCACTAAGCTATACACCATGCCTTCTGTTGTCTGTCAGTATCCCCTTCTCCTATCAGAGCTACAATTGACACTACCACCAGTCGACGTTGTCGGAACGTGCTTCTCCTACGACAACGGGGCGCTCGCCCTCCAGACCCGCCTCGGTCCCAAGCTTGCCGCCCACGGCCTCTCTCCCAAGCTTCTCTTCTACGCCTGGGTCTGCGGCACAGAGCGTGACTATTCCTACCTCTCGCAGATCAAGCAATACAAACCCTTTTTCGACATTCTCGCCAACACCCTCACCCGCGTACTCTACCAAGCCGGCGTCCCAGAGGAAGAGCTTGCCGATTTCTTCACCCAAGACGACGTCGACTACCTCATGGCTGAATACAAAAAGCTCACGCCCCGCCCTGGACTCGCGCAAATGATGGCGACTCTGCGCGAGGGAGGGTTTGAGGTTTGGTGCTGCTCTGACGCGAATATCGACCGGGTGAAGGGGTACTTTGACCATGCTGGGGTGGAGATGCCGCTGGACCATATTCTGTCGGCAGACATGGTTAAGGCGGGAAAGCCTGAAGCGGCGGTGTACAAGTTTGCCAGGGAGAAGGCCGGGTCGGATAAGCCTGGGGAGGTTTCGGTGTTTGCTGGTATGTCTTGTTTCTGTCTTACGGGCACCGCATCACTGACGCCACTACAGCGTCTCACGCTTGGGACACAGCTGCGGCCAAAGCAGCAGGCTTTGTCACGGCCTACACGACGACCTACGAGTACGACGCGTGTGAGACCATTTTTGGCAAGTCGGATCTTGTCACGCCAGATCTGATTTCGTTGGGCAAGGGAATTGTGGAGAAGTGGGGCAAAAAGTAGAGGAAGACGAGTTGAACAATTGTCAGAAGAGCAGTATGTGTCGTTTACGCATAATATGCTGGCTATGGAAATACGATGGTGTTCTTCAAATAGGTGCGCTCTCCATCAAGATATGCGCGCGGCAATTGCAATAAGTGCGCTCTACTGGTAAATGTGATATCCCGAGCGCCTTAGAGTTTAGCCTTGAGAGCAGACATAGACGACAATGAACCCATACATCGAAGCCCTATTGCAAAACCGCTACCCCAGCCGCAAGCCCCTCCACATCATCTACTTTTCCTTCGTTTTTCTTTCCACCTCCCTGTCCCATAGCCCCCAAAATGAGATTCTCCCTACTCTCAAACCTCTCCCTCGTCATCCAATACGGCTTCGGCAACTTGCTCTCAAACTTCCTTTCCGCCTCCCGGGTGAGGGTGTTGCTGTTGTTGAGATATGAAAAGGCGAGGGAAGATATGGCGGAGGTGCAGCCTGGGATGCGGGGCATACCTATGGCAATGTAAGTTATGGTAAAGATACATGTAGGGAATGTAAGAGAGGGAGAAGACGTACCGTGTCCTGTGAAGCCGGCGCAGATGAAGACACCGGGCATGTCTGGTACCTGTCCAACGTAAGGAAGAAGATCGCTCGAGTAGCCCAACACTGCAAGTTATCAGCATCCACATGTCATAGTACCACAAGGAGAGCTGGAACTCACCCCCAGACCAGACTTTATCTACATTCTCCTTCCCACCGTCCCAATCAACAAAGTGTTTTGGCGCAAAGTTTTCAAAGTACTTTTGGGCCCCAGGCATCTTCTGATCGTCATTCTTGTTGTTATACCACTTGTCGATGTTGTCCAAGAAACAGCCCTTCGCCCCACCGAGGATGATACTCATATCGCCTTGACCGGGAATACCCCGACCTTGGCGAGGAATCATATAGTCCACCTCCCCTGGCCCATGTCGGAAACCATATGTATACTTGAAAGGTCCTGGAAGATTTCCAAGAGAATGAGAGGGGCCAGGGGATAACGAGCAGGCGGTACCGCGGACGGGAATGATGAGGGGCTTGAAGGAGGGGAGAAGGGAGGAGGTGTAGGCGTTTGTGGCGACAATAAGCGTGGGAGATGAGATGGTGCCGCGCGAAGTATGAACTGTCCATTCGCCCGGAGAGGACGAAGAGGGCGAGATGGATAGAGCGGGAGTAAGGGTCTGGATGTTGAGGCCTTTCTTGAGGGCGATGTGGGCGACTGTGCGGCAGTCAGCACATTCTCGAAACGGAAGATGAAGAATGCGGGACAAGACGTACGCGAAGATGCAAGCTTGTAAGGCCACAGGTGACCTGCAGGATAATGCGCCCCCCAATGCCCACCCCTCACACCTGTGAGCTTCTCCAGTTCTTTGGGATCATCCACCGCCATCAACCCATGCTTCTCCATATCTTCTCCCCACGCTGCTTTGCGCGCGGCATAGTCCTTCTTCCCTTCTTCCGCATCAGTGGGATCGAAACAAAGATCAACAGCCCGGGTGACGTGCAGGTCGCAGTCGATGTTCTCGGTTTGCACCAGAGAGGTGTAAGAGGAGAGGGCGGCAGCTTCGAATGTGAGGAGCTGGTTGGCGATTTCGGGGCCATGCTTTGCTGCTTCGGCGCGGTACCCAAAGATATTTCTGGGCTTGCAGTGCCCGCCTATCACTTTGTAAGTACGGGGCCCCCTTGAGTAAAAGTGACATGCACACCATTTCTCGCCGTCGCACTCCCACAAAACTGATCCGCCTCAAGCATCACAACCCTCACCTCTCTCCCTTCCTTCTCAGCCTCTTTGTACACTCTATAGGCCGTCATACAGCCAGTGAGTCCGCTGCCAATGATGATGATGTCGGCTTCAAAAGGGAGGTCTGGCGTGGTGCGGGCATGTTGCAGGACAGGGTCGGGGGACGACAGCCAGAATGGCTCGGTACGGTTTGGGACAGGCAGGAGACGATCCTCGGTATTGGGATATCTCTTAGGTGGGGTCATAGTGCTGGGATGGGAACAAAGTGGATGGGCAAGAGGAGATACCTATGTCAGTACGAGAGAGCGATAACGGAGACTCGGGTATCCGCGATGTCGGCATATTCTTGGCGCGGGGAAGTGGCCGAGATGCTTATCAGCTCTCAAGCGTCGGCTGGAATGTGGCGACGGGAGAGAAATCAGCATGTACTCGGCAATTTGAGGTGTCTTATCTCTAGGTCTCGTGACTTGCTTACTCGTAGAACGCAACGGGTGAGAGACAGCCGAGTACAAGAAGCGCCCATCGATCATCAGACAGTTACCACCACAACCCGCGACCATGTCCTCTTCTGCTGACAAAAAGGATGCCCACCTTACAGCCAACCTGCCTACGTTGAAGGCCAACATCACCACAGTCGAAGTCGAAGCTCCCCCGCCTCCGCTAGAGTTAAAATGGATGGCCATATATCGAAGTTCATTCTTCCAGATCTGTGTCGTTTCAGCCCTTGCTTTCTGTGGTGAGTCCCGATGTCAAGGTCCTGGGGCTGTGATTGATCATGACTATAGGACCAGCTATGGCGGACGCGATTAGTGGGCTGGGAGGGGGTGGCCAAGCCACCCCTTATACAGTCAGTGAGTGCTTCATGCTCAATAGTTGATATGCAAGGTCTGACGACTATGAAGATGCCGCTACCTGCGCTTCATACTGCGCGGTCGCTGTGATTTCTCTCCTAGGCGGTCCTATTGCTTCTCGAATGGGTATCAAAGGCATGCTTATTGCTGGTGCTTCGACATTCGCCATCAACGGATCGGGTGAGCAGCCCTCGCGCCCTGTAATCGGACACTTGCTGATCAGCTACGCAGCATACTACGTCAACAGCAAGTACGGTGTCCAGTGGTATCTCATCTTTGGTCGTTTCCTCTACGGCGCTGGTTTCGGGTTTTGGTACGTCGCCGAGGCTGCCATCATCTTATCGTACCCCGAAGAGGGTCGACGTGGAAAGTAAGTGGTACTCCCGAACCTGTCCACAGCCCGTGCTCATTGTTTACCACAGATACCTGGCCATCTGGGTCGGATCCCGAAATCTCGGTCAACTCGTCGGCGGCTCCATCTCCCTCGCTCGCAACGCCAAATCAGCCGCCGCCGGTGCCATCGCCACTTCTACCTACCTCATATTCGTCGCCATCGAGGCTCTTGGTTTCCCCATCTCCTTTCTCATTTCTCCGCCTCACAAGGTCCGCCGCTCCGACGGCGTGCCCATTCTCATGGCTGCCAAACAGCCCTGGAAAACCGAGTTTATCAATCTATACAAGGCGGTGATCTCGCCGAGGATGGTGATGCTCATGCCTATCGCTTTCTACTCTTACTTTTACGGCGGCGTCCTCTCCACATACCTCACCAACTATTTCACTGTTCGAGCCCGTGCCCTCTCCTCGTTCATCGTCCCCTCCGGTATCATTGTCTTTACCGCCATTTTCGGCCGCTTCTTTCTTGACAACAAACGCTGGAGCCAGAGGCGCCGGGCGCAAGTAGGCTTCGCGGTGTTTATGGTGCCTTCATTTGCGGCTTTCGGTTGGTTGTGTGCGAACCAGGCGAGGTTTTTGAACATGAACACTTCACCAAAATACGATTGGTCGGATAAAGGCTGGGCGAACGCATACGTGCCGTTCTACATCATGCAGGTCTGTGGGTATCTGTGTCAGACTGTGAGTCTCACTTTTCTCCATCTCGTATTTTGCTAATGAACTGCCAAGTACATTTACTGGCTCATATCCTGCTTCACCGCTTCTGTCTCTTCCAACGCTACCAACGGCGGTATCTTTCGCTGCGTCGAAGCCGTCGGTCAAGCTGTTTCTTACGGCATCAACTCGAACACGAACTCCAAGTTCATCCCGTTAGGCATCAACTTTGGGCTGGCAGGGTTCTGTGTAATACCGACTGTGATATTGATTCAACAGGTGCCTGTGTGGAGGGAAGATGCTGAGCAGATACAATGGGTAGGGAAGGATGGGAACGGAGATGTTGAAGGAGGGAGGGACGAAGGGAAGGCGACCCAATCGGAGGCTTTGGGCCTTGAAAAGTAATCGTTGGCGTCGTCGCAAAGCAACGTACTGTACATTCTGTTATTTGTATGTATAGGATCATACAGGTTTTGTGATGTCGGCAACAAGCAGAAATGCTACCGCCGCTCATTTATTGCCACGGCGACTGCTGTGATGTCACAAGCTAGTAAGCTACTTGTGCTATACTCGTACTCAATTGCTGCAATAACCAGTGTGCAATGTGCAGGACGTATGTTGGGCGTAGATGGATTAGGCGGTAGGCAGCCTACAGTATGATGGAAGACAACAGGGCCACCACGGTGCGGGCATTTGGCCGGCATTCAGTGAGCGGAGGGCCGAGGCACAGCCATTTCCCCCCGCTCTGGTCACACATTCCGTAATGAACATGCGTTCATCTCTTTCCCATCTTAATCTCACCTCTCCTCTATATCCGTGCAGTGTCGGTATCGGAAAGGAGGTTACCGCACGCCTGTTGAGTGTCGGCCGCCGCGCACGGAAGCACACTCCCATCAAACACGCGCAGTTGTTGCCGCTTTGACTGCAACAGCTGTTGCATTCGCCTCATCACGCCCTACAACAAACCAACAACTATACGACTGCAATCTCTCTGGCTCTAATTCTCCTACGAGAATCGGCATGGGCACGTCCTCGCCCACTGCGCAGCTCTCCCCTCCATCAGCCCCTGCTGCCGGCCACACCACCCCCGGCCTGGTCGAACGCAACAATCAGAATGCCAAGTCGCAGTCGAAGCGGCGTGGAAAAGGCCGAAAGCCTAGACGAATGGAAGATTGGTATGCTAGAGGTACGCTTTGATATCTCACTTCACTCTGAGACGGATTCACATGACTGACGCCATTCCAGGTTTCACCAGCTGGGTGCAAGATCCGGAGGACCAAAGCAAATTGATCTGCATGTCTTGCTCGCAAACGAGCAATGTTACCTGTCTGACCATACAGGACAGAGCCATGCAACACGAGAGATCGCTCGCACATGGCGTAGCAAACAGTCGCTGGCAGGAAGAGGAGGGGCAGAAAGTGCTGATGGACGTGAGGGAAGAGAAGCAAAGGCTGAAAAGGGAGGTGAATGATCATTCCAGGGAAGAGATGAAGCTTGATGAAGGCTGGGAAAGAGATTATGAGGTGGAGCTAGACATCCTTAAGGGTACGTCTATACGTGTTCGACAGCTGCTGACACCTATCAACCAGGCATCATACACCGCCATCCGACTGATCACACAACAAATTACCACTGCGCCCCTTGCTCCACAATCAATCACTCTTCCGGCATCTCCTCCGACATGGACTCTATCAGCGATTTGGTTGCGCACCTGAAGACAACAGAGCATCTAGTTGTCCGCGTACTTTACCTCCAACAGCAGGCCTACGTCGGCGCAGGCCAGTATGCTCCTAAGGGACCGAAGAAGAAGAAGAGGAAAGCCGCCGAGCCTCTCGGTGATATTCTTATCAAGACAGAGGCCGACCCATCATCGTCTGCGCCTCCCACCGACCCCAAGTCTACAATCTCGAGCTCCTCCACCTCGGCCAAACGGTCTGCAAAGTCTCGTCCTCCTGCCGCCCGGCCGGTACATTACGCAAATCAGCCTTCATTTACCATTCCTACGTCGGCCGCCTATCCCTTTCAGATCTTACTTCCTCAATCGCTCAAGGCGATCCGGCCTCCATCACCCGGCGTACATGTGCCAAGCAATGACGTTCTGCCTACGATACCCAGCAGGCTGTCTCATATTGAGACGATCAAGCAGCTGGGAGACAATCTGGACAAAGCGTGGGAGGTGGTTTTGGCGGATTCATGAAACGCCGGCAGTTATGCTATGCCTTTTGTGAGCCTTTCATACCCTTACGTTCATCGTGCCAACTCTTATTCGCCTAGCCCGTCAAGAAACACAAATGAGATGCCGTCATGCCGCTGTCATGGAGTCAAGGATGGACGCTGGTTGCGTATGTTGGAGTGTGTATTCTCTCATCATTATAGAGCTCGAACAATAGCTCCCATGAGCAAATAGGTTTTGTCTACTCGAGGCGCGAAAGCCATTAGGTACGCCGAAGAAGCCGCTTTCATCGCATTGAACGAGACCGGTTCCCAATCATGCTGTGTACACAACGCAACGAAATAGTAGATGTACAAAGGTCACCATCCATCCATCTTTATAATCTTGTACTTAGTCTCTGCTGGTGTCTGATACGACAGAACATGTTTATTCACTGGACTGCTGTGCGAGCTGCCGACCCCTCAAACTGCTATTCAGAATAGGCCTATCCCAGCCGTCTCCTCTTCTGTATAGCTCGACCTGGAGGACCAGGTACCATCATCCAACGAGAACTTGCCCGCCGGCCAAACGCTAGTCCCATCATCCGCCAGATCGGCCCATATTCAAGAGTGCGAGCGGCTAGGAGAAAATCTTGGAAAAGCCTGGGAAGCGCTTTTGGAGGACTCGTAAGGACAGGCATGGTTGTGCTGTCGAATGTGAGCCTTTGAAGTGCTTGCAGTATACGTACTGACCCATACTATAGCTCTACACGACGTCCGTTAGGCTTACAAGTCGAGACACATGGATGTGCCTTTTGGTCCGACGCTACATTCAGAGTCATATGTACGCTTGCCTTTGGATGATTCAAGGGGTAGCCAAACAATGCCCTCAAGGGGCAAATGACGCCCAGGTACGCCAAGGATGACGATCAGACGGTACGGTAGCAACCGATGGGGGTGCGGGCAACATAGTTGTAGATAGGGAAAGATGTAAAGATCTGCTCTGCCTGTCCACCTTTGACATATGAGTACGATTGTTTGCTGGTCCGATGCCCCTCAGGGAGACAAGCCAGGGCCCCCTACGTTACGTCGGCGGCCGGTGCTTTCGCGTTTTTGGGTCGTGCACTGGTCGTGCATCACGCACGCTAGTCGTACATTTCGGTTTCTACATACATGCTGCATATAGAGTCAATCATGTGTCTTCACAATAGCTCCTATATCTGCTAGACATCATGGGGAGCTCCACCACCGCTGCTCTGCCATCACCTCATTTGTCCCCCGGCCACGCCAAAACCACCCCCGACCTAATCGACAGCAATCCGCCGAGCATGTCTCCTTCTGACTTGATCATATCCTCTTTGGCAACGTTCACAACAAGCCAAGATCAATTGGACCGGGAGATGATGTTGAAGAGCTTCCCCGGGTGTGGGGAAACGCATCGAGTGGAGGACTGGTATGCTAGAGGTCGGTATCCCTCGGTATCATTTTCCTCTCTGGTACGTTTGCTAACGAACTTGTGAATGACAGGTTTCAAGCAAACGCAAGATCGAGAAGGCAAACCCATGATGCTCTGTATACCTTGCTCCCAACAAAAAACCGTTCCCATTTTGATCGGCCTCAAAAAGTTCAGGTCCGGCAAGCACGAAAAATCGCCTGGACATGGCACATTGCTAAGTGTTTGGCAAGAGCAAGAGGGGATGAGAGTGTTGCAAGACGTGGAGGAACAGAGGAAGAGGCTGGAGAGAGACATGGGTGATCAGGGGTTTTCGGGAGGGACGAGCCGTGCTGCGAATTGGAAAACAAGTTACGAAGTGGAGTTGAAAAGTCTTGCTGGTATGTCCACTCAAGTGGTGTTTTCTGGCGGCTTCTGACACCCACCATGCTCAGGTATCATACACCGTCATACCATAGGCGAAACAACACTTTACCACTGTGCTCCCTGCTCGTTGCTTAATCACGCCGTTACCTCCTCAGACCTCAAATCCATCGGGGATCTGGTCGCTCACTCGACGCGACCAGATCATCTGACTGCCTGCCGGCTCTACCTACAACAGCGTGCCGAAGTTGTCGGTGTAGGGAACCTCAAGCGCAAGCAATCACAGAAGAGGAAGGTCAAGGAGCTTGCCGACGATGAGACTGCTCCCGGAGCAGATGCAGAGCCGTCGATGTCTGTCGCTCACGCCGATCCTTCCAATCAATCCCTGAACCCATCTGTTTCGACTGACTACTCTGGTGTATCACCCGAAGCACGCGAGGACAATCATCCGACTCCTAAACGGCCAAGATTGACTCTACCTTTGCATTCTCCACCCTCAACTACCCGTTCAGCCACCATTGCCGTCCTCGACGCCATACAACCGCAGATTGATAAGTCGACATCAAAGAGAAGAGTGAAACAATCGATGTCAATAGAAGACTGGTATGCTAGAGGTACGGTTTGGCCATGTCCCTTCCCATGTCCCTTCCCCCAGAACGACCTCTTACGAGCATTTGAAATACAGGTTTCACCAAGACGCAAAACCTGGAAGGCGAAACCAAATTCATTTGCACACCTTGCTCTCAAACCAACTGTCCAATGACCATCTCCAATTCATATAGCCACGAAAGGTCTTTCTCGCATGGGACATCGCTGCGCCGCTGGCAGCATGAAGAGGGGGAGAGAGTGTCAAGGGATATCAGGAAAGAGAGGCGGAGGCTGGAGCGGGAGATACATGATGGCGGGCTTCAGAATTGGGTAAAGCGCGATGCTGATTGGGTGAGAGGTTACGAGGTGGAGCTAGATAGACTCGAAGGTATGTCTCTTTGCTGTTCTGCGGCTGCTGACATCCGCGGTCAGGGATCATACACCGTCATACAGCTGAAGAAGCGACGAGATATTACCACTGCGCCCCTTGTTCAACTCTCAGTCATTCCACCCTCTCCTCAGACTTGCATTCGATCAAGGACCTGGTCTCTCACTTGGAGAGCCCAGAGCACCTGGCACTCTACCCGCTTTACCTGCAGCAGCGGGCTGAAGTTGTCGGCGTAGGTCTGAGAACAAAAACAGCGAAAACAAAACACAACACCGTCGAGACTCCCGAGGTGGAGATTCCGTCAAGGGGAGGCGAAGAGCCGTTCCTGCCTGCCGCTTCCGTCGATGTTTCCGAGCCTTCGTCATTGAGCTCCTCCCTTCCAGTGAAACAGTCCACTGACTCTGCCCTCGAAGCTTCGCTCCAGCAGACACCCACCACGGATCAACCTGCTCCCACTTCTCTGCCCGCCACGTCTCCTGCTATCCCAACCGCCTCCTCTTCTGTATCGCTCAAGACAGCCCAAGCTCCTTCCACCGACGACCATATACCGCTCGATGAAGTGCTGCCCCCATCATCCTCCAGGCTGTCCCAAATCCAGACGATCCAACGGCTGGGCGCCAATCTTGAAAGAACTTGGCAAGCGTTACTGGCCGACCCATAGAGCCAGAAGTGGGATGTTATTGATGGACGTTGGACTTCCCAAACGCTACGAGTAAGGTACATATTTCATTTCCCTCCGCAGCTCTAGTTCTCACGATTGACCAGGTACATGACTCTGGGTGCATCGACCGGCACAAGGGGAGACGCGTACAGTGGGAACCCGAAGGCGTCGGACATCATCTTCCTGAACCTCATAATCCTCTTCTCTGATACTTTCGTCTTATTTTCAACACCGACTTTCCGTCGCCCTCGATGTTCCCCGTCAGTCCTACCAGCGTCAAACGACCCCTTAGTTGCCAGCAATGAAGCGTGTATCGAGGTGTTGATGGCATCGAGCATGTGGGTGGCTTCGACCTGTCTGTGGTCTCGTCCTCATGTACGAAACCAGTGCTGTTCTGCAAGACTTGTTTCGGGCATGTGAATGCGATCAAACTATCGGCTTCTGTGAGTCAATCTGGCAGCGTCATACGAGTACAGTGTGGGTGCCAAGCTGACATGAGGCGCTCTAGACCACATCGGCATGGCTACGGCAAGGAAGCGAGTCAGCAAAAACGGCCTTTTGTAACGCCTTTCATGCTCCTAATATGCATGTCTTGCATGAAGCAGGTTCCCAACTCGCTACATATAGTCGACGTCTGATAAGTCGAACGGCTCCCCTCAGTCGTATCTCACAGGGCACAGGTACGTGGCATCCCGGTCAGAAGTATGGTACCTCGCTGACTCGAAGTACAGACAGCCACCATGCCAGACCAAATTGCCGCCACCGAACCCCCGAGCTTTATGGCCTATTCCAATGCCGAAACCAGCGCCTCCAGCTACGCCACCCACAAAAACAACTTTGACAAGTCTATGCGCCAGCTCGACACCTTGAAGTTCACCCGTGGAGAAGGTCCCGACGAGAGGAAGCTCTTGCAACTTTTGGAACGGCAGGTGGGGCTGGTGAAGGCGAAGCAGTATATGAATGCCAAGTTTGGTTCTGGGACTCTTCAATATGTCGTGGGTCGTCTTCATCGTGAGGTCTGGGCAATACTGATGATATATATGTATAGGCAGGACTGTACACCATGATGGCTGCGTCTATTGCCGAAGAGATCTCAGTCGGGATCAAGAGATACGGCTATATCCCCACTGCGAAACATCAACTGCTCTATAGCGTCATCGAGTGCGTCCTACTCGTACAGCAACGGTGCCGCCAGTGGATTTTGCTGACTCGGCAGTAAAGTGAGGGAGACATCGTCATCAACACATTCTCCCGTCTCAATATCCGGAAGCTGAGCCCGAAGGGCTTGAACACCAAGTGGAAGACCGAGGATGTGTACGATCCTCTTGTGCATCTCGTTACGAGGCTGACCACGTTGATGGTGAACTGGGGGGTGAGTGGCGTACCACATTACTGCGTCCTACCTGAACTTTTCTAATGTACACGCTACTTAGGTGCCAATTACGGCCCCGCAGGAAGCCTCGTCCACGTGGATCCCACGATTGAGCTCACGCTGGGAGTTGGATCTCGCGAACGCGACGAAGAAGAACTCGTCTTCGAGGCAGGACTGCACTGTTCAGTAATTCACGAGAGTAATGCGTTGGTTATGAGTCAAATATGTAGATGTACTGTACGCATACCGTAATGAAAGGCTTCTATGCAGCAAACCGCCTCCGCTTCATGTTGAGTGATCTGGATTGATTCCGCCGCCAACTCGCCCTCTCGGGTTTAGCGCGCCGTGGGAAACTTCGACCCTCGAGCTTTGTTTGGTGCTGGTTTGGTGCGTGCGCGTGTTGCAGCCTACAGGCCACAACTCTACAAACTCGCAAGTATAGCTCTGTGCATCCCCTCCAATGAGGAGCCAGACGATTCCCTCTAAGGGCGCCAATGACAGGAACGACAAACACCGCTCTAATCCGATCATGCAAGCCCGAATACCGACGGACGGAGGGGCACCAGCAGGGCGTGTGCGTGACTGAGTCTCCTTTTAACAAGCTAAGATAAGCGCGTTGGTGTCTCGCTATCGACCCCAGAACAGCTCACCTGCCGCTGTATGCAGGACCAATGCCATAGCCCTCCCTACGCCCTTATCGCGTCCGAAAAAGCATACCCAGCCAGATGCGCCGCGACTGAAAGGGGTGGCGCCGGCTTGCGCACTGTGCGTGTGGCATGTTGGGTGACAGTATCTACTCCCAAACATGGCATTCGACAAAACACCTTTCAAATCGCATCCTCATCTTGACATTGTACTTCTATCTTCTCTTGTATTCACGACCCTCACGACCCCTCACGACGATGGACATCATCCACCGCCTCAATCCCTTCCACCGCCCCTCCTCCTCCCTCTCCCGCAACACCCCTACGCCCTTCTCCTCTCGCGGCCGACCATCCTCTTCGCTGGAACACGGATACCCCACCCCCGACACCACGCCCCACCCCTCCTTCGACATCGGCCACCACCCTTCCGTCGAATTGGGGCGACACTCTCTCACCCCGACCCCAACATTCTTGAACACACTGAGGGAAGAGGATGAAGATAATGCTCAGCACAAGCTGGGGCATCGCAGGTCCCACTCCCTCCTTCGCAATCTGACTTCTCACCCAAGTCTGTCGGCGCTGAAAGGAAAGTCGACCAGGGGCAAGAAGAAGGCAAACAGGAGAAAAGGCATCCCGCTCATGCCGACCGACCCGAATGGGCAGTACTTGGCGCCAGTAGACTTTGGGGAGGCTGAGAGGCCGGGAACTCCTGGGAAGCTGAGAAAGGGGAGCTTAAAGGGGAGTAAGAGTCTACCAAGAGATCTGAGATTCAGTGGAGAGTTTCAAGGTAAGCCTATCGTTCGAGGAGATGACCAACGCTCAACGCAGACACAGCTTTGGATTCGATCCCGCCTTTGCCAGAAGCTTCCACGTACGACACGAGAGCCCTGACACGTTCTCAATCGAGTGCCGCTACCTCTCGATCAGGCAGCACCTCGCCCTTCAAGAAGCGCAATACCATCCGTCGCAAGCCTGCGCCTTCTCAACCGCCCGAGATCACCGTCTACCATGACTGCTCGAGTACGCCGGAGAGCATGAGAGTGAGAATGCGGTTCGAAGTGGATATGAACTCGAACTACTCTGGCTCGCCGTCGAGGAGAAGACACAAGAGCTTTGATGTGAGGAGTTCATCGCCGAGTGGCAACCGTGGCGTCAGAGATCAGACTGGTCGTAAGTCGAGGTCCTGGGTCTGAGAATCCTACTAACATTACTCAGGCCATCTGTCCTCTCCACCTCGAGCCCAAGCAGGTCCAGCCGGAGACGCCTGGGGCGTTTCCGATTACGCCTTCCCCCGCACTCGACAGCATCCCCATCCTGTTCCTATAATTCAAGAACAACGAGTTTTTGCGCAATCGCTATACGCTGATTCTACGACGTTCTTCTCGCCCGACGATATAGTTCCCGTCACGGCGTCAGGGAGAACCGCCATAACAGATGAACCGGAGGACATGGATCCGTTCGGGAGTGGTGAAGAGAGTCTGTTGGAGACGCCGCGTAAAAAGAAGAGTGCGAGGGATCTCGGAATGTCGGCGGAGCATGGGGCGGCACAAAACAGTCGTGAGTGATTTCTCAGCATATTGGGGCTCTACTGACATTCACTAGCGGCTCGTGTGTTCTCTCGGGACATGTACGGATCACCGTCTGAGGCCTCCACCAGCAGTACCTCCCACTCTACCCAGCTTCTGTCTCCTACTCCCGAGCGCATCGGTACTCATCGCCGTGCCGAGTCGAGCCCCTCACCTGGCCGCAAATCTCGAGAAGCTTTCTTGCGTGCTGCCAAGCGCTCGTCTTCTCCCTTCGAGATCAAGCTCTCGCCGCATGTCACTAGGCGCATGTCTTTGGATGCGTTTGGTACGCCAACTGCGCCCGCTTTCAACCCTACCGAAAAGGAGGAAGGAGTTGAGGAGCTTGCCGAGTATGACGAAAGCTTCGAGGAAGAAGTCAGCTGGGAAGAGAGCCAACTCAGTTTGCAACACCGTTTCGAAGATCAGCAAGCGACGCAAGTCTACGAGCAAGACATGAGGTCGTACGACGAAGTCCTCGCCGACTTTCAGGCTACAGAGCTGTCTACCATCATGGAGTCTTCTTCCTCCAGGGGCCACGAGTCTCAGTATATGTCTTCTGAGGGTCGTCCTACCAGACGCTCTACCCCTCCTCCTGCTCGTCCGTCATGGGACTTGTTCTCGGAGAGGACCCAAGAACGCTTCCCTACAACCCCGGGCCTGTCCTCTAACGGTCTCCCTCTGCCATCTCCTACTCCCACCACACCTCTCATTCACAAAAAGTACGCCTCCGCCCCTCCCCTAGTCGGCGTATCTCCACAACTACTCGACGCCCATCTCGAACACTCTCAATCTCTTCAAGACCAAGTGAAGGCTGGTGTCACCATGATGGAAGTGCTGAAGAGCGAGGTGGCAGAGATGAGACGCAGATTAGCCGAGGAGAGAGAAGAGAAGGAAAACATGCTGGCGGCACTGGAAGAAGAAAGGGAAGAGAAGGAGGAGCTGGGGGCGTTTGCGGAGGGGAGGGTCATTGATCTTGAGGAGGCGCACAGGATGAGCGAGGCGAAAGATCAAGGTGAGTTCCAACACAGTACCAGGATGATTAGTTGCTGATCAGTCGTTAGCTCTAGAACAACTTCGCCAAGCCATGGCCGCCCATGAACGCATTCTGGAAGAGATTCGTGAGGACAAGGTCTTTTACGAAGAACGCTGCGAAAATCTCGAACGCGAAAACGAACACCACCTCTCCGCCAAACAGACCGCCGAACAATCCCTCTTTGAGGCCGACAACGAAAACGAAGAACTCAAACGTGAGCTGAGAGAACTACAAGACAAGAACGAACATCTGTCGAAGGGAAAGAAGGCAGCGGATGATGTCGTCTGCGATCTGAAGAGCGAGCTGAAGTATGTCGAGAGCAGGCTTGCCGACTTTGAAGGGTGCGAGGCGCAACTCCGAGATGCCGAGGCCGAGGTGCTTGAGCTGCGAGGCAGCAAGGAGCGGGCGGCCGAGTTAGCGAAGGAGGTCAAGCGCCAGACAAGGCGTCTTGCAGAGAAGGACGGGACGATCTCGACTTTGCGCTTGGAGATGAGCTCTCTCAAATGCGAGATTCTCGATCTTGCCGAGTCGTCTCGAGAACTTGCTGCGTCCAAAGCGCTTGTTAAAGAGCGTGACGCTACCATCGCCTCCCTCATGGCTCAGCTGGCCGACCTCCGAAACCAACTCAGATCCTCCCAAACCGACGCCCAGGCCGACAAACTCTTGCTCGTCACAAAAGACCAGATTATCGACGAGCTCAACGAAAAGCTCCGTCTGGTCCGCTTTGAAACAAACGAAAAGCATTTCGAGTCACAGGGGGCGTTGGGAAAGATGAGGGGGCAGGTGGAGGAGGCTACGAGGCTCGGGGCCGAGAGGGAGATGGCGGGGATGAGGGCGAATGAGATGCTTGCTAGGTTGATGGAGGAGAAGCGCGGGTGGGATGAAGAGAGAGAGGAAGTGAGTAATTTTTGAAGTGTGACTGGGAGAAGATACTGACTGGACGTAGCTCTACGAGACGTTGAATCGCGCTCCGACTGGCGAGGACGAATCCGCCTCTGAGCTTCGTTCTGAGATCCAAGAGCTCTCTTGGCAGCTCGCCAACACCATGCGCGACCTTCAAAGTCTCCAAGACCAACTCGCCGTTCAAGATGCCTCTCTTCAGCACAAGACTGCTCTCATCACCACCCAAGAGACCGAGCTTTCCAACCTCCGCCATGCCCTTGTCGATGCCGAAGACTCTGTGGCACACAGCAAGGCTGCTAGCGAACGACAAATCAAGGACTCGGAGAGGTGTCTCGAGCGTCTCAGGGAACGAGTCCAAGAGCTCGAGAGCCGCTTGTCCTCTCATGACTCTGCCCTCCGGTCTGCTGTGCTAGAAGCTGAGAGCGGCAAGGTCTCTTCACAAGACTCCAAGTGGAGGATCGAGAGGTACATGACCGATATCGACGAGCTCAAGCTTAGCGAGACCAAGCTGCGCACCCAGGTCGAAGAGCTTCGGAGGCAGTCTGCTATGGGCGAAGTTGCTCGGGTTAATTTGGAGAAGAAGGTCGGAAAGCTGGAGCAAGACAAGGAGCTGCTGAATGTGGCTCTCGAGAGCAAGCAGATGGAGGTTGTGCTCTTGCAGAGGAAGGAGAAGCACCGTGCTCCCACGCCTACTCGAAGCGCCCCGAGACCAACCCATTCCGCCTTGTCCGATTCGATCTCCCGCATCCCGCCCACACCTACTCCTAGTAGCGGTCTCGACCATACGCCCCTCCCTCGTCGTCTCGCAACATCGACATCCGCTACTCCTGCCTCTCCTCGTCCTCAAAGCAATGCGGTGGCCGCTTCCAGACCATCTTCTACCCGAATTCCGCTTGGCTCGTCTACACGCCACAACAGGGTGTCAGATGTCTCGCGTATGGCCACTGCTGGAAAGGCGCCCACCGCCAAACAGGTTGAACCGGCAGCGGAGAAGGGAAAGGGAGTGGTGAGGAAAACCAGCTTGCCGGTGCTGGTCGCCAGGCCGGGAAGCGCTGCTGCTGGGTCTTTACAGTCGGTGAACGAAAAGTAGAAAAATCAACGAAGAGATATGACAGATATGACGATGACGAAAAATCGAAACGATCATGGCATATCTAGCCTGTAACATATCAACATCTATAAAGTACGTAGTCGAACCAATAGAGCGAACTTGATGAGGTGTCTCGTCATGTTGGGGGCTGTATATAGTTGTACAGTACTCGTATACAAATGCATCTTGGGAAGTTCCTTGAAACCGTCAGCCGAGTGAACCGTCGATTATTTGCATCTGTTGTCCATGATTATAGGCCATCCTGAGAACTGGGACCGAAATTATATATGGGTCAAGTGACCTTTTGAACTACTTATAAACCGTCTTTTGACCTCTTCCTTTCTATTTTGACTGTGTTGCGTTGGAACTACACCTCCTCAAGCGTATCCCTTCCCATCTAGTCTGTTCTCAGTCACTTGGACGTGCTTGGACAAACATGAGAGAATCCTGTCAGTATCCCCTTTAGGGGCAAGGGCATAGTTCCCTTTCTGCTCGAGCAGACGTCGGAACTCGTGAGGGAAATCGGTGATGACACCTTCGACGCCGAGATCCAGGAGGTATTCGAAGAGGTTCTTGACACTTTCACATATCGTTAGCCGAGTACAATATAGGAGATTCAGGGACGTACTCGGGAGTCCAAGGCTTGACACCAAGCCCGAGAGAGTGGGCAGTATCCACCATCGTCTTGTTGGTGAACGCCACAAAGCCAGGGAAGCCGGGCCCAGTCACATTAGAAGCATACTTGTCCTTCATCAGTATCATCCATATGAGGCAGTAGCAATGATACTCACGGAAGTAGCGACAGGGGACAGGAAGTCGGCATTGATGGAAGCAGCAGCCCGCGCAACCCGCTCCCCCACGGTGTCACCCTCGAGTTTGTCAATATCGATACCGGCAAGCCAGTTGGAAGGGCCAGAGCCGGGGTTGCCGAGGTTGGCTTTTGTACCATTCTCGTGGTTGGCCCAGACTAAAATTGGTGTCAATGTATACCCCAAGATTCTAGATGAGAGGGAAACATACTGGTGGTGTCATCGCAAAGAGCAGATGTTCGCAGGTTGGGATACTTCTCCTTCGAGAGCTTGATGGATCTCCAGTCAAAGCTCTGATGGGTGATCCTATCTACCACATCCTCCCCTTGGGCATAGAAGATTGTACCCATAGCATCCACAAAATCTTCAGGACCACGTGTGAGGTTGTGATAGTCACCGTCGACTTTGGATTCAATGTTGAAAAGGACGGGCTCGTCGGTGGCGCATTTTACGAAATCGAACATCTCTTGAAGGGTGGATACTTTGGTGCCGGCGTAGACATCTGAAGACTATGTCAGCTGAGATACAAAGCTGGAATTCGCGCATACGCACCTTGGAGTGGAAAGTCGACCTGTCGCAATGAACCACAGTCGAGAGTCTTGATCTGAGCTAGGGTACTGCACCATACGGATGAGCGACACTGAGTTTCCTCGGTAGGCCAATCGACACTTACAGGTTGGCGATGTATTTACCGACGTAAGGATAGTCGGGGTCGTCTTCGAATGCAGGAGAGGTGTCTCGACATTTGGTATCCACAAAGTTTTCGTCGTGCCAGACTACGACTTCGCCATCTTTGGTCACGCCGCCTAGCTCAAACATCAGTCGGGGGTCGGCATCTTGCTGGGATGACACTCACAGTCCATCTCAAGCGACGTTACACCGTTGATCAAGCCCCAGGAGAAAGATGGAAGTGTGCTACCAGGAGTTAGTCTATCCTCAGAATGATTAGATACAGGATGCTCACTTTTCGACAGTCTCTCCACGCCCACCTCGATGGCCTTGCAAGTCCCAGTACTTGGAATACTCCCATCGTCGGAATGGGGCAGCGAGAGCCGGGGCGCTGACTGCGATCAGAGTGGTAGCGGATAGTAGAGCGGACACCATATCACAAGATCCAAGAAGAGCTGATAGCAGTGCTGGCAGGCAGAAGAGATGGAAGATGAGATGACAGAGCGCGCGGTATGTATAGCCGAATCAGAAAAGTGGATGCTATCGCCGAACAATTCACAGCGGAGGGCAGATGTCAAGAACGTGGAAACTTTCGGTCGAGTTAGATCCATTTCGGAAAGCAGATGCGGGAGAGATAAGAGGGGTTATCATATTCCGGACCGAAATCCGATCGAAAGACGAACGTGACCGACGGCAATGCGTGCGTGTCATCTCCACTTCTATTGCAGGGCGCTACATATTTAGGAGAGTGTTTGTGGATATGCGCCGGTCAGCATGCCTCTCCTCTGTTCTGCCATGTGTCCCTCTGCTGCCCAAAGCATGGTACTCGACGATAGCGGGAGTGACGTACCTAGTCTAGAGCGAAACAGGTAATTTTGATCATTTATCTCGTTGACGCGCGTCAGTGGACGCGTTCGTTGCTCACGAACGTGCGGCGGCCATGCCTGAATCTTGACTGAGGATACGTGTGGATGCGTGGCATCTCAGAGGCCTGGGCCCATCTCACAGTGTTGGCAAGCCGCCCATCACCCACCACCACATTGAGATAGCACCGCTCGGTGTTCCGAGCCTTTCACAACTCCGTAAGGCTGCATCACCTCTAATCATTAGAAAGTGGTCTTTGGATATACATAGCATGTTCATGTACGGATACAATCAGGAGATCAGAATATGACTATGTACAATTATTGTGAAAGTCATCCAACAAACGCGTAACCACTATCTAAAGTACCCGTACTAGACTCTCAATCTTGTTGTTGATCAATGCAAGAAATACGCCAGACATAATAATCAACTCCGGACCCCACCCATGCCTCCATACACAGTAACGGTGGCCACCCTTTCCTTCGCCGCCCGGGGTGCCATGACAAGTCTGACGGGAACATCTGTACTCGTCCAAGGCGGAGGCTTGACTGCCGGGATGATCACGCGAAGAGGCTCTTCAAGTTTCTTCTCAATGGTCTCGTCTTCTCTCTCTCTGGAAACATTCGGGTCGACAGTTTGAGATTTGATGGAAGGGATAGGATCAGGAATGGACTCTTGGAGCTGGGACTTGGCAATGAAGGCTGGCGAGAAGGAGTTGACGGGAGGTATATATTGGCCTTTGGAGCCGCCAGGGAGGAAAGACGACATCCAGGCTTTGTAGAATCCACGTCAAGCCGCTTTCAGCGGTACGTGATGACCTGCAGACACAATCAGCACACCATCGGTCCACGCTTCTCGAGTAACTCACCTCCGTTGTGGTACTCGACTCTACGATTGGGACAGAGCCCAGCGAGATACAAACATTCCTCCGAAGACAGCAGAGTGTCAAACCTGCCAATCACGTGGAGTGTGGCAGTGCTGGGCGTGAGGGGATAGAGATAGGTGTATTTGGGATGAGGGGCGTGCCTGCCAGAGGGGAAGAAGCCGGAGATGCATATGAAAACTGTATCAATCCCCGTCAGAACTCGTCCTTGTTGACGTCCCGCGGGAGAGTAACAGGGAATTGCTTACAGTCGAGAGGCTGAAGAGAGGGGTGTGGCAAAAAGTCCGAATTACCATCACCCTTCTCAAGCTGGATGCGGAGGACCGTCAGCGGAATCCCTACATACAATGAGTCTAGCATCAATCGCGTTTCACGGATACTTTGCTTTGTGGGTACAACGCGGGTGACTCACCATACCAACAATGATCGATGCTAGCACAGCACCTGAAGAGAACGCAAAGAAGCCCTGCAAGCCCGAAGATGACAACATCAGCACATGTTGGCTTACACAAGGATCAAGGGGGCATTCCTCACATCGAAAGGGCCGTTTGCGATCATGAAGTCGCGCACATAGTTCAACCCCTCGCCAAACCCTACACCAGTCGCCCGTCTATCAGCACGCTGCTCTAACAGCCAACTTGGGAGAACCTGCCTCCATCACCGTGCCAGTCTGATCCACCATCGTACCAAGCTCGAGGCATATCATGAGGTGTGCGGGAGACCTGCCAGCCGGTCGTCTGACGGGCTTCCATCATGGGGTTTAGGATGGGCATGTCAGGGGGTTCGACAGTGAAGGGTGGTTCGAGTACGACTGCCATAACGCGTCTCAGCTAGGGTCAAGTTATTGAAGGCTGATACAAAAAAGAGCCGGCAGAGCGCAAGAAAGAGAAAGAGACGGTGCTTACCCAGTTCGATGAGACCAGCACATTCTTTCTGAAGACGAGACAGCTGATAGAAGTCAACACAGGCCACAGCGCATACCGGAGGCAAGGGACATTGACTCACCTCTTGGCTGAATATGTACTTGTTGGATGTGAAGCCGCAGAAACACAGAACACGAAGCATCTTGATTTCTGTTGATATGGTTGGAGAAGATAGTACAGCTGCAAGACTCGCCTGACTTGATGGATCTGGACGTGAATTGTCAGTCTGGGAATCACCTCCACTATATGTCCTGGCAGCCAGCTGGCCAGTGATTTATGAACACGTTGAAAGATGAAAGAATGGTCTCACGGTCAGTGATCTTCGGAAGGATAAGTAGGGCACAAAGTAGCATCTCACCCCTTTGCATCATGAGAAATATCAAACGTCGTCGTCAAACACGCAGTGCCCACTTTTCTCCGCCGGTCTTGATCGAAGGGGATGCCGGGGACGACGGAAGGGCAGCAAGGAGACCCAGTTGGGTCAAGAAAGAGCCCCACTTTTGGCGACAGAGGTTTCTCGTGCCCGACCCTCTGGGCGCACGACCCAACAGGGCAAAAGACCGAGAACAGATCAGCAGCAGCAGAGAAGGAGAGTGCATACGATCGTATGGCTCTGGTCATTTTCCTTCAGAGAATACGGGATGTGAGGAATATTGTTATAGAGCGGTTGTCCAGTGATTATGGCTGCTGTGCCGGCGCTGCAAAAGAGCGCTCATAATTGGGCACTGGAAGATTGAGTGATGCGGTTTGTTTCGGTACCATCAGAGACTCAGTCTGCCCGGGAGCCGGATGCCTTTCGCAACGATCACCCTCCAAACGTGCCTTGCAGGAAAGTCATCAGCTGGTGCTCAAGCCGGCTTAAGTAAGCCGTCGCGTCAGCCAGGTACATTACCGTTTAGCTGGGTGGGGGCACAGTCGGGCGCGAGTCAGTGGCCAGAGAAAGGTCAGAGATCAGAGGTTAGAGAACGGAGGGGACGGGAAAGGGTTGCAATGTTGAATGATGGACATGTTGTTGAGGGACGACACAGACACTATAGCCCATTTTCCGACGGCCGTACTTTTGAGATGCCTGCCTGCCCTGGTGACCCTGGGGGAGTGGAGGTGATGCACCATGCACAATGCGTCCCAGCAATTTACTATGTATGTACATACATCGATGGGATAACTTCGCTTCAACGCACCTGGATGGCTTGGTTTCTGAAGATGGAGAATGATTGCCTACTACGTGCCTCCATAGCAGCTGGCTCAGCTGGCATCAGTTGATGATCGACCTCTTGTTTCTGCTGAGCATCAACTACAGGTGGGATCAGGGGTGAGTCAACAGATCCAACCTTATACTGTAGGATCTCTACATGCTTGGCGATTTGAGCGGAAAGAGGCAGGCGGGCCTGGATCCTGGAGAAGCAGCGCGTTCATACTACATAGCGTAGCTACTTTGTACACTCGCGGTCAACATGCTTCATGCCTCATCCTTTCCACTTTGTTGCTAAGCCTGATAAGCTTAGCTTGGCAAGTCTATGTTTAGCCTCCTGGTCCTGATCCTCTATGAGAGCATATCATGCTTTCACCGTATCTGATCCATCCAAACTACCGTCGCAGTAAGGGCTTCACGTGTTCGATGTAAAAGCTTCAGCATTTTGATGCACGTATCTTGAAGACCGCACCACACAATCAGGCATAGTAAGATCCGTCGGAGGCGTACTGTGTTTGCAATTGGGCATTGATATCCACGTCTCCTCGTCCACTCCAGATGTGGGTGCGCCGAGGGTGTGATGTCGGGGATTTACTTCCGAAAGCAAACTTTAATGACCTACCCATCCGAATAATGCTAGATGGCAATGCATGTTCCCGGCGAAACAATACCTCTACGCCAAGCATTATAACGACAGCCCAGCCGCCTTCTCCTCGATCTCCGCCACCTTTCCATCACCCTTCACTTCCTTGACCTCCTTCGCCGTCGCTTCCCCAACCTTGGCGCCCTCGACAGGCTTTGCCTCCTTGGGCTGCTTGGGTTGCTTGGGCGTCTTGGGAGTGGGGGTGTTGGAGCCGGACTTGCTGCCCTTGCCGCCGCCGGGCGCGGGGGCGTTGGCACCGTTGGGTCCGTAAGAGTCGATCTCGGGAAGGTCGCCGTTGCTACCGCCGGGGGCAAAAGAGTTGATGTAGGCACTACCGAATGTATAAGTCTTGCTCAGCCAGTCAACCGTAAACTTGCACTCACTTCAGGAAATGTCTCCAGGACGCTTTTGAGGGAGTGTAGTGTCCACCATCATGCAGCTCGAACCTCGCGTTCTCACACCTGCTCGCCAATATTTGACTTCTCTCGGGCACGATCAAAGTGTCGTTCTTGCCAGAAATATGGAGGGTGGGGAGAGAGGCGGGGAGAGGGAAGTAGTTGGAAAAGTCGTGCGACTCGCACTTGGGCTCATAGCCAGGGAGGAAACCGCCGATAAAGATGGCGACTAGATCAAGTGTCAGCTTGGGAACTCGGTAGAGATAGAAGAGAAGTACATTTCAGTTTGGGGATGTTCTCGTGGGCGGGGAAGAGAGGGTTGATACCGGGCTTCTCAATCTGAAAGTTTCGGTTAGCCGATGTCATGATGCCAGAGGGAGACACTTGCCATAGCGGCGAGAAGAGCGGCCATACCAGCACCCTGCGAGAAACCCACGACACCCTACACACAATCAGCATACAATATGAGAGCTTGATAAAAGGTACTCACGTCGAAAGGTCCATGCTCAGCCATGTAATCGTGGAGGAACTTGACAGAGTCGTCGAATCCTAGAGTGGCACAATCATCAGCATGGTCGGGCATAGCCGAGAATCGTGCTTACGCTTATAGGTCTTCCAGTTGTCGGCGTTGATCCACCAGGCTCGGGGAGTAGTCTCGGCAGTCTGGTTCTCAGCGTCCATGCTGGCGCTAGAGCCGAACTGGTCGAGGTTGGACTCGTTTACCCATGGGAGGTCGGCCTTCTCGACAACAACGGGAGGGTCGACAAAGACTGCAGCAATGTTAGATCATGGTCATAGTTGGCAGGTATATGGACGGACCAAACTCGGTGTTCTTGCAAGCCTTTCGGACGGCGCCAATCTGGAGGGCGAGATTGGTAACCAGGCAGTGAGCTTACACGGAAAATGACGCACTTGTTTGGAGTAGATGTAGGCATTCTGGGTGAAGCCACAGAGAGTGAGGATACGGATAGTCATTTTGTCTAGGTGTCTATTGAATATGAACAGATGGTAATGCAATATTCAATGGGAGAAAAGCGAAGTAGAGGATTTGACGTGCTTATATTTCGAGAACTTCGCTTTCTCAACTTTTTTATCGTTATCTTTGCTTCCGTTAAAGCCCGGTCCCCCGGAGGTCGTCGGTCCTCCGCCGCCCGCATCGCCGTCCGCCGCTTCCGAAGCTTTACGTAACATTCGCGTACTCCTCGTCATGATGCAATGCCTCCACCATCGCGCCTTTTCGATCCGATCGAGCAGCCGTTATTTGTTTACTCTTTGGTTCTTCGCTTATCTTGCAGACTATTATGGCGCCAAGGAGAACGATCCGGGGATCAAAGAAGCAGGAGGTAGTGAGGGATCCGGAAGAGGCCAAACCTCAGTATGATCTCGTCCAGTTTCCCTATCTTGCGACGCTTAACGACCCTCAAGCCCGAGGTGAGGACCAAGTCTGTTCAGACGTAGAGGATTAGCGCTGACGACAATTGAAGCTGTTACCGCTACACCAAGCACTCCCCTGCAGATCCTGGCAGGACCTGGGTCGGGAAAGACGAGGGTCTTGACATCACGGGTAGCCTATCTTGTCCAGCATTATGGGTATCTACCGAGGGAGATTGTCGCCGTTACATTCACCAACAAGTCTGCAAGCGAGATGCGCAATCGCCTGAAGAAACTACTGGGAGAAGAGAAAGCAGGGCAGCTCATCCTAGGTAAGATCGTTCTCCATTGATAGGCCACTGCTGACTTTGATACAGGCACCTTCCACTCGACTTGCGTCAAGTATCTTCGTCGTTTCGGAAAGATCATCGATCTGCCCAACAATTTTGTCATTGCTGACGCCGATGACTGGTAAGTCCGTATCCCGCGTTACGCTCCTGCTGACCTTTCTACAGCAAGAAACTGATAGCGAACATGCTCAAGGAAAGAAAAGATGAACTCGCCGAGAATTCAATGTCTATCAAGGAAGGCGCCGTGTTGTCTGAAATCTCCAATGCTAAAGCCAAAGGGGAATCTCCAGAAGAAATGGCGGTGAGGGCGAGGAACGACAAAAATCTATCGACAAGCACGCTTTTGGTCATATCCCAGCTCTATCAAGAATATCAAGTGCAACTGCGCGAGAGCAACTCGTTGGACTTTGATGACTTGTTGGTGTATGCGTTGAGGCTGTTTACAGAAGCTCCAAGGGTGGTTGAAGATGTCAAACATATCTTGGTCGACGAGTTCCAGGTGAGCGACCTCTTTTTGGTCTTTCTAACACGCCACTAAACGATGGGCAGGACACGAATATCACACAATACGAGCTATTGAAATGTTTCGCCAAGGCACATATGGGAGTCAGCGTTGTCGGAGACCCAGATCAATCCATCTATGGCTGGAGAGCATCTGATATCGAAAACCTCAACAAGATGTACAAGGGTGAGTGCGCCGTCTATGCGGGACGTGACTGAGTCGAGCCTTCTCAGACTTCCCGGGAGTGGAAGCGATCTATCTGGAGGAGAATTATCGCTCGACTGGGGCTATATTGGATGCTGCCCATGCCGTCGTATCGCAAGGTAGGTCGCCCCCTGTCGATATGATGGTGCCCGCTCACTCATTGTAGATAGTAAACGTATCCAAAAGAGCCTTTTTACATCCCACCCTCAGAGCACACCCGTCATCCTCAAAACATTCGCTACGCCCACTATTGAATCGAGCTTCATCTCTTCCGAGATCAAGCGGCTTATTGCATATTCGGGAGGCATGCTCAAGTTTGACGACTTTGCCATTCTGCGTGAGTGTCTGCTTTCGCCCTAGAGTGAGGTCTCACAGTCCTGGCAGTACGATATAACGCCTTGTCTCGAGTGATCGAATCTGCCCTTCAGAAAGATAGTGTCCCAAATAAGATCGTTGGCGGACACAAGTTCTTTGAACGTATGGAGGTCAAGGATCTCCTTGCGTACTTGCAGCTTGCCGACAATCCTGGCTTCAATGTATGTTACTGATTTCCTTGAGGGGCATGACTGACTCCGTTTTAGCCTGCTTTCATGCGAGTGATCAATGTCCCAAAACGATTCATCGGCGAAAAGGCAAGCTTCCCCATACTGTCTCGAGACAGCTGCTGATCGCTTCTACAGGCTCTCCGCGCCATCACCGACGGAGCAAAAAAGGACAAAATCACCCCCATGGAATTATGCGAACGCATCACCGACGGCGACCAGCTCCCAGAAGGCATCAAACCGAACGTTCAGAAGAACCTGGCGTCGTTCGTAGGCGCAGTGAGAAAATTGAGGAGGGCGGCGGAGAAGGGGACGACAGTGTCTGGTTTGCTCAAGATGGCAATTGAGAAGACGGGGTATGAGAATTATCTGAGGTCTTCTCAGCAGGACTTTGATTCGCGGTGGGAGAACGTCAAGGAATTGGTGAGTCTTCACGTCACTTGTGGGTGTGATGCTTATGAGGCTCTAGATATCCTACAGCGTCACTGTTGCCGAGGAACAAGATCGGGCCAGCGAGAATCGAGGAAATAGAAACTCTGAGGACCTGGACGATATTGGCTTCCAGCGCCCTTCAACCGCCGTCGTCGAAGCCGTTGCCAACAAAACCTACGACGAGGAAAAGGCCAAGGAGGAGAAGAAGCTGCACCCTATGTTTGCGCGAAGTAGGAGTAGAAGCGGTAGCTTGAGTGGGAGTCGAAGTGCTAGTGCGAGCAAAAAGACTGTGAAGACGAAGGAAGGGGAGGACGGGGTAGTGGAGCTGTTGGATAGTGAGGATGAGGAGGATACCAAGCTAAAGCAGGGGCTGGAGAGTGTCAGCGAAGAGGTGGAGCCAAAGACGGTGGTGAAAAAAGAGAAGAAGGTTGGGAATGTTGAAGAGGTCTCTGCCGACCTGGTGGAGGAGCTTGCCAATGCCCCCGAGAAGTAAGCCCGTTTCTCATACCCACGACAAATGTTGACCCATGTAGTCTCACGCCTTTGGCATACTTTTTGCAAGTCTCGATGTTGTCCACAGATACCGAGTCTGAGGAACAGCAGGAGAACAGCGACACGCCCGTGAGTTCAGCGCACTGCCTCTGACCAGATGCTGACCTTTCTGCAGAGGGTCACCATCACCACCGTGCACGCTGCCAAGGGATTAGAATGGCCGGTAGTCTTCATTCCTGCTGGTGCGTTGTACACTCTGGTTTCTATGGATGTATTGACCTCTGGCGTAGTCGAACAAGGAACGTTCCCTTCATACCGATGTACAGAGGAGCATGAGATAGCGGAAGAGCGTCGACTACTCTATGTCGCTATGACCAGGGCTCAATGCTTCTTGGTGAGTAACCGACAGCCTATGACAAGCAATCGCTGACTGCGCCGCTAGACTCTCTCGCATTGTAATTTCAGAATGATGGGCGGGGAAGACAAGGATAAACAGCTGAGCGAGTTTGTGAGCGATGTTCAGCGCAAACTTCCCGTGAGTGTTCTGCTTTTTGTGCGAATCCTTCGGTTGCTGATTGCTATCCTAGGGAACTTTTGTACAAGATCTTCCAAAACCGGATGTCGAGGCCAGAAAGCGCATTTCGACGATGTTGGAAAGGCCACTTAGCGATGAGGCTGATACAACCGCCATGATCATGAAGCAGTACGTTGTACCCCCGGCACATTGAGCAATGCTAATATGGACCAGTGTTCGTGCAGCGCCTCCGATGAGCACCTGGGATGCGCCGGAGTCTGACAACTGGGGAGGCAAGATCAACCGCTTTGCTCGCCGCGAAGTCACCAAAGCTGCTCGTAGTGCGGAATATTGGGCTTCCGGGACCGACGATTACGCTCTCCCTGGGTCCGCCGGCTCGTCCACGTCGGGCTTTCAAAGCGCTCGTTCAAGCATGTCCCAATCTCGCCCCCCGTTCTCGTCCGAGCCAAAAAAGGCGCCCCCTCGGCCAGTCAACAATCTGTCTGCAAACAGAAACCTTCCGACTGCACTACCATTCACGTTCAACACGACGCCACAGCAGAGCGAGGAGGCGTCGCTGGGGTCATTTATGAGTGGATCGAACAAAGGGTTGGAGATGATGGCAGGTCTGGGCGGACTACCGCCTGCCGAGACGCCAGTATCCGGAGCAAGAGCGGCGCCTGGTGCGCGAGGGACCAAGAGGCTAGGCATGGGCCGACCTGCGCCTTGGGGTAGTAAGAAGGCTCGAGAGGAGTAAAATCGTCTCATTCTTGATCTTGTCCTTGTATCGCTATCTAAGAGGTATGTATCTTACAGCATTTTGTCCATGTAGACTACTCGAGTATACTGCAAATGATGAACCATGTCATGGTGTACAAATTCGATGCCGCTCATGAAACGCGACTACTCTACTTGCTCGACTTCGGCTTGGCCTTAGGATCCTTACTGGAAGGCTTCTTTGGATCACCTTTCCCTCCCTTCTCATCCTTCTTCTTTGCTGGAGGCTCGGGTAGAAAGTTGCCGATAAACTTGATGGCTCCCTAGGCATCAATGGTAAGCACGGCCCCGTAGTTTATTGCACGGACGACTTACAAATACTGGTGTCTTTGATGTGACCTTTTTGGTTTTCGGATCCTTCTTCTCATCATGGTATATGATGCTGTACATACAGACGCAGCAAATGGCTTTCAACTGCCAGACGACCCTGTCAGTAATACGCAGTGGGGTGAGTAATATGGCTGACCTTTGGCCACCAGGTCAAAGTGCGGGTCTGATCTCGGAACATGAGCAGTTCAAAGTACTCGAGCACCATAACGATTGGCCAGTAAGATAGCCTTTGGCACAAGCGTTAGTAAAACGCTAACTCAAGGATAGATTGATACTCACCACAATGTTCTATCCTTACCGGAATTGATGGACTTGTAAGTGCAAAACATCGGTACGAGATACACCGAGGGCCAGGGTATCAAAAAGTGGTAATACCATGGAGCTGCATACCTTCGGAATGGTGAGCTGAGCATAAGCCGATCGTGACAAATAACTCACCAGAATACGATATGCAAGACCACCCATATACCTATCGCCAGATGTGGAGGAGCAACAACATCCAAAAACTCAAACAGTGCTGGACACCTCCCCTTGATCTGCACTCCCGTCATTAGCATACCGGACGAACGTTATGGAGGCGACGTCCCCAACCGTCCACCAGCTCCCCAGCCTTGACACCCTCTGGATTAAGCTCCCCTCGCTTTTTTGCCTCCTTCTTTTTCGCCTTTTCGATCTCTTCTTCCTCGTCCTTCTCGGCTTGCTGTGCTAGGTGAATTTGGTAGAGAGCAGCTTGCTGAGCGGGCCCCCATCCTGTCGTCAGAGCGGCCGCTTCGAGTTCAGTAGGTTTTTTGGACATCTGAGCAAAGATGCAGAGGTGGCCAAGATACCGGTGTATTGCGAACAGTATAAGCGGTGTCGTCCTTTGTGTTTGCTCCTTTGAAGATGGCAAGCTGGAGAATGCATCTGCCGGAGGGTCACTACAGGGCCTGTCGAGTACCTAGAGAGAAGCTGTATAGAAAGATGAGATACACATGTCGGGCCTCTCGAGCACATAGAGAGAAGCTGCATAGCCGTAGGAAAATCGTAGGAAAATGCGTGGAATACACATGTCCTATGACGTATCTATGCAATGAGTGCACTGCAGTGGTCGGAGTGTGTTTGTGTATGGCTCTATATGTGTCAAAAAAGGGCCAAAACCGCTCAAAAGTTCCATGGCTCAGTGGTTAGAGTACCCGCTTTACAAAACCTCTCTTGTAATTGAGCAATTGACACTTTGAAACCGCGGATGGTCGAGGGTTCGATCCCCTCTGGAACTACTTCTTTTTGATCTTTACCTGTACCCTCTGCCTGTTTCGTCTTATGCTTTTTTTGTGCTTAAAGTACCTGTGGAAACGTAGAAAAAAAGAGGAAGTTGGTCTCCGCGAAATATGGGTACATGTGGAGGCAAGAGGCGGAGGTTTCGCGCGCCCGACGACCAGCCGACAGCCAGCCGACGACAAGAGCGATATCTTGGTAGGGTAGAGCATGTACCGAGCAAACACGGCTGGTCAACCATATGACTCTACTCCCCCTTCACACTTCACGGACTTCCGCTCCTCCGCCTCTCCACCCCTTGTCCTTCTCTAACAAGAACAGTGGATTGGTCATGAGCTAGAAATCGGACATGAGTCTGTTTGTTTCGACATAAGTGAACCACCCACCCTGATAAGGAGGTGTTAGGACGAGGGGAGTGGTCCTCAGAAAGATAAAGCCTATTTGGACGGAAAGTCGTCTACCAAGTTTGCGAGGACAGGACGGGGGAATTGTGCCCGGACAGCGTCAGAAGAGAGAGCATCTGTAACTTTTCAGCGTGCAGCCTTTGATAGACCCATAGGACAGGGCCTTGATCCGAGTCGGCATTATGCATAGTCTGTACTGGAAGTGATATCATGTTGTTGCACAGTCTTATTGAAGGTGTACCTCACAAGTCTGCTCACCCGCGCGAATCCAAGCTAAGCACCCAATGTGACTAGTTCACGAAAAGGCGAATGGGCATCATGCATGCAAACTGCATATAGCCCAAAAAGTGAGCTATGCTCGAACGAGGTCCAATGTTCTGACTTTGTTCTAAACCAAAGGTCGTCAGCTTCCCACTCCATCTTCATCTCGACTTCAAGTCACATGAGGATGCCGCTCAGGTTGGGCGGATGAGGCGGGGACATACCTCCAGAGCAAACAGATAGTCATCTTTGACATGTGGATAGAGGTTCTTGACGCTCTCTGCGAGTTTGTACAAGTACTCCTGCATTTCACGGATCAGCTACCGTCTCTCATATCATATCCTCTGTCTCTTAAGAGAGAGGAAAGGGGATTGTAGCAAAATAGAAACGTACTTTGTTGGGTCCAGAAGGCCCCGAGCGGACGGCTATCGTTTGCGCTATCTTGTCTAATGGTTCGTATCCAACTTGCAAACGGTCAGCGCTCATGCGAGACGGATCGAAGTAGAGATTAGATCGTACCGAATGCAGGATCATCAGGCTTTCCTATCCATATCGTTGACTATACCTCTAGTCAGCAGCTAGCTGGACAGTGACAGCTGGCAGGGAAGCTGACATCTTGAACAACAATGTACTCTTGCTTGCCGTCTGCCGAGAGACCATACACTGGGACGTGGTGGCAGGTGTAGCCGTTCTGTACCGTATCAGCTGGGCAGGAGGACCGGATGGATCGAAGTAGATACCTTCTCGCGATACTCTATCACATCATCAGCTACGCTGTCTCCTAGAGAACAAGAATGCACTCACCCATGTAAGCTTGCACTTCTGCCTCTTTCTCGGGGTCTATCCGGTATGCTACACCCCATACATAATCGTCTGCCAGCACTTGTCCATCTTCAGTTTCCTGTCATACATCAGCGCCTATAACCATGAAGGCATGGACTCACTTTGCCTTCCAGACGATGCCACACCGGCGCCTCCACCACCGTCACAACCCTCCCAGGCAACTCGGGCGTCCCACGATGGTCATTCGAAGACTGGGCAAAGCGCCGAACGACACCCTTGACGTATCCTGATTCTGGACTCTCGGTAAGCTCATATCGTTGCATTTGAGGGGGGGGGCATACTCTGCTCGACAGTGTGTGGGCTGGAAAGAGGGGTCAGCACACAAGGTCGAAGATCTCGGGAAGAAAGGAGACACGAGGCCGTCGGGCATTGGCCGGTGTGGGACGGGGAAGGGAAAGACTCACGGTGGTTTGAAGATCAAGCTTCCATATCCAAATACCCAGTACGGCATGCTTCCAATCTATTCAGCTTGTTTGAGAGGTCTCTGAGCGTATGTAGTCAAGTAATATGAGCCTTGACCCCTCTTGCTTGTGATGGCGCAATAGGCAATAGGCGCAGGACAACCGACCGACGTCGCCTTTTGCGTTACTGGACTTTTTGCTTCCGTTTCTTCGATTGGTTTTGCGGAAGGCCGGTTCCTGTTCTGATTTCCTGAAAAAGAGGAGAGGCTTGTGGGGAGGCGTGGGGGTTTGTGTGGTGCACCGCGGCCCTGTCCACCACGTTCTCGACGTCGAGCTCGACATCTGGTAGGGGTTGTAGGGGCCAGTAGATGAGAGGGGGGCATATGGGGTCTGCTGGGGGCGGTGGTATTCTAGCTTGGCCTGGAAGATGGAGGAAATAGGGCTGTCACGTAGACAAACACGTTGGACGCGACGCGTTTGTTGATAGGGAGATGGGAGATCTACCTGAAGAAGCATGCGGCGCATCAAGGGGTAGAAGCTTGTCCTATCACCGGCGGCGTGAGGGCCCCTGATGCCCCGCAATCACCTATCTAGCGCCCACCTCGGTCCCCTTCTCGGCATATGGCAGGAAAGAGGGCGCTTGGCTGTTCGGCGACATCCCCGAGTAATCCCCACGGTATAAATACTGGGCCAATTCGCGTCTCCATCTCTCATTTGCATCTCAACAATCTCCTCTCGCTCACCAGCACCCACTCAGCTCAACCTTACCACTACCTACCACCTACCATCGCCCACGGGCATCAGCTTATGTTCTCGAACAGCCTTTGCAGCGCTCACAACTCCCACCGGTACGTCTTCTCTCCTCGTCCGTTATCCCAAGCTCACTCTTCCATAGCGGCATCAAACACACCGCCGCCCCCTCGTTGAAAAGAACTTAATTCAACCCACCACACCCGTACAATCAACCAACATGTCTCCTACTGCTATCGACGCTCCCACCCACCATGACTCTTTCACTCTCCCTGCCCAGCAGGACTCCAAGGTTCACCCCTCTGCCCGACGAACTCCTGAAGGCGGCTTGATCAAGGTCGACAGTGACAGCACTATCTATGAGAACGATGGCATCAAGGCCAAGTTCACTGACAGGGGTGCTGAAGTCGTCAGTAAGTGTGCTCTCATCTATTGTGGGCTATGCTGATGATATGACAGAGGGTCCTGATGGCAAGTTGACCGTCAAGAAGACTGCAAAGGAGTTCGAGTTCTTTACCAAATCCAAGGTCGGCCGTGTCGGGTACGTCTCCTCCACTCCCATTGATCCAAGCTGACACTTGCTAGGCTCATGCTCGTCGGTCTCGGCGGCAACAACGGTACCACCGTGCTCGCCACCAATCTCGCCAACAAGAACAACATCTCCTGGCAGACCAAGAATGGCACTCAACACCCCAACTACATCGGTTCCCTCGTCCGCGCCTCTACTGTCAACCTCGGTAATGACCCCGAGACTGGCAAGGACGTCTTTGTGCCCATCTCGGACATGCTGCCTATGGTCCACCCCAACGACTTTGTCATCGGAGGTTGGGATATCTCGGCCTTGTCTATGGATCAGGCAATGTTGAGGGCCAAGGTATTGGAGTGGGACTTGCAGAGGCAGTTGATCCCTCTTATGAAGGATGTCAAGCCCTTGCCTAGTATCTACTGTATGTATCTCCTCCCCTCAGTTGTTCTGGCTGACGCGAAGCAGACCCCGACTTTATCGCTGCCAACCAAGCCGACCGTGCCGACAACCTCATCCCCGGTGACGACAAGCAAGCCCACCTCGAGCACATTCGCTCCGATATTCGCAAGTTTAAAACCGACAACGACCTCGACTCTGTCGTCGTCCTTTGGACTGCCAACACTGAGCGATATGCCGATATCATCCCCGGCGTCAACGACACTACTGACAACTTGCTCAAGGCTGTCAAGGGCTCGCACGAGGAAGTCTCCCCTTCGACCATCTTCGCTGTGGCTTCCATTCTCGAGGGTGTGCCGTTCATCAATGGGTCGCCTCAGAACACGTTCGTCCCCGGCTGTATCGAGCTCGCCGAGCAGCACAAGGCTTTCATCGGTGGAGACGACTTCAAGTCGGGCCAGACCAAGGTCAAGTCTGTCCTCGCCGAGTTCTTGGTCAATGCTGGTATCAAGCCGCTTTCCATCTCGTCCTACAACCACTTGGGTAACAATGATGGCAAGAACCTCAGCTCTCAGAGACAGTTCAGGAGCAAGGAGATCTCCAAGTCGTCTGTTGTGCGTTTCTTCCCTTCCTCGTTGAACCTGGCTGATGAGAGATAGGTGGATGATATGGTCGCTGCCAACCCGGTGCTCTATAAGACCGCTGCTGACCTCTCCGCCGAGACTGGCGAGGCCGTCAAGAAGGGCGAGCACCCCGACCACATTGTCGTCATCAAGCACGTTCCCGCTGTCGGCGATTCCAGTACGTCCCCCAACTCCCTTCGTCGGACGACGCTTACATACATCACAGAGCGAGCCATCGACGAGTACTACTCTGAACTTCTCATGGGCGGTCGAAACATCATGAACATCTTCAACGAGTGCGAAGACTCTCTCCTCGCCACTCCCCTCATCTTCGACCTCGCCATCCTCGCCGAGCTCCTCACCCGAATCTCTTACCGCCAAGTCTCTGCTACCGAGCCCGAAGCCGAGTTCCAGCCTCTGTACAGCGTCCTCTCGCTCTTGTCGTACATGCTCAAAGCGCCGCTTGTTAAGCCTGGGGAGGACGTTGTCAACTCGCTCAACAGGCAGCGTAACGCCCTCGAACAGTTCTTGAAGGCTTGTCTTGGTCTCGAGCACTCCAACGACTTGTTGTTGAAGACCCGAGTCTGGTAGATGGCGAACAAGTTGGTGGGAGGGTTGGCAAATGCTGGAGTACTGCTCTAGAGGAAGTGGTTTATTTCGCTTGTTTCATCTTGGATAGTGGCCTTTATACTCGTACCATTTGGATTGGAATGAAAACGCGTTATACGCACTCTTGGTGGTCGCGAACACTGTTGCATTGAGATCATACCCATTGTACGAGGGGAGATAATGACTCATCCTACCTTCTTATCTGACTCGACCTGTCTCAGGAGGTGCCGAAGCTTGACTATGGTCCTTTCTCCGGCCGCGCTCATACTCCATGCTTGCTCTTATCTTCTTATCCGGAGTCGTGCGATAAGATGTCGTTTTTTCATAGCTTAGTTGCTTGGTGACGAGGGTGGGTTCTGTGGGAAAAGATGGATACCATAAAAAGGCTCATGAGATTCTTATAGCTGCTCTGGGCCTGAGGAAGAGATTCGAGAGAGTGCAAGAGTCACCACAAGTTGACATCGACGGCCATAGCCTCCTCAAAGTACCGCGTCCCGTCTGATCCGCGAAGTCAACTAGGAGAGCGCTCGGTTAGTACCAGGGTGGGGGACCACCTGGGAATCCCGGGTGCCGTCGTTTCTGCTTCTCTTTTTGCCCCACCCTATGTAAAACCTTGCTAACCACAACGTCAAGCCATGATTGCACTGCTCTGACATTGGCTTCAATAGTCAAAAAGGTGATGAGCTGCATTTCTGACCTTCTATCGAACGTCTGCAGTCTTTTGGACACTACAAGATTTCTATAGCAGCCTATGTAATAACAGTCTGAAAGCAAGCAAGCAGGTGGAGAACCCAAAATTAAACCAAGCGAGTACAGATAACAATCTTTGAAACGTACGAACCATTCAAACAACTACAAGACACAACAAATCTAATGCTGGAACCTAAAGTCCAACCTCTTGTTCCCCTTCTGGCTCGTCGTCGCGAGATACTCTGCCTTCTCCGCGATCGTCCACGTATCCCAGATCTTCGCCCTCTGCTTGTTCCTAAACACATACCAAAGCTTTGCGAATACAAACAAGGCAATGGACAGCACCGTCAGGCCGATAAGGACCTTGTTACCCTTGTGGTAGTAGGGCGCGTCGGATGGCTGGTAAATGTTGGATGCGACCAGGGAGGCGGCTTGGACAAACATATTGTAGATTGAACTTGAGACGGTTCGAGTTCGGACGGAGCCGGCGTTCTGGAGACAAGTTTAGCTGGTGTCAGATGACATCATGGGAGGAGACGTACCATGCTGTTCATGGAGACCATGATGGGGTGACAGTAGGGATAAGACATTGTCAAAGTGATGACCGCCCATCTCGCCCATCGATTGGCGGAGTCTGGCAAAGTCACGAGGGCAACCAAGAAGATGAGGAGCCAAATAGGCTGAATGGCGGATGTCAAGAGACGTTCCTTGAGCCTCTTGGAGGTGAAGGCGAGGGAGAGGTTCATGATGATGAACAGAATGTTGGAGGGGATGGTGAGCATGTTGGTTTGGAAGGTAGTGAATTTGCTACGAGGGGGTAAGTTGAGAGCTAGAGGGGAGGAAGAGGTGCGTACAGAGATTTCAAGGTTAGAGTGAAGTAAGCGCTGACAGTGGAAGGAATGATGAAAGCCACGAGACCGATCTATCATCGCATGTCAGCCAACTTGTAGTATCATGAAAGAAGCCAGGGACTCACGAGGTAGATAGGCCACATGTCATAGTCTGAGAGAGAGTACCAAAGCTGCTTGATAGACAGACCTTCTCGGTTGTGCATGTCCGACTTGGTAGGGTCGTCTCGGAGCACCTTGTTGACGATAATGATCTCTTCCCTCTCAGTGAACCAGCCCTTGGGCCTCCACCACTTCTTCGTCTGCGTCGGGCTCGCTGGCAAGTACCAGAAAGCCCAGAAACCAACGAGGAAGGTGAGCACACCTTCAATCATAAAGAGCCATCTCCACCCGGCAAGCCCGTGAATACCGCGCATCTCGAGCAAACCGGCAGCGAGAAAGGAACCGATGATGGTGGTTGTGGTGAGGGAGACCCAGAACCAGGAGAGACGGATGGTGAGCTCGGCGGCAGTGTACCAGTAGGAGAGGAAGAGGACGGTGTCGGCGATGAAGCCGCTATCAACCTTGTCAGATGGGAAGAGGACAGGGAAGGGGAGACTTACCCTTCGAGGAGACCGAGGAGAGCACGGGTAGCGTAGAAGGATTGCTTGCCTTGAAGACCCATCTGGGCGATGGCAACGGCGGACCAAGTCATCATCTGGATAGGGATCCAGACATCACTTCCGAGCTTCTTAGAGACTACCCCTTTGTCAGCGTAGTTACTCGGTAGATGAAGGAGACTCACTCATTTGAGAAGGGAGCTCGGCAAAGAGGAAGCAACAGTAGAAGATGGTCATGCCGGTGTTGTAGTCGCCAGTGCTCATTTTGAGATCCGTAAGCATCCCATCGGAGAGGGCGTTGGAGATGTTTCCTCTGTCCAGCTGGAGAGCCATGAAGCACAAGCAGGCGAATGCGGCCACTCGGATATCTACGGCAAATCAGCTGCCGCACATATCATCAGATGTAAAATGACCTACCGAGTCTTCTTCTGACCTTTAGCTGCTCCTCGGGAGTCCACTGTGCACGAGGATCCCAGCGGTGCTTGGACTCGTATGTGTCTGCGCAACAGATCAGTGTAGATCAAGAATGGAAAGAATGGAAAGAGGAAAACTCACCTGGGGGTTCGTAAAGCTTGAGCTCGACGGAATCAACAGACTGGTTGTAGTTGAGGTTGTCGAGCCCTCCGTCCTTGTCTGAACCAGAGAGCTCGCCCTTATCATCGACGTCATCGTGAATGATTCCAGGCTGATCCGTGGGACGGGGGCCAGTCACGGCGTGGGTATCGACTATAGCCGGGGGAACAAGAGCCATGGCGATGGGAGTGTACTTGTGAGTACGAGATGGGAAGGCAGGGATTCGTGAGAGGGATGAGGAAAGAGCGGTCCATAATGATCTTTTGTAAGAATTCTGAAAAGACATTCGTGGTGTTGAAAATTTCAAGCACGCGATATGCGTACATCAGATGGAGCTGGGAGATGGGAAACGCGGCGGTGAACCGAGAGGAAGAAGACTCCGGGCCGGGCAAGCTTCGCAGCTCGCATGCTCTGGGCCTGGCAAGGGCGGCTGTCGGCGGGAAGGGGTGACTGCCTCCTGCTATGTATTTGATGGTGATAAGGGTCCGCAAGACATGGAAGGACAAATGCAGGACCGAGATAGCAGTCAGCCGCGCAGGCACGCTCAATCACATCATCACAGGGCGGGTGTGCCCGCCTCGACTTGGCGTCTAACTGACGAGATCATGTCGTTCAACTCTCGTTAGTTCATTGGCTCGCCATCCCTCATGCAAGACAGCCAACTCGTCAAAAATTTACATGAAGGTTCTACACATACCCATAGCAGTCGAGTCTACTTAGTCACTGCGCAGATGTTGATGGCATCATGTCCGTCATAAAAGAGTTGCTATGGTGGGATGCTGGTTGCGTGTCTGGAGCAAAGCATGTAGACATGAGTACTGATCTTGTACTTTCTCATATGATCACCAGATTACACAAGACCCAGAGTGATCACCCTATTGATAGCGTTCTCATGGATACATTCAGTCTACGTCATGTAGGCCAAGTCTATAAAATCTAAAAAGCCCATCAAAGCTCCACACATCAGGCTCCCAAAGACACAAAGACCATTTGGGATATCACCACTGCCGTCTACAGATGCAGACATCTACACTTCCTCGTCAAACTCTTCATCAGGGATAGGCGCGATTTGTAAAGGCGCTTTGGGATCATGGATCACATCATCCGGGATCTATCATTCCATCCACATCAGCGACCTGCCCTTCTATTGACAAGAAGAAGGAGAACTTACAAATAACGAAGTCGTAAATACCAACACCGCGCCCCCCAATCCGAAGAGGAACGTATTCCTTAACGAAATACCATACGCCTCCCTCGCCTGGACCCTCTGCCACTTTTCCGGCAGCTCTGTTATCGAATGCGAGGCATGTCGCAGTTTTTCGATGATGGCAGGGTTGGAGAAACGTTGAGAGAGCTGGCGGGAGAGGGATCCTTGGAATACGGCGCTGGAGAGGCCGACGCCGAGGACTTGACCGAGGGAGCGCCAGACGAATACGAAGCCTGTTGAGGTTGCTATTTCGTGGCCTGTAGAGGACTGGTTAGTGGGCGCTCGAGATGAAGAGGTTGGACGTACGTTCGACAGAGTTGAGCATTGCGGCTTTCATTCCAGAGTCAGCATTTCGTTCCATCGATTCCTTTGTATGAAGAAGACTCACTCAACGTCAGCGTCAAAAGCCCACTGAATCCCGCTCCCATGGGCAACACACTCAACCACTGACTGGCCCAGCTACTCTCCGGCGTCAATCTCGTCAAGAGGGTCATAGCCACCACAGGTCCCGCACAGTTGAGTACGGTGAGCCATTTGTATCGACCGGAGGTCTTGACAATGTACCCCATGATAGGGGCTGAGATTGTCATGGCGAGCGAGTTGGGGAGGAGGTGCGCGCCGGCGAGGGAGACGGGTTGTTTGAAGACGATTTCGAACACCATCCTGCGCTCTTCATATTAGTACTTTGTCCAAGAAGGTGAACGGGAGGAATGGGACGTACGGGAGGTGGTACATCTGGTTATAGTTGACCACAGCGATCGCGCTCGCAATGATCCCCACGCAGAGCGGTGTCCTCCTAGACAACAAAGAAAGAGGCAAGACGGGTTTAGAAGCGACCTTGAGCTCGACAAAGATGAAGATGAGGAAGAAGAGTGGGCAGATGACGGCCATGGCGATACCAAATGGGTCGTTCGCGAGGGGAGAGCTGCCGCCGGTTCTTGATAAGAGCTGGAGGAGAGCACCGATCTGGAGAGGGTTAGGAAAAATTGGAGAGGATGAGAGGAAGCTTACAGAGACGAGGAGGGATAGGGAGCCTCCAAAGTCGATTTGCTTGAGGTGACGCCAGTCGAACGGTTCGTGGTTGAAGTTGGGTACGGTAAGGAAAGCGAGGACGATACTGAAGATAGCGATGGGCACTTGAGCGTAGAAAGCTGCCCTCCATCCGAAAGCCTGAGTCAGGATCCCACCGATAGGTCCGCCCAAGCCTGTTCCTGCACCGAATACGGCAAAACTGATGCCTTGATAGAACCCTCTCTCCGCAGGCGTGAAGATGTCTGCCATGAGCACACTCGAGACTGTTCCCATACCGCCTCCACCCATCCCAGCGACGAAGCGTGCCAGGACAAGCCAGCCAAAAGAGGGCGCACAGCCGCAGAAGAAGGTGCCGACGGTGAAGAGGACGAGGGCTTGAAGGTAGGCGCCGCGGCGACCGAGGAGGTCACTAAGGCGACCGTACAAGGGGGTGAATGTGACGTTACTCCAAAGGTAAGCGGTACCTAGTACGTGTAAGTATCATCTCGGGAGATGTACGGCTTGCTTACCGATCCAGGCTTCCTGGTCTGACGATTTGAGCTCTGAGGAGATGGTTGCGATACAAGTTGCCACGACTGAGAAAACGAGTCAGTCCAGAGCCATGATCAAAAGATAGACACTTACTGGTGAGGTCTAGAGTCGAGAGAAAACCAGTGAGCATGGCGGTAATGACGATGAGCCTCTTGCGAGCCGGGCTGAGGGCCAGGGGGTCGACGATGGGCTGCTTGAGCAGCGGCGTCCTCTCATCTGTCCTGGGCATAGCAATGCGTCTGTTGGAGAGTGGGAGTCGGAAGTCGACGTGAGAGAATTGTCGGCTCTGCAACTTTTCATTCTCACGGGTATCCTGAGGGTAAACGATATGAGGGTAGGCACCGGTCCTCCGAGAGACAGCAGGAGTAATTTTCCGGGTGTCTCTGGCGGCCCTGAGTGTGTGCATCCGACTTCGGCGTACAGAGTGCTATCCGAATGGCTGAGGGATAGCGTGCGAGGACAGCACGCGATAAGAGTGCGCGATGATGTGCTTCAGATGGCCCGGCGGCCGGCGGATAGCCCCGCCCTGGACGAGCGTCTCGTACAAAAGCATGGCGGCCAGGATCGCTCGGGCGGCCAGCCAGCATGTTCCCGGATATCAAGGCCCTCGTCCTCGCTGGTCTTGCAGCCCTCGTAGCCACCCACGCGGCTGCCATCCAGAGCAAGAAGCCAAACATCATCGTCATCCGTTAGTCTTACATAATCTCCTTCACGCGCCTGCTCTTTCTGACCATCAACAGTCACCGACGACCAAGATACGAGTACTCTCAACAAGCGTGAATACCTGCCAAAAATTAACGAACATCTCGTCGACCAAGGCGTCCTTTACGACAACTTTTTCGCCCCCGTCAGCGTCTGCTGTCCCAGCCGAGTCTCTCTTCTGCGAGCTCAGTACGCTCACAACCACAATGTCACTTTCGTCACCAAGCCGTGGGGCGGATGGGAGATTTTCAACAATCTTGGCTATCATGGACATACTGTACCCGACTTTGTGCAAGCTTCTGGCTACAACACATACTATACCGGCAAGTTCATGTGAGTGGCATAACTGAAAGCACGGCGAGGAGGTGGTGCTGATGATATGCAGGAATGACCACACCGATAAGAACTGTGAATCTTTGCCTGTTTCGGGTTTCAACTCTTCAGACATCTTGGTTGGCAAGTCCTATAATCTGAGGTCAAAAGACGGCGGCTGACCTCTGCCCAGATCCTTACACCTACGACTACTGGACACCTGCCTTTTCTCGCGACAGTAAGTCCCGTCCTCCTACCCCCGATCGCCATATACTGATATATGGTAGACGGCCCGGCAAAGGTCCACGACGGTGAATATTCAACTTCTCTCGTCCACGAGAAAGCCCTCGCCTACATCGACGACGGCCTCAAAGACGACCGTCCCTTTTTCCTCACCATCGCGCCCGTCGCCTGCCACTCTTGCAAGTTGACTTTCTCCTTGATGGAACCAAGCTGACGGAGTATACAGGGCTCTCGCACACGCACAAGCTCGACAACATCTCCGACGGTCGCATCGTCGCTGATATCCCCCCCGGCCATCCCAGACACGCTGCCAAGTTCCCCGTCGAGACTATCGAACGCCGGGAGAATTGGAACCCCGATTTCCCCACCGGCGTCTCATGGGTGAAACACCTCGACAAGCTCAACGCGACACACGAGAATTACTTGGACGACTTCTTCAGGGGCAGGTTGAGAGCTTTGCAGTCGGTGGATGAGATCGTAGATGATGTGGTGCACAAGCTCGAGGCTGCTGGGGAGCTGGACAACACTTATATATTTTACACCGGTACGTCCCCTTCCTTCCCTTCCCCCCTGCAATAAAGGAGCAATGGCTGATACGAAACAGCTGACAATGGCTATGCCCTCGGATCCCATCGCCGCCAACCAGGCAAAACTCTTGGCTTCGAAGAAGACATCCACGTCCCCCTCATCGCCCGCGGTCCCAACATCCCCTCTGGTTACCGCGACACTCTTTCTTCTTACGGTACCGTCGACCTCGCCCGCACCATCCTCGACATTGCCGGTGCGAAGACCGACTATGAAGATGACGGCCGAAAGATCAACTTGCATCAGAAGGGAGAGGAGAGGGTGGAACAGAGGGTTGCTAGGCATGCTATTAGCGAGTATTGGGTGTTGGCGGTGGATGAGGGAGTGTTTGGAGGGCATGCCCGGGAGAACAACAGCACGTCGTCTTCTCCTTTCTTCTGTCCGTTGGAGGAAACTGACGAGAAGAGCAGCATACCGAACACTCCGAGTCCATGACGATACAAACGACAACCCCTTCTCCTACTCTTACTCTGTCTGGTGTACCGGCGAACGCGAGCTGTACGACCTCGTGGAAGACCCTTCTCAAGTCCGCAACCTCCTCGCACCATTGAACGACATCGCCCCTTTCGCGCCATTCGACTCTCTCACCTCCTCCGGTAACCCAGTCTTGCACCACACTTTACAAAAGCTGTTGAACCGCCTCGACGCCCTCCTCCTCGTGCTCAAACGCTGTTCCGGCGAGACGTGCCACAACCCTTACGCATCCCTCTTCCCCCCTGCTTCGCACCACCAAACAGGCGGAGAAGTATGGAGATTTGAGCAAGCGCTGGAAGAGAAATATGACGAGTACTTTGAGGGGCTGGTGAAAGTGAGATTTAGCAAGTGTGCGTTGGGATTCCAGGAGGAGGTGGAGAAGCCGGATTGGAGGAAGGAGTGGGCTTTTGGCGCTACGGCTGGGGCTGTTGGGGGGAGTGGGATGGGGAATGAGGTGTTCGGAGATGGGCTCGTCTTTCAGGGACTTTGAGGAGATTGTTGTAAAAGGAAATAAGGACTGAAGAAGAAAATCGCCCCACGCGTGGGCCATCTCATCAAAAGGACAGTTTGTATCAGTCAGAATATCGTTTGTGACCAAAAGAAATGCAAAGAATCTTGACCTGTTGACTGAAAAGATTCCTCTATGGACATCCAAAGAAGGACGTTGAGGACTATGACGTATAGTACATACTGTGACTTTGAGACTGACGGGATGCGTTTGTAGTAGCCCACGCAGTCTGGATACGCACAAGCTGCTCTCTTGACAACCAAGACAATCATGATCTGTTCGCCCTCGGCAAGTCCTGCATCTGTTTCTGTCACTACAATATACTCTACTTCAAGAAAACGTTGTCTCCAATATATCAGAAGGCAATAGCAGAAAAAGTACAAAGCGTAAGAGAGTGCATAGCGATTCCTAATTATGACAACGTATCGTCTTTTGATTGTACAACTTCTTTCTTCTGCACTCTTCCTCTTCTATCTCTAAGCCTGCCATATGCTTACTGCCTAGCAGCAGCCTCCCTCTCAGCCAAATCCCTCCTCCTGCTCTTCGAGTTGGGGTCCAAGTACGGCCTCTCGCCCAAAGAAACAGCTCGGGTACCAGTACGCTTGTTCTCGTCGACGTCAAAGGTAGCAGAGTGGAGAGTGGATCTGTTGTCCCAGATAGCGAGCGAGTTTTCTTCCCATCGGAAGCGAACGATCAAGTCGTGGTTCTATATATCCCATTAGCCATTGAAAGAAAGAAGGGAAAGAGGGGAAGACACTCACGGCGTAAACGTGTTCAAAGAGGAATTCCAGCAACTTGTCCGACTCCCTCTGAGTAAGTTCGTTGATCCTCTTGGTGAACCCCCGGTTGACAAACAGACCCTTCCATCCCGTCACAGGGTTTGTCCTAATAACAGGGTGCACCGCGCTCAAATGCTGGCCCACATTCTCCGGCGCGCCTCTCGGTTCCCGGAGGGGCGTACCGGCCTTCTTGGCGAGGTCGATGAACTGCTGCCCGACGTGGGTGGCGGTGAGGCCTTCGAGGAATGTTTGGTAGGCGGGGGAGAGACGGTCGTAGGCTTCGTAGGCCGAGGCCCAGAGGGTGTCGCCGCCGACGGGAGGGAGCTCGCGGATTTGGAGGGTGGCGTAGTCGGAGGGGATGGGTTCGAATGTGATATCGGTGTGCTATCTCCCAGTCAGCTTCTGATCAACAACAAAGACAGAAGAAAGACTCACCCAGAGGTCGGGACCGAAAGGCCTCTTGAGGATAGTATCGTCATCCCTCTTGAACTCCTTGTCAAAGTGGAACTGGTTGGAGATGACAGACACCTCGTCACCGAGCTTGGAGCCGGCGAGGGTACAGGGGTGGACGTGCAAGCCGGAAGTGGCAGGTTTGCCACCGAGACGGCCGAGAGACTTGATGAGTTCCTTCTGCTCCTCAGGGGAGATGATAGCGTTTCGGAAGAAGACTACGCCTCGCTCAGAACTGTTCCTCAGTCAGCTTGGTTCAAGTAAGAGAAGGAAGAGAGCTTACATGAGACGGCCGAGAGCCTTGATTCGTTCGTCGCTGTCGAGGATCTCTCGGATCGACAAGATGGGCTCGCCATCCTTGCTCCACTCACGGAACTCAGTACCGATCGAAGGGGTGGAGTCGAAGTGGGCGAAAGAGCGGAGGTCAAAGACGTTCTCCTTCTTGGGCGAAGGTGGGGCCTCGCTGACAGTGACAGAAGACAAGGAAGCCTTGAGCGAGTCGATGGGGTTGGTGGTGTAAGCCTGGGGCTGCTGGGCAAGAGCGACGGGCATGTTGAGTGATGGTCTTTGTTTGTATCGTAGAGATCTGGAATGAGGAGGCAGCAGAATTTGGAAGAATGGGAAGTTTGGAATTGAGCGAGAGGGGGCTGGCTATATAGTACGCAGGTGCATGGTGCATCGCCAGAGGATTTCCCATGATCGATATTATCTGATATGATATGGTGAGCGATTAGAAAGCCCAGTGTAATGGGTGATTTCCACTATCACGTTAGATAGCGCGAGGCGGGCTGCGTCATAGGTGACGTTAGGCTGAGAGAGATGTGGCGGAGGGGCTGGATGGTGATTGTTGGGCGATGGCTGGGGTGGCGATGGCTGTGGATGACGTTGGAGGGTGCTGTGTATGGCGATATAGTACTATATACGAGTCTGGTGCATGGCTGCTGAGTATGCCCTCGCGTAGACAGCGAGCACGCACAGATGGCAGGACACTGGCAGGCGAGACACGTAAAGGCGAGCAAGAGGCGCGTGATGGGATTAAACTATCTGGAATAGAGGGCATTCCGAATTCCCTCCTTATGTATATAGCCTCCCGGGGTGTGCAACAGGCTGCAGCGATGGTGTGATTGTTGCAAGACTGTCGCAAGAGTGTGATGGCGGCGCACCCCGCCCGATCACCTCATCACGCGCAAGCCGTGCCTCGCGCCAATCTCCAGCCACAAGCTTCTTTGTTATCATATCTCTGCGGGGGGTAGTCACCTTCTGTCATAATATCCCGGCTAGCGACCACCTTCTCGGTTCATCTCCTCGTGAATATGTACATCTATCCATCGCGTGCTCGCAAATTTCTGTAGACCGCTTCACGAGATATACATACAAAAGCTCCATGCATCACTTCCGAATTGCTCCAACGAATCTCTGCCATTCCAAAACGCACCTCGTCATGTCCGGCATCCCTCCCATCGTGGACACCGTCAACGTCACAGATCCTCCCGTTCCCCACGCCCACTCTCCCTCAGAGTCCATCGACGACAAGACAGACCTCTCTGGCTCCGAGAAGGATGGCGTTGATCCCCTCAACCGTACTTATAACCAGTCGGTAGACTCGGTCGAACTCAAGTTCTATGAGCCCCCAGGTGAGTCCTTTTTCTTACCCTTGTGATGTCATCTGACTCATTCAGACACGTACGAATCCAAGCACCGATGGGATCCTCGCGCTCAGTGGACGATAGAAGAGCAGGAGAAGCTCAGGCGGAGACTAGGTTAGTGTTCCTTGGCTGTGCGGGCTGTTGCTGATGTACTGTACTCTAGACATCCGGGTGGCCGCGTTCGCCTGTCTCTGTTTCGCTGCCCTTCAGCTCGACCGAGGAAACATCTCCAACGCCCTCTCGGACGGCATGCTCACCGACCTCAACATGACCACTGGTGATTACAACACCGGCATGACCATTTTCTACTGTTGCTTCCTCTTTGCCGAACTTCCTTCCCAAATGAGTGCGTTTCACCTATCTTCTTCCGGTGCATGAGCTGATTGGATATAGTCTCCAAGAAGCTGGGAAGTGATATCTGGATTCCTATTCAGATGATGACTTGGTCCGCCGTCGCCATCGCTCAAATGGGTCTGCACGGCAAACAATCCTTCTACGCTACCCGTGCTCTTCTCGGTCTTCTCGAAGGGTAAGTGTCTCCCCTTCTTCTGCCCTCAGTCTGACGATTATACAGGGGGTTTATCGCCGACACAGTCCTCTTCCTTTCCTACTGGTACACCGCCGCCGAACTCACCATCCGTCTCTCCTGGTTCTGGGTCTCCTACACCGTCATCACCATCATCGGCGCTTTCCTCGCTGCCGGCTTGCTCGAGATGCGTGGTATCCACGGTCTTGCCGGGTGGAGATGGCTTTTCATGATCGAAGGTGCTTTGACGTTTTTGGTGGGATTCTGGGCGTTCTGGTATCTGCCGGCGAGCCCGACGCAGACGAAGAAGTGGTGGAGGCCCAAGGGCTGGTTCACTGAGAGAGAGGAGATCATCATCGTCAACAAGGTGCTCCGAGACGACCCTACCAAGTCGGATATGCACAACCGAGAAGGTTTGTCCCTCAAGCAGCTTTGGTTCTCGCTGTCCGACTATGATATGTGGCCTATCTACCTTGTAAGTCTCTCTGCTTCTTTGAGGATGGCAAGTAGGCTGACATATGATGACAGATTGGTATCACCGCGTTCATCATCCCTTCCACTGTCCAAGCATACTTTACCCTCACCTTGAAATCTCTGTACGTGCTCCTTCCTTCTTTCCTCATAGTCTAAACTAATATCGCTTTGCAGCAAATTCACAACCTTCCAAACCAACATGCTCATCATCCCCTCCAACGTCCTCTTCATCATATTCAACCTCGCCCTCGCCTTCACCTCCAAAAAGCTCAAAGAACGTCTCTTGACTTCGTCCATCCAGCCCATCTGGCACTTGGTCTTGCTTATCGCGCTGGTGACCTTGTCGGATGATGCGAGTCGATGGGTCAAGTGGGCGATTTTGACGTTGTTCATGGGGTACCCGTATTGTCATCCCATTATGGTTTCGATGAACAGTATGGTGAGTCTCCTTCTCCTCTATCAGATGAGAGCAAAGGCTGACGTGCATGATAGAACGCTGGCTCAGTCCGTACCCGAACCGTCTCCTCCTCCCTATACAACATGTTCGTCCAGGCCGCCTCCCTCATCGCCTCCAACATCTACCAGCCCTCCGACTCCCCATACTACCATAACGGCAACAAGATCCTCATCGGTCTGTCTGTCGCGTCGATAGCACTGTTCGTATTTGCGAAGCTGTGGTATGTGTGGAGAAATAAGCAGAGGAGCAAGGTTTGGGATACGTGGACGGTGGCGGAGAAAGCAGAGTACTTGGCGACGACTACTGATAAGGGGAATAAGAGGTTGGACTTTAGGTTCCAGCATTAAATAGGGTTTGCTTTATAATAGACTTGTCCTTTTGGGGTTTCTTGTTGATTGCATTGGGAGAATGCTGTAGCCATTATTTAGATATATGTTCTGTTCCAGACGAGAATCCAATAGATGAATAGAAATTAGCAGATCAATATTACTGTTAAAAGCCTCCATGCCCATCGTCATCGCTGATAAAAGACCCAGATAAGCCAGATTGGTATTGAGACGCCTGATGAGGAGTGGTTAGATCTATGGATTATGTTTTTCTTATCTTATATACAACCGTACAAATCAGACTCATTGAACGAGATACTCTATCGCGCCTACACCTTGCTCACCTCTAGAACGCTCTCACTCTCACTCGCCGCCCCCTCTGACTCTTCATCTGTGCCCAGAGATCTCTTCTCCCATGTGGTGACAAGCTTGATCCCATGTTTCTCCTCCAGATACTTTTCCACCACCCCCTCATCCACCTCCTTCCCTTCCAGGTCCCAGCTAGGGTCGATAGGGGGCAAGTCGCTAAACAGTTTTTGCCCTGCTCTGAACCCGTCCATCCATAACGCCACTCCCTCGGGTCCGCCGAGCCGTTCAACAAGCTTTTCTTTCTCAGCAAGAATCTTCTCTATCGATCCGTATTGTTGAATCAACTTCCAGCTCGTCGCCGGCCCGACTTTCGGTATATTCTCCGACGCATCCGTCCCCAGCATCACCAAAAAGCTCATATACGCCTCCTCATCCAGACCCAGCTCTTCCCTCAATTTTGAACCGTCTATCAGTGTGAGCGGTTTGGAAGAAGTAGAGATGTTGCGGAGGAGGGGTGCTTGGTACCCGAGCACATCGCTGTCTTCTGTACCGACAAAGTCGACCAGACCAGCTTTGGCGAGGGAGGATGCGAGGCCTTCGGCTTCGTAGGGTATGGGGGCGGTGAGTACGGGGACGCCCATGACCTGGAGAAGGGCTTGGCAATCGGCATGATCTCCTTGCGTGGGCATGTCCAAAGCCCGCTCATGTACCCCTCTCACCACTGGCAAATTCTGTATCAACCCATCCAGCCTCTCGACCGCCGACATGTCATCAGAAGGAACGAACGGGAGGGTAGCTTGCCCGGGAGAAGGGATATATGGTTCGGGAGAAGGGCCGGAGAGGGTGAGGTTGAGGATGTCGCCTTCTTCTTTGGTGAGGGCTGCTTGGCGGTATGTTTCGGTATAATCCTCGACAGGGACAAGGTCTTCGAGCTTTTGGTCGAAGGACTCGATACCTTTCTGCCATTCTTCGATATTGGTCTCCTTGCCCTCTTGAGACACTTCCGTCCACAGCTGGAGCTCCTTCTCTAGAACATCCAGCTCAACTTCGATTGCATCTTCCGCTTCCGGAAGACGCTTGGGAGTATGTTTCTGAGAACGCCATGAGCCGCGATAGTTGTTGACAATGAAGGAGAGGACGTCAATCATCGATACGATACGTTCGCGAGATTGTGGGTCTTGTTTGGACAAAGCCGCTTTAATCTTGGCCGCCATACTTGGAGGGGCGTCGTCTGGCAAAGGTAATTGTGTAGGCGTGGGGAGGGAAGTCTCAGAGTCGGATGTCTCGTCGCCAGTAGTGACAAAGGCGAAACGCGTAGCTTCCCAATGAGCTCTGACCGCTTCTTGCTCTCCAGGTGACATGAGGTTGAATTCCCTGGTGGCATCGGCGAGGAGATGGACTCGAGCAGCGCGCATGAATTCGTGATTCCGCCGAGCCAGCTGGGTCGCTCTTGAATGCAGCCTTTTCCTTGCCTAGAGATCCATCAACGTCTGGTGTGAGAGCAGTTGTGGTGGGAGCATACCTCTCCGGCTTTCCAATCCCTAACGCCCCTCTGATCCCATATAGCTACAGGCTTCACCCCGAACGATCGCATCTCTGATATCATACTGTATACGCGTCAAATATGTTTGAGAGGAAGGTGACGGATACCTACTTATACCAGCAGATGATATCATTCTGCTCTTCGTCCGGCGAGCCGCGAGTAGCAAAATGAAACCTGTTTGTCATAAGTGTAGCATCGCTAGCTCTCCCTTAGCAGTGATTCGATGTGGCCAGCAAGGAGCGCTTACATGGCGATCTTCTTTCCTCGGAATTCAGGAGCGGCCCATCGAATCGGAAAGTTCTTGATGACTTGCGGCCTGGGTCCGTCAGGATGAGCTCGGGAAGTAGAGGACGACTTACTGGGACTTTTTAAGCCACGGAAGGAGACCCTTGATACCCATATTGTACGTCTAGCACAGTGGGTAGGCTGCGGTCGTTGTGGACATAAGTTTGACGAGCTGAGAGGACACCTGAAGTTCACTTTGCCGATCAATTGCCGATCACCGTCTGAAGGCAGTTGTGATATCTTCCACGTCGTCGTTTTGTTCACTCTCCTCTTTCACCTGCAAAGGCAACAACAAGCTAGGTATAGGTGGCGACCGCCGCCAGAAATTTTCCTCCGCGCATCTTCGACTGCGAGACTGATTATGATGCCGAGCCCGCAGCGTGATAAGATTACGCGGACGGCGGAAAGGTTATCTCCGGCTGCCATAAGAAATGGACTTCATGCAGATATTCGCTGTATATAGCAATCAGCCAAGAAGGCTCCTAGCATTCGCGTATCAGTGCGGGTATCCATGGCGGCAGCTCGAGCGGACAATCCCTGCAGGGCTCGTGCCTCAGTCCCGCTTGATGAGACTTTGTGGCTTCGTCGGCGCGTTCTCAATCTTCTTGCCCACCCGTCCACAACAACATTGTACAAGTAATGGCCCCCATTTCTCTATAGCCCTCCAGCGCTTCGTAGAACTACATCTAATTTTTAAAAAAAAAACGAAAATGGGCGCGGTGATGGCTCTGCCTACAGCAGCCGGTGGTACCCACCACATTCTCCCAGCTCAAGCGTTTGAGCTCGGTCCCACAACCGTTGCTGGAGGCATACCGGGATTCAACGTACTGAACAATGTCTGGTACAGAGACAGAACCTTCTGTGAGTCGGATGTTCACGACCGAAGACTATGCTTACCGGAAGTGTCAAGTTTACCTTGAAAATGAGGATGCCGGCGAGCCCGTACTATCGCCTGATCATCTATTGACTTACTCGGGAAGTGGATCTGGGACCAAGGGTTTCGAACGTATCCAATGGGAGCAGTCGGCAGCGACTCAGCATAGACGCGCTGAAGAGCGGAGTCTGGGCACGAAAGATACGACCATATTACACGGGACCACACGTGAGTCATATCGTTCTTGTCAGCAGGAGCAGCTCTGCCCGACCTTCTCTGTGACAATCTGCGGGATCTACTGTACGCAAGATTCTCATCTCTCCTCTCAGTATTCTTCAATGACGGCTATGACAACAAATGGTCAGGCTACAAGTGGCTCTATCACATGGTGGCCGAAGCACTCCTCGGATCCCTCGCCGTCCTCTCCTCAGTGGAACCCCTTCCCAACGACTTTGCCCTCCGCGCTGCAGCTGGCGATTGGGCGTCTTCTACCGATAGATTAGCTGGAGGAGAAAGTGAAGGACTGCCGGATCGGTTGATTGTTGCGTGGGATCAGCTCTGGGATGCGAGGTACGGTCTGCCGAGGACTGTCGCAGAATCGGTGTTTGGTGACGGTGAGCTCTTCTCCCAGGTGTATCTGCTTGCATTGGTACTGACTGTTGTTAGACAACTTGATTGAACCTGATGAATGGAGAGATATGTCGGGTGATGGTTGGGTATACTTCGAAAGAAGTGGGTCTTTTGCCGATTGCTCCAGTCTCTAGCTCAACATGACCTTGCAGTCCTCCTCCTCGATCGTTCTGTTTCCCACCGCTTCAACCCTCTTTCTCAACAATGGCTCAAAATGGCTCTCGACGCCTACCAACTAGCTCCCTCCCCAGACTTCTTCACCCCCCTCCGCCGCGCTCTCCTTTCCTTCTACAACATCCCTTCTCTCACACGTCCTTCGCCCGGGATGAGCGTAAACTTCAAGAGGCCGAAGATTGTTTATGTTGAGAGGCAGAGCACAAAGAGGAGATTCGAAGCGCAGGTGCATGAAGATCTGGTGAAGAGGTTGGAGAGGTTGGAGAAGATGGGAGAGGCGAAGGTGGGATTGGCGGTGTTGGAAGGGATGGAGAAAAGGGAGCAGTTCAAGTTGTTCGCTGACGCTGATGTGAGTTTGTTACATAAAGGTCAAAGTGCCGTATTGACAGGCTTCAGATCATCCTGGGGATCCACGGTAATGGCCTCACCCACGAACTTTGGATGCCCTCTGGCGGTATCATGATTGAGATCCTCCCTCCTGGCGACTTTCACTACGACTACGCGCCTGTGTCTATAGCTCTAGGACATGAGCACCTGATATGGGTGCGTCTTCTATGCTTTCGATCATGTAGTTAGAGCACTGCTGACGTTCCTTGTAGCAGAATGACAGACTCTTTCCTCGGGATATGTGGTTACCACAAAACACGGGAAATGGAAGTCTTATACATGACGGCTCTTCCATCCCGGTGAGCATCTTTCATCGTCATGATATGGGTCATTCTGACGAGAGTGAATAGCTCGATGTGGATTCGTTGATAACGATGGTAGAGGCCCTTGTGAAGAGCATGACTTTCTCATATCATTAGTCATAGACTGTTCTGCGTCAGTCAAAATGTTGATTTGTCCGCTCGTCTACCTTTTTGATATGTGCCATGTACTATAGTGTAGTGTGATCAGCACACAGTACAGTATGAGCTGGCCCGCAGTGACTCGTCCATAACCAGTCGTCTCACATCCAAACCAGCAGCTGCCAGCACTAGGTTGCTAAAGTTTATGAGACCGCCTTTTCCCGGAATCCAATTACGATGATCTTGTCCATTGTATTGGAAGTCTTTTATGTGACCCGTAAGCGTAGCCGCTATCATGGAATACGTGATGTATATCACTCGTGCATGGATATATATCCGCATATCTCTACTACCGTACACGCCCCCCAGCCAGCTATTAACATAAAAAAAATAACGAGAACGAACAAGATCAAAGACTCTCTTTTCTCTCTATAATATAGTTTGAACCTCTGGTACAATAAAAATGCTAAGAATACTCAAAGAAACAGAAACAAAAAGTGATCACATCCTCTGCTTGATCGCCCGAGTAATCTTCCTAGCGTAAATAAGCCCGAACCCGGTGGCGATAGGCAAGGCGGAGACGAGGAGCCAGAAGCCGACAAACAAAAGGATAGGAAGCCAGAACAAGTAGAGCATTCGATCGCCTGTGAAGGGTCAGCTCTGATTCGGCTTGTCTCGGTACTGACTCACTCTTGACTTGGCTAACCACGTTCTCCTTTTTCTCAGACTTCCTTGTTGCGATCTTGGTTCCACCACTGCCTGTCCCACTCCCCGAGGCTCCATTCGAATACCTTCTTCTCCTGCCCCTACTACTGCTCTTCAACGGCTCCCCGTCTTCGTTTCCACTTCCACGTTTCACCTGGCCATCCACACCATCACTGTCCAGCCCAAGGGGAGACAAAGTCTTTCGCACGTCACGTCGGCGAGAGCTCTTTGAAGGCGGGGTAGCAACGCCCGTCTGCACCACAGCATTGAGAGCGGCGGCAGCCATGGCTTGGGTAAAGAGCTTGACCTCATCAGGACTGGCCATGCGCTGAATGGTGTCCCAAGAAGGAGCAGGGAAAGCAATCCAGCCTCCGTGCTGGCCCTCAGAAGACTCGGCAGGCGTCTTGTCAAAGCCCAAGAATGAAGGACGCGAAGGGAAGTGTTCCCATACACCGTTGGGAATCTGGTTGATATGAGGAAGATGAGGGAGATGAGGGAGGTTGGAGAGGGTCTTGATCCATCCGCTTGCGTGATCATCATCAGCAGGAGGCTGGACACGGGAATGGTCGGTGGGAGGCGCGTAAGGAGGAGGTTGATCTGCCTCCACACCGTCAGCACCAATCGCAGACATGGAATCTCCGCGCTTGGCAGCTGTCGTCTTCTTGGTACTCTTCATACCCTTGCCGTCGGATGTAGACTTGCGAGACTTGGACTTTCGACGAGTGCTGGGCACAGAAAGCGTGATCTCGGCGAGATCAACCTCTGCTTCTGAGCCTGAAGAAGGGTTGTCGTCGTCGATAGAGCTTGCCAAGCTGATGGCCACAGATATTGGTGACTCTCCTTGCTTTGCCTGCTTCTTGCCCGTCATCACCGGGGCAGCAGCAGCTGGAGTAGGGACGGCAGGGTCTGTCACCGTCGACCAGACAGCCGAAAGCAAAAGCCTCTCCACCTTTCCATGCTCTCCCACCTTGGCCAAGTCAAGCGGCATCTCTCCATAGTTTGTCGCTCGATCGTAACAAGCACCGGCCTCAATCAGTACCCTCGCACACGTACACTTGCCACACAGAGCAGCAAACGCCAGAGGCGTATATCCGTTATCATCCTGCGAGTCGATCTCGGCACCGCCAAGGATGAGGCGTCGAACGAGACGGGAGAATCCGAGAACGACAGCGATGTGGAGCAGGGTCTGATCGTATTCGTTTCTGCAGTTGATAGCTCCGCTTGCTCGCAGAGATCCAGGCGCATGAGAGTCGATGGACGCAAGGAAGGTGATGAGTGTCGACTGCAGATCCGAAGACATGCTATCAGTAGACTTGGAGTCCACTGAAGAAGTCTGCGAGTCTGTGTCTTCGTCTTCTTCTTCAACATCTGGGAAGAAGGCGGCGGTGACATTGGTAGCCTCGTTCATGGTGTTGCCACCGGGCGACGGGCCCTGGGGCGAACCCGAGGAGGAGGGACCACCGTTGGAGGACCAATGGCCATTGTTCTGACCTGGAAGTTGATGAAGACGTTGGGTAGTGTTGGCAGAAGAACCCTGATACTGGCTCTGAATAGCAAGGACAAGCTTCATCCTATTCCAATACGTCAGTGGTCAGTCATATAAGGTGTAACAAAACTTACGCGTCCTTCTCCATGTCTTGGTAGGCAAACTTTGTCTTTCGATCCTGAGCTCCCGTTCCCGATCCAACACCCTGTATCGTCACATCCACAACTTCGGCATACGGACTTGGCGGAAGCTTGCACTTCATGAACCCCGAGCTCTGGAACACTGTCACAGCAGCTCGCTGACCAAAGAGGACAACCATCCCCGGCTGGAAATCTGTGCCTCCGACAGCAATCATCGGACCGCCCGCCATGGGACCCTGCTCGGGAATGACGTCGGTGATGGTGGGCTGTGGGGGTGTCGGCGCCTGAGGTTGAGCGGCAGGAGACGGGAAGAGGCTGGGCTGGTGCTGATATTGGCTTTGGAGGTTGTCGAACGGCAAGCCAGGGAAGTTGACACCTCGCGCCGGGCTTCCGAGCCCACCACTCTGTCCCATCCCTTGCTGTTCCGTCGGGTAATCGAGATACTTTTCCATATCCTCCCCTTCCGCAGCACCCCCATTACCCATAGCTCCCATACTACCCGCGCTCATGCCAACGCCCAGCCCTTCAAAGTCATCTACCACCGTCGACCCAGGCGGCAGCCCAGAATTACTAAACACCGACGACCGATCGTCCCAGCCCGACCAAGCAGACGCCGCCGAAGACGACGCGCCATCATTGTCGATACTGCCCGCTATCGAAGAATTGCGAGAGGAGTCGACGGCAGTGCTGGAGAGGAGATGGGAAAAGTTGGAAGACATGAGGTTGGCGAGGTCTGTTTCGTGACCAGGGTAGAGCATGGGGCCGTTTACGTCTTGCCCCGGCACACCGTTTGGCTGTTGGTTGCCTCCCATTCGCATAGAGTCAAAGAGATTGTGGTTGAACATGTTGTTGTTGCTCAACATGTCTTCGCCCAAGCCCTGGAAGTTGGTCCGTGGACTTGCCCCAGTCGAGCTCGCCACACTTGACGCACTCGACCGATGGACATTAAAGTTGTTCCCTGGCATCTGCTGAGTGAATTGAGGCCCTCGGAGCTGATGCGGCGACACAGTATTGATGAACTGCGACATGTCCAGATCGGTAGGCAACGCCCGCTGAGGCGAGGTCGACGAACGCATCTGATGGGTGTGCTGGATACCCTCAGGGTTGCCTGGCGTCAGCTGCCCCAGGGTCGTGTGAAAGTTGGCAGAGGGCAGCCCCGCCATCTGGTTGGTGATGTAGCTCACTGGCGAGGGTGCTTGTTGCGGGGCCTGGGCCTGGCCTTGGGGCTGCGGTCTCTCGTAGGGTTTCGTCCTCGCGCTGGGCGTCTGTTTCTGCATCACTGCGCCCGCCTCGCTCAAACTCTGGAAACTCTGCACGCTCTCGCTCTCACTCGGCGTGGGGCTCTGCTGCCTAGAGACAGACGCCGGCACGCTGGCTGTACTGCCAGCAACACTGGGTCGGGCCTTTCGCCGCGGGACAGGCGCCTGGGCAGGCCCATCGACAGCGTTCGTCAGTGGCTTGGTCGCTTTCGGTTTGCTGGTATCGGTTTTGTGATCGTCTGTGATGCGGATGGGTTTCGTAAACGCGCTCGCGATAATCCTCCCATCATGCGTTCGCATCGTGAATTTGATCCTATCTCACCATCAGCGCAAATCATCACACATCGGGGGCATGTAATCACTTGAACCCAACTTTTTCCCCGTGGCACTTTCCATAGCAGACGACCCTGAACGGCAGCCAATTGCAGCTCCCATCCTCCATCTTGACCTCCGACGGTGTGTTGAACAGGACGATCTCATGTCTCCAATCAGGAACATCGGGATCCCATGAGGGTTCTTCCACAACCTGACCTGCACGTTTCGGATCGTAATCATCGGGGTTTTCCGACGTCACAAAGTCGATCGAAGGTGGAACGAGTGATTGACGAGGGAGCCGAGGATGAGGGGAAGAGTCCGAGTCGGAGGTAGCTGGTTGGGCGCGTTTGCGATTTCGATCTTTTGCCTCGCGCCGTCTAGCTTCACGATTCCGACATCTCTTGCAGACGTAGATCCGCTTTCCATGCCCGTCCCCTTCTCCACTCATGTAGACGGCCGTCTCGAGATAGGCGAGCTTTTCTTTCGGAATGTGCCCGATCGCTTGGAGCTGCTTTTTAGACGAGGTTTTGGTGGTGGTGCCCGCTTGCAGCCTCAGGCCATGGAACGTTGCGATCCGCTCAAAGGTGTACAGCGGCTCGCCATTGGGTCCCAGGGGTAGCACTGGATGGAGGGAGATGGGCGGAGAGGGCGAAGTGTGGAGAGGGGCGAAACGGAGGAGATCGATGATGATTCGGATAGCAGTCTCCACTCGAGACTTGTCTGCGGTTTGTGGGTCGCCTTGGAGAAGTATTTGATTAAGTCTATCGAGTTGTTAGGATCATGTCACATCATGATCACCTTCTGACTCACCCATTGCTTCCCTGAGAGACTTCATCTAGCGAAGGCGCCACCACCTTCGTCCCCTCCAGCTCGTGCTTTCTCTTTGGTGCCTCTGCGCGTGAGCCACCGTGATTCGACGACCCAGCGGGGGTGGGTGCATTCTGTGACATGCCACTAGTGCTCTCTGCGGGCGACTTGATCGCGTTGATACGCTCTGAGAGGCGGGAAGAGGACATGATGGGAGCTGGGATCTGCCCCTGCCCATGGATGGGTGGGTTCTGAGCAAAAGGTTTCACGTCTTGTTGGACTGGAAAAGACTGGTGTTGTTGGTGATTCTGGTATTGCTGTTGAAAGGGTTTGATATCTTGCTGGTAATTGTATGGAGATTGCTGCTGCTGGGCATGCTGAGGGAATGAGCTGGAAGGTGGATCAGTCGCGCTCCACACCCGACATCGACCCTATGCTCACCCATTGATGCCTCCCATGATCATGCTCACCAGCCCGTTCCCTGAGGCCTTTCCCCCGTGGCCCCCGTTGGCACCCTGGGCTTCCGGGCTGGATTCTAACGTCGACCTGGTGGAGAAGGGCGACGAAGCCGAAGAAGAGTCCATTGACGGCCGGCTGGGTCACTCTCTGCGTTCTTCGTGTGGTCAACAAGTGGCGTTCGTGTTGCGAGGCGGTTTATATCATCTGGAGGCAGGCTGGAATGGTGGGAAATTTCGTTGGTGATCTGAGCGGCGAGTCGAGGAGCAGCCTCTGAGGACGGGAGCTGCGGAACGGGGGAGAAGAGAGCAGCAGCGGTGGAGTGTGGCGGGCGGGGTGTGCGTGGTGGTGTCGCCGTCGACGAGGGCAGCGCTGAGATGGGGCGGTGGAAGACGAATTCAAAGGCGAGTGCCAGCGAAAAGTCGCTGCGTCCGCCGCGTTGTGCCTTACGAAACGCGGCTTTCCTATTCCAGCAATCTCGTTGGAGGACACGTCGATTTATGCGCTCCTTCTCAGCCCCATCTCCCGTTCTTTTCGCCATGCATTCCCGGCAGGGTGCCGCAGGAGACTAGTGACTACCTCCCCTCCCGAATCGCAATTACTGAGTGGCGGCTGCGTATGGCGACAGTGTTTGGTACCCTCCAGCGACGCTGGCCGCTACATGCGTACATCATACATGTCTTATCTGTTCCTATGCTTATCCGCACTATTTCGTTATCTTCCCATGCCCGCTCCCCCATTCGGCCAGTCCCAACCGCCCTAACAGAGATGGTACTCGATCGCACCATTCATAAAGTTCCTATCTCCTATATCTCCTCCTTACGCCGGCCCTCTGCGAGTGCGCGCCGGGTATCGCAAGCCGAAAGAGTGTCTTACTTTTCTGCGGGATGCCCTAATGGCATGGGAAAGCAGGCACTGGCGCAGAGCTCGGCAAGAAGGTATACGTTATGGACATGGGTGCCTCTTGTCTTCTCAAGCCCGAAGAATGGACCGCATGAGACTCGCCACAGCTGCCAGAACGTGCAAACGCGACCAATCGTACAGGGAATCACTGACCAGCACATCATATCAATATAAGCCATATGCATATGCTATCGAATCAGTACTCTAATGTATTAGTCTTTGAAATATAAGTGTACTTGTATGTCGTAAAGTCCTTCTCAAGAAACCCACCCTCAAACGGCCGCCAGCAAATCTCTCACAGTCTCAAACGTATAGAATGAAACTGCTATTGACGGAGTGACCTTGATCAGGTTCGGGGTCAATCCACGGCTGCACGACGTCAGCGCAGCACAAGTAAGACCCGGGGTTCAGACTCACTACATCCCCTTCCAGAACCCCTCCGTCTTGATGATATGTCTCATACAATCAATTGCGCCCTTGTACTCTGGCCCCATGGAGCTCATCCCCGCGACCTGGAGCTTACGCCTCAAAACATCAAACGGATGCGTAAAGATCAAGCTCCCTCCCCCACTCAGCGCGCCACAGAAGAGCTTGCGCAGGGCCAGCTCCGTTTCCGACTTGTTCTCCACCTTTTCGGCCGCGAGGAATACCGTCTTGGCATGTTCATACAGATAAAAGTTGAGCGACACATAAGGCGAAACGCCCAGTGCCGTCGCCCAACATCCTCTATACAATCCCCTCACCCCTCCTTCCGTAGCATACACCTTCTTCGTCATGCCGACCATCCCAAGTTTCGCATCCGCTGCCGTGAATGCCGATCCAGGCTTGTGCGCCGCAACGTTGGCGGTCGCAATCGACAGTCTTGCGCGGACGAGATCGAGGGGGTAGGTGGCGATGACGGCGACCATGCCTGCGCCTGCGCCTGCTGATAGGCGGAGAGGCGTGGACAGGTCCTCTTGGCCAGAGTAGGTAGAGAGGAGGGATTTGAAGGCGCCGTAGGATGTGAACTGTAAGGCAGAGTAGGGGAGAATCTACGCGTTGAAATTAGTATTGGCACGCGAGCAGCAACTCTTACTCGTGGAGAGGACGCACTCTGACAACGTTGATACCGTTTCCCTTCATGAACCCTCTCCACCCCTCATTCTTCCACATACGGCCGAGACTGTCCCATACTCCGGTATACGATTGTCCTGGGACACCGGTGGCCGACTGGGCAGCCTGGACTTGACTAGATGCGCCATCAGCCAGAGTCGGACAGATAGGATCGACAGAGAGGGTACGAACAGAATGATCTTCAATCGCTCTAATGGACTGACTACCGTCCTACTCGTCGCTCCAGCTAAACCACCTATCCTCACCCATCAGCCTCCCTCCATCTTCTACGACGAGATCGAGACTCACCAGCAATAAAAGTATTCACCACAACCTGGTTATCCGACATTGTATCCCTAAACCTCTCGCGCCAGTTCTTATTCAAACGCTCTCGGTCGCATTCACTCTCAAACTCTTCCTCTGCGATAGCAAAAGTCGAGGTCGACGAGGCAATCGCAAAGTCGGCTTCTTCGTCGATTCGATGGTGGTGTCGCTGTTGCTGTTGCTGCTGCTGCTGCTGCTGTTGGCGCTGTAGCGAGGCCGTCGAGGCAGTCGTGCTCGGTTGATCGGTGCTGGATGTTAGATTCGTGATAGTATGAGGGAGGGTGTTGGACGGCATGGGATTGCTGTCATGCTATGTATCACCCTTTTTCTTGTCGTCACACGGTAATCAAGGAATGAAATTGTTTGCGCTGGGGGTCGGGCATTTCGGCTTAAGGTCCCGAGGTACCGGTATTTGGCTTCCACTCCGGCATTATAAGACGTCGAGTGGGTATTGATGCATATGATTGCCAGAGCGGGAGATATCTTGGGATCGTCCGGACGGCTATGATCATGCAGGTATGCATGTTGATAGCGTTCATGGGTTATCTTTGTGGGTATCGTCCACCAGGACCGGCTTCTTCTTGATTCCGGCGGCGATACCCGATATTTCGTTCAACCGCCACAGAACCGCCCAACTTCGTCCTCGGTGGTTGACGTCTATCATGATCACACTCCAGATGTCCGTGTAGCCACTGGAATACTCTTTCTCGCATTTTAAGACAGTATTGATCTGCTTGCGTACCACGTCTCGGAAGATCAGTCGGTTACGACGATCACCCTTCCCCCTTGTGGTGGCGACTCAGGAAAGATCCAGGACAACCGGTACATGCATAGATTCTTTAGACCAAACTTCTCAACAGATATCTCAGGACAATATTCTATAGCGCACAGACATTCCTTTTCACAGAATTGTTCTCTTTTTCAAAGACGATGTGCACACTTGTTTTATCCTTCATACTTTTCGAGCCTCACCTTACCAGCAAAAGGCTCGAGGCCCGCTGATATCCTCTGTCCACCGACAAGTGCTGTCCAGTCCATGGTGTCTCCACCGTGGGCCCTGGCGGACAACATGTGTTGCTGGGCGACGTCCATGCAGGGCATGGGGACGTTGTGCGATTCGGCGAGCTGGCGGATATTACTACATTCCATTGGTCAGAACCAAAGTACTTGACCAGGCATGATAAGGGGCTCACCGAGCATCGTTGATACCGCCACCCAGGTTGAAACCACCAGTGCTGTCAAACTTGTTCTTGGTGATTCTGTCGGCGTATCGGATGAGAGCAGGGCTCTTGTGTTGGAGCTTGATGAGCTCGACAAGCTTTTCAGATCCGACACCGGTCTGGTCGCAGAGGGTGAAACATTCAGAGAGGAGCTCGATGAAACCGAGTTCGAGAGAGTTGCCAACAAGCCTACATGGTATCAATACAGCAAGTCACAAGGCAGGTGAGGTGCACTTACTTGAAAGACATGGCTCGCTCAACGTTACTTCCCAGATCTATCACCTTCTTTCCGATAGCAGGTACAAGTGCGTGGGCGGCGTGCTTTTTGGCAAAGTAGTCACCAGCCATGGCAAGGATCAAGTCGGCAGTCTCGGCGGCACGGGGGACGCCGAAGACGGGGCAGGAGAGGAAAGCACGGTGAGGCTTGGCGATGGCAATGTTTTCAATGACACCGGCAGTGGTAGGGTAGACCTGAGAGAGGGTCAGATGGAGCCTACAGATTGAGAAGAGACGTACGGTACTTGTGTCGACAAAGATGGTGGTGCGTCCCCGACCGCCGGGAACGATACCGTCGCCAGTGCCCCTCTGAGTCTGTCCTATACGTCAGCCCCCGCTGCAACAGAACAAATGTATATCGCACCTCTTGACCCTCGAACAATTTGGCGTACACCTCCTGGACAGCCTCGTCTCCCGCCAAAGAAGTGACAATCAAGTCGGCCCTATACACTGTATTAGCTTTGGTCAAGACTATGTCCGAGCAACATACGTTCGTCCAATCTCTTCGAGCTCAGTCTTGACAACGTAGGCGCTCTCAGGAAGCTCCTTCTCCTTGGCATACGCTTCAAAGTGGGCGAGGCCGTCTTCCTTGCGGTTGTACACGATTAGAGGGGGCTGCAGATCGTCAGCGGGATACCGCAAGGCAAATACCTCCAGACTCACCTGTCCCTCTTTTGCGAGGTACAAAGCCAAGTTGGTGGCCATCCTCTTACCCATCTCACCGAGTCCGACAAAAGCGAGTTGGTCCTGCATTCGTGGTCAGTTGGTTCGCACTCGATAACATCGAGATAGAACACGATGCAGACATACATGGGCAGGGGTCGGGGTCGAAGGGCTGAGAGCATGACATCAGCACATAGGATCTGGGGATAGAGAAGGCGACATACCGAGAGAAAGGAACAGGCTTCTCGTCCAAGGGTGTTCTCGCACCATCGGGCGGGAGCTGGAAGGGGCTCTGCTCGTCGTCGCCGACCTTCTCGACTGGGGGTGTGACGGGGTCTTCTGCAAAGTGCGCTCTGAGGCCGGACATTGTGGGTATAATCTGGGTGGTTGTAGAAAAAAGAGAGATAGAAATACTCTTCGTAAGATAGATCCAGGACTTGAAGCGTCATCCTTGCCCTTCCGCCCCTCTCCGCCGTACCTGCCCACGTTATTCCCACGTGCCCCGCATGCCTACCCGTCTCGCCTGATCTCCGCCCGCGCCTACTGTGGGACTGCGATAGACCGCGTTGTGGTTTGGATGCGTGTCATAGAGCACCGGACACGTATAACAAGCATAGAATCTACCATGAGCACAGCACCCGCCAGATCAGCACCCCCGCCTCCCGAGGAAGACTCTCAGGGAGCGTCGCCCAGTGCGTAATACCTCACATGCTCGTCGGCGCACTACTGACGCGATCTACAGATGAGATTCTCCTCGCGGCTGCCAAAAGCGATAACGAGGGAATGCTGAATGAGGCGTTGGAACAACTGGAGGATGTGAATGAGCCTGATGGGTGAGTGGTTGTGCATTTGAAGGATATCACGGGCTGACCTTGACACAGCCTCGGCAACACTGGTAAGTAACGCGAGCATGGTTTGGGCGTTACTGACTATGTCTCGGCTCTAAAGCTCTGCACTATGCGTCAGTTGCATCGTTATGCCCATTTATGCAAAGGAGCTAATGACTGTATAGTATACAGCACGGCTCCTCAGACATCCTCGAGACACTTCTGGACCACGACAGTTGCAACGTAGACATCAAGAACAGATTACAAGGCGATACGCCGTTACATATCGCTGTTAGGAATAGGTTTGAAGACCAGCCTGGTCTTCGGCTGTATCTCGGTACGTTGCTTGACACTTCGTTCGTTGAGAAAGAAGCTGACGATGAGTAGTTGGAAGCTTACTAGAATCAGGCGCCGACACAACGTACATCCTCCTCCCACTTCTTGCTCCACCCCGCTAACGTCACGCAGCCTCCGTAATCGCCACAACGAAAAGCCAGCCGATATCCTTCCCCCAGCTTCAGCTTCCGCCGACCCAGAATCGGACGACGAAAAAGTCCGGAGCATGCTCCGTCGCGCCCAGGCCCAAGCTTCGATCGCGCAGAGCGGGGATGTGGTGGACGATGATGATGGGGAGGTTGATCCGGATGATGTGGCTTCGGATTCTGATTAGAGAGGATGCCTTTTGGCAGGAGGGTTAATGATTGTAAGAACCGGGACATGTATACATCTACGATTTGTGATAGACTGAACAATGTCACGGCAACATCTATGGACTCTAACAGTTCAAGACAGAACAGAATGCTCTCCTACAACTCCAACTCCTTCCCGAAGTGCAGTCGTTACCCACAAGTACTACGCGCATACTTTCTCGAACCTGGGCCTCGGTACCAGATAAATCTCCCTTGGCCATGCCGCCTCTCTTCTCCCTGCTCCTGCTCCCCCGTATGCCCAAGCAGGCTGTGCAGGAGCAGCAAGACACCCCGCCGATGTAGTACCTGTGTGGCGCCGCCCACACTCCCGGCAATGTCATAAGACGTCTTGTAATTTCGTTACCGTCGCGTTGGCGCAGCCGACACCTGAGCTGGACGTTTTAGCTACTGTGCTGTCAACCCGGAAACGTACTCACGCTGACAAGATTCACAAGCCTTCTCTCCTCGCTCAAAAGACATTCTCACCAGCACCTCCATGGCCAACTCGCCCTTGAACCCATCTCGACCTGCCAGCTCCATCGGCAAACCCGTCTTCAACGCATCTCCTATCAACCTTCCAACCTCCAGATACCCCACGCCGGTATCATCATCGTCGTCATTCTCCGGCTTTGTCAGGATGTGTCCTTCGTGGTTGACAAACTCCCAAGAAGTGTTTTGAAGCACGGCAGCAGGAGAGATGCCGGAGGGAAAGAGGTTTTTGATAGCAGTGCCGATTTGCCAGGAGCGAAAGTTCCACTTGGGCCCTGGCGTGAACGTCGACGCCAAACCGGGAGCGATAAACCTCGGTGCCTCGGGCGGTCCCACACAATGCGAAGCAAAGTGGTACACATTCCTACATCCCTTGAGAGAGGGCAACACCTGATGCACCACATCATGCACTTCAAACACCTTCAAGGACGCCCAGCCGTCCTCGATGAATTGGTTGACACGGGCGACGAGCTGGTATTGTTTGATGGACGTCATCTCGAGGTGCTCGTCCCACTCTATAGAGGGCACGACGCGGTGGGCGAGACAGAGGGAGGAGGGGCGGGAGGTGTGTATGAGTGCTTCAAGGAAGAGAGGGTTGTGGGGGCGGTCGTACGTCTCTGGGATGTATGTCCGGATCTCGTCTGCCACTTTGGCGCCCAAGGCTACCGACTCTAGCCCCGGCAAAAGCAAGGCGTCAGAGGAGCGGGCGACTGACGAAAACGATTTGGAGAGAGGGGAGGTGCAGGCGGGTAGGGAGTGGATGGTGAGGTGCTTGATGTACCCTAAGGCTACCATGCGGCGGAAAGAGCTTGCTTTGAGGGAGAAGAACGCGCCTGACGCGACAGCGTCGTCGACCTTTTTGGGCGTTACCTGCTCAGCCTTGGACCCTTCTCCCAGCCGGAAAAGGTCGCAAGTCTCGACTGACCTAAAGTCTACCCTTCTATACGTGACAGGGGACAGCGCGAGGTAGTATTCCTTCGAGCAGCGCTGAAGGGCAGCAAGTGTTGCGTGGGCATGGTCGTCCAGGAGGTAGGACGCTATACGGTTGGCGACGTCGAGGGGCAGTGTGAGGCACTCGCTCGGTGCGTTGGCGGGTCTCTGTGTTATTATAGCCGTCATAGCGTGCTTTGAGCTATATTCCGAACTGATGTGGTTGTTCAAACTGGGAAAAAGAACACGTCGTTGAGCGCGCATGGTGAAAAAGGATCCCGGCCTCCAGCTAGGCCTACGGCAGAAAGACAAGCATCGGACCGTTCGGGGCACGTTATGTTTTGCAAACGCTTCGAGTGCCCCTGATCTTTATCAGATTAGACAAGAAAACGACTAATTCATCGCAATCCTCGGCCGATGCGAGATGTGGGAGGAGTGGAGGTCGCCGGCGTGCCTTTTCGTAGCAGGCGTGCGAGATGTCACTCAACATGTGTACCAGGCTGAAGTTTCGGAACTGCATTGAAGGTGCTGGACTCTGTTGAGCCTAGGACTAGAAGCTGATGGGGGCATGATGTGAATCTACATATCACTTAAATACTAGTAGTAGTACAGTATCGGCTCTCGCGTCGGCCTCACCCCCACCGTGTCCTCCAAGAACGAAAACCTCAGTTTCTGCGTTGACCCAACACCGCCCTCGGCTCAATAGAATATTGAAGGATGCTGGATCTGGTAGTATATGGTCGGGTGAGGAGAGGTGACGGTCGAGAAAAGCAAAGCAGAGATGAAGCCTCGTTAGTATTGGGACCAGGTTCGAGGAGGAGAGGAACTCACACCATTACTTCTTCACACCCCTCCCCTGATCACCGTGAGCCCCCATCGTCACCTTCTCTTCTTTCCCAGCAAGCCGACAAAGTATCATTACTATGTCCAGCATCACAGTCTCCAATACCTCGCACACCACCTCTCTTTGTGCTGCCGGTTTCCCCAACGGCATAGACAACCTGGTGTTTGACTTCCGCACCAACAACAACACGGTCCCCGGCAATCTGCCCAAGCTCGCCAAGATCTTTCACCGAGGGCTAGGCAGCCTACCCTCCATCATCCTCACATACCTCACCCCCTCCTCCTCCAGGTTCGGTTGAATGAGCGAGCTGATCCAATTGTTGAAATGGAACAGGTCTCTGCTGGAATCCCCGACATCGTGTTGATCGGCCTTGCGGACCCATAAGAGGCGCATGAGATTGTTGTCTTCAGAGGCGTGGTCGACAACGCCCCGTATGTGAAGGGTGCGAATTGTCTATAAGTTCATGACAGCGAGCAAGAACTGGGCGATAAAGGAGCAGGAGGAGGAGGAGGGGGTGAGGTGTATGAGGGTGATGGTGGGTAGGCTGCCCAGCCCTCGGTGAAAGATGTTGGTGAGCTTGAGCAGATTGCGGAGGACCTTGTTGTTGTTGGTGCGAAAGTCGAACACCAGGTTGTCTATGCCGCTGGAGAAACCAGCAGCACAAAGAGAGGTGATGTGTGAGGCATTGGTGATGATACTTTGTCGGCTTAGAGGGACAGAAGAGAAGGTGATGGTGTGAATGGTGGTGTTTATATATGTAAATCTGGACAGCGGGATGTAATTTGGTGGGGATGTAATCTGGTGGGGATGGCACCCACCGCATTCATCAAACAAATGTGTGAGCGACAGCCATCTTTGGGTGATGAAAACACACGGACGCGACGCGACTTTGATCAGCTTTCTCCGAGTGACACGCGTCAACAACGATAATAACACAACGGGCCCACATCATCGATGAATGATGTCTCCACTCATCAAGGGATATACATATGAGAGATAGATATAGTATATGTACATAGCGCATATGAATTGGCACGGATGTAAAGCTACAACTATCAAACTGCAAACGACAAGCCACACGATCGCGGTCTTCGCACCGCATGTTCAAGTATAGTGGCCCCGCCCACTTATCGTCGTAGCAGTAAGAGAGGCTGAATTATTTTTCAAACTGCCTCAGCCAAAGTCCGGCTTCACACTGGGTGGAAACAGGAGGATGGAGACAAGAGGGGCGCGGAAACGCAAACCAGCTTCCACTATCCGCTGAAAGCGACCATTAGTACGCTTTCTTGGGGTATAAGAATCTCAGGAGATGCGTTTGGAAAGTCACTCTGACTCCCACTGCCAACGAGAACAATCGCTGAGGCTATCAATTTAGAGGTCCAATCACTCTTCTCAAGTAACGATCGGCCAAAATATGATGTTCGCAAAACTCCCAGACCGGACGGAATCCTCGCTGTCTGAAGCATTCTCAAGCTTGTACGAGAGTGAGGCGGCAATCTTTCGCCGTATCTATCATCCGCACACCTCATCAGCACTCCACACTATAGCGTCCCTGCATCCTGTGCACCATCTGATCCTCGACGAGCTATTCCGCGTTGAGCCCTCTGTCGTTGTATCACTCAACAAATACTGCTACGACTATTTCACCCCAAAATTGTATCAGAAAGTGAACCTCGACGTTCATAGGATCCCGATCCTGTCGTTTCTCCACGGACTAAATTTGCCGAAAGGCCGGAAACGGAAGCTGTTGAAGCTGGTTCGAGAGTTATCTTTCTACTTTCACCCTTTGGTGCATGTGCCGAAGGGCGAGGTGTTGCCCGATGGCACCAGACAGAAGATAACGATAGATCGTCTTGAAGGGGTACATACTGGTCATCGATACTCGTGGAATGAAGAGCCCTCAAGACTGGCGGGGGAGATTATACACCCCCTGGCGCAACTGAGTGAGTACTGGAGGGAGATGTGTATAAACCCGTCACTTCATCCAGGAAGTGGCGGATTCATGCCCAATGTTGGAAATATAACCATGTGTGGATATATTGGGGACTACGTCTCGCCGTTTGAGGCGCAACGGAACGCAGCCGGAAGAAGATCCCTTTACTCCGGAGACCTTATGGACCCGCATTTAAGGCTTTTCAAAGAGATACTCTGGGTCTTGGTCAGAACACGCAGCACTCGGTGATTCAGATACCTATCCTCCCGCACGATTTTAGAGGCAAGACTCACTACAGGATGAATGCTAGCGGGTGGGGATCCAGAAACCAATGCCAGCAAAGCATACCACGACCCGGTGAGATCAGAGCAACACAAGAGCCATACTCAGATGATCATGCCGGTTTCCGTGAGACAGATGAGGATGTCTCCACACCACCAAAAGACAGCAGATGATTCGAGCGAGGGCGAAGGGCCGAATCGAATCGCGCTCTTGTCAGAGTACTTGCTACAGCAAAAAGCTGCCGTTATGGGAAAGAAACAGCGCGTTGGCAAAATCATCGAAGCCAACGAAACATCTCGGCTTGTGACGATGACAGTATCAGCTTTGCAGGCCAGGGATGGGAGATGTACCAGCTGGATCGGCGTTCAGTAGAATTGAATGGCAGGGCAAATAGTGTACTCGTAGTGACGATAGCGAGAGCAACTTGAGAGCAACTGATAGAGCGAGTTTGACGGAGCGGTCACCGCCGCCGTGTGCCGACGCGATGCCCTCCCTCGTCATCATGCGGTCGGGTCTTTGTTTGTACCACATTTTCATCTCTCCACCACGATGCCGGCATCCCTCTACCTCCGCCCCTCTCCCAGAGCATTCTTCCTCCTCACCCCCAAGCACGCTCTCGTCTTCCGCCAGCCATCAGCCTCAGAAGCCTCCGCCTCCAAGTCAGTCGTCGTCGCCGAGTGGCTTCCACTTGAAGAAGTAGAAACGCAAGACCTCATCAAGATTCATGGCGGTGTAGATGGTGTACTTGGTGTTGGAAGTGTACCCTCGGGTACGTCAATGCCATTACAAAGGTGACTGAACTGACCATGGAGCAGAGCGGTCACCAGTCCCCGAGATATTCCTCTTCATCTCGACAAACTCGACACCTCTTCCCCCACTGCTCCCGAATTCTCCACTCCGTCCCTCAAAGCTGTTATCCGTTCAGTTTCACTCCTTATCTTCTTCTGCATGGGACCCACCGGATTGGACGTCTTTGGCCAATGCCGCTCGGGCCGAGCAGATGGGTTTGGACTGGGAGGACGAGTACGAGAATGTCAGCGCTACATGGAATGCTGCGGGTGGGAGCACGACACCATCGTCTCAGTACCCACACCCTTGTCTGGGGATGAAAAAGTATCTGGAGTCGGGAGGCTTCTTCTTTGCCGAAGGATGTAAATGGGACATCTCATCGCGTCTATCGCCGACTTCAAATTGGATCAAGGAAGCTTCCTCCAGTCCCTCTGACCGAGTGGGCGGACATCCGCTAGAGGGTTTCGACGAGAGATTTGTCTGGAATAAGAGCCTGCTGGAGCCGTTCTTGGAGTTCAGAAAAGGTCTAGGAGAAGACATGCGGAGAGAACTGGACAACGCAGCCCTCCTCATTCCAATCATCCAGGGCTTCTGCGGTGCCCTTCCCATATCCCCATCATCCTCTTCATCTTCATCACTATCTTCACTCGCTCTCATCTCCCGTCTGTCCTGGAAACGTGCAGGTGCAAGGTTCCGAACACGAGGCATCGACGATGATGGCCAAGTTGCCAATTTCGTCGAGTCGGAGCTGATATATAGCTCGGGCGAGATGACGATGAGCTATGTGCAAGTGAGAGGAAGTGTGCCCGTCTTTTGGGGTCAGCCAGTAGGAGGTCTTGGGACGCTTAATCAGAAGGTAGAAATAACTAGAGTGAGTATCTTGTCATCCGTATAAATCGCGTCTGATCCAATGGCAGCCAGCACAAGCCACACAACCGGCATTCGACAAACACTTCCTAGAACTATTAGAACATTACAATTCTATCCACGCTGTCAACCTTCTCGGGCAGAAAGATGCCGAATCCATGCTCTCCAACGCATACTCATCACACCTCTCTTCCCTCAAACGCACCCTCCAAGACACACCTTCGGAAGAAAAAGACCGCGCGGATATAGCGGACAGAGGCACACTAGAGCTCACAGCCTACGACTTTCACTCTGCTGTGCGCAGTGGAGGGAATGAAGCTGTGCGGTATGACCTTGACAGACGTCTGCGCGAGGTCGTCCGAAGCCGGGAGAAGTTTGGGTGGACGGTGGTGGACATGGGCAGTGGAGATGTGATCGAGCAACAGCAGGGGGTCTTCAGAACGAACTGTCTGGACTGTCTTGATCGCACAAATTACGTGCAGGACGTCATCTCGTCTCTTACCCTCTCGGCTTTCCTTGAAACCTACGTCTCGCCTACCCTCGCGTCTTCCCCGACTCTGTGGTCCGCCCACCGATCCCTCTGGGCCGATAACGGCGACCGTCTATCGAAAATCTACGCTGGCACTGGTGCTATCAATACTTCGGCCACGCGTTCCGGCAAAAAGACATTCGCCGGCTTGTTGAGCGATGCGACAAAGAGCGTGGGGAGAGCCTACGTGAACAACTTCCAAGACAAAGGAAAGCAAATGGCAATTGATCTGCTATTGGGCATGATGGTGGGCCAGAGAAGAGTCGTGCTTTGGGACCCCGTCAGTGAGAGTGTACAGGCTGCCCTGATACAGAGAGAAGGAGAGTACACGTCGCATAGGCATGTGTCTATATTCTCTGGAACGTGGAACCTCAATGGCAAGGTGAGTATCCACGTTCTCGAAAGGTCCACAGACTTATGAAGAATAGGCGCCTAATGAGCCACTTGATCCGTGGTTGTTCCCACCAGGTGCGATCACTGATGTCTGACCTACAAGCGCAGCTGACCCTTCGCTCAGATACCGCCGATCCAGATATTTACATGATCGCTTTCCAAGAGATTGTAGAACTCACAGCAGGCCAAATTCTGCAGACGGACCCCGCCAAAAGGTAGGTCCTCCCATGTGTCCAAAGCGCAGATTCGCTGATGTTACTCTAGGCGAATGTGGGAAAAGTACATCATGGACACGTTCAACAACCGCAAACCCTCCCAATATCTTCTCCTCCGCTCCGACCAGCTTGTAGGCACCGCCATTATAATAATCGTCAAATCACCTCTCCTCCCTCACATCCGTCGCATCGAATCTGCCACCAAGAAAACTGGCCTCTCGGGCTTATCGGGTAACAAAGGCGGGGTCAGTGTGCGATTTGAACTGTTTGATACAAGCATATGTCTTGTG